CCTGCACCCTTGTCACCTGTCTCTTAGCAGCCCTGCAAGAGGGGCCTGAGAGGAGGCAGATGGCACAGGGGACAGAATAACTGGACCTGCAGAAAAGAGAAAGCAGGAAGCCTAAGAGTGAAGGATTAGAAATTCACTGAATGTAGACAAAATAACACATTCCATTTTCAAGCATCTCTCTTTTGAAAGCAATTTTCCTCTTCAATCGGTTTTCAACGTCCCTGTTTAAATGTCATGATTTGCAGCAGCCCTTTGTAACATGAAAGCATATTTAAATAAAAGTGTTTGGGCTTCTGTGAAAGTAAAATGAGTTGGTCAATTTTCCATCCCTGTGACAACTTTTTTTTATTCATTTAAGTGCACATTTCCCTCTAGCAAGATGCATCATGTATGCAAAGATTTGTGGCACAAACAATGTAAGGGTAAAATGCAAGACAGAAATCTTGGAGGCTGGGAGGAAACCAAGGATCATTTACTCCAACCTCCAAGGAAAACTCATTTATATTTAACACCAGAAAGTACTGTCACTCACATGGAAAAATTTCTTTGGACACAGAAGACCCTAAGAACAAAAGAAAAGTTCCTGTGGATAGTAGTTACAATGAGACAGCTGTGTTAGAAACTGTTTCTTGTCTTGTTGAACAAATATTGACCACATATTAAATTATTATTATCTTTCCCATATTCCCAGTATGGACAAGTAAAAATACAAGCAGCTTGGGAAGTCTTCTGTTTCTGTATAAATACAGTATCAATAATCACAGGAAACTAATCACAATCATTCTTCATTGCAATATTTCACATTTTCTTGTTATTTGTAACAATGTCTTTTAGTGTTTGTTCAACAGACTCTGCCAAATGTTCCGCTGTGTGTTTTGACCATCAGTAACATCTGCACATAAAAGCCTAAATTACTAGAAGGTCTAAATCACTGGTGTTGATGGAACACTGGAGCTCCCTCAAGCACTATTGAAAGCTCTGTGAGCTTTTGGGTGAGGATTCAACCATAAATCTTTACAACATAGCTATGTGGCATATGGCCTACCTTTTCCCATTGGAAAGAAGCACTTAAATAGACAGGTAATGGTTCTGAGTGTACCTTGCTCCATGGTGATAATATTAACCCAAGGCAATGCAGGCACTGAAAGAAAAGAAAGGAACAAAATAATAAATTGTGCTTCTCTACTTTTGAAGCCATTTTAAACACAATTTGAGGTTAGGTTGCAGGTTGTATATACACACATTAAAAAATACTGACATGTTTGCCAACACTTATATTCTATGGCACATCATTTTTCAAATGAAGCTGTAGTTTTTACCACTGCTTTAGCTAGTACTGTTTTGAAAAGTAATTCACACTTGAAACGACACTTTGTTAAATAATCATCTCAACACTGCCAGCTTAGTATATCTATTTCTAGTCTTACAAGCATTACTTTAAGGAAAAAGGTTTCTCAACCTCATGTTTTTGTATCAAAGTTATTTATAACATGGAGATTTTTGAATGCTTTAAAACCAAACTGCAGATTCAAAAACTATCCTATTAATACTCTTTCAGAATCTAATGACCATTCATTTCAGTTTAGAAACCAGAGTATTTTTATTTTTTACTTTCACCTTTATAAATGTAGCACAGCATTATATAAGCCAGTAACTGGGCAATAAAAAGTTGCATTGTTTTACAAGCTAGTAATATTTGATTATGACTGAAAAGAGTCTACAAAGATATGCAAAATGATTCTCGTACATACTCTCTCACACCCGTACCCCCCCCCCAAAGTAGGTTTGGTCAATCAGCTAACTACAAATCCACCAAACACTTAACTCACTTACTCCACACTTTACCAGCTTCCACGCAAGAATATCATGGGGGACCGTGTCAAAAGCCTTACTGAAATCAAGCTACACTATGTCCATAGCATTCCCCTGGTGCACCAAGCTTGTAACTCCATCCAGAATAAGAAATGAAATTTGTCTGCCATGACTTGTTTTTGAGAAACCCATGCTGGGTCCTTGTAATAACAGCATCCTTTTCTAAGTGCTCACAGACCAACTGTTTAGCTATCTGTACTAGGACCTTTCATGGCACTGATGTCAAGCTTACGAGTCAGTAGTTACCTGGGTCTTTTCTTTTCCTCTTTTTGAAGATGGGGACTACATTTGTCTGCCTCCAGTCAGAGGCTCTGAGATTCAAAAGCTCCTTTAGTACCCTTAGGTGCAGCTCATCAGGCCCTGGAGATCTGAATTCATTTAAAGTAGTCAGGTGTTCCCCAAACACCTCTTTTCCTATATTGGGCTGCAGCTCCCTCATTGCATCGTTTATTCTGTTATCACTAGGTTGGGCACTGTTTTACTTTGGGGTGAATACAAAGGCAAAGTAGGTGTCGAGCAGTTTCACATTCTCTCTTTATCTTAGCTGCCACTCTTGGTGGTTTGTTTAGCCAGACAAAGTTGATCTTAACTCCTGGCAAAGAAGAGAGAGAGTATAGAACTAATATTATTACAAGAGGTATATTAATAAACAAAAATAGTGTTTTAGTCTGTGTATATCTTGTTCTTTCCACTGTTAATCTATGCCATGTTAAATCTACTTGCTTATTCATTCCCAATGTGGGTTTGTAAAGTATTATTATATTTTGAAATCTCACATATCCTACCTATTAACAGAAGGCCAATAAATTAATTTGTGGTGAACTAAATTTGTCTGCTTGAGAGGCATTTTTCTAGATGAATAAAATTGATCAATATTCCCACCCATCAGTCAGTGGAGAACAAAAATGGTACGCAGGGTATTCCTTAGCTCTTCTGGCTGTGGTCTCCATGACAACACCAAGGGCTTCAGGAAGAAGCCATGCATAGCTTAATGAAGCTATGTTGATAACTGTTACAATTCCTTTCCATACTAAATCTTTAAACATCTCTTCCCAGCAGTTTATAGCATCTGTTGCTGTAGTATTAAAATGCAGAGTACAGTCTAAAGGTGTTTGTAGGAATCTTAAAAGAGATTACATAGCATGAAGCAAGGCTAGGCAACTTGTCCTTTATGAAATGTTCCCTCATACACATTTTTTGTACCCAAAAATCTTATATACCCTAATTCAGCTATGCACACTAGTGTTAGTTCTTGGAGTGGGAGGAAGCACAATGTTGGAGTACATGCTTTGCAGGCATAAAGCCATAGAAGGGTAGGGATACAGCCAAAGAAATGAAGGGGGGGTCAAGTTATAGTGACAAATTGAATTCTTGGAGACAGCTGAGTGTTCAGTCAGGTGGCAAGGCACACTGTAGCATTAGTGGCACCCAAGGGCTCCAACGATAGGGCAGGAAGGGGCTTCAGCCCACTCAATATTTCTAGGCAGGGAGCAGAGGCCCCCCCCATTGAGGGGGCACCATCCCTCGCCTCCAATGGGTGAGTGCTGGTCCGCCGGGTGGGAAGCGGAGAGGGTGTTTTTCACCCTCTGTGCCCCCTTGCCACGATCGCCAGAGCGCCTTCCAGGAAGGCACTGGCAGTCCTCAAAGGGATGTCTGTGCGTCCCGGCAGTCCTGGCCAGACTGGGGAAGGGGCGTCACTCATGTGGCTTGCCAGGTTTCAGGCAGGGTAACTTTCCCAGCCCTACCCAGAGATGCTGGGTGTAGAACCCGGGACCTTCTGCATGCAAAGCAAATGCTCTACTACTCCAGTGTAGAAAGAACCCTTGAATTATAGAGATCAGGATCAAACTAAATGTTCCACTACCCATATTTTTTTTCTTATTCCATTTACAAAAATGGAAGTCGTAGAAATCCAAATCAGGACAGTAGCATGGGGGCTGGAGAGTTTAGCTCTTTTTCATGTGCCATTTTCTCACTGAGTTTACAAGCCCATACTTTTATCCAACAGGGACAAATAGAAGATTGGGGGCGGGGGGTGATTTTTGTGGGAAAACAGAGCAGTGGAGAAAAGGGTTAGGTCCTTGTGCCATGGTTAGATGAGGAAAGGACAGCCGCTTTTGTAAAACCAAAATAAGTTTATACCTGAAGTCTCAAAATAAATCAGAGAAAATAAACCTTATAATTATTATCTAGAGTTACTATATTTCAGTTATTAGCTCTGGTCAAGTATTCTTTGGCATATACTTTTTTGAGTTCATTGCCTTTTTTAAAACTGATAGCTAAGTTACTTCTGTTACACAGCTTGGGGTTTGTGTGTTGAGACATTGTTTTCTTTAAGCGATGGCCTCCTTAATAAACAGTACCAGAAAACAATAAATTACCCTACCTTAGCTTCTGATTCTTGACTTATTGTAGCAAGGTCTTAATATATATAAAAATATCTTTTTTTGTAATAATCTGCCTTGTCTCTATTTTTATATGTCTTTAGCTTTATTTCTTTTTGCCTTTCTGTTTGGGAGATTTCAGGGAACCTTTCCAAATCTGCATCCATACAGCCTGAGTCAACATTTTCACTCTTAATGCCTCAAGCAAGAGTAGATCATACTGCTCCACGAGGAAACAGAGATGGAAAGATTTGTGTCTGTCAGCAACTTCTTTCCTGTGACTGAATCTACCATGCCATAAGGATCAGAAATATGTAACAATTTGGAGTCTGAATATGAAGAATCGTCAGTGAACATCATTGAAGAATAATCATTTTTGGCTACGAAAATATAACTTTTAAATGAAACGTGAGAGAGAGAGAGAAGAGAGAAAGCATTCCAATCTATTATAATCTAATCATTAAATCCCATCATTTTAAAAGCCCCATAATGAGCAATACAGCGGTACCTCAGGTTAAGAACTTAATTCGTTCTGGAGGTCCGTTCTTAACCTGAAACTGTTCTTAAACTGAGGTACCACTTTAGCTAATAGGGCCTCCTGATGCCGCTGCGCCACCGCTGTGCGATTTCTGTTCTCATCCTGAAGCAAAGTTCTTAACCCGAGGTAATATTTCTGGGTTAGCGGAGTCTGTAACCTGAAGCGTCTGTAACCCGAGGTACCACTGCATATTGGCTGATATACCCACTGTGACCATACCTGAATGCAGATGTCTTGGCCACAGTTATCCATGCTCTGGGAACCTCTATACGCTGTCACTAACTGAAGTGAGTTGGATGGCTAACAGGGAGGCTGGCTAATGTGCCTAATGGTAAATAGGCTGGCCAAGGGACACAGCACCATTCACAAGGTGGCTGCTCCAAGGCTGGGGAGTTTTGTGTCAGCCACCCACAAGAGCAGGCAGCAAGACAAAATCTCCCAACGCAAACAGCTTCTGATACGCCCTTTCAGAGCCCTCACAAGTCTTTCTCTGGTTGCAAGCTAAATCCGTCACTCACATGACTACCACATGCCCCTTCCTTAGTATTTTCCTTTTATGTAGCGGCTGGAGAACTTGTAGGAAGTTCAAAATAAATCAACTTGGGACACCACCCCCCAAAAAGAAAACACACCTTCCAAGGCAATTCTGAAGCCTCAGGCCTAGCCCACTTCACCTTGGACTGCTTTGGACTCGAGGCACCTCATAATCAGAGGCAGCCCAATATCTCAGAAGAGGTATTTTCACAGGTATACTAACCTAATATTTTCCCTTATTTGTGGTGTTTTTGTAGCCCACTGGTGTAGATTGCTTTAATGATTCTGCACTTGCTCAGTAAGGCAGCTGAAGCCCATAAACAGCCAGTTACCTCAGTGCGATTAGGATGGTGTCCTGCTTTCTCCTCTCGGCAATTCTCTAAGCCATTTTAAAAACAGATTAGGAGTGAGGCTTCCCTTAAAGTTTCAAAATGAGTCACGGATTTCCTTGTCCGTTTATACTGTTTTATATTATAAAAGACTGTAAGTTAGTTTCTGGGTTGCTGTCCCTGTCAGCCATTTTGAGAAGAACACTGGAGCTGAGGTGAAATAAGAAGACCCTTTTCCCTCTTGGGCTGATGAAAGATCAAACTTCACGTAGAAGTTTCTTCAAGGAGAGCCTGAAGAAAACAGACTTCTGAGAGGTTGGTGTTGCATTTTACTGTTTTGTGATTTTTTAAATTTATTTTTTGTAAATTGTATCATGCATGCAAAATTGGCAGCTCTATAAGCTCCCTAATCACATTTTATGTTGATTAATATGGAATACCATTGTGAGTCCCTCCCGAGTCCCTGAATAAAGAACTCTGAATGTTTATTTTAAAAATAGTAAAAATCTTATAAAAGTGTTTACATCTGCCCCTCTGTACTGAGTTTCTCTCACAGGCAAAGGGCTTCGTCTATTCAGGCAGTAAACTTTTCTGGACATTTGAACTGTGCCCATGCAGAATGCAGAGGAAGTAGTGCTAGAGGACACACTTCCAAAAAGATTTCTTAGCAACCACTTACACTAAACTCCATGAAGTAGCTCCAAAAGTAGACAATGCATTAAATGTGTGACTGTACCTAAGATGCCTAGTTTTTTTAATATTAAAAGCAGCCACAGGAAGGCCTGGTCAGGAAGATTTGGAGTTTTAACTATTGGTGCTGATAGCAGCTTCTCTCGCAGAACAAATAGCTTTGGGGATTTTTTTTTGGTCAAGATTGGTGATGGTGTTAGGTTTAAAAACTCCACTCCTTGCATGCTGAGTGGCCCCTCCTCCTCAAAAGTTGTTCTTTTATTTTAAATAACTAGACACGTGGAATGCAATTGGATATTTAATATGCTTTCTAGTTTGGCCCAATGTTGAAGCAATGTCTTAAAGAAACTGGAATCAACTCACAGTAAAAGACGCTGTGTTCTTAAAACTTTCTGTTCCCTCAACAAACAAACCATTGGGAGATGGAGACAAATCCACAAGAGAACAAGTGTTCTCATGAATTTCTTACTGCATCCCCATGGCAGCAAGCATTCAGTGACTTTGAGACAGGAGTCAAGTCTATCCAGCAGCATCTCACACCATCTGCTATGATACTGCTGGTTCTGCTTCATTTACGTTGTCTCCTCTGCCTTCCATCTGAGTCCTGATTTTTTCTATTTGACTCTTTCTGCTTGAGTTCATGTTTTAGAAACTGTAACGGTAACGGTTCCTAGGATCACTTTTTCTGTTTCCTCACACACTTGTTATGGCTTTAATTAAAATTTGATTTTAGAATTTAGCCTCTCACAAACACACAGATCCCCTAACCACGACAGCTTCTTTTCTTTGCCATCTCCTTTTGTTATGGTCAGCAAAGAGTGATTCCATTTATCAGAACAAGAAAAGCATCAGCAATGGGAGAAAGATGAAAGTTGCAAAATAGCCCACAGACAAACTAATGAAGATGTGATGATAGATGCGTATAGCAAGTGCAAATCACATGAAATAATAGCAATTCTCTGATGGAGAAAATAATAATTTCATAAAACTATCATTTTGATTATTCCATTTTCTTTTGAGCCTATGGCCTAGCTAAATTGAAAAGGCCTGTATCTGCCTACCTTTTACAGCACGGAAACTAAGTGTTTTCAGGTACAGTGCTTTATGTAGTGAATGTCCATTCTGGAACACTGAAAAGATAAAACTGTTAGACTCTATGGTGGCCATTCTATGCATGAAAAGAGCATCGGCTAAGCATGGCAATTGTGATTAATTTTGAATTGTTTTGTAGCTTGATAAGAGGATATTGGGAGACATTTAGTGAATAGGAAAATTAGTCAAAGTTCTAAAAGAAAGACACTGAAAAATTATTATATGTAATCACATGATATTATGATGAGGGCTGATCTGGAGAGTTAAATGATTTTGATTGGTTTAGGATTGTAATATTTGGTTGCAACTGTTAAGATTGCTGTGATTCTTGTGAAATCAAATCACATATGTAATCTGGAAGTGTTGAAGGAACATTGCTTTGGGTGTGGTTCTTTGCAATCTTATTATTGAGGCTATATTTCAATAAAGGCCTGTCTTTCCCCTTTGAGCCTGTGTTCTTTTCTTTTGGATTTCTGGGAGGGATACCTCCAGTCTAGGAACCCCTTTTAAGTTTCTTCAGCATCTCATTACATTATAGCAGACGTCGCCAGTGATCCCTGACTTACATGATGTTGGACTACAACTCATATCAGCCCCAACTGGCATGGTCAACACTCATGGACAATGGGAGTTGTAATCTAAGAACATCTGGAAGTCACTACATTGGTTCGCACTGCGTTACAGATAGTCCTTGGACTGGATGCCATGAACCTTAGAGGAGCTGTTGGAGACAGGCATGGTCAGACTATCATATTCCAGTTTAATGAGGAATATTTAGTTACCAGTTTTGGAACAAGCCAGGATCTTAAACCAGCTTCAACTGTGGTTTAAGATCCTGGTTTGTTCCAAAGCTGGCACCCATATTTTCCCAGTTTGTATGATACGGGAAACTTCCTGGATTATTGACGCATTCTATAAAGTGAGAAGGGAAAAAGGCTTTGTATGCAGGTGAAATGCTTGCTTGTGCATTGGTTTATTAAACTAAGATAGAGTAGCTGGAAAGCAGCCATAGTCTAGCATCCAAAGAGCTATTTTAGAGTACCTCATGTTCAGTGGAATTTGATGAGCAGACACTCCCATGCTATATTACAAACTGCTTTTTGGAACTCCTCTAGATTTGCATGCTGCTGTTAAGGAAACAAAAGTCCAGAGTACTCTTGGGAATTTGTATGTACTTAATCTGCTTTGGATCTTGAACATAGACTGTAATCCAAAACATAGGCATAAATTTTACTGCATATGAAAAAAAAGATGCTTCAAAGCAGACTGATAATCTATCTTGATTATGATGATGTCAAGAGTTCTAATTCTCCTTCAAGATCCAGCTTTAGGGTTTTTATTATGTGCATAATTATTTATTTCTAAGGACCCTCAAATGGAACAGAGAATCTTATTAATTGTCAAGATAATCTATATAAAATTTCCTTTTGTTGCTTCTGTTATATTAGCTAATCATTAAGCCATTTGTGGGAGCATTAAAAAGGGAACATAAACATTATTCTTATTTCTCCTCTTAAGTGCCACATTTACATGTTTTTGGGTTTTCACTTTGTTTCTGCTAAACTGGCAACTACCGTAATGTATGTTAAGCCCATGGTCCACCTATGCTTGATAGAAATCATTAGCTTTCAATTAGATATGCACATAATTATATGTTCCAACTTATGGACCTGTACGTTCGCATGCATTTATGGTATAATTAGCACTTCTGGCAAATTTGTAGAAAGAGAGAGCATTTGACGCTCTGGCACTGTTTTCCCTTAGGGAAAGATTCTTTAAGAAATACCAGCATATTTTATCCATTCTTTTGGTGGTTTCTAATGTTTCCAGTTAGGGGTACTGAACAACCAATGTGCTAGGTACTGCAAAGTAAAAAATAAATAAATACACAGTTGTCAAAATTACACAGTTGTCTACATAGAACTGGAGTAGAGGACACAGATTGACAGCCATTTAGGGCCTCCTGTCAACCAGGAGTTAACCAGAAGTGTTAAGTTGTGGGTAAACATATCAGACGACACACCGATTCTTCAAACAGCTCTTTATTTGTAAGCTGGAACAGAATTGAACAGCAAACAGCTTAGCTGGCCTGCTTTTATAGGCAGCCAGCTGTCAACATTGTAGCAACAACAACCCAGGGTTTCCCGCCTAAAGTAACTAACGTGGACCTGAGTGAAAACTACAGTGGTACCTCGGGTTACATACGCTTCAGGTTACAGACACCACTAACCCAGAAATAGTACCTCGGGTTAAGAACTTTGCTTCAGGATGAGAACAGAAATTGTGCAGTGGCGGTGCGGCGGCAGCAGGAGGCCCCATTAGCTAAAGTGGTGCTTCAGGTTAAGAACAGTTTCAGGTTAAGAACAGACCTCCGGAACGAATTAGGTACTTAACCCGAGGTACCACTGTATATACACGATACTCCTGGTGGCCAGGGTGAGAACTTCAATACATAACAAGAAGGTTATGGAGAAACAGTAATTGGGTAGATTAACGTAGTGGGACTTCAAGAGGACCTGGAATCTGGTAAAGAGTATTAGAGAGCACAGGATAGCATGATAGAAGGCCAGAAACAGGAGGGAGGGAGAGACACAGGAGATTAGCTATCACGGACCAAAAGCACCAGGAAACGTTGAAGCAGAATGAGGGACGATATATTTGTACTTACTTTTGTAATTACCACCAAGTTGTTTCCTCACAAATGGCTCCCATGCTTCAGTGATCATGTATAGATTTTTTAAAATTATTTATTGGGACTCCAGATCATGTGTGAGAGCAGTTCTAAGGGAACCTGGTGCTCACAATGCTGACAACTTGCAGAATTCTTTAGTGACTTTAGCTACAAAATCCATTAAAAAAAAAAAATCTAGTTAGATGCACTCTCCAGTACTTCTTAAACTCCCTCATGGAACTACAATTCCTAGCACCCTTAACAAATTACTGTTTCCTAGATCGGGTGCCGGGGGGGGACGGGACCGACCATGTGCTTTAAATATACAGTGTGTAAGTGGCCACAATAAACTTGTTTTTGTAGCTAGTGATGCAATAACTCCTCCCCCCAAAATTAGCAAAATTCCTTTTTTACAAGTTCAATTTTCAAATAATTCTAAATTAAAACAGCAGAATAAATGTCAGCATTCAGACTTGGGGGGGGGGCTGTCTTCTTTACTTTCATTTCTATAGAACTCCAATCACAAAACTGTCAGAGATAGCTTATTAGGTACTTTAAATAGACACTTGATGAATAGCCCACACCCCACATCGTAATTACAGGCTATATTAAGAAGACAAGGAATTTAAATTGGTATAGCTAAGACTACACACTACAAAATGCCAAATCAAATAAGTCTTTATTTTGTATGTCTGTCCTGCCTTCTCAGCCTTGCTTCCTCTATTTTCTGTATGGAAAGAAGAGGCAAACTGTGGCCTAGATTCAACTAACAGCATACTAGTGGAAGCCAGCACCAGAGCTCCTGCTAGAACAGAAGGGCTTCCCCCGCCCAGCTCCCCAAATCTGCTCTGGAGGGTTAAGAGAAAAGCAGAAATGCTTGTGCTGACGGAACAATAAGAAGAGTGTGACGTTGAATTCCTCCCTATGTTTAAAATCAGAAATCTTCTATCTTCCCTTTATCTTATGAAAACAGCTTGTTTTATCCTCCCCAAGTTCAACGAAAGATACAGCCACACTTGGGGACACCAGGGACTGGATATTCTGTTTTGGCACCTCCAGTCCTGTAATCCACACAGTGGTCACTGTTAAACACAGGGTCAGGCACTTGGCATTATGGACATCTTCTGAGATAGAAATATGCATGCACAAAATGCTTCTGTGCGCGCACACACAACAGACTGCTGCTTTAATCACTGCAGTCATCTCCATAGTTCAGGCATTAGAAAAGTGGAATTAAATTAAACTGATAGTGAAGTGGCTGGTAGGTAGCCTGCATATAGAACCATAGGTGACAGGTCTTCTAAAAATCCATTGAAATCCATTTATTTCAAAATGGCAATACGGCACATGCTTAAAATGTGATAACTGGTCCTTTGCTCTTCCTTTTTTTAATGAAAGCTGTCATTTGAAGAATTCTGGATTCTTCACTCTAACACTAAATTCCCATGTTGCATGGTGTGGTCCTCAAATTACAGGCTAAACATAGCCCTGACTACTATGTATATAAAGTCCTAAGCACTGTATAGAAGACAGAAGTGGCATAAGGTAACTCCTCATTAATATTCTAAGCTTTGGTTAAGATACTCAGGTACAGAGTACATCAACTATTAAAAGCACATCATGTGTCTTTAACATCACTTTTCTCTACTTTTACAAGATGACCAGGAAAGTTTCCAGTTTCAGCAGTAAACTGAAGGCAGGCTTTATGTTGTGGTTGTAGTTACAATTGTAGAGAAAAGAAGTCTGAGCTAAATCTCAGACTTGCTACTTGTGTCTTCCATCGTGTGTAAAGGATAAGCCGTGTGCTGACTAACTTCACTTCAGGATCTCCACTGTTCCTGGCTCATAACCAGCGCATGGCTCATGCTAACGAACTGTGAACAGAATGTGAGTAAAACTCTTACTGTTATTTTCAAGAAGACTATGTTGTGTTATTCTTATTTTAAGAGGGAAATAAAGGGGAAATTTACCAGGAAGGCTCTAGTCTGGACAAGTCAGACTGGATTGCTTAATTAAAAGACTCTAGCGAGTCATCAGCTTGCTTCCAATAAGTTGCAAAGGGAATGTGCTCTGCTGTTTGCTCACTAGTGTGAGAGAGGAGGGATAATAGCAAAACAATATATCCTCTCCAACCTTCCTAATCATTCCCACAGCAGTGAGATATTAACTCAGAAACACGGCTTCCTAAGTAGGAGCTAAGGTGAGAGTGTACAAAAGCAGGCATGATAGCAAGTTCGTGAGACAAGACCAAGGTCAAACACAGTGAAATAGTCCAAGCGTAGGCAGGAGTCCAAGAACAAAGTCTTAACAGATGCACTGGGTCAGTCAGGATATAAAAAAAAAACTTGTAAAGTTCCAGCAACTAACAGCAACTGGAAGCTTTTGTAGCCTGATCACCTAGGTCCATCCAGGCCCAGCTACAACTGGTCAGCCCAGCCTTCTAGGTTCTCTTCCAGGTATCTTACTCCCAAGGGGTCCTCAGTCCCTCTGGGTCCTCAGCTACAGTTAGACCTGGCCTCCTGAGGCTGGAGGTATCTGGGATAGTGCTGGAGAGCAGGTGTTCCATAAAGTTTTCAGACTTCATGACCTCAGGGATTTCATCTGATTAAGAGTCTTAGGCTTAGGGCTGAATCAGGCATCACACTCTGACATAGAACTAGCACTTGCACTTTGTTCACCTTTTCTAGATATTTTCTGGAACTAACAATAATGTAGTACAGCATTATATAATCCTGGCAAGGTGCACATCTGTATTACAGTCAAAATTATAGCTCCTCTTCCTTCATAACATGTAGAAGTATGAATTATGACTTCTTTAGCAATATCTTTTATAACTGTTCAGTGATTTTTCATTTTGGCACCAGCACTAACATTCTCTGAAACAAACATCTGAATAATAAACATCCACCAAAACATGATGTAGTCTGTCATATTTTAAAAAATCTGATTGAAACAGGTGCAGTCAAATATTGTCAACACTTCCCACTATCTTGTTCTTAAGACAACTTCAGTACCCTCTACATTTGGTAGATGCAAGTAAAGTCCTAAAAGAAAAGCTGTTCTCTACATCCAATTCAAGTCAGTGGTGAAATTCCCATTGATTTGAATAGAGCTGGATTACACCCAATGCTGCTTTAGAACAGTTTGAATTAAATTAGCTATATTTTTAGCATTTACAAACAATGGTGTGTGTGTGTGTGTGTGTGTGTGTGTGTGTGTGTGTGTGTGTTTTAAAAGCCACACATATAAAAAGGCAAAATAAAATGTAAATTATGTGAGAAGACTCATTCCAAATACACTTAAACAGAAATATTAAAATCAGTGAGGTTTAGAGCCAATTCTTCTAACCACTTTCGGGTTGTTTTCAAATGCATGGTAATATTTTCATTTCACTGGGGATTGAAATGACACCAGCATTAATCAAGCTCATGATTATACTCACTACTGAAAACAATGGCTATGATCCAACCCTTTTGTACATGAAAAGTGAAGGGAGGGTGGGAAGAAGGAACAGGCTGGGATGGGTTATTTCTAGTTATCTATATTGTCCCTGTGACAGTGCCTTACAATATACCACACCTCAGACACATTCTGTGATTCACACCAATGTGCAGAGCTAATCCTAGTCCTGGTGTGAATCACCAGCAAGGGGGAGAAACTGGCTTGTTCTGTGTGCCCACCTACAGAAGGAGGACAGGAGTTACAGAGCATCAGGCATTGTTAACTGCAAGCTGGTCTATTTATCACAGGGATCAACAATCCTGTAGTGAGTTTCCTGCACACCCTTGGCTGTATCATTTAGTATAGCTGACTCACATGAGCTAGGATCTTCGTGTTTCCCATTCCAAATCCATAGCAGAGTGAGAAAGATCATTGCATGATAACCACAATTCACACAGTAAATTGTACAGTTTGAGTTGCTAATCTTGGTAGTGGATGGTAACTCTAGAATGGCTCTGAACTTTCCCCTTTACTCTCCTTTATTTGTCCTTCACTTGCTGGGTTCAGGTGAGGATTCTGCATACTCTGAATGACTGAATTGACCTCCACACATTCAGCAGAACTGCTATAAAGAGCCCATGCACAAATAACTTGCACTGCTCAGTGGTCAGGGACAGACACAGCTGATGAGATCCTGATTCTTTCTCCACACATTTAGGGTCTGTGGAATCATAGTATGAACAGAACTTTCCTGTCATCTGCTTGTCTCTGCATCATGCTCTCAGTGAGCCCGGATTCAATTGTAACACCATTCTTTTTCAAGCATTTGTGGTGGCACAATAAGGAGCTGGATAGAAGGCGATGCATTGAGCTGACTGGGTATATATAGAGGGACTGGAACCAGTGGGTGGAAATTTCAGGGAAACAAATTTCAGTTAAACATTAGAAGACACTTCTGAATGGTTACCAGCTATTCATTGTTACCACTACTTCCTCCTTCCTTCTTTGGATATCTTTTAAACAGAGGCTTAATGGCGAGCTTGCAGGGATAGTGTTGCATCCTGCATTATAGAACCTATATTGAGAAAGGGGCTGGAGTAGATGACCTCTTAAGATTCCTTCAACCTCTTATTCTGTTTGCATTCAAGTATTAGGGACAAATGCATATACTCCATTTGATGAATATTGCAGCAGCCTCTGTCATCTCAATTGCAGATGTCAGAAAATCGCATGTTTATAATATCCCACTTCTGAGGAAAATACAGTGTTGGCTGTTTGAAAATGTTTACACTGAAGTTATATTAACTGTGAAATCAAAAGACAGGCTTAGGGATTTGTGTGTGTGTATTTAAAACTACTCTTAAAGGCATCCTTTTTGGGAAATAAATGAGATGGACAATTGGATTGGGGGAAAGTAAGGCACAGTGAAGAAATAAATAGCATGCATCGTTAAAGCCAAGACCATAAAATCAAAATGCATAGAATTTTTTTTAATGGTCCTGTGTGAAGGGAAATCATGCTTTATATCTGAAAAATACTTAGACTGCAATGTTAGCTGCATACAAACAGCTTTTAGTAGGCTAGGCCCACTAATGAAATTCTGGCTTTGGATGATGAGCCTCAGATGGATGAAGCACACTTCTTACATCTCCTGCATAGTGAATTACATACCTTGGGTTCCCCTTCCCCAGCTTGCATCTTCTACAGAAGCAAGCCCATATTTATATTCTAAAATTACTTCCACACCTACACATCCCATTCTACCTAGGATCATACCTGCATCCATGTGAAACTGCATTCTCTAACAAGTACTGTGCGTGATTTCCAAGTCTGGTTCTGCTGCTAGACCTGTACATATTTAATGTTGAAAAAAGATGTAGTTTCGCTCAGTTGACCAGAGATGGGAGAAGAGAGCTAGATTTAGAGGTGTCTCCCACACTCCCCATCAAATTGCTGATCAGTATAATTTATAGCTTATTTACTACTACTAATAATAATAATAATTAATAATATATATCTCAAACATAATAAAGCAGTGGTTTTCTGAATTCCTTGAATAGTAACAATACAATCCTTGTAACATTTAGTTAACAGCAGAGATGAGGCATGATGTCACTGAGCTGCAAAGCAGAGGGAGAGAAAGGAGGGGCATTCCATTGGCTCTGCTAAGAGGCCAGTTGCTTTAGGTTCTTTCTCAGCTGTTACCTAGTAGATGCCATTCCCTCAAGCATGCTTCAGTAGATGGAGAGTTATGAAACAAGGCCATTCCACTGAATGGCTCTGCTGAGACCAGTTCCCTTTGCCTCTTTATTTACCTGAACAGTTCACGTTGCACCTGGTCTCATTAGATCTTTAAAAAGTTATGCCTGAGTTTGCTTTTGGTTTTCATCCTCCTTCTCCATCCCCCTTTTTTGTGCCTTATAGCTATGGGGACAGGCACAGTTTTATTTATGTGTAAGCCAGTCTCTGAACTTTTTTGGCTGAAAGGTGGGGTAAAAATGCTTTAATTTATTTAAAGAAAATCCAAACGTGTTTCCCTGTCCCTGCTTTACTTCATTGGTTATTGCGTAGAAGGACCAGAGAATTGCTAGGCATGACAGCTTTGTAACACATGTCTATTTAACAAAGCATTGCAGGGAGATGAAGGGAGGAGATCTAGTTTTTCAATAGCCACTCATTCCCACTGAGAACTATTTTTAGCTGGAACCAAATCTGCGTTACTATGCACCATGTAAAAGATAAAAGTGGCACCACCATGCTAAGATAGCTCACAAATTTGTCTCTTTAGGGGTAAGTGGGGGTCAGGTCTAATGAATATTGATCATGCTGCAATAAACTGAAATATACCATGTCATGAAACAACTTAGGAGGTATTCCCCTGAGGTCAATTTAACATTTTACAGCTGTCTTTTTTAAGACCGCCTTAAATTCTGTGGCATTACTCTCCTAATACACACCCCTATTCTCTCTCTCTCAGGTGGAAAAATTAATTCTACAATTGATTAGCTAAATTAATGAATATGAGAAGCACAGCAAAGCAATGGCCTAATTCTTACTAAGCTGGATCTTTCTCTGGCCTATTCAGACTTCATGTGGAGATTTACATAATAGAATCCTCCCTCATAAAAACAATTTTTAAAGTCTAGCATACTTTGATAGTACATGTATGCTGGCAGGAGGATAATGGGATCCTGACTACACTTCCAGCAACATTGCACCATAATTTAATATAGCTCTGAATACCAGCAGCTGTGGAACTCTCCAGTAGGGGGAGTGCTGTTGTGCGCATGTCCAATATAGATAAGCATTAGATCTGATTCAACATATGATTCGTATGTTTTATGCACCAGGGTAGTGCTATTTTTTGCACAAAAGATCATTCAGTGTGGTGATATCCCATCTGAAATAGTACAATTGGGATACAGGCTTGCCACCTCAGTGAGAACAAGGCCATTATATCTGCCTTACTTTAGCTGAGAAATCCATATTTTCACATTTTACTTTAAACAGCTTTAATAAGAAAAAAGTGTATTGAGCAACATTATTTCTGAAGTCTAAACAAAAGGGGGAAAATCCCTGAATGACCAGAACACGAAGAGTCAAAGCTAGGGTTACTAACTGTTCCTGTATCTTTTAGAACTATTTTATCTACATATATTAACATATTATAATGATTAACATCATGCTGTAAAAAGCTTCACCTACTTATTTCTGTGAAAACAGCTGCTGTTAAAGGTATAGGAGCAACACAGATTGTGTTTTTTAGTGAGTTTTCTAATTGTGGCAGAATTTTACTATTCCAGTTCCTTTATTGTTTAGTGCTGTACAACGAACACTTAATTCACTGCTGCAAAAGCAATATCCTGTTTACTTTAGGCAAATGAATCTATGTTGATTTCTTAAAACAGATAACACGATTAGAAATCTGAAAATAAATGGTTTCAGTTTATGAATTTTCTAATATATATTACAAGCAAATACAGTGGCCTGTTTTTATTACAAGAGTGTTTTCTTGGGATTTTATTTAAATATAGCTTGTTAGCTCTTGCTCAGATGTATGGACTTAAACCTTCACACTGCTACCATGACTCATTTTATGAGTGGGCTGGTAGCACGCAGGGGCCCTGAAGCAGCAGCATCTATACATCAATTTCAGGCTTTTTTCTTGTTCTAGACAGAGCTCTCAAATCAGTTCCCTTAGGAAAATTAAGAAAGGATTTCATCAGTGCAATAGATAGAAGCCATTTGCAAAAAGTTCAGAGTCTTTCCTACAAGCTGGCATTATTTAAATTCAACATCCTCCTGCATATCCCTCAGAACAAAAAAGTTTAAATCTGTGAAAATGCAATAACAGGATTTGGAAAGACTGAATAAGTAATGCACAAATGAAACTCATAATAAGGAGCATAAATCTGGATGCATTTGCAGGATAAAGTCTGGCAACAGGTCCAGGCAGAAAGAAGCACAGTATAAAAGACAGAGGATGAAACCAGAAACAGTGTTATGACAGCATGAGACTCTTGGTCTTAGGATCATAGGTTTGAGCCCCATGTTGGGCAAAAGATTCCTGCATTGCAAGGGTTGGTCTAGATGACCCTTGTGGTGCCTTCCAACTCTACAATTCTATGATAGCTCAAGCTGTTGAGTAAAAGGAATTGAAGTGTAAGCATGATGAACTCAAGCTTGAGCGTCTGCACCACAAGAGTGAATTGAAAATTCCATGTCAAATAAAATACTTTAAGCAGAAGGATTACCCACAGGATAAAATGGGAGCCCAGGATGATACGACATGAGCACTTCCATTTTAGGAAAGGATGCATGTAGAGATCCAAGCTCTGCCTAGAGAATAAGGTAAAGATAAGATTGTAAAGGCTTTGACAACGTGACATCTAATAATTTGGAAGAAGGTGGCAAGTTCCTGACACATTTGGTTTTCTTCTCCAGAACAGCCTTGAAGCAGATATTGTTCTAAAGTGATGAAACCACTCTACTAATCTCAAAGAACAGCAGAATATTCATTCAACTAGTACAGAAGATGAAATGCTACATAGAAGCTTCTGTATAAGGTTTGTTTTTTAAAATTTAAAAATACTAAATGTAAAATATGCTTTTCAGAACTGAGACTTCCTCTAATCTCTTTATAGCTGAAAACAAGTATTTTTTGATAGACTTTTTTTGAGTCCTATCTTTTAGTTAAGAGTGCCCTCTGGTGAAGAGATGAAAAGTCAGGGAAAGATAATCTTAAAATAAATTAGCAAAGAATGGTTCAGCAAAATCTAGATTTTTTGTTGTTGTTGCATTCATGTGTGAAAGTATTTTAGGCAACCCCCCCCATGAAGTCCCTAAACAGCCTATATTATGGTCTGTTTTACAGATGCTCTTGCCTCATGCCTATAGCTTGGCATGCATTTGAGGTGGGTGCCAAAAAGCAATAAGTGAGCAAATCCATTAGGTTTGTACATAGTACCAAATCATAGTTAGAACAAGTTATGTGAGCAAAACCAGGGTTTCATATCATGTTTTGCTGCTGGAAAACAAATTATGGTTAGATAACTGGAACTGGTTCGGTCATTCACATATTCATTTGCTGTAAGAGCACTAGTACCTTTCTTTTCTTGTCCCACAACAAAAATCAAGCACCCTATCCACCCAGGATATATGGAATTTAGCTCCAAATCTGTGCATTTGCCAGAATAGGCATTGCCAGTCTCACTCATGCTTACTTTACACAAAAAATGACACCTAAGATTCCACAGTCCTAATTGCAGTGTAAGACTCCAGCCAGTGTCAGTTGCAGTTCTCAGTGGAGCTTCTTGCATCCCAAAGATGCATGTACTCTCAAGAGTGCAACAACGAAAGAACAGCCCTAACCCTCAAATGTCTGTATACAGTGCTCTATTTTCTTTATTATTCTAAGGGTACATCAACTTGGGGTTTGCCATCACCTAACAGCAGCTTGAGGAATGAGTATGCTGTGAGTTATTGCAGCCCTACTGAAACTCCTGCCTACCATTTCTTCATTGCAAAATGTTAACACATATTAGTTGGTGCTTTAGTGTCCAGTAATTTACTGGGGCACTAAATCAGTAGTCATCTTATCAATAGTCAAAGGCCCATCACATTCCGTTTTTCTACATTGTGCAACTTTATATGACAATGCCACCACCTGCTGACAGTTATATGAGCTGATTCTTGGAGTGTCCTATGCTCATTCCATGGACCACTAGTATGAAGCCCTGCTGTGTACCATGGCTCAGACACAGCAGTTGTTTGTCAAATGTTTTTAACAAGCATTTATATTTGCTGGCACACAGCCAGTAAGTTGCAGCATTGTGCCCTGAAAGTATCTCTTCATTCTCCCCAGGAGAAAGATTTGCCACTGCAAAAAAGCACTCAAAATTAAATAAACGAAGAAACCATATAGGAAGGCCAAGTGAAACGCACAGGAAATGTAGAAACAGATGTAGTAAAGATGAAGAGCAAGGACAAAAAATGGGTTTGGATTAAATGTAGAAGGCTGAAACAGAATAATTGAAACAGAAAAAGAACAGATATTAGTGAAATTATGACCCCCAGTCTTTAAAAAAAAATGTACCTCAGTGACTCAACACGACATCAGTTTTGTAAGGTTTCTGTGTCACTTTCAGTACCACTATAATCAGAATAATCACATTCATCATCTGAATCATCAGCAGTGGGAAATGTGTGAAATATTACTCTCTCCTGTCCAGGAGCACTCTCTAGAAATTTTGTGAGAATCACCTGACCAGATTCAGACAAAATTACTCTGTAGAGACCCTTTTCATAACCCACAAAAATGCCTCTAGCATTCTTCACCCCATCTGGAGTTTCAGTCCTGATTTGAGACCCAAAAACCTTAAAATGCGCTACAGAAGGTTTTCTTTGGAATAGCCTCTCAAAAGGAGAACATTCCATACCTTTTGAAACCTTTCTCACCCAAGAGTAACAAAAACATGATAAAGATTCAGCCCAAAACTCATGTGGCAAGTATGAACTCAGCAGTTGTGCCTGCATGCCATTCTGCAACTCTCTGTTCACTTTTACACAGACAGTTTTGTTCCATGCAGCCTCTGAAACAGCAACCTTGTGCTCTATCCCTTGCTTCTCAAGAAAATCCTGAAAATCCTGTGAAAGAAAAATTGGCTTCTCATCTGTGAAAAGAAAATCAATGTTAGCATCATGAATATTCTTATCCTTATCACAAAACTCCTTAAACCTTTCTAAGGTTTCTCTGGGATTCTGCAAAATGTAAATCCATACATATTGAGAAAAATGATCTACAAATACAAGATAGTACTTTGCATTGCCTCTAGATGGTGCTAAAGGACCAATCACATCAGCATACACTCGCTGAAAAACTTTGTTAACTTTGTTAATCTTTCCTCTCGTGTCTTCTTTCGAGATACCTGCAAGAGAAAGCATTTTAGATTCACATGCTGTACACATTTTATAATCACTTTCATCAAATGTTAACAGATACAGTCCGTCTTTCTCTCTGGCAGAAAGATACAGCTCTCCATCTTTGTAGATTTTGCAGCTTTCCTCATCATAGGACAATACCAGTTTCTTCTTGGCGATTTGAGAAACACTCAGCAGATTGTACTTTAAATCAGGAACAAAATAAACATTGTTTATAGTCAAGTTCAGGCTTTCTAGATACACAGTTCTGATCCCGGTTGCTTCCATTTCCTGACCATTGGCCAGTTTCACAGTGAAGTGTTGCTTCTCAAACGTAGAAAACAGTTCTCGGCGTGATGCCATGTGTTGCATGCATCCTGTGTCTACAATAAATGAGTTCTCCACGGATGATGTGGCTTTTAGGGACATCAAAGCCATATCTGGTTTTGCCTGGGACTGGGTACGACCTTTGCTTGAAGCCTCAAGCTTTATAGAGCTCCCTCTAGCTCCTTTCTCCTGATGTGGTGTCTCCTGACGAACAGCGTTCTGAGCTACAGCTTTCTCCTCTGTAGCAATAGTAGTGGGGGTGCTTGATTTCTGAGCTTCACTCCCCCCACCAGAAACAGCCATTGCAGCAAGAACAGGATCATCAACAGCAGCAACATTCTCTTCACTTCCCTGTTGTGGCTCAAAGCTCCTCCCAGCTTTCGATGAGCTCTCAAGAATTTGGCTAGCTTCATCTTGGCTCTCCCCCTTTGGCACAACCAATTCTCAGTCCTTGCTTCCCACCCCAGCTTCACAAGCTTTTCGGAGTGATTCCCAAGCGACCCTTGGTTCTTCTGCACCCTTTAGGACTGGCTCAAGATAAGTGTCCACATTTTCTGCCAAAATTCTTAACACACGCTGTTTCAATTCACTTTGTGCTTGTACAGCAAAAGGCTGTGGGGTCTGGAGTAAGTGCCAAAGCTGCTCTTCCACCAGCAGAAATTCCATTGCAAAAGACCATTCTAGCCAGTTTTGGCTATTCAGTTTCTGAGAGAACAGAGCCATCTTTAATCCCAAGCTGCAGCTGCAGCTACAAGCTGGAAAATCCAAAAGTCTATATCTTGTTTACTAGCTGCTTTGCACCTGGCAGTCAACCCAGCTGCCTGGAATTTTCCCTTTCCGAGAATCTGTAAACAATAAGCCTTCACTGCAATCCAACAGCTCTTTGCTTGGAAAGTCCCTTTCCAACAGTTTGTTTACAACAAGCGTCGCTGAAAAACCCAGCCTTGCTTTCGCTTTTGAAGCTTCTTTTCTCTCTTTACTCTTTAAGCTAACCAGCTCATAAATTTAGCTCAAAAAGTACTCACGATTCCGTCTCCAAGCAACGGCAGCTCTTATCAGCTCTGGAATGCGAAGCATTTGGCTGCTCTCCGCTCTGTTTTATCCAAAACAGGAGCTTTTTTCTCCGTGAACCGAAGACTTTTCAATTCGCGTTCAGCATCCAGCCATAAATTAGCATCGCAGAGGAACATGGATCGTTGCTTATCAGCAAAAAAAAAGGCTCCCACCTGGTGCTCAGCCGTCCGCCGGGCAATCACTTGTTGTGGCAACCATCTGACTCTGCTACCACTTGTCAGTTTGCAAGCCCCCTCCACAGAGGCTGGCCCCTCTCACTGTCCTCGGAGCTTGCATACCGGTAACCTCCTATGGCTGATATCCAGGCAGACCAGGGAGATTTTGATAGGCGACATTTTCCCAAGCGTGGGTAAAATGCACAACCCCCTCCTCCTGCACAACCCCCTCCTCCTGCTTCTTCCCTAGCAGGGAAAAGGAGACAGACAGAAACGTCTATTTACATTCTTTTATTTCTGTCTACAGCACTAGAGAAAAACACGTCCTTTCAGTTCAGTTCTTCTAGCACGTCTTACAAACTTCCTGTACATGCGCACACGGAAGGTTTCAAATTACACTCTTCACAGAGACTTTTCCAGCCTGTGAACTTCCTGGGAAATTCTTCTTTCCCACAGATAGGCACATCATGTGATGTCAACAATCTGGCTGTCTGCAGCTGTGATGTTTCCATATACTGACAGTGTTTTTGTCTATATACAACTAACAGAAAATTAATTTTATGAAAGAAGGCAGAACTGTGAAATAATAATGGTAGAAAATATAGAAAAATCCAGTTTGAATTTAAAATATTTAATACAAAAAGTTTGAATTAAACAGTGGTGGTACATAGCCTTGATCCTCTGTCATGTTCAGATTCCACATTGGTAATCTGCAGAATTCCTTTTGGCAATGTTTTGTTCATCTGTTACACTACCAGATGGGGGGCAGGGGATGGCAGGTTGGCAAATAGCTGAAAAGGTGACAGCAGGGAGGTAGCTTTTTCCTTTTGTCCTTTGAGAATGATAGAAACACAAAGGCACACAATGGATTAAGAAAAATATCAAAACAAAACTGCTTTTATTCACCTTGCTGCAGGCAAAATGACGAACATGAGGAGAGATTTAGCTAAAATGAAAAAAGGCAAAAGATCAACTGGCCCCATTTAATCATTGAAATACAAAGATCCTCAGAACTACTCCAGTAATTCTCAGCAGCCTTACTCTTGTTATCAGGTGAACCATGAATTTCTGGTAGTTCCCTGCAGCAATAGTGAATTTAGTACAGAGATGATAACGCTGAAAGCTCATTTCTCAAACATATTGCTCCTTGTATTCCAACGCTAGTATATACAATATCAAGAATGCAAAGTACTGTAGTGCTTTGTTTATAACAAAGTGAATCCTGTGATTCCTTCTAACAGATAAAGTATCTTTTATCGCTAGGGCAGAGGAGAAAACATGGGGAAAGGCCATCAGTAATTATTAAAGGTAGTTTTCAGGCATATGGCTGATTTTCTTTGAGTCTAGCTACACATTACATACAAGGTTACCCTAATTCAGCTCTCCAAATCAGAGGAATCTTTTTTGCATATTACCGTATTTTTTGCTCTATAAGACTCACTTTTTCCCTCCAAAAAAGTAAGGGGAAATGTGTGTGCGTCTTATGGAGCGAATGCAGGCTGCGCAGCTATCCCAGAAGCCAAAACAGCAAGAGGGATTGCTGCTTTCACTGCACAGCGATCCCTCTTGCTGTTCTGGCTTGTGAGATTCAGAATATTTTTTTCCTTGTTTTCCTCCTCCAAAAACTAGGTGCGTCTTGTGGTCTGGTGCGTCTTATAGAGCGAAAAATACGGTACCTCTCAAAAGCAGGGGATCCAAAAATAGCCCAGTGAGGACTAAGTATTCTTAGAGGGCACAGAATGCTGACTGAAGGTGGGGACAGAAAACTATAGGGTCTCAAACAGAAGCACTCCAGGCTCCTACACTTTGTTGCAGGTTTCTCTTCCACTTTTTAAGTGGAGGGGCTGAAATGCATTTTTCCCCATGGACCACCTTTAATTTGATAACTCTCAGCATCAAATTAAAGTCAGTTGGTTTAAATATTGGCTAGTTTACTCACAATCCACTGAGATGAGGAAAAGCTAGTTAAGAGTTGTAACTAATGTTTGCAAGCAGAGACAGGGAACAGAAGGCGTTTGTGCAAGGAAAGTGCTTGTTTTTAACACAGAGGCAGAGTGAAAACCCATACGGTATTTGTATTCTTTGTTTGTGCAACAAGAGGATTGTAGACACATACCTTATATAGAAAATCCTGCTCAGAGGGAAACTGTTCCTGAATTATAAGTGTGTGAGAAGACAAGACACTGCAGTTTTTCAGTGGTAAAGGTACCCTGCACATTCTTCGACCCTAGTATTGAAAATCAACAGCTGAACTCAGTCATCTGACCCTATACCTTTAAAGCACGTTCAAAATACAGTGGTGCCTCGCAAGACGAAAAGAATCCGTTCCGCGAGTCTCTTCGTCTTGCGGGTTTTTTCGTCTTGCGAAGCAAGCCCATTAGCGGATTAGCGCTACAGTATTAGCGGGCTTAGCGGATCAGCTGATAAGCGGCTTAACGATCAGCTGATAAGCGGCTTAACGATCAGCTGATAAGCGGCTTAACGATTAGCTGATAAGCGGCTTAGCGATTAGCTGTTAAGCGGCTTAGCCGATCAGCTGATAAGCGGTTTAGCGGCTTGGGGAAAAGGGGGGGGGGGAGGAAAAAAACCCCGCAGGAACTCGCAAGACATTTTCGTCTTGCGAAGCAAGCACATAGGAAATTCGTTTTGCGAAGCACCTCCAAAACGGAAAACCCTTTCGTCTAGCGGGTTTTCCGTTTTGCAAGGCATTCGTCTTGCGGGGCACCACTGTAAAGTTTTCCCTCAAAGAATTCTGGGCACTGTAGTTTGTTAATGGTTGTTGAGAACTATAACCCGGAGTTGGGAGATGCATGTACTCGGAGAAATTTTTGTATACATTACCATAAATAGGAAAGGGGAAACAGGCAAGGAAAGAGAACCCTCTTGCTCTATCCACCTACTCCTTGCTGTGTGGAGGGAGCTATGGGACCTAAGTTCAGACCATGGTAGGATGAATGAGAGTGGGAAATGCTGGGCCCCAAATATTATTTGGAGCCCCAAATTCAGTGCCTCAAGCCCACCACATTACAGTGGTACCTCGGGTTACATATGCTTCAGGTTACAGACTCCTCTAACCCAGAAATAGTACCTCGGGTTAAGAACTTTGCTTCAGGATGAGAACAGAAATCGTGCTCCGGCGGTGTGGCGGCAGCAGGAGGCCCCATTAACTAAAGTGGTGCTTCAGGTTAAGAACAGTTTCAGGTTAAGAACGGACCTCTGGAACGAATTAAGTACTTAACCCGAGGTACCACTGTACTTGAAAGGAAGAAGGGGAAACAGCAAGTGGCAACTTAATAGAATGTATTACATTCTTGAGCCAGGACTTACCTAATAGGAAAGGGGAGGGGAAAGAGGAACAGCTTGGGTAGGTGTGATTTAAAGTGTTCCTAAGCAACAGAAGAGAATACAGTGGATGGAGTTAGACATAGCGAAGCATTGTGAAGCTCTCAGACGTGTATGGCTTCACAATCCTGGGATACGTCCATAGGCCTCATTTACACACCCTGGCAGTGCTACTGCTGAATAAATGTTCTGGGGGAGGGGAGAAAGCAACAACTGCTCTTTATTCCATGGTGGTGGTCTCTGAATGTTTCCTTTTTACTCCCTCTGGGTAATAAAGGGCTATGTATGTAATAAAGGTTTACTCCCTCTAGGTGTAATTTTCTATTCTTTCTCTTTCTTCAGATCTCTTCAAAACCACACTATGGCTGCTCCAAAAGAGCAAAAAGGGCTGCGTACCTGGCATTCCATAGGGGTTTTACACAAGAATAAGGAGGGAAAGCTTGTGGCTGGTCTGGGTGTATGTGTGTGTGTGTGAGAGAGAGAGGGGGGGCGCTGGCTATATCCTGGAAGGAAAAATAATTGATTTGTTGTGTGAATAAAAGCAAATGTTTGTTTTCTCTTGTTCTAGTTTTCTGATAATGGAGGTGACGTAAGTGTTTAATGTCTAAAGGGAGAAGTGTTGCGTTTTTAATTCACATGGGAGCTATGCTTAATTCTGCAAGCCCAGGCTCCCAATTCAGCATTGGGAAGCTGTGATTATTTAGTGATTAGTAGAAAGCTTATGACTAAAGCATTGCTATTTAATATTTCTGCTTAAAAATACTGTGCTAAGAATTCATCAACTAATCTTAAGCTAGTCACCCATTACTGTGCCTTGATGTTTCTTAGTTGTAAAGTTAGGCTGGCATCTTTGGAACAGAATAAATTTGAAGTGGACACGATTGGCTCTGAAATGAGCGAAGCCATTTCCGCAAAAATCAGGAATTGGCTCCTTTGTGAACCAATAGAAATTTGACAGCTTGAAGCAAGATAATTGTTTCCTTCCCGCTTCATTTATGCTCATGTCTGAGTTAGGCTAAGAAATGGTGACCAGTCCAAGGTCACATGGTCAGTTTCCTAGCTGAGTAGGAATTCAGTGCAAATGCAGTTTCTGTAGTTTCTTTAAGTTCAACTTAACAAATCATAAAGTACTTGAGACAAAATGAGTTACTATTTGTTTTTCAGTGGCTAGAAATTGTTAATACAATCAGATGAAAAACACTAGTGCAGACAAGCATATTTTGAATGTGAAGGTCAGTCTTCTCCACAATGATAAGGTGCATTTATATTATATTATAGGCTTGATTATTGTAACTCACTCTATGTGGGGCTGCCCTTGAAACTGACCCAGAAACTCCAGCGGGTGCAGAATGCCTTGGCGAGACTCCTCACGGGTTCCTTGCCGTGGGAGCACATTCGTCCAGTGCTATACCAGCTGCACTGGCTCCCAGTGGAGTACAGGATCAGGTTTAAGGTACTGGTTTTAACCTTTAAAGCCCTATACAGCCTAGGACCCTCGTACCTACGGGACTGCCTCTCCTGGTATGCCCCACGGAGGACCTTAAGGTCTGCAAATAATAACACCCTGAAGAGCCCAGGCCCCAGGGACATTAGACTGGCCTTGACCAGAGCCAGGGCCTTTTCGGCCATGGCCCCAGCCTGGTGGAATGCTCTATCACAAGAGACCAGGGCCCTGCGATATTTGACATCTTTCCGCAGGGCCTGCAAGACAGAGCTGTTCCACCAGGCCTTTGGTCAGGGTTCAATCTGATTTTTTTCTTTCTGTATAAGAGGCTTCCTAGCCCGCTCACAGGTCCTTTATAAGACCAGTGGTAACAGTTGGCCCTGGGGAATATTAACCACTCTCAATTTTACATGTGGACTGCCACCTGTCCAGATTTTAATATGCTCTGAACTAATTTTAAGATGTATTTTAATTAATTGATTGCCTGTTTTTATGTTTTTATGTTCTTTGTATACTGTGTTAGTTTTATGATGTTAACCGCCCTGAGCCCGGCTCCAGCCGGGGTAGAAATAATTTCTTTATTATTATTATTATTATTATTTAAATTTGAATCTGTATGTAGAAATTGCCATATTTAAATTAGTGTCCTTTTTTGTTCTCTTTTGGCTGATGTATAAACAACCATCCTAAGGGAAAAAGTAAAGTCCCTGACAGCACCTTCATAGATGAAAGGAAACTAATAATGAGTAAGCTTGAAATAACCCTCAATAGTCCACAGCTGGCCATAAAGTCCAAATGACAGAAAGAGCAAGCTGTAAACTAAATTCAACATTTATTTATTCAAAATGTTCCCGGCTATCTTCAGTTCTTCAGGCAGCTTGCAATATATTATTTTTTAAAAATATGTAAAGCAAACATCAGTACAGAAACACAACACAATTTTATCAGGTGCAAAATAGCAGCCTACATGATTTGCCACTCTTAACAGTGTTTAAGTGCTTTGGACCTGTCCCCCAGGCCAAAACCAAGTGGCAGCTGACTAGCTTGTCTTTGGTCGCACATAATACCACAGTTTTTCAGAAGCATTTAGTACTTGAATTATTTAGTGGGCAGAGGGGAGTTAATAGGGCCCATGATGAAATTCACAAGCTCCACCCCTTACTTTCAATTTTAGCCAAATCATGCCCCCATAGCCTTAAAAGGCTTCTAAAAGGTAAGAGGGGCAGGGTCCTTTCAGTGCCATGGTTAAGCGGCATTTGGGTTTCTGGTGAAAGCTCAAGTCCCACATACATGTTTAATAAAGGCTTACAAAAAAGCTTGTCTCACTTGAAGAAATAGCCTCAAAGTGGTTCTGAAAATGCTTTTTAAAAATCTTTCTCCTATTTTGAAACATTAAATTTTCCAATGATTGGGGTGCCCCCTTGAGTATTCTATGTTTATTACAGCTTCATGATAACTGGTGGTGTTTACCTGAAGCTTTGAAAAGTATGCTAATAGAACACCAATATAAACTAATAATATTGCAGCATTTTGAATAATACATGAAAAGGGAATAGTGGGAGGAGTGATTGAAGTTAAATATATTGTATACCTAATGTTGTGTTTAAAATAAAGAAAACATTTATTCTGAAGAAAGTTGTGGGAGATACAATTCAAATTTACATTTAATTTGCATCCCCACATCTCAATCTATTTCAATCTGGTTTCAGGCCCTGTTTTAGCACTGAAAGCGGCTTCATTGTTCAGATTAATTACCTCTTTTTGAAAAGAGACTGGGGGAATACAGCCCCCTTGGTTCTCCTTGGTCTCACAGCAGCTTTTGACAGCATTGACCATGGTGTCCTTCTGGAACAGTGTTTTTCTACCTTGGGTCCCCAGATGTTGTTGGACTACAACTCCCATCATCCCTGAGCTCTGGCCTTGCAAGATAGGGATGATGGAAGTTGTAGTCCCAAAACATCTGGGGATTGAGAAAGGCTGTTGGAACAATTTAGGGTGAGAGTAGGAGATACTGTATTATGGTTGAAATTTTAAAATGTGATGATAAGTCATTGTTTTCAATGCTTTTAGATTTAATATTCTTAAACATAGTTAGCTGTTTTTAATTGCTTTGAAATGATTTAGATGTGTTTTAAATCTTCTAATTAAAAATCTTTAATCTTCTAATTGGGGTGTTCCTTCTGGGGTGGTTTGTCTACCTTTGGTCTGCACCCAGAACTCAGCTCTCAAACCCTGGGAAACAGCTTTGACTGGCTGGCTAAACCAGTTGAAGGTAGCCAATGGGTTTTAAACCTTTGGTGAAGTAGGGACTTTCCCTTCATGCAAAGACAGGCTCCAGTGGATTGAGAGGACAAGACCAGTAGTGGGTCCAATGGACAGGAAGGCAGTTTCTGCATGTGCTTTAGAGGGAAGTGGGAAGCAGATGGGGTTTGTCAACCTGGGAAAGTAGGCTGTCTAGGAAAAGGAAAACTCTTCTAAGCCTCCATTGCCTTGCAGGATATCTTTAGGAAAAGAAAAGGCTAAGGAGTAAATCCTATACAAATCTGGATTGGAGTCCCTAAGATGGTTGGATGGCACCTTATATGCTGCAGTCCAGCAACTCCTACAGCCAAGTTGGTGCCAAACGTATTGCTCTGCTTTACTTTGAACCACATCAGTGAGGCCGAGAGATGGGTCTTGCTGTCTGGGCAGCCCAGGACCTTCATACACAGTGCCCAGGCTTGTACACTGTGGAAACATACTTTGGTGCTGATAATGTAGCAGTTTGGCTTTCCCGATGCACACTCCATTGTCTCTTGAGACAGACAGATACCAACAACAATCTTCTAATTGTATTGGTTTAACATTTTATTGTTTGTTGCCTGAGGCTTCCTTTGAAAGGAAGGATGGGACAGAAAATTAATTAATTAATCTTAAAGTTAAATCCAATGAGATTGCTAACAAAAACCCATCATTACTGCACCACCTGCAGCATCCAGGGTACGTAGACGTCATACCCAGTTTCTAGCAGTGGATCCCTGTTGCAAAATTCTAACTCTTCATTAAAGGACACACTAGGTATATCACATGTAAATGAAGAAAGGTGTACCAGGCCATCTCATGATCACCTACCTGGGTGATCATTTTAACTCAATCCCACTCCCATTGATATTCAATCAAGCACCAGGCCACTCTTGCTTCAGAGTAGACCAGGTGGGTCCTTTGTTCTCAGAACCTGTGAGCCCAGATCATCACAGTATCCTCATAAGGACTTTTCCTAACTTTCTATGCTTAGGTTCCTACCCCGTCCCCCGTAACTTACTTCTTCTAGGCTTGCCACGGTGCACTATTAACAAAGAAATAACTACAACTTCTATATTCACCGCAGCGGCCTTTCCTTTGGTCATCACTTCCTACTTGGCCTGTAGGAAATTATCTGCAGGGTTGAGGTAGAGGGAGCCATCCAGTAGCAGATGGGACAGTGAAACTCCACCTCTTTCCTGGCCTTCCTTCAGCTAAGTTGCTGCTGCATACTAAGGAGGGGCAAGGCATTGACAAGATTGACATGGGGCAAACACGTTGATACAAGCACCAGATTGGCTGCAGCACTGTGTTTGCACTACATTGATCTCGCCATCAGCTCTCCCTCTGCATCCCAGTATGCAGCAGTGACTCAGCTGGAGAAAGGTCAGGGAAGTAGTGCAGCTCCATCACCTTATCCACTATTGAAGTCATCCTCTTCTTTGCCTGTTAAGGTCTGACTGTGCTCTTATGGCAAGCACCAAATTCTATGAGGCTTTTCCTGCAGTCTCCTCTTCATCTACAGCCTGACCTTGCAGTCTGCCCCCCTGCAAGGACATATGAAGGTATAACACCATTAGTGCTGCCTCCTTCAGGCATGTTGCAAATGGGCAAAAATCTTTTCTCATTCAAATTGAAGGCAGGAAGCATTCAAGTTAGATTTGGCTTCAATCAGATTTTGCTATACGATAATTACGTATATGGTTTCATGTCAGTGTCATAAATTCAGAGGTTGGGCAATGCTTTCTGCCCTCCCTCTGAATTGCCTTCATGAAGACATCACATAGTCATGATTGCCATATCTTAATCACATTCATGGCATGTTCCCAGATTGGCTGGGATCACAGTTTTCTGTGATTTAAAAGAAGACCCTATTAGAAAATAGCACCATAGCAATTTCCAGTCAAAGTGGTGCACTGGTGCAAAAACCTTTTTTTTCTTCAGAGAAAATAGCCTCCCGGCTTCCCCCAGCCCTGCTTTTAATACCAGCCCGGGGGGGGGGGGGCTGAGTAGCCATTCACATGAGATAAAAAAAAAGAGAAAATAAGTGGCCAACATTAATGATGATACAACATTGCTCAAAGTTTGTTGGGGGGTTTTAAGCTTTATGTGACTTTCAACTTTTTCTTGCCATTACTATATTTATGGAGATATGGCTTTCTAACATAAGAGCAAGCTTTTATTGCTGTTAGTATGACAGCATTCATGCTATGCTTTCATTCCCCCTTTTCTCAGTCCCATCCTCCACATTACTTTTTATAGCGATCAATACCTTGAGTCTGGCAAGGAATCTCTCAGGGCTTTCAGACTTCTGCTTTTCTCAGTTAATGGTCAAAGCTCCATTTCAGTCTAACACAATGTTCTCCCCCAACAGTCCACTGAGGTAACTAATGTAATCCGGAGATGACAGATAATAAACTTTGCAATGAGATCTGTTCCATAGGAAATAATATAAGAAGAAAACACTGTATTCAAGAAATCCCAAATTCTCCTATGTCTATAATTTTCCCTTATTCAGTATATTGCTGAAATTCACTGCAGTATATGACTCGCATATTCTATTATTTAAAACCTACTACATCATTTGTATAGAACAGTGGGTAACCCTATAAATCCCTAACAGCCTGTGACATAGAAGAGATAGCGGAAGAATGATTGATAGCAAGAGAGTGGAAATAAATTAATAAATGGAATGTTGGGCAGCATTAACATGAGGGACAGGTAGAGAGTGTCATCTGAAGAATGACAGAGTGGGGAAACTGTGGCTGTGAGAAGCAGAGGGAAGTTAAAAGAAAATGAAATGAGAGAGATAATGACAGTATATGTAGAAGTGTTAGGATAGCTGTTATGAAACATGGGATAATCGATAATGTTAAATTAGGAAATAAGAACACTAAACTCTGCATACAATCTTCTTCTGCATGTCCCTTCTATATATTTTTATATTTTAAGCGACTGTTCTGTTCTGGGTGGATTCTAGGGTCAGTGTGTCACACCGCAGGTGTCTTGTACTCGAGTAACACTATAAAGGGAAAATTCAACAGTTCTCTACAAGTCTATAGATGTTGACAGCAGGTAATTTGAAGGACATCTGGAATCAGTGGAGTAGGCCCTTTTGAGTAACCCCAGGGATATCACAATAGGTTTCAGAGTGTTGGACTTGGTAGCTGGGATGCTGCATACAACCAGGTTTTATGCCAGCACAACTACTGCAGTGTTCTTCTGTCCCTGGAAAGGCTGGCAAGAATACGCTTCTCAAAATCCTTACTGGTGATTGAAGCTGCACATGCCAGCTTTCATAGCTCTGACAAAATTACAGTGGCTCATAAGTTGTCGCCTAAAGGGCAGTGCTCAAATTACTAGGATAAAGATAGAGACCTTTAGTCAAATTGTAAGCCCCTGTAGCCTTCTATAGTTGTGGCAGCTTATCACAAAAAGATAAGAAGGTCCCCTGTAATTCAAGCCCTGGTTGCTAAAGAGGTAAGTTGCTTATAAAGAATTTGAAAATTGATCAGAATTAAAAAGAATGTTATCAGTGACTTCAACTTACAAGGTTTCCCCGCAAGGCAAAAGGTCTCATATGTCTCATATACCACTCGGAAGGGATAGTACTATTCTGGGGCTTGCTATGCAGACCCAGACAGTCATTATTGTCAGGTAAAATGCACTAATTAGGCTCCTGTGGGATTTGGATTCCAGAGTGTTGTGCACTAAATAGCCACAAAGTACGGCTTATATTTCTTCTTTCATTTTGCAATACAATAAGCACCAAATAAAGTGTGTAAATAACTCTCCGTGAAAGATGGGGAGAGTGCAATGATAGAAGAGACTGAAAGCCACAGTTTTGTGCACCTGTCTGGGCTAGGTGTGGCCAGCTGTTACTGTCATCCTTGCGTCTGATCCAAATGCAGAAATAGTCAGTGGCAGGACAACAGCCCTTGTAGATGAGGCTCTGCAACAGGCCAAACCAGTGTATGGGAGGTTGATGTGGTAGAAGGTTTTGTAGTAATCACAAGCACTTTAAATTGTGTTTTGATGCAAACAAGTCATTGGAACACTTTAAGCTCTGGCAAGAAGTTCTTCCAATGCCAGGTTCCAGTTAGTTCCCTTGCAGGTTCTGGACAATCCCAGTGCAGTACATTGAAGTAGTCTTGCCTGAAGGTTACCAAAACATGGGTAACTGCTTAGCCAAGATGTCTATCCTTCAGCTGTCAAACTTAACTGGTAGCATTCTCTGACAATAAGACTACTTGGTTGTCTAGTAACAAAACTGGATCAATGAGCTGCATTCCTCTAAGCACCTTGTACACATCCTCAGGCCAAAATAACTGACATTCTTCTCTCAATCCACATTTACATGATAGTCTAGACATATCTGTAGACAGAAGTGCTGAATTAGTGGAGTCCAAGTTGAGGCAGATACCAGTGACCTTTATCCTCAAAGTTCTTAGCAGAGTGGCCTCTGAGAGTTCCTTATCATCATCCTATAGGCAAGCTGAAGTAGATCCAAGACCCTGAGGGTACAAAGCTTGCAGAGCAGTATTGCTTCTTCACTGCCATCACCACTACAGAGAAAGCTCAATAATAAACTCTTAATTATATTTAGTCAGATTCACCAGTAAATGTCTTTCACTTTCATTATCCTACCCTGCTTCTAGCTCCCTAGACCTGAAATGGCAGAATGGACACAACTGAAGGAGTGCCAGTCTTTTTATTAGTTCTAAGTACTGTATGAACTTGTCAGCTAACACCTCAAAGCTTGAAGTGCCATGGCACTTGTACATTCTTGGTTGACAACCCTTTTTATAAGCCTTCCAAGGAAGGATTGTGGGACAAAGCATCTAGAAAAAAATCAACTGTCCTTTCTCTGCAACAAGTTGAAGAAAAGTCTTGTCTCTTTCATTGAAAGTGTTTAATGTTTAACAATTCTAAATTCTAAATCTGAATTTAGATTAAAAACATATCCTAGGAGATTTTTGTGCAACAAAAGCATTTTTCAGACACGTGCAAACATTTACAAATCTAAATTGAAAAGGTGTTAACAGAAACACAACAAAAATAATTTACTGAGGGGTAAGTAACCATTAATCATGAAGGTATAAATAACACAGTTTGATGTGTGTGCCATTTCACATTAGCTGGAAATGAATGGTTCATGTGTGCTTATGCATGTAAAATCTGATGGTGACTCAGCTGAAAGTCTGTTTGCTTTTGTGTCAAGGTCTGTATGTGAAGTCAATTTGAGAAGAAAACCTAACACCATGAGCTCTGTCTGTAAAAGTTTAAAAGGCAAGAGAACTACATAATCAAAGTAGAGAAAAACAGGAAGTCTCAAAACTGGCAGATTAAGAATAATTTGTAGTGCCCTTAAAAACTAATTTCAGGAGATTTTACTTAATCATAGATTTAAACATTTATATACCACTTTTCTTCATAAAATCAACTCAAAAAGTTGATAAACACATTTAAAATAAATCAAGAGTATGATAAAATAATTCAGCATAAAAACAGGGAGACAAAACTATAACCGACAGTAAAAGCTCAGTGAAACAGAAAGGTCTAAGCAGCTCACCTGAAGTTTATTTGTGCAAGATGTCAGTATGAGATGAACCAAACTACCGTAAGTGTAACAGTGACAGTCCTGTGAATTTAAACACTGAACTGACCCAATAACTTACAAATGTTTCATTTTAACACAGGCTTCCTAAACCTCGGCTCTCCAGATGTTTTTGGCCTACAACTCCCATGAACCCTAGCTAGCAGGGCCAGTGGACAGGGATGATGGGAATTGAACTCTCGAAACATCTGGGGGGCCGAGGTTGAGGAAGCCTGTTTTAACAGAAAAGGGACTGCATGTACAAAGAGTACTAAATCCTTACCCCCTCTTCCTCCTCATATCGCCTTTATCCAGCTGCTTTTCTTCCCAGCCAAACTCCAAAGCTAGGTGAACTTAGCTGGGCAAAAACCACTTGGGCGTGGGGTGAGTTCATCATTCCTTATCAGTATGCTTCTTGTGCTATTAAAATCACATACAAGTCATTTAGCAGAGTACCTATGCATTTTGCCTTGTAACTTTCTTTCTAGAAGAACTAGACTTTAAAAAAAAGAAAAGAAAGAAATCTCAGAGTCTGAGATCTCTTCTGGTTGTGGATGTGGTACATCTGTACCTCTTGTCCTGCCTCTAAGTGTTCCTGCATATACATGCTGTCTTTCTTGTGAGTGAGGAATTCTGAATTTACATGGAACTACAATAATCATAGGGATGGGGGTGGCGCTGTGGGTTAAACCACAGAGCCTAGGACTTGTCCATCAGAAGGTCGGCGGTTTGAATCCCCGTGACGGGGTGGGCTCCCGTTGCTCAATCCCTGCTCCTGCCAACCTAGCAGTTCGAAAGCACGTCAAAGTTCAAGTACATAAATAGGTACTGCTCCGGCGGGAAGGTAAACGGCATTTCCATGCGCTGCTCAGGTTCGCCAGAAGTGGCTTAGTCATGCTGGCCACATGACTTGGAAGCTGTATGCCGGCTCCCTCGGCCAATAAAGCGAGATGAGCGCCGCAACCCCAGAGTCGGTCACAACTGGACCTAATGGTCAGAATTACCTTTACTTTATTATAATCATATCTAGTTTATTCCTAACAAAATCTGTTGATAGTCTTGCGGATACAGTGGTGGTGACTTTCTTTTCGTTTGAGAATAACAACTCTCACCCACTTGCTCATGGTAGGGTGTCACCTGTGGGCCAGAAAACCATGGAAAAATCCCTACAGTGTATATTGCAGTTCTCATGCACTTCCCAAAAGAATCAGCATGCAGGAGAGAAGCGTACACAGAGCCCAAGTTCTCCACTTGCTCCCTGCGGAAAAATATAATATGCCTTTTAAGCTAAACAGCAACTCCTTTCATTAGCAGCAGAAGCAAAAACAGCCAGCCAAGCTTGGATTGCATGCACAGGTCTTTCCATCCCATACAATTCTCTCTTTTTGGATCTTGGCCAGTGTATTCAGAATTAGACTATTCACTTCACATAGCTATGGTTCAGATCATTACTATGCGAATTGGAAAGAGGAGAGAAGAACCTAAAAGATGTATCATTCCATCATAAGAGACTTTTTAAAAAAATTGAGTTTATAAACAGCAGAAGAAGAGTTAGGGCAGGTTCATTTACTTCATAATTGGCTACTTATTTGCACATTGAACAAGTCAAGGTGGTCTACTTGTGTGTAATGAGGAGAAGGGGACTCACAAAATACTGTATTGGAAATGTCCATAATCAGCTCACTGATAAGGAAGTTTCCATGAATTTACTTTTCCCATGTTATGAAACTACATATGCAGACTTCTGAACCGTTAAATGCAGAAATATGTGGATGATTGTAACGTATGAATCTGGAATTAAGGTAATAAGGGCAGAACATACCCTTAGCCTTTGGTAATAGATATTTTCATAATATATTTATAGTTAATGGATAATTTCATAATATATCTACTTAAGTGTGTAGCTGCTTCCAGAGCTGGTATCTACTCTGAAGAACTCCTTAAAAAATAGTATGAAATGGTTCTGGTTTGCTTTCTTACTGTTGTTGTTTAGTCGTTTGGTCGTGTCCGACTCTTCGTGACCCCATGGACCAGAGCATGCCAGGCACCTCTGTCCTCCACTGCCTCCCGCAGTTTGGTCAAACTCATGCTGGTAACCTCGAAAACACTATCCAACCATCTCGTCCTCTGTCGCCCCCTTCTCCTTGTGCCCTCCATCCTTCCCAACATCAGGGTCTTCTCCAGGGGGTCTTCTCTTCGCATGAGGTGGCCAAAGTACTGGAGCCTCAGCTTCACGATTTGTCCTTCCAGTGAGCACCCAGGGCTAATTTCCTTAAGAATGGATGCGTTTGATCTTCTTGCAGTCCATGGGACTCTCAAGAGTCTCCTCCAGCACCATAATTCAAAAACATCAATTCTTCGGCGATCAGCCTTCTTTATGGTCCAGCTCTCACTTCCATACATCACTACTGGGAAAACCATAGCTTTAACTATACGGACCTTTGTTGGCAAGGTGACGTCTCTACTTCTCAAGATGTAGAGGTTTGCCATCGCCTTTCTCCCAAGAAGCAGGCGTCTTTTCATTTCGTGGCTGCTGTCACCATCTGCAGTGATCATGGAGCCCAAGAAAGTAAAATCTCTCACTGCCTCCATTTCTTCCCCTTCTAATTGCCAGGAGGTGATGGGACCAGTGGCCATGATCTTCGTTTTTTTTATGTTGAGCTTCAGACCATATTTTGCGCTCTCCTCTTTCACCCTCATTAAAAGGTTCTTTAATTCCTCCTCACTTTCTGCCATCAAGGTTGTGTCATCTGCATATCTGAGGTTGTTGATATTTCTTCCGGCAATCTTAATTCCGGCTAGAGATTCATCCAGCCCAGCCTTTCGCATGATGAATTCTGCATATAAGGTAAATAAGCAGGGAGACAAAATACAGCCTTGTCGTACTCCTTTCCCAATTCTGAACCAATCAGTTGTTCCATATCCAGTTCTAACTGTAGCTTCTTGTCCCACATAGAGATTTCTCAGGAGACAGATGAGGTGATCAGGCACTCCCATTTCTTTAAGAACTTGCCATAGTTTGCTGTGGTCGACACAGTCAAAGGCTTTTGCTTAGTCAATGAAGCAGAAGTAGATGTCTTTCTGGAACTCTCTAGCTTTCTCCATAATCCAGCTCATGTTTGCAATTTGGTCTCTGGTTCCTCTGCCTCTTCTAAATCCAGCTTGCACTTCTGGGAGTTCTTGGTCCACATACTGCTTGAGCCTTCCTTGAAGAATTTTAAGCATAACCTTGCTAGCGTGTGAAATGAGTGCAATTGTGCGGTAGTTGGAGCATTCTTTGGCACTGCCCTTCTTTGGGATTGGGATGTAGACTGATCTTCTCCAATCTTCTGGCCACTGCTGAGTTTTCCAAACTTGCTGGCATATTGAGTGTAGCACCTTAACAGCATCATCTTTTAAAATTTTAAATAGTTCAGCTGGAATACCATCACTTCCACTGGCCTTGTTATTTGCAGTGCTTTCTAAGGCCCATTTGACTTCCCTCTCCAGGATGTCTGGCTCAAGGTCAGCAACCACACTACCTGGGGTATACGAGACATCTATATCTTTCTGGTATAATTCCTCTGTGTATTCTTGCCACCTCTTCTTGATGTCTTCTGCTTCTGTTATGTCCTTTCCACTTTTGTCCTTTATTATGGTAATCTTTGTACGAAATGTTCCTTTCATATCTCCAATTTTCTTGAACAGATCTCTGATTCTTCCCATTCTACTGCTTTCCTCTATTTCTTTGCATTGCTCGTTTAAGAAGGCCTTCTTGTATCTCCTTACTATTTTTTGGAAATCTGCATTCAATTTCCTGTATCTTTCACTATTTCCCTCGCATTTTGCTTGCCTTCTCTCCCCCGCTATTTGTAAGGCCTCATTGGACAGCCACTTTGCTTTCTTGCATTTCCTTTTCATTGGGATGGTGTTCGTTGCTGCCTCCTGTATAATGTTGCGAGCCTCCATCCATAGTTCTTCAGGCACTCTGTCCAGCAAATCTAAATCCTTAAACCTGTTCCTCACTTCCACTGTGTATTCATAAGGGATTTGATTTAAATTGTATCTTACCGGCCCAGTGGTTTTTCCTACTTTCTTCAGTTTAAGCTTGAATTTTGCTATAAGAAGCTGATGATCTGAGCCACAGTCAGCTCCAGGTCTTGTTTTTGCTGACTGTATAGAGCTTCTCCATCTTTGGCTGCAGAGAATATAATCAATCTGATTTCAATGCTGCCCATCTGGTGATGTCCATGTGTAGAGTCGTCTCTTGTGTTGTTGGAAAAGTGTGTTTGTGATGACCAGCTTGTTCTCTTGACAGAACTCTATTAGCCTTTGCCCTGCTTCGTTTTGATCTCCAAGGCCAAACTTGCCAGTTGTTCCTTTTATCTCTTGACTCCCTACTTTAGCATTCCAATCCCCTATAATGAGAAGAACATCCTTCTTTGGTGTCACTTCTATAAGGTGTTGTAAGTCTTCATAGAATTGGTCAATTTCAGTTTCTTCAGCACCAGTAGTTGGTGCATAAACTTGGATTACACTTTCTTATTAGTTCACTGATTTCTAATGCTGCTGCTTTGTGGTGAAAGGGCTCATCTGCACTTCTGCTTTTCCCACAATGTTGTTTTACCACTGAATCGAAGCAAATGTCAATTGGGTTTTCTCTGAATTTACATTTGCTCCAATTTAGCACCGAAGAGTGGGTTTTCCATGACAAAGCAGTGGGACAAAGGCGAAACCACTTGGACCCATGCCTAGAAATCACGGGACAAGTGGAAAACTGCTTGGACCCATGCCTTCTAGTCATGGGACAAGCAGAAGTGTGGGTGAACCCTTAGTCAGGCCTGGTGTTAGCACCATACTGGGCCATTTGCTGGTGCCCATGCACTTCTGCAGAGCCCAGCAGGGTTGGCCCCTTGCCTGGACACCTGCAGTATCTGCCACTATTTAGGCTCCCTTGTGGCAGAGTTCCGCCTGGTAAGATGGAGAGGTTATACTCATTAGTCAAATGGAGACTAGGCATCAGCCAACCTTACCCTCTCACTTAATGGGCTTACCCAGCAACATTGTAATGGACTGGGATCTGAACAGTCACCCAGTTCCTGGCCCATTACAGAGCCACCGGAGAACAAATTCATGAGTAACTGCAAGGAAAAGACTGGTGGGTGTGCTTTCTCTCTAATAGCTGGCCCGTTCTATCACCGCCGCTGCCAGGTAAGCCTGTGAGCACGAGAAAGAAGCTGACTGCCACCAGCTTGGGTAGCTTTAAAAGAGGGTTGGACAAATTCATAGAAGATAAGGATATCATTGGCTACTAGCCATGGTGGGTATGCTCTGCCTCCACAGTTGGAGGCCATAATGCTTCTGAATAACAGTTGCTGGAAGTCACAGGAGAGGAGAATGCCCTTGTGCTTGGGTCCTGTTTTCAGGTTTTGCATAGTTCGGCCACTACGAGAACAGGGTGCTGAACTATGTGGGCCACTGTCTTGATCCAGCAAGTTTTTCTTACGTTCTTACATCTTTAGTTGCAGGAACACCACTTCCATGGGTCCAGCTACAAGTGAGTGCTTCAACAAATGTAGATTGTTGAAAATCTGGAGCCAGACCTGTTTGTTTTAAAGTTGTTTTATTCAGAAGTTACGATTATTAAGATGTCTGTTAGCTGATTTGAGGGTCTAGTACTGAAACTCTGAGCATCCCAATTTCACAATGCTCTCTCACTTTATTTGTATGGTGCCTGCTTTTCAGCTTTCCCAACTCCATGGAATAACTTTTTTATTATTTACTCAGACACATTCTACCTTCTCGTAAAATTTAGTTGTTTTTTTTATTTCATCTGTTTAAATATTATTTGTATGATATTGACATACAAATTATTGTATACCACCCTGGAATCCTAAATAGGAATAAAGATTTAAATAAATAAATGCTTTAAATTAATAAATAGAAACATTTCAATAAATGAATAAATTGACACACTTTAATGAGTGTGATTGGCAAGCACATGGCATCCCCTGTGCCAAGCAAAGTTCTTTTCCTTGAAACTGAGAATGAAGTGCTTCTAAAATGAGATGCTATCATAAGACGTAAGCAGAAAGCTAAAAGGCCAGGTTCTGCATGAAGTAAATGAATTATGTCTCTGCATGACTGAAGCCATCCTCACAAATTGATACTAATTGGGAACCTTGTTGACATTGTGGGTGCTAAGACCATGGATGATATCAGCCCAGAGTAGCTTCCCACACTTGAATCAGATCCTGCTGTGCCAAAAATCAGGTAGTATGCCTGGCACAACAAAAGGGCCAGGCTTTTATATATTGAGTCATGTTGCGTGACTTGATATATATATTTATTTTTCCCCTGTGGATCCAGAAATGTTTATTTAAAACATTTGCTGTCCCACTGTAATAAAACAGTTTTAAAATCAAGAAATGAAGCACTTTTTGAGAAACAATGAGGAGCTGCTGCAAAGAAAACTCACCTCGAATCACTACCTGGCTCTGGTGCAGGGAAATATACAGAAATGTTTTCCTTTCCTTACTGTCTGCCCTGATGTGAACATGAAGGAAGATAGTGAAATGGATTTTGGCAAACACTCTGCTATTAAACTGAAAGTCAAGGCTAAAAGCAGAGTAAAAGCTTATTTAGCTGCAGGATGTTCCTTTGTCATCAGGAGTCCTGATTCAACTATCTCTTAAATGATGCATGCGGTGGGCTGTAAGTAAAGGATGACAACAGTTCTTTTCTTCCATCCATAAACCAGTGACTAACACAGCCCTGCTTTTTGCCTTAATGAGTCATGAGGGGCACACAATGGTGATCATGAATCTTTTGCAATCAGGACTTGCTTTCAGTATATGTTAATTTTTGCAGGCCATAATCAAGATATTGTAGGTTGAAGGACAGTGTGGAAAATGAGTCCTTTTTGATTGGCTTTTATATTCAGAAATACAGGGATAATGATTGATGGACTCATTTCCTGTTTCCCGGGGGGGGGGGAGAAAAAGGGGAGAAGAAGAGGGGAAGGGGGGGAAACAGGCTCAGAGAGAGGCGAGGACATGAAAGTGCAGCAGCCCTCAAATAGACTTCTGTGGGAGTTTTGGAGCTTAGTAACTGATGGAAGCATTTGTCATTGAGAAAGAAAACAGCAGATAATAGATGGACACAAGATGCCAGGGGTGACAGACGATGACAGGGAGAGGATCCTGATGAGCAACAATAGGTCTAGCAGAGATGGCAGATGAAGACAGAAAGTTAAAAAATTGAGTTGGGTAATATTTATTTTCAGATACCCACTTCAGACAGTAACATTAAAGAAATAGTTTTGTAACAGGTTCAGCAACCTTCAACTAATCAGAAGGAGTCCCATGTTGTTCAAAGAGATTTACTTCCAAGTAAGTGTATACGGTATCTGATTTCATTTTAAAATCATCAGAGAAACTTAAACATTTTAGTTTATAAGAAAAGGTGACTGTGGAAGAGGGGTGATATGAGATTCCTAGCTGTAGAGTTTAGGAGATTCACATCCATTGCCAACCAGATGATCTTTTACCTACTGCCATGCACTTCACTGAGCAAAAGAACATATTGTTTTTCATCCCAAAATGTTCTGCAAAAGTACAGGGTTACACTTCATTTTTCAAATAGACATGGAACCTACTCAGCATGACCATCAGATAATGTGATAGCTAAAGGAAAACCTGCCCTTGTTGGTTCCCAGCCCAGTGATTACTGTTAATGTGCATTTCCTAGCAAAAGCATCATTCTGCCTTTGGAACTTCACCCCAGGTATTTCAAAGACAACATTTGTGATGGTGTGCCAAAAGCAAACTTTAGTGCATAGCAATAGATGCACAAACCGGCTTTAAACAGACTGAATCCAACACGGACAATCTCCCCTAATGCTTATTCTACACCCACCAGGTACTCAGTTTAGATAAATAATCCTTAAATCACCTTGTAACAATCTTAGAGCAGGAGAAGTTAAAGTGTTTCCATGTTGTAGAGTAAGACCTAGAGAGCAAGGGACCTGGAAGCACAGGGTACTATTTTAAATTCCAAACCTATTCAGATGCTTAATACATTTATTTCTTTAAAATATTTTATATCACATTCTTTTTCAATTGGCAATAATTGCACCTTGGATTAATCATATTGGCTGCAATACTGTCACTGCATATGTAACCAAATTAGTTTACAAAAGGTTTGTCACTGATAATTTTTGTTTTAAAAAAAACCATTTGTAGTCTTTAAAACTGCAGCACCAGCAAGGAAAACAGTCTAAAATGAGATGAAAGTATCAGTAAAGATCTATGAAGCTGAACATAGAAAGTAAAGTATCATTTAATACAATCCTGTGGAAACCAGAGTGCATCTTGGTTAATCTAAAATGACTCATTTCCCAGGGGAATGATCTTGCTACACTCACTTAGCAAGTTGCACTGTCAGCATAAAGACGAAACGTGAACCTTTAAAACAAGCAAATCTGGTCTTGCAATACAATTATCATTATATTTAATAGCCAGTTATTAATGTGCTGCAATAAGTTACACAGTAGCTTTTAACAGGCAGCAGTATTTTGTCCCATTACATATTTCAGAGAGAAAGTAATTTCAGATTTGTTATCTCCTCCCACTTCACAACATAAGAGAGATATATTTCCGCTGATTGGTCTTGGTCATCTTAAATAACACATTTGGCCTACTAGTCAGTTGCGAAAGATGAATGCTTTAATTTCATACCATCTTCCCAGTGGAGATAATCTCGCAAAACATAAGAAAGTGGTAACAACATTTATTTTCCTGAAATTAAAATATGCTGATCAAACATTTTGTTCTTGGCTGTAATTTAAGGAAAAATTCAGACTTGTTCAAGAGTAACAAAATAACTATTTAAATTGAATATACATTTATGTTTTCATTTTACATAAATGGGAGACTAGACATATTTTGAATAGGTAGAAAATAGAAAGTGGGCAAAGCTTGGTATAATACATGCTTTGTAAGCAGAAGATCCCAGATTTTTTTTGTATATTATATTTCTTTTCGTCTTTTCAAAATCTTTAGTTATCAAATAACCAACTTAAACAGGAAAAACAACCTCAGGTCAGAGACTCAAATAATATCAAAATATGCTAAAATAATATTTTTGTTAAACAACATGTATATTTAATTTTTATTTTTATTCAATTGTATTCTTTATTTATTCTTGTATGTTTTTGAATTATATGTTCTTGCTTAAATAATTTTTACAGAGCAATTATGGAGCTTAATAGAGACACGACACTAGAAAAGCATCTGTCAAAGTTGATTTAAGTGTAGTGCTCAATACAAGAGGTTGGACCAGATAACCAAAAATGGCTTCCAAATTTATGAATCTATGGGTTTTATCTAATGCTTTGTACATGAAGTTCCTCAAACATGATGGGACTCCCTCATGCCCCTGCAAAATCTGCTCTGGAGAATCCTCCAACCCTCTGGACTATATTTTAATGGCAGGCTGCAAGGTATAGGAGGGGTGGAAATACTGTTGCGCAAGCAAAACTCTGCTGTACTAGCAGAACAGCAGCATTAGATAGGACCCTGTATCTTGAACTAGCCATGATGCTTCTAACCTCCAAGATGGGAGCAAAAACATATGGTGCCCTTTTTCCTCCATTGTTGGTTGCCATACATCCTCTTTTTCCAGGGCATGTCCTCTTTTTCATGGGTAGAGTAGTCATAGTGATCCATACTTAAAAGTAGAAGTCGGTAAATGTGTCACCTTTTTTGCTTTTCATAATATGGCAACTCTACGAGTCCAGATAGAAAATAGGGACATGCTCCATTCTCACGCACATAGGATGTACGGTAATCCCTTTTAGGAATCTACCGTACTTGTCATCTGCAGTTTTCATAAGTACTTGTCTTGGTGTGTAAAAGGTTAAAATAAAATTGCCTGCAACCACTGCTGCTTTTATGGGATTTATGGTGTGGGTGTATGGGTGTTTCAGTCTTCTACCAGTTCAGTTCTATGTAAGCCAGCCTCAGGGGCAGTCCTGTTTAACACTGTATAATAAAGCAACTGTTCTGTTTTCCTGGAGTGCGTTGTGGTGTGTGGTTGACAGAAAGCTACACAGCTGTGTAGACAGATGCACAAAGGGCTCACTTAAGAATATTACAATTTCAATTATTCATCTCCAATCAGTGAAGAACCACAAGTTTATGTGTCATTATATTAAAATTTATAATACTGTGTGTAGTTTTTAAAGTATTTTATTTACTGCACTTCTATACTGCCCAGTAACCAAAGTTCTCAGGACAGCTTACAATAAAGGTTCTGGTTCCTACCTATTAGTGGCAGAGTAAATAAAGGCAGCTTGCAGCCAGATGCAAAGCATGTTTGCTCAGATGTGAGACCACATTTTGTTCTTTAGTTCCGTTTCCAATCTGGCTCACTGGGGGGGGGGGGAATCTTCTCTAAACCAATTTTTACTTTCCAGTTCCTTGCATATGCTCTTCGTGTGTTCAGTGAGCATGCCTCTGGGGGCAGTTTGACAGCAGGTTACACCCACAACCTAGGTGTTTTCAAGGGACCTCTTTCCAGATGTTCAAATAAACCTGCATAGATTGGGAGCGAAGCCTGCCACTTTGCTAATACACCCCCACAAGTACATTCACGGAATGCACAAGGAATATTTGTAAGCAGATCAAATGGCATTTTTGCACTTGATTTGAAAGGTGAGGAAGCAGAGGTCTGTAAAAAAAATTCCCTCAGCATTTGGTATGATGATTCAGAAAGACAGCTTATGAACTGGTTTTAGGCATGCCATGGTAAACTTTCATTTGATAGTTATTTGTAGTCATCCAGCAGTACGATTTCTGAGTCAACCCTTTCTATTTCAGCAGATGTTTCCTGGAACTTTTCAAATGGGCTACAACACCTGTGTTCAGAACCCAATATTATCTGGGATCATCTTAAGTCACCCATCAGGAAGCCCTTATGGTACAGTGTTATAATGCCACACCAGACCTATCATTTACCTTGACAAAAATAGAAAGTCAGAACTCTACAGGTTTGATCATCACAAGTCCTGTTGTTACCTCAAAATCATGCAAAGCCAAGCTTCAATTGTCAACAGGTCAAACTAGTTGTTATATTAACAGCATTAATTAACATGCATTAACAAATGGAGAATCCCATCTGATGGGACCAATTAGCAATGCAGCCCAAGGAGGGGGAGAGGAAGAGTTAAATCATTTCCTCCACACATCCAAATTAAATCCCCTCCCTGAAGCTGCTATTTGCATAGGAAGGGAGGTTTCAGTTGGCACCACTGATGTATTTGGTGGACATAATTTATATTTCAGACATGACCTTTAAGATACTTATATATAAATTATTTTTTTAAACAGGGGAAGGCATACTTCTAAATTTTCAGCATTTCTTGCTGTGACTTTTTGGACAATCTATTTTAAAAAGAGCATCATTGTCTGGTAAACAATCTGTTGATCACAGCTGGTTCTTTAACTGCAAAATACATAAGAAAATTAATGGATGAATAATGAAGTGCCTTGCAATCTTTGGTGATGATGGAAATTATTCATTATAAAATAATCTTGGAAATTAGACTGTCCAATTTTATGGAAAGCTTGAGATCCTTTTTGATGTACCACAATAGAATTGAAACACACAAAGTGAGTATGCAAGAAATAAATACTGTGTATAATAGTTTTTCAATCATAACTCTTTTTGGCAGTGAGATATTAACTATATTTTAAAAACAAATATCATAATATAAATCTCAACCACCTCAAAAGAAAACTGGCGCTACTGCAAACATTTGTCAAATTATTCAAAATTGTGAATCAACAATCTTAAAAATACACAGCCAACAGCAATATTTAGCTGATATGTCTTAACCATTAGCAAAGGTAGAAAAATTAGAGATCGACAACTCTCTGTGAAATTATTTCATGTGAACAGTAGAAGCACTACAAAGCGCCTAATTCCATAGTCAAACTGGAAAACTCATTTTCTTGAATGACAAATGATATCTTTCTTTAACTCACATACTGAAGTAGTAATTTACAAATGTGGGTAATAATCTTTTTTTTTTAATGGGGAAAACTGAGATACACAGAAGTTAATTGCCTTGCCCAAGGTCATTCAACAAATCAATAAAAGAATAAGGCATGAAGCCAAAATGCTAAAGATCTTCTTTATAAATTATCATCTGAATACCATTATAGACAACCCTTCCTGACCCCTCCCTATCTGTGGGTTACATACCAAGCTAGAAAGAAGCCACCTAATTTCTTTCTGCTTACATTTCAGATCCAAGTTCGAACCATAAACCACCTCCAGTACAAGTTTTTCTTATCTACTTTAGAATGTTTTAAAGCGATTTCTTTGGATTTGTTTGATAGTGTGGGAGGAACAAGGGGTAAAAGTTCAAGGCTGGCCTTTATTTCATCTAGATCTGTTTGCTCACTGTTAAATTTGAGACCTCAGGTACAGAGATATTCAAAACTTTTAAAATGCAGCTAATGAGTTGCTGTGCCCTAGTAACCACGGCAACAGGCTGAGAAACCTCACTGCTGTTATCTGTGGGCAAACCCTGCAGGAGAGTATTTGCATTCATTCTGGTTGTATCTCTACAATGCTGGTAACTGAAAGGAAACTTAATTAGGGTATACAATCAAGATTACTGAATACAGGTTACTTTCCTCCTTTATGCATATCAACTATCTTTTTATTTCTACAATGAGGCTGGCTGGAGATAGGGTTTTCCCCTTGCTTGCTAAAAGAAAAGGAATCACTCTTGAAAATAGGCTTTCTAGATTGATTATGTATTTCCTTACATTAACTTTTTAAATTTAATTTATCATGGGTCATTCATTAAGGCACAGTTGCTCTCCCCTGTTATGATAAGTTATTTTAACTTCTTGTTTTGTTATCACCTTTGTTTTGGCAATAATACATTGACAAATGCTGTAAAATAGTAATTTCCAAAGACTTAAAATAGATAATATAACAGTTCAGTGGCTTTTACTCACAGGTAAGTGTGCTTAGGATTGCTGTTTTAAATCATTTCTATCACAAACTTTTGCAAGTTTACAGAAAAAAATAATAAAATCAGTGTCTAAAAACATTCAGTCAATATAAACAGCAAACATAAAATAAGCTTGAATTCAAGCAGCTGGCAAATCCGTTCCACTTCCCAATGGGGAGGAGTTGCGGTGGACCGTGTGGTCACCACCTCCCCACCGGGGGCGGGGGACTTTGTCCCCCGTTGCCTGGGGGATCCCAGCCATGTCAGAGCCTGGCCAGCCAATCCGCTGGCTAGGGGGGGGCAGGGCCGGGACCGTTTAAACTGAGGAGCGAGCCAGAAGACTTCCTCTTTGGCTCGCTTCCTCAATTATTGTTGGTTGTCGGTGCTGCTCAGGCATTGGCTTTGTTCGTGTTTTTTGCTTTATTCTGAGTTTTGGCCTTATTCTGGTGTATTGGATTCGATTTGAGACAGATATTGACAATCTGGAACATGCGCAGAGGAGGGCGACAAAGATTAAGGGTCTGGAACCAAGCTGGGTATGTTTAGCCTAGTAAAGAGGAGACAGAGGAAATATTGAAAGGACTGTCACATGGAAGATGGAACCAGTTTGTTTCTTCCTGTTCCAGAGGCTAGGACCCAAACCAATGGATTCAAGTGACAAGAAAGGAGATTCCAACTAAACACTAGGACAAACTTTCTGACAGTAAGAACTGTTCAACAGGAACAGACTACTCCCTCAGATTGACATAACTTGCTTGGAGTTTTTTTCAGCAGAGTTTAGATGACCACCTGTAACGTATGATTTAGTGGAGATTCCTATATTGCAGGGTGATAGAATAGATGACCCTCAGCATCCCTTCCAACTGTATGATTCTAGGAGGCAGTACAGGTGCACAATAGTGTTAGTCCTGGATTTTCTGCAGCCAAGAAAGGACTGAGGGACAGGAATGCAAAAGAACATCAGCAGATAACATACGTCTCTTAATTGCTCAAACTTGTGAGCTAGCTTGACCAGAGATTATGGAGATCAAGGGATGTCATCTGATGATCTGACCTATTCTGGGCTTTTAATTCAGGGAGGATTTTTAATTCATGAAGCTTGTTGTCTTCTGCTCTCCAGTTTCCAAGTTGAGTGGTCATGTAAAGATTAAATACTTGCATTGTAATTGGGTGCCAAGATCTAAAAGGCTGCAAAGTATCAAATGAGATGGGAGGAGATATTGGCATCCAATTCTCACTGCTTTTATGTATCATTACTGTTGTATACAGTCATTCATTGGGTTGTTGACCACTTTGTGGCTGGAAATATATCAAGTGTGTACTTACAAACATGTTGGAGGACCCTAGAATGGATGGATGGATGGATGGATAGATGGCATTTAGCTGCACACACGAATGGCCTTTTAAACAGCAACAAACCATGCATTCCTTCATAGCAGCAGCGAAACTTCCCTTAGTGGTGATTGATACACTTCCTGGATTCTCGTAAAAGGTAAAGGTAAAGGGACCCCTGACCATTAGGTCCAGTCATGACCGACTCTGGGGTACGGCGCTCATCTTGCTTTATTGGCCGAGGGAGCCGGCGTACAGCTTCCGGGTCATGTGGCCAGCATGACTAAGCTGCTTCTGGTGAACCAGAGCAGCACATGGAAACGCCGGCGTACCTTTCCGGCTGAGCGGTACCTATTTATCTACTTGCACTTTGACGTGCTTTCGAACTGCTAGGTTGGCAGTAGCAGGGACCGAGCAACGGGAGCTCACCCCGTCGCGGGGATTCGAACAGCCGACCTTCTGATTGGCAAGCCCTAGGCTCTGTGGTTTAACCCACAGCGCCACCTGCGTCCCTTCCTGGATTCTATTTCATACTAAAATCAATGAGCAGAAAATGACACACTAGTTCTAGGCCCATTTTACATTAAAAGCATTACAGAAGAAGAATCCCAGGTCCCACATGAATAACTCCAAAATGAGGAGCATAGAAAGAAGAAACAGCATGGTACACCCATATCAGCACAACCAGATGCCTTCCACGTGTTCCACCCGTAACAAAACATGTCTCTCATGTGTTGGTCTCTAGAGCCACAGCAGGTGCTATAACTCTCCAATGGTTTGACTTTACCACGAATGCGCACTCTTCTGTTGTTTCCCAAGACAGACAGATGCCAACCAACCAACCAACCAGTTTTTTTCCTTCTTAGCTAGATTTGTATTTAAGAGTGATTGTTGCTAGCTGTGCAAATCTGGCACCAACTCTTTCCAGACTGACATGAATCATGCTGACAAAAATGTTGTGCCAGTACTTAATTGGCAATACTGATGAGCCCCTTAGCTGCAATCAAGTTAGTTCCTTTTGCCAACCACTGCACTGTTGCCAATCTCTGTCCTTCTGTTCCATCTTCTTTAGGCTCTGAAGAAAGGAAAGACATCTTACTTACATAATGGCAATTATTTAACAGGTCTGGCATGAAGTTGCACACCTGCCCCTCCACCTTGCAGATAACGTAATGTAGAGCAGCATGCTTCTCATTCAGCATGCAAAGGCTATGGCAGCACCTGCTCAAGACATTTGAGCACCTGAGGCAAACCGCAAAATGGTTCTGTTGTAGCCCAGATAATGGTAGAAGACCAGCTGGCTACTGTGGAGGTAGCATCTGGGGTGGGGACTACTGAAGGCATGGCAGATCCGGCCTCCAAGGAGTGTGCTACAGTTACTATTGGCGCTACAGCGGCTGCAATGGGTGATGTGTTCCTTGAAGGCTAGATCTGCCATCCCTACGGATCCTGCTGCCTGAGGCAGTCACCTCCCCTTGCCTCATGCATGGGTTGGCCCTGCCTCTAGGTTGCCTATAAACTGGCCTTCAAACTTAAATTTATTCCATGGTCAGTTACCTAAGCATTGGCCTTGTCTCAAGGTCATAGGAAAAGCAAAGGCTTAGGGCACATACCACAGCTTTAGAGATGGGAGCTATTCCTGTTCCCATGCAAGGAAGGAGGGAGGTCTCAGGCCATCCAATATGCTTGATACTCACACAGAAAACAATTGGTGTTGCTAAAGCTCTAAAAATTGGATTATATTACAATTTGAGCTTATGGAACAGCAGCACCTGCAATACTGATAACAGGAGACATTACAGTTAAAGCTGTCTAGAGGGAAACAAAATACAGCAAACCTTTAACTGTGCTGTAGGGATGCTATATTTTCTGGCTCAGTACTTTAATATCTAATCAATAAACCATTTGCTAGTTATACATGTCAAATGTTTCTGGAACTCAAGCTATTATGACTTGTTTATCTGTTGTCTGGCTATACCTTTTCCTTTCATCAGCTATTTCAGGATGTACTATTTTTAACAGTGCAGTCGCTATGAGTGAATCAACCTCTTTTATTATCTACCAGTAGGATTTGGGAGAGATTTTCTATATTCTTCACAAAAACTATTCTTGGAAGTGAGGAGTACTTGGGAGAGATCCAACTGCGGGTCTTTACTTTTTTCTGATTGGTGTAATGTTGGTTTTACATTCTATTACAAATTTCTCCTTAAAAGTTGAGAAATACTGTTTTGCCCCCAAAGGCACAGCTACAGCGCTTGACTATCTGTTTTGGGAGTGAACCTAACCTTTAAAGTTTTAACTCTAGGCTCAATTTTATTTTCCAGCACCAAAAGGAGCACCTAAAATTGTGAGGGGGGGTTCAATGTGAATGACAAGAATAGTTTCTGTGAGGAATAGAGAACACTCCATTAAATATTCTTTCATTTTCTTCCCTGAAGTTAATTTTTAAACATTTAAGATTGTAGTATTTTAAGACTAATTATAAAAATTATGACAACACTAAATTTACCAGTTGCTATGAGACACAGATATGTCTAATCCACCCCAAGGTCTTCTTATACTAGGCTCTAAATGTTTGCTCAGAAAAACAAATTTTTTTGAACAATGGTTATGCAAGCAATTCTTGGCCCCCAATGAAGCTTAGAAAAGCTATAAAAACAAACACTTTTTAAATTATATGTGATTACTCTTTATGTTTGTAAATACTTGGATTGTGGGGGCACTGATAAGTTCTAAAAGGGCAATTTAATTTTTGTAAGCTTCGCCAAAACAGCTGCTGTTTTTACTTGTTTGCCGACTTCATATTTCTGAAGCACACGGAAAACAAATTCTGTTCTTAATAATGAGCCAATTCCAATTGCTGTATTGCCTTGGGATAGCATTGCAATACCTGTGTGTACTTGGTGCACAATTTTGTTTTTATAACACCCTGGGGTAATATATATTTTATGATAACCACAGCCTCATGCATTATTACCATGCAAGTTAATATTGTTACATCATTGCAGCTTTATCTTCTAATCTGAATGCAGCTGGGATAATGTTATTAAAATACTTTTGCTAAACATTCTTGTCACTGACAGTAAGCTCATGTGATTTTAAATAGATTTATAGTCTTCATGGTAACCTAACTCATTGCTCAAGACAATGAATCCAGAACATACACCCATACGGTTCTAGTTTTAGGTTTGCAGGTGCCCTTGGGTAAGATACCCTCAGTGGGTCTACATCTTTGCCACAGCCACGAGTGTCCGGTTTGCTTGCCCTCCCCCTCTGAGTCCAGTTTACACTGCTGTCAAGAGGGAAAGTGCTAAGCACTTTCTCCTTTCTTCTCTGAGCCAGCTCGCTACCTGAGACCATGGACAAAATAATACCCCTACTGGTCCAGACACAAACTGACTGGACTTGTAAGTTGCATCTCACTTCAGTGCTGGATAGAGGACAGTATCATTCACCACTCCTGCAGCCATCTTAGGAGGTGCAAAGCAGGTCATGTAGCATACACTGCTGTCTTCCAGTAGGGTGAATAGCTGGGGAGATTCAGGAGGAACAGCTAGTATGGTTGCTTTGGCTGCCTGATGCAGCTGCCTCACTCCACCCAGTAGGGCCTGCCCAGCATCTCCTCCCTCTTGTTGCTGTTCACATATTCAACAATGGCAGTGAATAGACAGTGACAGCAAGCAGTAACAAGGATGGGGTTGCAGGGGCCGGCACTCAGAACCACCCTCTGCCTTGTACTCAGTTACCTGTTTGTGACTAGCTAGGCTTCATGGCAGCCATTTTGTGATTAGCCATGCTCTCCCAATGGCAGCCATTTTGTGGTGATGCCCACCAGTTTCTCAAATTTCTACATGCGCTCAGCAATATGGAGTGCTTAACAACAGAATATGGCAGAATAAGATTAACCAGAAAATGTCTTGGCATCTTGTCTGTCTTCTATTTCCACTTCTCATTAAAGTTTCAAAACTAGTTTTGCTGCCAAAAGTAACGTCCCAATTAAATATTCAGAAGCAGATAGGTGATATATCACAACACTAAAACAAATAATCCTTATGGGGAAATGTGGCGTGCATTCCCAGAAGCTTAAACAGAATAAAAAGTTCATGAAGATTAATCATCTTTCACTTTCTTGCGCTTCCTTTTAATTGCGTGAATCTACAGCAAAGGACCAATATGATCAATTTGTAGACATTTTTTCAGCAAACCAGAGACAGGCTTAGATTGTAGTCTGTGGCTATCAGCCTTAAGTACAACACCGCTCTTGGGAGTTGTTTTCTAGCTGAATTAACTTTGTACAATGCTGATGAAAGACAGATACTAAAAATTAAATCTTGATAAATGTGCTTCTTTTTTAAAAAGCAAAAAAATGTACTACACATTTTGTTTATCAGCATACAATATAAAGGAAACCACGTTGCTGAGTAGTTGCTTTCCCTTTACCTCTAATAATGTGATACTGAAGGCATGGAACAAACCAAAACACAGATGGGACCAAATGTTGAGTTGTAGGACGCTACTTTTCTCATACTGGAAGTATCCACAGTTCAAGGACTGCAGGAAATTTGCAGTAACAGTCAGAAGCATACATATGGGTCAGCCATTAAGTGCTACTTAATGAGGGGTTCAGCAAGGATAATGTCCACTCCTGCTTCAATCTCCCTGAGTTGGAAAGCAAACAATCAGGGAGCTTCCTATTCTCACAGGTTTGCCCTCCAACTGGGCCTGGCCCACCAATAAAGCAAGTGGAGGCGACCACCTCATCTTGCTGCTAGTTATGGAACCTCTTGGGACAGTCTTATTTGCTTTGTTATGAAATTCCCTTCATATTAAGACACTTATCATTTCTCATTGTCTATAATGGATTAGGATGTAATTTGCAAATGGATCTCTTGTTTTAAAGTTACGCTTGCAATAAAATAACCAGAGCCAATTTCAGAAATATCTTTTGTGTAATTGTGAAATAATGAAAAGACACCCTTGGGAATCTGCTTCAACATCGAAATGGCTTAAAACATTTTGGAAGATTGCGATGGAATATATTGTTGAATTGAAACAATATAAATGTGAAAGAGACAAAAACTCTTCAGTTCAAATTGATGAGTTCATTAGAAATTAATGGTAGCAAAACAAGGGGGAAATGACAGCTTGTTTCTGGGTCTGGCTTGTGAAACACACAGGTATGTAATTGCTTTGAAAACAATTAAGACAAAAATGTGAAGCTGGTATATAAGCCTATTGTATAAAGTATACAGAATATATATCCTTTGAATATCTCAAATGACACTCCATCCCTATGATCCACTTGAGTGTTAAGATCAGGAGAGGAAAGTCTCTCAGTAGTTCCACCACCCTCAGAAGTGTGGGGAATGGTGACCCAAAGAGGGCTTTCTCTGTGGCAGTCCTTGTGTTGTAAAATTCAGTCCCCACAGAGGTGCATCTAGCACTGTCATTATTCAACTTCCGCTGCTTGCTGGAAACACACTTCTTTATCCTAGTCTTAGGTATTTTGGTTGGATCCACCTCTTCTGTTTTGTTTATCTTATACTGTGCTGGTTTTCTTAGAACTGTTTTACTTTTTTATAATTGTATAAACTGTTTTATCTGTTTTTCTTGCTTTTAATTGTATTGGTGTGACCTGGGCTTGGCTGTTGTGGTGAAGGACAAGTAAGAAAACTTACAAATAAAACAATATCTGCAGGATTATGCATTTTGTAGTAGACTGGTTTCCCCACTGCCCCGAACGCTTCTGAATCTCTGGAAGTTAAATCTTAGAAGATAATTTAGCATTTTCAGAAACATGTTTACCAACAGCGGTAACCTCCACTCATTTTTGTGTTCCAGTTCTACACGGATCTTTAGTTTCACCACATAATCTCTGTTGAGACATTTCATACCCTGAAATACCCTGTTCTGGCCAGCACTCTGCGAAGATGTGCTCCACCAGGGGAACAGAAAATCTGGAAGCTGAATAAGTTTCAGAAACATTTTAAGACTTGCAGGCCTGAAGCCACATTATGGTTGTGGGGTTCTTGCCTTCTTAGATATTCTTGACCCCTTTACTGTTTGTTTGTTTTTAAGCATGTCTATGGCTCTTTTTTCTTTCAGACCTTGAAGGAAAAGCTCACAGGCAGTATTGTGTCTGCTTGCCCAGTAAGAAGCAACCATGCTCCTGTCTTCCTGCTAGATGGTCAAATCCATCAATTTTTGTTTCTCTCAGTTTCCCATTTTAAGTCTTTAATTCAATTCTCCACATCTCCATGAGGGTCTGGGATTTATTTTTTTAAGGCCTCGCAGAAATTCATCAGCAATTTAGTGTGAATTTCTCTTAATATGCACATCTATAATTCGATGGGTTCATGATTTATACAGTGGTACCTCGGGTTACATACGCTTCAGGTTACAGACTCTGCTAACCCAGAAATATTGCCTCGGGTTAAGAACTTTGCTTTAGGATGAGAACAGAAATCGTGCTCCGGTGGCGCAGCGGCAGCAGGAGGCCCCATTAGCTAAAGTGGTGCTTCAGGTTAAGAACAGTTTCAGGTTAAGAACGGACCTCCAGAACAAATTAAGTTCTTAACCCGAGGTACCACTGTATATGCAATTTTGCCTAATACACACATTTTTCTGGGCAATTTTTCACTTATAATGCATTTTTATGCACACTTTATGCATTTTTGTACACAACTGGAGAGCTGCATTGCAAAATTTGGAAAAGTGCAAAGTTGAAAGATGGCTGTGTTTTGGTTCACATTGTTTCAGAAAGTATGAATCTGGTAAATTTTCCTTTAAATGTGAATGGAATCAAAATTCTCTCCCATCCCCACTTCCTGTATTCTGGGAAGTAAATAAAAAAGCCATAATAAAAATCCATGTTTTATGGCTATGTAATACAACTGTATGATTTCAAACCTTTTTGGCTCCCTGTTGCTGTATTGGTTGTATTTCTCCTACTGATGGCTTCCTAAGCACAAAATTCCTTGCTACAGTGGTGCGTATATGGATTGGCTTTTACAGATTGAAGATATGAACCTGCTTGGAGTAAGGGCCAAACTACATGTTGTTTGTTTGTTTGCTTGCTTGCTTGCTTGCTTGTTTGGTAAAGATAACTACATGTTATGTTAACTGCATAATCTAGTGTTTTGTGATTTGAATATGTGGTGTGTATGTGTCCCCCACCCTCCCCTGATAAGCAGGAGATCTGGGATTTGTACAATAGTAAGAGAGAAATGAAATACAATATAATGTGCATTTGCTGGAAATGCATTGATGGATGAGAATCATCACAGGCACTGGGAAAGTATATGTACCAAGGAAAGTACTTTGTCTTAATTTACATGGAACTATGGTGAAGAATAGCGGAACTAAATTAAGAAAGAAAACATTTGCCCATAATAGTTCAATTAAGTATCAGGAGCGCATGACTTTACTATATCCTGTTCAACTGGACATTCTCCAGGAAGAAATGCTGCCTAAAACAATTTGAATCAATGACATAATGAGCAGGTTGATATAATATGCTGTTCTCATCTCTGTTTTTTTCAGATTCTATTAAACATCCCCTGAGTGCTATACTTATTATAGCACGCTATGGTAATAGAGAGTTTTTCAGGAGCCTTTCATTGTCATACAAAGATTATTGCAAAGAGAGATTGCCAGAAAAATGGGACCACTGTTTAACTCCATAGCCCATAATTATCTGCAATCATTTTGCATGCAGCCTTTTATACTAACATGGAGAGTTGTAAAACTGACAAGCTGATTTTTATAGCAGGAATTGATGTGTGTGTCTGATGGCACTGAGTGATAGAAGTGCCTGCTGACATCTGAGATAGGGGCTTTGCATTCAAAAGCAACTGCAATTTAAGCCCTTTCTTATGAGCACTGGACAAACATCAAATATAACTGACGCCAGTCATCTGATCAATGACATCTCTGAATGAAGGTTTTTCCTTACAATTCATTTCTGTACTATAAATGCATATTTCGTTACTCATTTGTTTCATGGAGCCTATATATAGCAGCTGTGCTTCCATTGCATTTCAGATGAATCCATTTTCCATTGTATGGCTATTGTTGCATCCCACCCCAGTCTTCGAGCAGTGTGAGATTCTGGGGGTTCCAAGTACTCATGTTTCCTTTTGGAAATGAGGCAAAGTGGAGACCGTGGTGTATTTAGGCTATATGGTTTATTTGCACATACATACAACCTGAGCCTATGATGGAGGAGTTCACAGGATTAGCACCCCAAGAGAGTCTTGTTTCTCCCATAATCACAGCCTTGGATTCAAAGAGAAATCAACCATCATGCAGCTCTCTCTCTCTCTCTCTCTCTCTCTCTCTCTCTCTCTCTCTCTGCAACCCTCTCTCCAGCTTGCTGCCTTTACCAGCTTGTGACCATTTTCCCTCTCAGTCACATCACAGCCAACCCTCAACTCTAGCATTGTTTTCTAATTAACTCTGAGTGGAGGGAGGTGGCTGTCTGGCCCATTTGCTGTCTGGCCCAGAACCTTGCTTTCTCAATGGCTATCTCCCAAGTGATCTCCTGAACATGGGGAACTGGGTCCAGGGATTAGGAGTCTGGTGTTCACTTTAATCCCCCAAGCCTTGATTAAACTATAACACCTACTGGACCCAGGAAGATTCTGGCACCCACAAACTCATAACACTATCAATGGGTCACATTTTGTAGTTGTGGTTAAATGAAATATATAGTACCCCATATTTCATAAAAACAAAACCCATTACTGTAGCCCTTGCTAGATGTAGTGTCATTGCACAATTGTTATAAGCTACTATGCTTCTTGGGGCATAAGTTGTGATAAGCAATCCCATACCTTTACCATTTTGTGAAAAAGAGGAACAGAAGTTGAACCTACTTGTAACTGAAGTGAAATCTCAAAATAGGCAACTGTTCCTGCAAGCTGTTTGGCCAACGGGCTGGGATAGTTCTGGCAACTCAGGTTGATGTATCTATTTATTTGCATTTTAAACTAGCCTTTCCAATATTTAACTACAATGGTTCACTTTATCTTTCTCTAAGGTGAGAGGCCACAAAATTCCAACAATGCCCCAGAGACAAAAGCAACATATATTTTACATGTCCCAGAAAGAATCCTTGTAACAGCTTGGGGAAAGAATTAGGACCCAAATTAACATCTAGTCCCCGTCTAGGATGTGAGTCCCAGAGAACACAACAACCATTCTCACTTGTAGCAAAATATTAATAATCTGGCTGTGGAGAGCATTACTGTCAGGTCATTGTCATGGTCATATCATTATCTTGCCTGGATTTGGGATGTTGGAGAATTTCAAAAGGCAGGTTTGGGCTTAAAAAAAAAAATTCTTTTAATTTACAGACTTAATTTACTAGAGTATCTGGGGTATGCAGAAGCTGCTACCTTATTTTATGGGTGGGCCCATTTTGCTTCAAAACTTAAACATACTCAAGCACCTAACTTTGCTCTTGGACAAAAATTATTAATGTGTGCAAAAGATCCTAAAATTGGGCTTGAACCAGCCTTAAGCAAAACAAAGTGTGTGTTGTCCACCAACTTCCTTTTTTTTAAAGTAATCAAAACAGTCTAATGTATACATTTGTAACACGGTAAGATTTTGTGCACTATATCTTTGTTTTTGGTTTTTGTTTTGTTTTGATTTTTAAACATTGCTTTACGTATAGAAGAAGCATACACAGGAAATGCAAACTACAAATAGCAATTTGTTCAAAAGAAACCCACAGGAAGTTTTGCAAGCCGTTCAACATCAGGCTGTCTTTTGCCATGCGAGACAAAAGCTGCTCAGTAACCACTGATGCATTGATAATTAAGGCTTCTTCAGCATGACATATGAAACAATGGCTTTGTTTCTATCTGGAAATCAAATGGGCATGAAGTTGCCCTTTACATGTGTGGCACTGATCCAGGATTGAGGCAGAGGGGCTTCATATTCCTACTAGTAGCCCAGGCGATGCAGAGGGTGGGCAAGCCATACAATCCCTCAGCTGTAGCCAGTAAGGGTTGGCTGAGATCATGCAACCTATCTACCCGCCTTCTAAAGTGGCCAGGATGGTCCTCTACTGTCAGAGGATAGCCTTCTAGAGGAAGGAGTCCTACCTTTGAAAAACTGTCCAGTTCAAGTCCAGTTTAAAGATAAATAACTCTAAGAAGGGAGAGCAGGGAGCTTGAAATTGCCTGTCAACCATATGCACCTGGACAACAGACTGAGCACATGGGTCACCTGCTGACAGTCTTCCCCACCAGGTTTGGATGTTTAGGGAAGTTTTTAATGTTTGATGTTTTATTGCATTTTTAATTTTCTGTTTGGAGCTGCCCAGAGTGGCTGGGGCAACCCAATCAGATGGGTGGGTTACAAATCATCATCATCATCATCATCATCATGATCATCGTTAAAATTACAGCAATTATTTCTCTACCTATCAACTAGCACTTGCAAAGTTAGTGCAAAGCTGTGCCCTCTTTTGTTTTCTTTTTTGGTAACTCATTTGTGGCTACCTACCCTGCCCTCTTCATTGTCCCACAGCCACCCAGAAAGCAGACATTGCTTTCAGTACATCTTTTCCAAATATGACTTTAGTTGGATATAACTTAAAAATATTTTTTTAAAAAATATCACTTCAAACTTGAAAAAGGAAAATTACATATAATTGGGCTGTCAGACACCAACATATCATATATATCTTGTGCTATGCAGTCTGGGCCCCTGTTATATCAAATGGGCTTGTTTATTTCAAATTACTTGGTCATGTATTATATGTCTGCTTTGAGGGCATCAATATTTATCATTAAATTCACCCTGTACCACACATTTACTTCTCTCTCTCTCTCTCTCTCTCTCTCTCACACACACACACACACAGCCCATATGTATCTTATTTAGAAGCAACATCTTCACCATCTACTTCATTCATCTGTTGAACTAAGTTCTTGCTGCAATAAATAAGGTTATAGAAAGGTGGCATGGGAGATTTTTATCCTCCTCAGTGTCACCAGATGGCGCTGCAGAGTAGTTTTGCTTAGGACTAGTAAACATATAACCTACCTTTACCTTTATTTACCTGTCCCTGATTAAAATTCTGACTTCTTCCTCCCCACTCTCATTTACAATTTTATTAGCAATTAGTAAAGAAAGTGCTTTATTCTCAGAAACAGATCTTACGCACATGTTTTGGATGTGAAAGCTCCTTCACACAGTACAATGAAAGTACTGTATTTAAGCATATCTTTTGTTACATGCGAAGGAGCCATCAGTGTGGCTTCAGGTTTTAAGAACCACAATAATTTAGGAACTTCCACTTTGAGGGATTAATATTAATGGGTCATATATGATGAACTATGGGCCGTTGATGAAAGTATTACTAGGCCATTGCTGAAATAAGGCTAGGAAAGTTTTGTTGCAAGAACCTACAACTAGTGAAGGAATGACCAGATATTTATTTGATATAAGTGCAGGTAAAAAAAGGTAAAGGACCCCTGGACAATTAAGTCCAGTCAAAGGAGACTATGGGGTTGCGGCGCTCATCTCGCTTTTAAGTGCATTACATATTTGGGATCATACTAGTCATGTTAAAGTCCATGTCAGTTTCTCAACACCACAGCCATCGTCTGTTAATGGAGGAATGTTACAGTCATTGCACATGCTGTGGCATTGGAAGTTGAAGGGCTCCTAAGCTAGGATCTGGAAGCAGCTCTGACACAAGGGTAAATGAAATATACTCAGAGTCGCAAAGTGATTTCATGCTCTTTATTCAGCTCATAGTGGTGAGGAGGAATGAATGAAAGTCCCCTCAAAGTATCTACTTTATATACATTATTTACACAATGGGCTGCACATGATTGGCTAATTCTGGAATTCTACTGTAAGCCAATCAGGTTGTGGATTCACTTATATCTGGAGCATGATTGGGTGGTTCCTGCCAACCAATCATACTGCTGCATTGTTCTAGGACCAATCAGACTGCTGCATTCTGAATCCTATTGTTCTAGGACCAATCAGACTGCTGCAATTTGGATCCTATTGTTCTAGGACCAATCAGACTGCTGCAGTTTGGATCCTATTCAACTCAGTACATAACAGTAAATATATCCTAATGCACTTTACACTGATAAGTAGTTTTGTGGCATCATAAAATAGAGATGGAGAAAAGACATCCTGACATTTAGACAACTATTAAACGTGTAAGATTACTGCACTATTTCTTTACTATTTTTAATGTTATTAGATTGTTATCTGCTCTTGAAAGTGGAATGGTTGGTTATTATTCAAAACCAGCTGTTTCCCCCCATTAAATTTCTGCAGATATTCATGTATTTAGGCAATAAATATGTTCTCTTTCCTTGCTGCACAGTGGGCTCTGTCTTGCAGTTGTTCTATCCTGCTGAATGAAGACAAATATAAAATATATACCTAGGATAATAGTATAGTTAAAAGAACAGTGCAATACTCAAAAGATGATCAGCAGACAATAATTTAAAAATTCATTCAGAAAAGGCTTGGGTAAATAAAAGCATGCATCTGAAGTAATAGATTGCTGGTGTATGCCTTATCTCAAGTGGTAATGAATTCAGCGTTAAAGGAGCCACAAGTTAATCATACATCAGACTTTAAGCACAGAAGTCTTATTGTACAGTCAGAACCAAGTCACAGTGTGAAGGGCAAAAAGGTCTTCCTTTTCGGTACACTTCCTGGTTTCGTTGCCAACTTAAACTTCCCAAGATAGTAGCACCTAATATTATAAACCAAAGTAGCTGAGACTGTGCATTGTTGAATGTAGTGTGGGAGAAAAGCATACATACAATAAGACAAAGAGTGTCACTTTTGAATTTTTCTGCTTAAAAAAAATTCGGGCTATCTATGATTGTGAGGAAAACTGCAAAACATTTATGAGCAAATAACATTTATGACATATATATAATAATACTTGGTATGCAGCCAAAAAATTCTTCCAAGAGTAAGAACACTATGAAAAGTAATTCTGCCGGTCTTCCTAGGGCACACTTAATTTCTAGGTACCAAAATGCATTACTCTGGTTTTCTGTATGACATACCTCCAACAAAAGATCTGGCTGTGTACTTCAAAATTAAATGTGACACAAGGGTTACTGTTGCCAGCATTTGTCTCTATCACAGGAAATAACCTGTATGTTCTACACAAGGCCTCTAGAATGCCCTGAGGACTTTAGCAACAATCTAATCAAAGTTTTCAATAAAAGAAAGGGATTTATTGAATGTACGTTGCTTTCTGATCATCAAATGTTGTCAACACTTCGTCATATTTACAGTTTCTTTATAGGCAATATTGTTCGGAAGAGAAAAGTAACATGAAATACGGCTTATATAATGAAAACCCTACATGGCAAGTAGTAACCTAGGAATTTGTAACTGGCTCCCTGCACAAATCATATATGTTTGTCCAGATCTGGGCATTTAAACACATTTTAAATGTTCATAGTTTACTATGGCAAATCTCAACTGCAGCTTGCAACATGCTTAGTCTTTGAAGGTTTTGAATTCATTCTAGCTCTCACTGGCATGGTATGACGGCATATACATATGAAGGCATTAAGTGCTAGTATAGTACTTAATTTATGCCATACTATGGGATGTTAAAATTATTACCATGCTGCATGTATCTGTTAACTTGCTTGGTGATTGTCTTATTATAAGCAGAGGGATTTTGGTAAAATGAGATTTTCTAGCTAATTATGTAATTAAGTTGCCTTTCGATGTTTTGCACTTTATTTTACTTAAGCACATTGTTTTGATATAATTATTGTTGCTTAATTATGTTACTTAAAATGTGGAATTAGTAGTAGCTGGGGTTGCAGCAGTATTGTTTTGTATAATTTGTATTGTATTGTAGTGTTATAAGACGGGAGGAGCAGAGACAAAGGGCCAGAGTTTCAGGAGGGAGAGGCAGAATTGCAGTGAGTGAGGAGGTAAGTGAACGGGGTGGTGGTGCTAGTTTTGCAAGCTGGGGGGTGGGACAGAGCATGAGACAGGCAGTCTGCAGAGAGGGTCAGGCATGATGGTTGGAGTCTCTTTGACTTGGAGGCTGCAGCAATGGAAGGAATGTGAGAGCTCTGCACTCTCTCCATCTAGATGCAGGTTGTATATATGTGTAAATAAACCATATATGATAAAGACAGCACAGACTCTATTGTGCTTTGTTGTTCCAAAAGGAAACACAGACCCTGGTAAGCATGCCTGGTACTACTAGAATCTCACACCACTTGGAGATTGGGGTGGCATGTAACAGTATTGTTGGGGGGTATTGGGGTATGAATTGTTGGTTCTCATTTTTATTATGTATTTTGTGGCTTTTGTATTGTAATTTTATGTTGTGAACTGCCTTGAGATCTGTGGATGAAGAACAGAATACACATTTTTATTAATCATAATAATAATGATAATAATATGCAAACCACTTAGAGACTTCTGATGAACTGTGCAGCAATATACAGGTGAAATAAATAATGTAATGTATAGGACTGAAATGCATTGTTCATAGAATGTATCCACCCAAAATGAATGAGTGTACCACTATCCAACTAAGTTATAAAGTAAACCAATTGAAGCCAATGGACTTAGTCATAACTAACTTAAGTTCACTGATTTCAGTGGGTCTCTGAGTATAACTTAATCAGATACAGCTCATTGTAAATTAGTGCAATACACTGGGCTGCTTAGTCCTATACTGTTTCTGACAGGGCTCTTGTGCACTTAACAGATGTGCAACAGGCAAAGTTAATAGGGAGTATGGCAGAGAGAGCAAACCTTTGCGATTTCTGCCTGCCATGCCCCTGTTAAAGGCTCAGGAATCCTCTGGGGTCAGGGAGAGAATATTTATACCCTATAGATCTTTTAAGTTTACAAAAACTGAAAGAGTGTCATCCTAATGAACGTATGACATGCATGTTTGGGGAGTAATAAGGGTTGAAGTAGACAAGTAAGCATATACGGTATTTCACTAATCAGCTGCAATGTAAGCAGGTACTAAACATAGGTCTAGTCCAATTTTCACCTTTGCTTCCTCTGTTAAATTGAATGACTTTGTGAAGCAATCCCCTGCCTCAGGGTACCACTGGCATTGAGGAAAGCTTTATATTCCTTTCTATTCCTCAGCTAGCCAAAGTTTAACAGGTTCCTGCTGAACTCCATGACTCATGGTTAATATACTTTCACCTCTGTCCCTCTGATTTCCAAGATCACTTGGTTAAAACTATAGCAAGAAGGATGAAAACAAATGTAGCTTGATTGCAGCTGATTTGAAATGGATTCCTAGCAGCATATCTGTGTAACCAGGTGTAAACAACTGTGCTGGTTTTTACATAAATGTTTGCTACGTCAGCTAGAAAATATTTTGCTCTGTAATGCCTTGTTGGATGAGGCCAAAGGTCCATCTAATTCAGCCTTCATGTCTCCAGCATTGACTCTCCACACATTTCATCATGTTGTTGTTGTTGTTTAAAAAAAATACCCTGGTGTGAAGTCAGAATTTCATCAAGGAAAGCCTTTTCCTCTCCATGTCAGGAAAATAATGCCTGTGTCAACTGTGAAAGGTTCAAAAGCCCCCCCCCCCCGTGTGTGTGTGTGTGTGTGTGTGTGTGTGAGAGAGAGAGAGAGTGAGAGAGAGAGAGAGAGAGAGAGAGAGAGAGAGAGAGAGAGAGAGAGAATCAGCTTAGACAGTGATTTTGTTAAAAGAATATTGACCCTGGCTGCTTGGCTACTCCAACAGGACTCAGCATCAAGTTGCAAAAAGAGCTTGGCCCACAAATGGCTTTGTGGGTTTGCCAGTCTTTACTGCAGGTTTATCTGAAACTTTGCTAATTCAGTTATATTTCCTTCCGCCTCCTTGGAGGAAGAATTATGAAGTTTGGAAGGTGGGGAATCAGTGACTCATATAACCTGGACAGCTCTGCAGTTTTTATGGCAGAGGCTTCCATCTACAGCAATTACATCCAGAGTGCAGTGTGATGAAAGATCATGCCACCAGACTTATATTTCCTTGAAATATTGGAGAGCCCTTGATTATAAGCCTCTTCAAGAATGGGCTCTTTTCCTCTTAAGAATGCCTTGTTATAGATAGACAATACACCTAATTATTTGACTCTTGGATATGAACAATCATAATGAAGTGGAACATTTTTAGATACATTTTTTCAGACTGAATAAATAAGGTGGTTTTGTGGAAGGAATTTTATCCTAACCTAAATATATCTAAGGGACCCGGGTGGCGCTGTGGGTAAAAGCCTCAGCGCCTAGGACTTGCCGATCGAAAGGTTGGTGGTTCGAATCCCCGCGGCGGGGTGCACTCCCATTGCTCAGTCCCAGCGCCTGCCAACCTAGCAGTTCGAAAGCACCCCTGGGTGCAAGTAGATAAATAGGGACCGCTTACTAGCGGGAAGGTAAACGGCGATCCGTGTGCTGCGCTGGCTCGCCAGATGCAGCTTGTCATGCTGGCCACGTGACCCGGAGGTGTCTGCGGACAGCGCTGGCTCCCGGCCTCTAGAGTGAGATGAGCGCACAACCCTAGAGTCTGTCTAACTATTTGCTCACATTCAGCCCTTACTGCCTCTGTCACACCACAATTCCTCTCCATTGTGGTCTTCACTATCAAAATTCTGATTGTGATCTCCTTGTTGCAAGGACTTGTTCATTAAATGTATATACTGTATACAGCTTGTACAGCATATGGGTGGTTTTCAAACCCACTAAAAGCACAATAGCGAGCCCATTTGCTTATTTTAGTCAGTAAACTGCAAAGCATGCTAATGACATTACAGTGGTAGCTGTACAAACTTAATTCGTTCCGGAGGTCTGTTCTTAACCTGAAACCATTCTTAACCTGAGGTACCACTTTAGCTAATCGGGCCTCCTGATGCCACCGCACCACTGCCGTGCGATTTCTGTTCCCATCCTGAAGTAAGGTTCTTAACCCGAGGTACTACTTCTGGGTTAGCGGAGTCTGTAACCCGAGGTGTTTGTAACCCAAGGTACCACTGTACATTAATAATAATATTTCAGCTATATTTTATACTGTGTATTCATGTCTGTATTTCCTGTACACTGATCACAGGTACAGTTGTTGACTACAACCCTAGACCTGTTAAACTAGTCATGCTGTTTTCCAATGAAACACTGGACATTTCAAATTGGGCTATGGAACTAATATATTGTTGTACAGCACCCTAATCTTCAAGCAGTGTGAGATTCCAGGGATTCCAGGTGCTTTCTCAGGGTTTGTGTTTCCTCAGAATGAGGGGCAGGGGAGACTGTGGTGTCTTTATGATACAGGCATCCTCCCACTTGCACAGGGGTCCGTTCTGGGTCACCACACCTGTCATTCCTGCCTGTTCCACCTTAGTCCCCTCGGTCCCTTTTGGTGTTGTTTTTAGTGCGCACGACACCAATGCACACGAGTGGGGAGTTGCCTGTACAGTATATGGTTTATTTACACACATATAAAACCCTAGCCTACAATGGAGGAGCTCACAGCATTAACACCCTAAGAGGATCTTGTGTCTTCCATAGCCACATCCTTGGACTCAAACGGGAATCAGGCATGGCTGTGCCTCCCCCAGGTTTCAGCCTGCAGCCTTGCTTCTAGCTCGCACACACTGCTTGTGCCCAGAATAAAAGCAGCCACTGAAGTCTAAGTGTTAAATCCTATGCATGTTTACTCAGAAGTAAATTCCACCATGGGTTTACTCCGTGGTGAGTGTGTTAAGGACTATAGCTCAAGTAAATGAAATTACTTGCCTCAGCCTGCGTCTAAACATCATAGTGTGTAACACCAAGGTATGGTTCCTAATGCTAATGTTTGTAAGAAATAACATGCTAAGTATAGATCTAACATTTCCTAACTTCTAAGGGATGACAAAAATAAACTGAATCTAAAGAATTGGCAGCTATTAAAACAATCTCAGGAAAAGTACACAGCTGTAACGTATTTTGCTTTGCACCATCTTTATTATTTCTTGTTGATTCCACTCCCCTTTCATCTTTGATATAAATATATGGAGTTGCTTTGTTCATGAGCTTTGTGTGCTCAGCACTTCTTTGTTTGTTCCTCATGTCATAAATAATGTGCCTTAGAAAAGCACTGAAGAAAGATGCAGCATGCTAGTGGCACCAAAACACTGATTCACATTTATTGGTATCCGTTAAGGTTAATATAGAAAAACGCCCTCAGAAGTATTGGACACATTTTCACAGATCTGAGCATGCAAGCATGTTTACTGACTGTATGTATAGCTAATGAAGAATAACTTCTAGATCAGGGATGGGGAGCCTGCAGTGACCTTCCAGATGTTACTAAACTACACCTGCCATCTTCTCTGACCATTGGTCATGCTGTCTGCACTGATGGAAGTGGGGGGTCCAACTATGCCCAAAGGGCTACAAATTTACCATCCTGTTCTAGATGTACAACCATCCACTTTGCAATGCTTAGCCAGATTCTTGAAATATCAGAATGCATATTTAAATGCATAGATTAAAGATTTGTGGCTCATCTACACTTCCACTTGTCCCATGCCTAGAAAGCATGGATCTGAGCAGTTTCCGCTTGTCATGTGCTTTCTAAGCACAGGTCCAAGTGGTTTTACCTTCGCCCCACCACATCCCCCTGGAAAACCCACTCTTTAGCACCAAGTTGGAACAAATGTCAATCTTCAGAAAACACAATTACCATTTATCCTGATTCAGTGCTGAAGGTCGGGTTTCCCTGGGAGAAAGCGGTGGGGCAAATGCAGGTGTGGATAAGCCCTTTGTGTGTGACAAGTTGTGTTGCAATTAGGTAACTATGGCTGCCTTTGCATTCGGTGTTTTTGGAAGTGTTATATTTTTGGTTGTTTTTATTACTGAATTTGTATACCGCCCTTCATCCAAAGATCACTGGGCAATTCATAACATAAAAATACAAAATGAGAACACAAAATACATAACAAAACAAAAACAAACCAATAACCCTCTCTCCCACAAACACATTTAAAAGGCTATCAAATGTTTAATCAGCCAAATGCCTGGTTATAGAGAAACAGTTTCACCTGGCGCCATGTGTAATGAAGGCACCAGGACAGCCTTCCTATGGAGAACATTCCAGAAATGGGAAGCCACCACAAAAAAGGCTCATTCTTATGTTGTCACCCTCCAAACCTCTCATGAGGGCCTGAGATGAAGATCGCAGGGTCCAGGTCGGTTCATATGGGGAGAGGTGGTCCTTGAGGTATATTGATCCTCAATATAATACAGTGGTACCTCTGGATACGAACGGGATCCGTTCCGGAGCCCTGTTTGCATCCTGAAGTAAACGTAAGACGTGACTGCGCATGCATGGGTCGTGTTTCGCCACTTTCGCGCATGTGCGTGACGTCATTTTGAGCATCTGAGCATGTGCGCGTGGCAAAACCCAGAAGTAGCGCGCTCCGTTACTTCTGGGTTGCCGTGGAGCACAACCCGAAAATATTCATCCCGAAGCTACTTCAACCGGAGGTATGACTGTAGTTGAGAGGCTCACAGATTTCTCATACATATGCTATATTAAACTATACGTATTTTAAAGTCAGAAGCGTATGGTATGGTAAAGCTATGAAAGTACCATTCACATTCACAAATCTCATATTACAATATTGTATACTGCCACATCTTTACCTCAGCTAGGCAGCAAATATTGTGAGCAATGTTAGGCTGAAGTTACCAGCCCATGATCATCAAGTAAGCTTTGTGGTTGGCTCAGATTTGAACCAATGACAATGTTGTCCACACTGATGATAAGAATTCAGCCTACTACACAGTCAATACAAATCCCAGTCTATCAGTTCTAGGCAGTGACCAGCACAGATGCCCTGAAATGTTCATCAAGTGCATTATAAAAGAGCTATGAAGACAGTCGGAGCTGACCTGCTTTCTAAGAGAATGCAGTTCCATAACAACTTGCATTATTTAGGGCCATTAGTGCTAGTTCTAATAATAACAAAGACTTATTAAGACTCAAATGCTTCATGAACATTATTACCTCTGAGCAAAACACTCTTGCCCTGGCACAGTAATTGGTTCTTTTGCAGCAAGAATAGTTATTGTGTCCTGTTTTTAGAATAACACGGGGAAAAGCAGTTTCAGTGGGGAAATTAATCTGAAATAAATATTTAAGAAGAAAGGTTCAGTGTAGCCGAAAATGGAATGAGGTGAAAGAGTTGCACATCACATTTGGCTTGACATTTGCTTTTATGGTTTAAAGCCTATTCTAGTATTCCCTAGCAATAACTTGTAGTCATGCTTGGAATCTTGTTCCTCTTACTGCAAATATTATTTAAGGGCAAAAGGAAAATCCAGCTGTGTGTAATTGTTTTAATAAGGTGTATGACGTATGTTTAGCATATCTATCTTGTAGCAAGAAATTAAATATTGGCAGAATGGTCCAGCAGAAGGTCAGGCCAACTACATCTGCCTTTTCCTATTTGGCTTTTGGGTACATTGCTAAATATGCTAATTAGAATTTAAGAATCATTTCATCCCAATTCAGGATTATTCCCTACAAAGTCTGCAGAATTATTTTCCTTAAGCCTGCAGCGAAGGGCTTCTTGGCTCAAGTGTCTTCATTTATTTTTCGGTATGTGAGTGTGCATGCATGTGTATCTTACAACAAAGATAACATTTCATGCTTAAAACGAGGTGGGCTGTGGTCCATAAAAACTTGTGCCGCAATAAACAAATTAGATGCCATGACTCCTTATTGTTCTTGTTTTAAATATCTGGGTCTCTTCGAGCCTTTTTTCATTCAGATGCTCAAGTCTTTCCCCTCTGTTTTCTCCAAATAGAAAAACTGTTCAGGTGCCAAACATTCTCCAGTACCCATCAAGACAAATGTAATTATTTTTCTTTTAAGTGAGACTTCAAAATGGTTTATTTTGTCAGCTATAACATGCAGTCCTTACACATTTGTATCAGATACTGGGGAACAATCTTATTTAAAACTGGCAGCTAATAACAGATGTTAGGAAGATAACTAAAAAGATTCTCATTTAGGGGATGTAATATGCATCAGAGTTTGGGAAGTTACATTCTCCAGCTACTGCGAGAGGCAAAAAGAAAGAAATAAAGAAAGAAGTTCAAAGCAAGGGCGGGGAGAGAGAGAGTTGGCTAAACGTGAACAGTCCCTAATCTTCCATCCAACCTACTTAAATTTCAGCAAGGGCTATTCTTAAAGGGAAGCTAACTCATGTGTGAATTCTAAGCAAAATCATTTGGATTCCATATGTATGGTAGTCCAGGTGCTATTCTATATAAAAGAGTATATGCATACAACTCCCGATAGCTGAATAATATAAATCAAAGGGATTGTACGGTTTCTTAAAGAAAAGAAAAAAGGATACAGTAAACTAGGTGATTTGATAAAAAAAACCCAATTCTTAATTGTATACGGTGAAAGTTTGGTGGAAGGAGACCAGGCCACAAATCTATCTGCCTGGAGCTCTTTCACATGTTTTCACCAGCCATAGCTCAGGTGGAAGCAGGATGCATAAACAGGCCCCTGCGTCTGACTTTAATAGATGGACAGGATCATATGTGAGGAGATGGTCCTTCAGCTATGAAGAAAGGCAGTGTAGTACAACAGCGTAAATATGAATAGATGTGGAGAGTGCACTACAGCAGTGGACCCTAAATGCGTAGAGTTAATGTTTCTCCTACCCAAAACTAAAATGAGACAAAAAGCATAGCCAAGGCGACAGAAAGCTGAGATAGTGCAAATTGACCATGGGAACAAGGTCAGATACCACTTTGCAGCCCCCACATTCAGTCCAAATGTTTCCTGATCTCTTTTCTGCAAAGATAATCAAACTCTGTACTAAAAAAGCATTCAGTGTTCTTCTCATGAACAAAACAAATAATAAAAGCATGTATTGATGCTGCATATCCTGATGCAAGGCTATATATTATTGTATTCCATATCACTGCTCAGGATGTTGGAACCACAGGCAGGATGCAATTTGCTTATAGTTTAACCACAGGTGAATGTCATATCAATAAATATAACTCAGCCTGTTTCACTCTTCCTGCATCACCAATTTGTAGCAGGTTAATGCTAGCACAGTAACACAATGGTGAAAGAGGACTCTCTTCTTTTATTTCTGGTGCCTCTGCCTCCTGTGTTCTGCCTCACCATTACTCAAATTTCTCTGTTTGTAGCAGGTCAAAATGCGGTGTCCAAGCACCATCTGACCTGTTTTTAAGGGGTAAATTTCAGCTCTTGCATCCTGAAGATGTGGACAGAGTGCTTGCAACTGTTTGCCCAGCCACAAACTCTCTGGGCACTCTTATCAATCCTGGGGTGGGTCCAGGGTCCAATCTGCCTGCTGCCCTTAAACCTGCACCTACTTCTGAAGGCCACTCTTGACATGGAGGGTTCTTGACAACAACCACCCAGTCACAAATAGCCCCTTCCTGGACAAGATGCATCAGTGTGGTGGCAGTGCAGTTACAGGAGCTTCTGGAGAATATTGGTTATCTGGACCTGTTCCAATCTGAGTTCAAGCTGCATTTTGGAACCAGATCAATCTTGTTTCCCCTGAGGGGTGACCTTTATCAGAAGAAGGAAAGGGAGATCGTGATGCTGTTTCTACTTGATCTCTCAGAGGCTGTTGGTACCAAGAATCATGGCATCCTCCTAGACAGTCTTTGTGAATTAGGGGGATTCCACTCCTACCTACAGGACTGGTTATAGAGAATAGGGTTGGGTGACATCACCTCAGTCCACCAGCTATTGTAGTGTGGTGTGCTGCAGAGTAACATATTGTCCACAGTGCTATTTAACATCTACATGAAACCACTGGAAGCAGCTGTTAAATAGCAAAGTGTAATTTGTCATTCCCTCATGTGAAATGTAAAAGGTAGAACACCTCAACTTGCAACCAACTACTCAGTGGATGATTTCAATGCTTTTTTGCTGCTGCATCATACTGTTGTATACCAGGGATGGGGAACCTCTGGCTCCTCAGATGCTGCTGGAATATAACTCCCATCATCCCTGGCCAAGCCAGCTGAGGTTGATAGGAAATGGAGTACCAACAACATACGAGGTGGAAAACCAGTGATCCTCTAGCTGTACACTGTCTTGAGTTGCTAGGAGGGAGGGCAAAATATAAATGTAATAAACTAATAATGCTATCAGATATTGTTTAGAAGGGCAAAGTTTCCCTTAGTTTAAGTTTTTATACATATAGGTACAAACATATGGCTACCTTTTCCCCCCTCAGGAAGATTGTACCATAGGAAAGCCATGTCTCCTACGGAGCTTTACAGTGCAATCCTAAACACATTTACTTAGAAGTAAATTCCACTGTTTTCAGTGGTGCTTACTCCCTAGCAAGTGTATTTAGGATTCAAGCCTTAAGCAATTTAGGAGTGTGACCCTGGGCCTCTTCCAGCACAGCACTTTGCCTCAGAATCAAAAATAGGAGTGCAGCGTCCTTGTTTATTCAAATGTACTTTGTTAGAACTCCCATTTGAGGCTGCAACAATCCCGCCCACATCCACATTCTCAAGATTACATCAGAACACTGGCAGGAATTCTAAATTCCTGGTGGATGTCAATTACACTCCAGGAAGCCAAGAACATAGGAAGCCACTCTCATGCTAAAATGATCGTGATGATTGTAAATGAGATCTTACCTGTCACCATCCTCATATTTATCATCAGTTTCAGCAGCAATGAACAACTATCCATAGGTAACTCATGTACACTATGGAAGATAACATGTACAGTCATGTCTTGAGACAGCATCCTCCTATATAGCCTGCCTTTCCTCCACCACAAATTGCTCAAACCAGCATTCTTCCACTTTGCAAAGGTTCCAAAATCCACAATTGGGCAATATCTTCATTTGGAAAGTCAAAACATTACACGATAGTGAGTGAGCTTTTGATTTCTCCACAATTTTCAATCAGGATAGATGTTAGCAGGAGGAAGAAACAGGATAGGGAAAAACACGATTTGTGTAACACTCTGTAATGTGAAGAGTTCTAGAGAACTACAAAACTTTATTTCTATTTTGTGTTATTTTTGTTGTTACTATAAAAGTATTAAGCCACCTGTGGATTTTATCATTTTCCTTATAGAGGAAACACCTCATGTTTTATTTGTAATTCTTGGTCACTTTGAGTTCAATTGAAATAAAACTGCCATAAAAATAGATGTAGTGTGCCCTGCTGTTTACTGATACAAATACTAAAATTTAACACTCCTGGTCATTTATTTGGAAATAAATGTTGATTATAATTGAGCTCAGATCCAGATAAGTAGGTTTGTAATCAGTATGCAAGTCACAATTAAGTCAACAGATTTAGACCAACAGAAATGTGTTTTAACACCCCCTCCCATACCTTATGAATTTTATAAACAGCATCCTATTAATTATATTTATTCAATGAAATAATTCATTAGCAAAAAATATAATGCTTAATACTGGTCTTGAAGAAGATGTGCCATATGTAATAACTGCCTTTTCTATTTTATAACGCACACATTGGAGCCAATGCGTTCCTATGCATTGCCAAACAAACAAACAAAGAAAGTGTCTATTCTCTGACAGTATTTTGCATGTTTTCTTGCATGTCAGAAAAAAAAGCTGAACCCTAAAAACCATCAACAAATAGACGAATCTTCCTCCTTGGTCATGCTCAAGAGCAGAAATAGTTATAATGGCTGCAGACCTTTTTGTTAGGATGGTACTAGGGAAACTTCAAAGTGTGCATCATACTTGTGTTTAACAGGAAACTATTTTTGTTTCAGAAGTAAACCCAGCTGTGATCAAAACAGCAAAACAAACAACACAGGCCTCTGTTTGGCCACTGTGAGAAGAGGATGCTGGATTAGATGAGTCATTAGCCTGTTCCAGCAAGCTCTTCTTATGTTCTCAACAATGAAGAGAGTTTTTGAGAGAAAAGTACAGCTAGAAGGGCTTAGCTCCTAACATCCATCCTGTGTCTTAAGTCTTTCCTCTTTCCGATGTATTCAGCATTGCCTGAGTCAGACTACGACGTTGTCAGATATAGTGGCACCCTAACAGCACAACCCTATGAATGCTTACTCAGAAGGAAGTCTTACAGTGTTCAATGGAAGTTCCTCCCAATTAAGTGTTAATGAGGACTGAGATGCAATCCTAAGCATGTTGCTCACTCAAGCGTTTCAATATGTTCAAAGTGGTTAGTACAGGCAGCTTTGAAGCCAAGACTATCTTGTTTTAATGATGAGGGTTGACCTGTATATTGAACCTCTGTGGATCTCTTCAACTCTAAGGCTGCTTCTGGATGATGTCTACTGAACATTCATCCTGATCAGTTTGCAGGGAAGTTGGATGACAGTTGCATCAAAGCAAATGTAAGCCCACACTTTCCAGTAAATTTCCCCATCACTTTTTATGTTGCTAAAAGTCAGGTCTTTGGGGAAAGTAGATTTGTTGTGGAAGACCTCCCAGTTTCCAATAATTGTGCAACATGAATTTGCTGGTACTGTCTATGATTGAATCACACAATGATATAACTACAGTGTCCTAAGGATGCATACTGAAGTATACTTTTTAAACATATATTTTAAAACTTTTTTCATTTTTCTTTTTCAACCCAAGAATATGGAAAGTAATTAGACAGAGGCTCATACAATAATGATAAGTATAATTCTACCTAGGTTTATTAAACACATAATTTAGGAGGACCGTATTTCTTTTTTAGGTGCAGGGAAGGCACGTTGTTTGAAATATAAGATCCCACCCAACTGCATGGGATTGTTCTGCTGGTTCTTCACCTTTCCTCAGGCGAATCTTGTGGGTTATCTTTTCAGCAACTGCAAAATCAAATTGTCAAAAACAATTATTTACAGCAACATAAACCTGGTTCTTTAAAATTAACAAAATAGAATAGTGTGTCATATAAATTTCATTAGAGGGATAAACTACACTAGGAGGAAACCCAAAAGATAAGTTAAGAATACCAGAATGTGAATGTGAAGGCAGTGTTGCAAGTATTTGGGATTCCTTGTCGACTCTTTAGCCATGCTTTGTAAGAAAAGTCTTGTAAGGCTTCTAAAATCTAACATGCGTTCAGGGTTGCAGAGTCCAGTTTTAGATCGGAGTTAACAGGGTTTTTGTTTTTGTTAAGCCAAAACTTTCATGAAGTTTTAAAAAAAACACAAAAAACAAACAAACTCCAGAATAGTCATACTGAATACGTACAAAGCTAACAGCTTCCCGCGGATTATCTCGGAAAGGTTACTAAACTTTGCCGTCATAGCCACGGGGGTGGCACTATAACAATTATGCCGGATTAGTTCATCCGGGGGTAGAAGGAAAACACCGCACGATCGCCTCTCTACACACGATAAGCTTTTGTACAGCTCGAGGGGTGTGACGCTCGCGGGCGGCATCCGCGGCGCCGGAGAAAGCCAGGCTGCCCGCGCGGAGGATAAACCCGCCGCCTTCCGCCCTTCGCTCAAGTGACCGTGACAAAAAAGGAGAAAAAAACCAACCCCCTCGTCACGTATCCGGAGTCCCCGCCTGCCTGCCTGCCTCTCCCGCCCACGCCAGCCAGTCACTCCCGACGGGATCAGAGCAACCATCGCCTGGCCGCGCGCCCGCGATTTCGTCCCTTTACTACCTGGGCTCGCCGCTCATTGGCTGTGCCAGTCCCGCCCTCGAGGATGACGCCACCAGGCCTCGGCTTGACAGGCAGGTACGGCTTGGGGGCCGCCATGTTGGGAGCGGAAGCGGAGTGAGTAGCGGCGGCGGCAGTAGTAGCAGTAGCCCTGCTGGACGTCGGGAGGTTGGCTCTGCCCGGCAGCGGCTTCTTCCGAGCCCAGTTCTCTCCGTCGCCCGCGCGTGGGCAGCTCTGCCTCGTCCGCCGCCCCCAGTGCGGGGGTTGGGAGCGCGAGTGTCCCGGCAGTGCCCTCCCCTTGGCCAGCAGCAGGAGGAGGAGGAATCCTGACCCTGAGCCTGAGCGAGAGACTGTGGGGCAGCGGCGGCGGCTCCAGGTGGGGGGAGCTCGGAAGTTAAAGCGGGAAGATGCCGTTAGCGCAGCTGGCGGACCCCTGGCAGAAAATGGCTGTGGAGAGCGCGGCGGAGAGCAGCAGCAGCAGCGCCGAGGTAAGGCGACCTGAGCGGCCGGCCGGGGAGCGGGCACAGCACCCCCTGCTGCCGCCGCCGCCGCTGAGCCCCGGAGGGCGAGGAGGGGCCCGCCAGGAGGCGGGGGGAGAATGAAAAGCCCGTCCTGGGCAAAGGGGAACGTTTTGTCGCTCTGCTTCCGCCTGGGCTTGGGGACCGGCGGCCGCTTCCTCTTTCTTCGAAATGCCCCATGCGAGGCAGGGCAGCCCCCTTGCCCGTCTGGGGGCTCTTCGTGGCCCCCTTGGCCGCATGCTGTGTCTCCCCTCTCCCGCCTCACCCCGTTCGCTCCTTTACTCCAGATTAGCCAAGTCCGCTTCCCTCTCTCGCCCTCGCGGCTCTCGGGGGCAGCGAGTCACGAAGGGGCGCGTTTCCGACTCTCACCCTTTTCAGCGACAGGATATTTAAAATCCGTATTAGTAATGGCTTGCTAGGCGGCGAGGGAGAGAGTGGTGTGGGCAACTCTTTTGGCACACAAACCCCCTCTTCCCGTCTTGATCGCCCCGGTTCGGAGAATAAATTTCTTTTGGCGGCAGAACGGTTTCTCTGTACGCAGTGGCATTGAGATCTCTGGCATAATGGAGAGGGCACAGTTTACCTCTGCCTTCCTTTGAAAGGAATTTAGTGGGATCTCCCTGTTGGGGAGGAGGAGGGAGATAAAGTATGTGAGGGGGTGCCTATGCCCTTCTCTTCTCCCCTCTTTACTGAAACAGATCTGTTTTGTGATGGGATTTTTCACCTTAGGGAAGAAACATGCTGATCCATACCGCTAACGCTGCTGATGGCTTTCAAGCTAATTTCGAACAGCCTCCTTATTCCATTTGTTTGCAAGGGACGATAGTCAGGGGAAGTGGAGGGGGCGAGACCCCTGACTGCTGGTCAGGGCAAGGCCAGTGGGTTAAGAAAATCATAAGAGGGTGGGAGCAAAGGGACTTTCCCATCTATAGCCAATGCTACTACTGTTCTGAAATTTGCTGGAGGAGGAGTTAAATAGTGTTAAACTTCGGAATATCTCAGTAATCATCTTTCCTCTCTCCACTTCATAAGGTGCAGCCCGAACACATCACCTTTATGAAGCCAAGAACATCTGGGTTAGGTGGTTGTGGTGTGGGTTGCTGTCAGATTGTCAGATCTGTGGTAGAAACTGAAGGGTTGAATGACTTGGCAGCTTTTGTTCTTTTTGATGGTGTTCGGTTACTTTCCCCGGCTACTGTCTCTTCCTCCCTCCCTTCCCCCTCATTTTGACCGGATGCTCAACTTCCTCCATGTACAGGTCTGTAACCAGGCAGTAGGAACAGTTTGCACATGAGAGCAAGTTTTTTCTTTTCTCATTTTTAAAAGGGGAAGTCCTCATATCCTGCTTCCGCTGAAAGCACGGACCAATATAGGAACTGGTGGTCATCGTCTCCATCCCCCCCCCCAAAGTTCTCATGATCCAAGAAGCAATGTACTTTATGTAGTTGAAGCAGCATGCTTGTGGTTTGATCAAGTTTAGATAATCTGGCTTAATTAGTTGCTTTCAGGGTATGGTTCTGAGAAAACCTCTCTGCTGTTTCATCAAGTGGTTCCTTTTATTGGTAGTAATAAGGTGTTGTGATAATTTGGCATAATTAAATTACCCTGTTTCTAGTTTTGTTAAATCCCGACCTGAAGTATTCTGTTCTTTTTGACTTAGGCTGATAAGTAGAGCAACAGTATTTGTGTTTATAACACTTTGTTCCATAAAGAGTTTGTTTTAAAAAAACCATTTGCCTCAGAGGTGTAATAACAATAAGGCATTTTAACTGTATTTCTATGAATGACGTATCATTGCAGCCTATTGAAATATATCAGTTCCCCTATGGAGACAACCAGATAGCATGTCTAAATATCATTCCAGGAGCTAAGTATAATGTTTGAAAGACGCTTATGATCTGTGTTGTGCTTGTTATGTGCAGAACATAAAAGTAACCCCACTGGATCAGACCAAATGTCTGTCCAGGCCAACATTCTTTTCGCACCAGATGCTTATGGAAATCCCAGCGGCAGGACATGAGTACAACAGTATTTTTCTATTCATGATTGTCACTGGCTGGTTTTCAGAGACCTACTACTCCTACAGTGAAGATAGAATAAAGTCATTATGGCTAGTAGATGGTCTTACTTTCCATGAATTTGTCTAATTCCCCTTTTAAAGCCTTTAACTATGAACTATGTGAAGAACAGTTTGCACAATTTTATGCAGTTCTGTCATGTCTGTCCCCCCTTATTTATAGCAGGGCAGTCAAACGTGGCTCGAGGACTACATGTGGCCCTTGATGCCTTTTTTGGTGCTCCTCTGCACCCCCAGGCCTCTTTTCCAAAGCATATAAATGCATAGCATAGTAACAACCCCCCCCCCAATAGATTGTTTAATTAGCCAGAGGCATTCCCAGCTATATCAAGGGTAGCCAGCATGGTGCCCTCCAGAAATTACTGAAGTACATCCCTAGCCATTGTCCATGCTAACTGGGGCTGATGGGGGTTGGAGCATGACTACATTAGCCCATGCCATTGGTGCCAGGATGCAGCATGACCACTGACTTCTCCCCATCACCATCTGCCAGCCTTTCTAGATGATGTATGACATTTGCAGTCTTCACACCAGGCAGGCAGGTCAGAAACTTAGCTATTTTTGTTTATAATGATAAAATTGCCCACTACCAGGAGTATCTGCTCATCCAGATAATCTTTGCCAGCTCCACACATTTCTGATTGTGACTAGCCTTGGTGTAGAGATGTTATATGCTATGGAGCCAATGAACTTATAAGGGTTTCAAACATAATATGGTATGCTGCTCCATGGAAAAACTTCTAAGTAGATCCCACTGGAAGAGTGCATCTTTCAAAAAAGTACTTTTGATGTGAAATAATTAAAAGTGTTTCTTCCCACCCTATTCTTTCAAGACAGTAGTGTGGTTTAAATTAGTGAATAAATAATAATATTGCATGGGAATGCTCGTAGTAATAGACCTTGGTAATTAGGAACAGTGCTTGTTTAATACGTGATTGTGACCCAAAAGCCTCTGGCTTTCTTTGCATAAAGAATTAAATATAGCCAGTTTCATTTGGTTAAGTGAAATTAATCTAAATGTCTGTATGTTTCTCAAAACTCCAGTCTGAGCTGCAACTAGAGTTGGTTATGAACATAAGAACAGCCCACTGAATCAGGCCAGGGACCCATTTGTCCACATCCTGTTCTCTCAGTACCCAACCAGATGTCTGTGGTTTCCACTAACTGATACCCAGAAACATACTATCTCTGACAGCAGAGGTAGAACACAGCCTTATTCACCAGGAATTTGTTTTACAGCCATCCAAGATGGTGGCCATCACTACCTCTTGTGGGAGTGAAATCCATAGTATAACTATTCATTGAAGGAAGAAGTACGGTAATTTCGTTTGTCTGTGCTGAATCTTTCAACATTCAGCTGCACTGAATACCCCCAAATTTTAGTGTTATGAGAGAAACTTTTTTCTATCCACTTTTTCCATAGCATGCATAGATTTATACACTTTGATCATACTGCCTCTTACTTGGCTTTTCTCTAAACTAAAAACTGCAACCTTTCCACATAAGGAAGTGGCTCCATCCTCCTCCTGATCATTTTGGTCTCATTCCTTGTCAGTCACGGCCAGTTCAGACCCCAGATAGGTGAGGTTAATTATTAATTTTTTGTCCCAAATGCATGACTCTCATCAAAAATGGATGTTAAGGAAGGGAAAAAAGATTATAACAGTAACTCAAAGCCATTTTGCTTAGTGGAATACAGGACAAAAGCACATTGTGTGTAGATGGCTGGCTGGAGAGATGGGGAAAGTGTGCATTACTTTATTCTAAAACTTCTAATTATATGTTAAGTGTTTTCATCATGTAAGTATTTAATCCTGGCTATAGTATTTGCTTATATCAAAATGTTTTAAGAAGGCAAATTGTAGTATTTAATGGTTTGAAGTGAGAATAAGCCCCTTTCTGAAAAATTGCTTCTTTGCCTTTTTTTGAGACTGTCAGTAGGGAAAGCGCTGGTCATATTGATAGAGGGCTGGTGGTACCATAACCTATGCAGACAATTGTCTGCTATCAAATGGGGCTTGGAATCTGTTCTAGGTGCCCTTAAACTGTTCATACTTCTCATCCCTGGCACACTTTCCTATTGTACTGTCATGGGTTGTGGTAAGCTGCTATTCTCACCACCAATATCCTTGCAACAACCTTGTGGAGATAATATGCCCTCCCAGCTGAAGCAAATACGGTAGCAAAGAAGAATGTGTACAGAGCTGTGTTGCAACTTTTAAACTGACATTTTAAACAAACATGTATATGTTCCTGTAAAATGCCGGAAATGTAAATGAACAAGATACTATATTTGCAGGGCGGCATTGTGAGAGATTTCAGTTTCTTGTTTGAAGGTTATAGAATTGAAAATGCACTAGAATGTGCATTACCAGTTAATCCAATAATTTGCTTATGAATTACCTAAAAAACAGCATTTAAACCTACAAGGAGCAATTGAAAAAATATGTTTATTAATTTTTGAGAACACAGCTGTAAAAAGTAAGATGTACAAATCAATGAAAGAAAAATTAAAAAAAACCTTAACTGTAACCATTACTGTGCCTGAGTGAAGTACAGAGGTTGTTTACATCATCCTCTTCATATTCAGTTTTAAGAAATAAATATGGAGCGAAAAATATGGAGCAGTGAGCAGTTTGAGAGAAACAAAAATATAACTTGGGGATTCAGCCTTAAGCATATTCACCTAGGAGTAAGTTCTGTTGAAATTAACATGACTACTTCTGAGTAAATATGAATATAATTAGGCTGCAAATTGAAAAAATTGAAGCCCTTACTAATGGCTGTCTTCAGCATTTTCCAAAAATATCTGGCTCATTGTAGTGATACATCATTTCTGCAATCTTAACTGCAGTTAGCCAAATTAACCTGTGCGCAAGCCACATTCAAGTGCGAGTATGCTGAGCTCTACTGTTTTGCAGCTTCAGGGAAACCACTGACTTTGCATTATATCTAAACCAGCACTCATAGCTTGCTTACCCCCCCCCCCCAGCATGATTGGGCAGTGGGCAACTAAGAAAAAAACTTGGCTTCAGATTGTGGTCTGTTTTGAGAGAAACAACCCACAAGCACTGGTTTAGAGTATTGCTAAGCCTGCCACTCCATGGTTTGTTTCCCTCACAGAGGGAGGGAGGAGCGAAGCAGGAGAGCTCAGTCGGCATGCACTTTCACGTGGCTCATGCATAGGCTAATTGATTACCTGTGGTTGTGTCTGAACATGATCATTGTAAAGACAGTACAGTGGAACTTTAGGTTACAGACGCTTCAGGTTACAGACTCCGCTAACCCAGAAATAGTACCTTGGGTTAAGAACTTTGCTTCAGGATGAGAACAGAAATCGTACAGCAGCGGCGTGGCGGCAGCGGGAGGCCCCATTAGCTAAAGTGGTACCTCAGGTTAAGAACAGTTTCAGGTTAAGAACGGACCTCCCAAACAAATTAAGTTCTTAACCCGAGGTACCACTGTATTATTTACTGTGATATGTACATTGCTGTTAGTACAAAATTCATAAAAATGCTAAACGATACATATACCTACAAAATATCATTTTTCCTGTTAATGACCTTTGACCTGCATAGCTTTTACACTCAAATCTTTTACCAGAAAGGTTGCAAGATAAAATAAGTTTGCAATCTTCTTTGTATTGTAACTTGCATTATTTTTCCAATTATTTGTGTGTTTTCTTACTGTGTAGTCAGGTATTTGAAATGCCAGATTACACTAGCAACTGTAATACTTGGAATTTTGTGATTTATCTTGCATTGAAACATCTAGACAATATTTTCTAATATGGAAAACCATTGTAAATTGACTTATTTTTTACTTACTTTCTTCTACAACTTAGCCCCACTGCAATCTTTCAGTTGTTACCGATGTGAACATGTTATACATCTATCTGTATCTGTTTTAGAGTAAGACTAATATGTGGTGATGAACAAACCAGAGGGCTAAACAGTCTTTGGCAATGTGTCATTTTAGTACACTCATCCTGCTGGAGAAAATGACTGGCTATAATGAATCACCTTTCGCGACCAGCCCTTCACTAGTCTGATTTACTAGCCAAATCATAAGACAGATTAGAGATCTGGTACATGCAGCTCATTCTTGCTGGGTGTCCCTTGTGAGCAAGGAAATTATATGCTGCTAAAAGGAATGTAGAATCATATAGAAGTTAGTGCAAATATGTGTTCTACGAGTTTTACTTGGAATACTAATGTTCTTAATGTGATAATGATGCTACACATTAAAAGTGTAAGGAATTGTGCTCTAAATTTTCTTCACATCCATTTAAATGTTTTTATATAAAATAAACTCTTGCTGGACCAAAGCAGTATTTTAGTAGACGGTAGTGTATTTTGATTTGGATTCAGGAGGATGAGTAAGAGTCTGGTGTGTTTCTTTGGGTTACCCAGACAACAAAGTGATAAGAAATTGTTAAAATATACATCTCTTGGTTTTGCATCAGGTGGTGAAGGCTGCTTTGCCATCTTTGACATTGAAAGTTGGATAACTGCCTGGTGTAAGTAAGTGGAAATTAGTAAGTAGGGTCTGAAGAAAGAGGAGAGTCATACAGAGGCTTCTGTTTGTTTCTGGGAAGGTGTTGATAAATGCAGTGCTTCTTATCTTTGGCAGTTCCCAGTGCCAAGTCACACTGAAATACACCCATCTTGATATTTTGCTTTAAAGTAGTGTCATCCTAGGAAGTGTTTTAGAGTAACTTCCTTTGAGCAGCCAAGTCTGGATGAGAAGTTGGTAGACAAATCCTGTGCTCCAGCTAACATGGCTGTTGCTTTAGTGCTGTTTAGATCCTTTTGCAGGGGTCAGCAAGGTTTACCTCGCCTGGGCCGGTTCACTCCAGCAGAGATCCCTCCATGGGCCAGATCGCATGTGTGAGCGCACCCGCCCGTGATTTCTGGCATCTACGTCTGCGCAAATGTGATTTCCTGCATCTGCGCATGCACAGATGCGATCTCTGGCACTATAGAAGTGAGTTCCCATGCAGCGCCAGTTTAGCACAGCGCATGGGGACTTGCCGTGCAGGCGGCTTGGTTTGGGGGCGGCTGGTGGGCTGGTTAAACGACCCCAAGCCATGGGCCTTAGGTTGCCAACCCCTGCTCTTGAGTGTGCAGGCTGGGGGGACTTGCTCTCAACCTGTTATCCTATTGTACACAAATTATTTACCTATTTTATTTCCTGTATATTTATACTGATTTTCAGGCAATTATTGTTTCCTAAAGTGACTTTAAAAAGAGAGAGAGAGAGAGAAGTCTAGCCATCAGGCTTACAAATGACAAATGCAAGGTACACAAGGAAAGGAGAATAAAGGGAAAAGATCAGTATTAGAAACTGAGATATGAAAGCTAGGAAATAAATGGCACCTTAAACCTAAAGTCTGGGCATGGTTTTTTATAACAAGAATACAAAGCTGAAAATGAATGAACTGCAGCTTAAATATATCATTTTTCACATGGTCTAGTCCTTCCCCTGCTCACCCCTCTAATATTCTTAAGAGGGTCTCTTCTCCAGCCTTCAGAGAGTAGCTGGAAGTGGGGAGGCAGAAAAAGGTCCTCCTTTCCTTCAGCTCTGCAGTTTTAATCTGAAATCTTAGAAGCAGTACTGCGCCCAGAGCTCAGAAACTGCTCACACTAATGAAATTCCCTGTTACAAAATGCGTCTAGAACAATGGGAACACTGGAAAATATAGAGGAGAGATATCAGTTCTTTAAAGCCAGAACAAAATAGTGAGACTGCTAGAGGGTACTAAAAGGAGCCAGAGGCCCATCTAGTCCAGCAGTCTGTTCTTGCAGTGGTCAACCAGAGGCCTATGGGAAGGCCACAAACAATTTTATCCAGGTTGGGCTAGGTTGATCTTCTCTGCTGGTGTTCTTTCTTGAATAGCAATTAGTGTATTTTGTTCATTTGGCCGCTGAATGGAGTCGGGGTGTTCTTTCCCCTTGCTTTTGCATTCCCAGGGCAGCAGGCAGTTATGGCTCAGGGTTCTTTCAAGCAGGGAGTGGGGAAGGCATGCCCCTTGCAGCTGCTGCTTCTCTGGCTGAGAACGATGGCCAGGTTAGACTTCCGATCGCCTTGATATTACTCCTGGGAGGCAGGGGAGGCAGTCTCTTAGTGGTCCTGGGTCCTCTGGGCAATGACAAAAGCCAAAGTGCGTTTTCCTTCTACTCTCCAGTCCCAGAGCAACTCATATCTTTGTTTTTAGTACAAGATAGCCAACCATGCAAGAGCCAAGATAGGAAATAGATATGCAGTGGGTTGCACAGTAAAACTTGACTGATACTGCTTTAATGGATTCGATTTGTACATTGGCAAGAGAAAAAAAAAGTTCTGAAGCAAGTAGCATACATCATTTGATTTTTTAAGGTGATATATATGAGAGGAAAAATCTTATGAGGCATTTTATCTTGCATAAGAGGGAAAGTCCCCTTAATATAGTACTTGCCGTCTAAATGGCCACTTTTAAAGTGGTTTATTGATATATCTAATTGATTAAGCATTGCAGTCCTATAATTCTATTCTTTATCTTCACTTCACAGTAATAGAACTTACTTATTATTTAAAACACAATAATTTTCAATAGAGCTGCATCACATTTGCCATTGTCAAGGTCCAGTTTAAATGTTTGTTTTGTATGATGGGTTGTTGTCTTCACCTTGCTTTTTGCAGATCTGTGGGCTTCTAGTCATAAGTGCTCTAAATAGTTAGTGGCTTAGAATTGTACACCTTATTTTCTTTCTGGAAAGTCCCCCCATTCACTGCCCAGTAAGACAGTAGTTGCAACCATCTTTTATAGTAATTGATACTGGCAAATAACTTTGAGTTTTATCCAATGCTAGTTCTACTCAGAGTAGACCAGGGGTCAGCAAACTTTTCCAGCAGGGGGCCAGTCCACTGTCCCTCAGACCTTGTGAGGGACCGGACTATATTTTGAAAAAAAATGTGAATGAATTCCTATGCCCCACAAATAACCCAGAGATGCTTTTTAAATAAAAGGACACATTCCACTCATGTAAAAACACGCTGATTCCCGGACCGTCTGCAGGCCGGATTTAGAAGGCGATTGAACTGGATCCAGCCCTCGGGCCTTAGTTTGCCTACCCATGGAGTAGATTCATTGCTGTTAATAGACATGACAAACTTAGGTTCATTAAATTCAATTGTTATACTTTGGGTAAGACTTAGTTGAATATAACCCATTGTTTTGTTATTTTTAATAAGATGTAGAGAAATGTTTCTACTTTAGTTGCTTTATGAACCCCCTTTCTTTTTTTTGCAGGATGGCCAACAAATCATGGATGAACCTATGGGAGAAGAAGAGATGAATCCACAATCAGTAAGTAAAACCTGAGTGTTTACATGTTGCCTGGACAGTCATATTCAGGGCAAAAGCAAAATCAAGCATTAGTTACAAAGTTCTTACAATGACTGGCTGGAATAGAGAGGAGGAACCAAAAATTGCTGGGGTCTCAGCTGAGCCTATGCTGTCACCTTGCTTCCCTTCTATCCCTGCCCTCAATTGCATCCTGAAAAAATGCCTATGACTATTGCCATATGACTGTTGAAGGAAAAGAAACGGCTGATGGAGCTGGCTTCTTAGCAGAGCTGATGAAGTAGTAGTGACTCCTGTAGTTAGAATGGCTGTATCCATTGACTGCTGCCGGGTTACTTCATTCTTTATATCAGTTTTGTGGTACTTGTATGCCTAAATACATGTTTGGCTTGTGGCAATAGAATAAAAAAAATGTATTGCATTAAATTTAAACTTTAAGTTTGGAACATGGTCTTCAGTTCTTCTTCTTGTGAACTTTTATCAGAGGAAGGCAGTACTTCCCAGGCATTTAACTGTGCAGTGTTATACATCCCTACTCAGAAAAAAGAGAAGTGTTGCCTTGATATGAGAACTGTAATTTTGTGCTCCTGAGGGAAGTTATTATCATATGAAATGCATTGGACGTTTTTGTTCCACTAACACTATTACTATTCATAAAGATTGATCTTTCAATGGTTTTTGAGACTTTGCTGCCTCTTTTGCTTCCTTTGTTCTTGTTCTTTTTAGTGCTGCCCTTCTCCTCCCCTTTACTTACTCAGATGTAAGCCACAGTGACTGTGTATCGGGTTGCAGCATAACTAGTTTGTAAGTCGTGTTTATCTTAGGAGAACTCAACCTTTGTTCCATAACCCAATGAGAAAAATGGATTCTAGATAATTCCCTGACTTCAGGAGTAGAGGAAAAAGAAATTATGTGCAGGATGAATTTATGCCAGAATGTGTTTCTTAAAACCACAATATTATCCAGTAACCTGTACTGTGTTACTGTGGGCCAATGGAACAAGGTTACTTTTTATGTAAGTTCATTCCTTACATAACAGACTTAAAGTTAAGCTGAAGTGTTCTAACTGAAAGTAGGAATCTTCCACGTGTCCTGGTGAACTGTTCACCAACCTAGGGTACTGTTCTAAAGTTGCTCCAGTCCTTCATGAAGAGCAAACCCCAGAAAGTGGTTATAGGAGATTGCTATTTTGATTTGTAGAGGACCACAAGACCCCCCAACCCTCCAGAGCAGATTTTGAGGGGGGGCTGCATTGGGATGAAAGAAAGTTGTTGTGTAAATGGTTATTGTGTTCTCCCCATGCACAGACAACATTGGATTCAGGCTAAATTATAATAATGTTTTGGTCAAATGCATGATAGCAGGTAGGAAATAAATCAAATAGACATTTCAAATCAGTTAGATATTTCAGCGCCAAGAATTCCAGAAAGTGGTGACACTACCAAGATGTAATTAAAATGATATAAAGGATAGGGAGGGAGATATTTTGGTCAGTTTTCCTCTGCAGCCCTCCCCACCCCCACCCTACCTCCTATGTTGTCCTAGAACAAATATTGGGAATGTGGGAGGGGAATCAATCAAAATTGTTTAGCTCTCCATTCTACTGATGGATGACTGTGCTGGATCAAAGAGACAAGCACAAAGATAAAATCATACATTCTTTACTGCTGAATCAAAGACATAAACACTTGTCTGAGTTTTCACCACAATTAAAAACAAATAATAATTTTACCTAGAAAATATTAGAATTTTCCCAAACCAGTTGTTTCATACAAGGGTGTTGTTTATAAACCAGATAGATGTGTGAAATCTATTCTCTGACATTCATAAAAGAACTTAACACTTTGCAGATTCTTGACAGAGTTTAGCATGATATGCCAAGAACTTCTTTACATATGTAACATTCTGGGATGGAAAGGGGCCAGAAAATCCATTTAGATCTATTTTCAACTTGAGATGTTATGATAAAGTGAAGGAGAATAGAAAGCAGCACATCTGTCATTAATGGCTACTTAAAGGCCTGTAAAATTTCATGGCTCTGGTTAGAATATTTGTGGGGAGGAGCGCTCCATATTTCTCTCTCTAACTTCTACCCTACTTACTCTGCTATACGTTGCTTCAGTCCCTATAGGCATGTCCATTCAACACCCCCATTACTCAACTCTTCTGTTAAAGAGACTGATAGTGATCAAAGTGGTCAAAAGACATTGTCTTTTTCCAAAAGCAAGAGTCCCAAGTTGTTGTGGGGAGGCAATATGCAGTGGTAGCCTATGGTTTTGGGGATCCTGGGCAAGAGAGTCATTTTGGGTCCCTTAAAATTATGAAAGCAATTCAGGCATAACATTTCTCTTAATTCTTTTTATTCTACCCAAAGGAGCCCTGAGCAACAAGCAACAGGTGATAACAGTTCCTTTAAAAACTTACCCTCCCATCCCTACTTTACTCAAACCTCTGCTGTTCTTTGTTTAAAATAGCCTCTCTTTTTTTCCTTTCGGTGTTCCTCGCTTCTTGCTTTACACAAACTTCTTCTACTCTTCAGCTGATTCATGTGTGAGAGAGATATACAAAGCCCTCAGATACCTTCACACAGTGTATTTCACTCCTGGTACCATGTATTTTCTTCAACATTAAGTTCCAGATCTAACGTAATAATTTAGAACATGTTTTATTAACAAGCAAACACCCTACAGTCATACAATATACATATAACATTCATCAACTGAATTTAATATTCTCCAACTGAACAAGCTAACTGATAGGCTTGCTCTTAAGAGTTTATTCATTTTAAAGATTCAGTAACATATGTTATCGTGGGGTGTGTGCAAAGTGGGGTGCAGATTAGGAGAGAGGATGAGGCATAGAAGTGGGGGTGGTCTGTGTGCAAGGGTGAGTTGAAAAAGGTAAGAAGGGGAAGGGGGGAAAGAGAGAATCATGGAAATGTAGAGTTGGAAGGGAAGGGACCCCAAGGGTCATCTGGTCTCTAACCCCTTGCAGTGCAGGAATATCAACTAAGCAAAAGGGTTTGCAAAACAATGATGGAAAAGGAGGCGTGGGAATGGGGTTGAAAATGAAAGCAGGGACATGAAAGGACCTGAGGAATAGGAGGGGATGGTGGCTTTCTAGCTGGATGGAAAGGATATTTAGTAACAATGCGTGGGGCAAGATAGGTGCAAGAGGCTACCATGGGATGGTTTGTGTGCAAGGGGGGTGGTTGCGCAAAAAAGGGGAAGCAGGAGGTATAGGCTTGTGGGTTCAGGTGAAAACAGGTGCGAAGGGGGCTGCAGATTAGAAGAGAGAAGTGGCTTCAGAGATGGAGCTGGGAAAGTGAAAAGCGAACTCAGTAGTTGCATGGAGTAGGAAGGGGAAGCTCTAGCGGTTATTGTGGAGGGAATGGGAATAGGGTTGGTTAGTGGAGTGAGCAGGGTTGCAGCCCCTAGTATGACAAAGCCCCTAGTATGACAAATATCCATGCTTGTGATTGGTGTATGTGTGGGAAGATGGTTTGGTACGGGGTAAGAACTCAATAAAAGCCCAGTTGGATTAGCCCAAAGATCTTCTTTTAAGCATTCTGTTTGCTGCAGTAGTCAGTTGATTTCTTCTGGGAAGCCCATAATGAGGCAGCAAGGCTATACCCCTTACCCCACTATTTGTCCTCAGCATCTGGTGTTCAGAAGTACACAACAACTGTTCCATTTAGCTTTCGTTTTATGTTGGTTCTATTTGTTTGAACCTTGTTAGCCACCCTGGACTCCTTTTGGAGGAAGAGTGGGACATAATGACATCTGTTAGCCACATTGTTGTTGTTGTTGTTAATTCTATCCTCCATAAATTTGCTTAATTATTTTAAATCTATCTTAAGCAATGACCTCATCTTGTGGTGGTGAAACACCACAGATTAATAATGTGTTGTATTAAGAACTCCCTTCTTTTATGTCCCTGAATCTGCTACCAATCAATCTCACTGGATGATGCAGAAGATAGTATTCTAAAGATAGTATTCAGCTAAGTTTTACTCAGAGTAAACCCACTGAAAGTAATGGACCTGAGTCATCTTAATTTCAGTGGGTTTAGTTTGAGTACAGTTTAGTTTAATACCACCCTAACGTGAGGGAGAAAAATTCTGTGCCTACTTTTCCTGCATCATGCATAATTCTATAAAACCTGACTAAAGTGCACTGAACACTTTATTTCTTCTTTATTTCATAGAATCTGTAGATTATAAAAAAACCGTAAAGTGGCTTACAAAAATGATAAAACAATAAAGATAACACACAAAAAGTACAACCATAGTTTAAAACATACAGAATGCTAAAATGGCAATAAAGTAGACTAAAACAAATCTCATGCAAACTTTCTAAATATCTGGGTAGGCTTATCTAAATAAGAATGTCTTCACACGCCAAAAAAACACTACAGTGAAGGGGCCTGTGTTATATCAATAGGCAGAGAGTTCCAAAGTTCCAAAGTGTCGGTGCTGCTGTTTTACTTGTAGGGAAGGTGCTCCAATGCCTTTGTCTTCTTGTTTGACCTCTTCTGTACTTTTCTAGCTCTTTTTGAGATGGGGCTACAAGAACACGACTGTATGTGGCTTTCTAAATTTGGCCGCACAATAGATTTATTTAGGGCACAATCTAATACAGTACACATGATCCCTGAGAGTGCTGTATACAGTAATTTATTATCTCTGAAATTATGCAATAATATTTCACTTCCTTGTTGTCACCATGTGTATACTCTGCATCATGCCAGCAAGGAGAATAAAGCCAGCTGCTGAAAGGATAGCAATTACTCAGTTTCACTCTTGTGAAACACAGAAGCAGCAAATATATTTTTCTTCCACACACATAGGTGCTTTCTTCCCTTCTCCTTTATTACATCTCCTGTCCTCCCTTTAGTTCAATTTACTTGAATTATTACTGTTCTTCTACTTCTGACTGTTGCTTCTAACACATGGCTCTTTTTAATTCTCCTTCCCTGCTGAGCTTGAAGTAAAAACAAGGCATGGCTGGACATTCTAACTATTGGTCGTTGTGCAACTTGCATGTTGCTTACTATAAGGCCATAATGCAGTCATACCTTGGGCTAAATACGCTTCAGGATAAGTATTTTCAGGTCGCCGCTCACGCATGCGCAAACGGCCAAAATGACATCATACGCGGAAGCGGCGAAATGCGACCCGCACACACGCAGCCGTGTCTTACATTCTGTTTGGGATGCGAACGGGGCTCTGGAACGGATCCCGTTCGCATCCCAAGGTACCACTGTAATACAATCCTAAAACTTCTTTTATGTATAGGAAGAGCTTTGCCTACTGTGTAACAATAAAATGTATAGTGAGTTGTAGCCAGGTTCAAGTCTCCACTCAGCCAGAAGGTTCAATGGAATAAGCAATTCACAGTGGCTCTGTCTCACCTACCTCACAGAAAGATTGCAATGATAAAGTTGATAATTCAATGCCTGTTACCCTGCCTGATCTCTTTGGAAGAATGGTTAGATATAAAAGTGACCAATTGTTGAGAATAAACTATTTGACGTAATGAATTCCTTTCTTTTCACTTTGTGTATTAAATAATCCTATAAAATCAATACTGCTTATGGAAGCTAGGAGCAATGCTTTGAGAGAGTTGAGCAGAGACCCATTATGGTTGTGGAAGCCCTTCCTCTTCAATGCATGAACCACCAGTCAATTTGCACATAATACACTATCAGGAAAAGAAGAAGCTCACACTTCTGCTTTTCCTGTAAATGTCCATGGTGGGACTTGCAGATACTTGCTGTGGTGACATCCATAAGTCCCCACCCCACCCCTTAGCAAACAACACTAGGAGTAGAAGTGAGTCACTTTTCTCCTGCTTTCTCCCCTTTTTTTATAAAGTGTGAATTAGCTCTTAGACAAGACAGCTGAAGCTGTGATTTTGAAGAGTGACTAGAGCTGTTCCTGTACTGACTACATGCTATATCGAGAAACAAGCAAAATGTTGAAGAAACAGTTTAAAAGTGGCATACGATAATGTCAGGGAACTGACATCAGAGAGCAAAAGCCAGAGGGATTCCAGAGAGTGTCCAGGGATTGGGAGAAGCAGCCCATCTTCTGGGAAGAGAATCAATGTAGCACCAGTGGAGAAGGGGGGCAGATGGGGGAAGCGGCGAGGCGGTCCCATGACTCCTTGCCTGGGACCAGCGGGGAGAGTAGGGGTCCTCCGTTGCCCACGCCCTCCTTGCGCAGAAGGCTTTCGTGCAGAGAAAGTAGGAGGAGACTAGGCGTCAAAGAGCTTATTTGCTGGAAGAAGTTTAAGAAACGTCCACTGACGGATTCTGCCACCGATTGAGTCGGCCACGGGTGAGTGGCTGTCTGGACAGAAAAGGTTCACTTAGGCAACCCAGCCAGGTGTTTGCACCCAGCCGGGGAGATAAGCACCGGCTTACGCACAAGCAACCCCTAGAACCATTACAGATAATGACCTAAACTTAGTATTTTTGCTAGGTAGCTGAATATGCCAGATGGCTATTTTCCGCTTTTTATTTTCTTAATTTGGAAAAAAGAAACTGTTCATAACTAAGCTTCCTTCTGTTATTTTGTATTTCCCTACTCTGTAAAAATCTGGCAGTTTGGTATCTTTCATTCCTCAGTTGGTGGTTTTCCCAAACATGAAGAAAACCAAACTTTTGTGGAAATTCTACATTCCTGTTTTTCCTAGTGGTACCAACATTGGACTTAATGAATATATATTTTTCTTTGTTGGCTTTTATCCATTACAATTGATTTCATCTGTGAATAGTTAAATACCAGCCTAGGATGAATATTCCAGGCATGAATTCCAAACATAAAAATGAGAGCTTTATTCTTGTTTTCTTTGCAGGAAGAAGGCAATATTAAAGAGATTGCAATAACATATCACGTCAAGGAAGGACATGAAAAAGCAGACCCTTCACAATTTGAACTCCTTAAAGTGCTAGGACAGGGGTCTTTTGGAAAGGTAAGACGGACCTCTGGAACTGATACCAGCTGTCATGGTGCTCAGATGGCTTGCCTGAGCCAGCACTAACCAGAATTCCCAAAATAGATGTTGTTTCTGTAATACCACCTCTTGAATCTTTTGTTCTAATCTCCTTAATTGTCTCCTAGTTTGCTGCCCTAGCTCGCATTCATATATGCAGGAATACTTATTGTCATATTTTTTCAGTGAACAGTATAAATTAAACATATTTTTTACTAGATCACCTTAATATTTATGCTGTGGAGGGATATTCAGTTTTAGTCATTCAGGGTTTGGCTTGCTCTGTTATTCACTGCTGTTACCCTTTCAAGGAATTTGGTTTGATAAAAGACTGTTCAATCTTATTTATGACATTGGCATCCAATTTCCTCTGCTCCTTGCACTTTGTTTCTGTAAGTTACCCTCCTTCTAGTCTAGTAGCCTTACTGTAACAAGTGAAATACTTGGTGAGTTAGGAATGTGAAATTATACTGAAAGTGCATCTGTTTTTATATACAGTGGTACCTCGGGTTACATACGCTTCAGGTTACATACGCTTCAGGTTACAGACTCTGCTAACCCAGAAATAGTGCTTCAGGTTAAGAACTTTGCCCCAGGATGAGAACAGAAATCGCGTGCCGGCAGCGCAGTGGCAGCGGGAGGCCCCATAAATTAAGAACGGACCTCCGGAACAAATTAAGTACTTAACCCGAGGTACCACTGTAATTGGGGCCAGAGTCTTATTCACATGCAGCTTTTTAAAAGTATGTAGAGAGAAGTGGAATTGTGTGAGAAGTGGAATAATGCCTACCTTACCATTTGCATTCATTTAACAAAGGTATGTTTGTGTAGCATAGATGCTCTCAAAATCAAGGATAAAGATTAGAGATATTACATATTGGGACTCGAGATATGACAGGCGTTCACGCATGCAAGCATGCATGGGTATGTGAGATTGACGTTTCTGTATGTGCACAGATACGTTCTTACCCTGGGTCTGTTCAATGTGTGTTGGATCATTGTAACAGAATTGTTTCATGTGTTTAATACAGGTATTCCTTGTAAAAAAAATCTCAGGATCAGATGCAAGACAGCTGTATGCAATGAAGGTGCTAAAAAAAGCAACACTCAAGGGTAAATTACATGATTTCTTTAAATATAATTGTTTTAAGAATAATATAGTGAAACATTGTTGCAAGAGACTGGCAGTGCAATGAGATGTGGCGGAGGAGCTGATAGTAAAAGGAAGGTGCTAGAAAAGTCCTTTTGTCTGTCTGTCTGTTACTCTGGCAGTTGTGCGATGAAGGACTGCAGGAACTAAGAAATCAAACAATTGCATTTTCTGATGTTGACTTGATAGCTGAGCTTCTACATAATCTTGGGAGATCTTTAACCCCGTACCCTTTAAAAATGAGAGCAATTCATATATTCAGGGCAATACAATCCAACTGGAAAATATATATATATATAATTATTTATATAGCCCCATCAAGAATGTGGTTTTGAAAAGTAGCATATGTGAAAAAGTTGGAACCCATTGAGGCACTTTCATGCATTTGATACTTGCTCATATTTAGACAACCTTGCTTTTGTTCCCTGGAATCTGCACCTAAATTTAGATGACTCTGCATCTAAATTTACACACAGTGGTGTCTTTTTCAATCACCTATTTGTCATGGGTTTTGCTTATTAGCTCTTTTTCTTTTATTTTTTTTACATTATTAATACTTCTAAACATTTTGCTATGCATGTTTGCTGGGAAATAAGACCTGTTTAGTTCACTGATACTTTATGGTTGTGAACATTCCTGAGATCTGCAGGTATAGGGTGGTATACAAATTTAATAATAAGTAATAAATTATTAGTAATAATGTTAATCTTAGGGTTGGGCTATACCTGAATATAGCCTGCGTTTGGAGGCTAAAAATACATATCCACCATAACATAGGGTGTATGGCACTGAATATTTTCCTGGTGCAACAGTTTTACAGGCATCTTCATGTTCACATCTTGATGGTTTTGCCAAAATGAGTGCTTAGAAACAATAATTGTAAATAGAGCAAATAGAATTTGAATGCACTTAGTTTCTTGGCTTCGGTTTTAGAATTCGCACTCATAATGTAAATTCGGTACTCTTGCTTTATGCAACAGATGCCTGATTTCTTTTTGCAAGTTTTTTTATTGCATAGTATGTATTTAGTGACAGACAATGGAAAATTGTCAGGGTGATGAATTTGCTAGTTGTTGAATAATATATACTACAAATCCTTCCATCAATACTTAGACACTGGAATAAAGTTATGGTGATCACCCTTTTTGGAAAATATGCTAGAAATTGAGAAGAAAGTCCTTGAGAGCTACAGTAAAGTACCCTACAGTACATATATATTCAACCCCTGGTACTTTGGTATGATTGTTGACTCAGGTAAGCCAGGGTCTATGCAGCAGGGGGATATGAGCATAGGCAAGTCCAATGTTTTTCCTGCTCAGATCCCAAAAATTGTATTTATAAATTTGGTTCCAGAGAGGTGAGAGTATAACTCTGCTAACACAATGGGGCCTTCCTGGCACCCCGATACTACACCCTCTGTGCCCCACAATCCACTCATAAAGGTTGAGGGACCACCTGGAACTGGGCATGGGCGCTCCAGCAGGATGTGGACTTGAGAGAATTTTGTAATACTTTCTCGCACAACGGAAGTGCCTTTCCATTGACACAAGCCACTTTTTGATCCATAACATTGCACTCTTAAAACTTTATTTTTCATTACATTTTGTACAGTGAAAATGGCTCTTGAAAACTTTGACATTGCGTCCACATATAATGGATATAAAACCGAAAAACAATAGTCCATATACATAATTAAGTGGGTAGTATTCATTTGCACTAAATGTTGGTCAACATCTCTTATAGTTCGCGATCGTGTTCGGACAAAAATGGAGCGTGACATTTTAGTAGAGGTTAATCATCCCTTTATTGTCAAGTTGCATTACGGTAAGTTTAATAAGCATCCTAAATTGCTAAAGTAAATATTGCTAGTTACTGGTAACTATGATATTTCATACGTATTTGCCATTTATAAAATCCTGATACCTTCAAATAAAATATAAAAAGTTCTGTTGAGACCCAACCTACCATCTTGTACTCCTGTACAAGTCAGTTTGCATAACTGGCATTTGTTAAAGCAGTTTATTATATAGGAGATTTCATCCATACTATTTATTGCAGAAAATCACAAAAAGACAAATGCTACATTTTGAAGCTTGATCATTAGTAAAGATCAGTTTCTGAACAAATGTAATTTTTGACATTCCTTTAACTTCCCTAGTGTTAAATTTTAATATATTTTTAGTTATGTAAATATTTTCATGTTGTAAACCACCTTGAATGTGGCGTAACTATTGAAAGGCCTCATACAAATATACGATGATGTTGTTAGTTTAAATTAATTTACCTCCCTATGGATTCATTTTCAGCTTTTGAACAATTTAGTGATTTCAGTACTGTTTTGGCAGTTTAGTTAATTAATATAAGAAAGAAAAAGAAATACTCTGTTATAGAATATGTCAGCTATACTTTCTTTTAAAGCATTGGCCAGAACAGAACATACTTAGGTTTTATTTACCTGAGATTTACCCAGTCCTGTTTTTAAAGGGATGCTTTGCATTTTGCATATCTCTGAGGCAATTAAATTTTAAATTTTAAGAAGCAACCCACTCTTTACTTTTTCTGTTAAAGAAAAATATTCAGTATTGAGGTGGAAGGGGTAGAAGCTTTGATGCTGGTCTCCAGTGAGTGATCTGGAACTTTCTTGTTGCTGAATGCAAGTTACAAGTGGCCAGATCTATAATAAATTTGGCACTGTCCAGCAGTTTAAAGTTTCAGAAGTCTGGATAACATGTGCTTTGGCAATGTGAGGTCATAGGGGTGGGCTGAGCAGAAGAAGTAATTTGCTTCTAAAAAAAATAACCTCAAAAGCAACTCGACAGAATCTTTACACTTCCACATACAAAATGTGCACAGTGTCTGTTTTCTTCAATACCCATCACTTGCATAGTGCATACAAAACACAGAGCAGTTTTGCATTAAAACGTCAAATATCTCATAACTTCTAAAAACTTTTTTGAATGCATAAAATACATATGAATCTTAACGTTGCTGTGGCCAAGATAAAAATTGCTTTGCGTGCTAGTTTTGATCTGTATGCTACAAATATGATACACACTGTATAGAGTAGAATACAGCTGATAACTTTGTGCTCGTGGAAGAGCTTTTAATCCAGTGGAGGGTGTCCCCTAATGGAAGATGGAGGGAGGTATTTCTTGCTGATTTCCTTGTGCCCCTGCAGCGGCCAGTGCCAGCCCCCACCAGTGTCAGCTTCAGAAAGTTGGGGACTCCTCCAGATCAGTGTGGATGGTGGCATGGCAGGTGTGGGGAATAGAGAGAACTGGAAAAATTTGCATCCCTTCTTCTTTCATCAAGAGATACCACAGCTGGATCTAAAACTTTTCTGTGACTCTATCCATAATGTATAATAAGCAAAGATGCTTATTTTAAAGTTAAGTTTGAAAAATCATAGAACATAGTAATAGCTAGGGTGCAGCATTGCATTTTAATACTTTCTTGAACAAACTTTTTAATGATCCAGCATGATAAAACAATATCTTTGCAATAATAGTAACAGTCAATAAGTACCTACATACCCAAGAACATAATGCTTTTATTAAAATAATGTTGATTTCCCCCTCAGCTTTTCAAACAGAAGGGAAACTATACCTTATTTTAGACTTTCTCAGAGGAGGAGACTTGTTTACACGCTTATCCAAAGAGGTAAATGTTTCATATATTGTTGTCACAATTCTGAATTCTATTAATAGAGGTTGTGTTTATTTTATGGAATGTGCTCAAATGTTCAGGGAAATATTTGCCATGATTTCTTAATTAATTGTACCAGTGAATCTAAGTTACTTTACACTGCGTGGTCTATGTTCATATATCTCTTCTCTTCTGTCTCTTCTTTCTTCCCCTTTGCTTTCCACACTTAAATCTTAAACATTTTGGAGGGTGGGGAGTGGGGGAATAGAGATGTCACAAGTATACTGCTGAATTATCCTTAGACAGCTGATATAGAAATGCACCCATCAGAATTCAAAGTCTGTTGCATTAATATGCACTTACTTGACAGTGCAACTGACTTTTATAAACAGGTTTATATACACAAATATAAACACTTATATAATTGTTAGTTTTCAATTTAAGTTTAAACTGGGGGGAAAACTCTCCAGTCTTTTCTAATCATAGAAACTGTTTGCTCTGTATTAACTTTAGACAAGTATTATGCATTTCTCTTCTAGGTGATGTTCACAGAAGAGGACGTCAAATTCTACCTGGCTGAATTAGCACTTGCTTTAGATCATCTGCATAGTCTTGGAATAATATACAGAGATCTAAAACCAGAAAAGTAAGAACCTTTTATTTTGCATATGGTAGAAATACCATATTCTCTCTCTAGATTTTTAATCCTCCCAGTATGCTCTCTGACAGCCATTATTTGTTGTAAAGAAAATCAACATAACCATGTTTCAAACAAGCTTTATCTTTTTTTATAGCATATTACTTGATGAAGAAGGACATATTAAATTGACAGGTAGGTAAAAACAAACTTCTACTACATAAATAATTCATAGATAGTTTTCTTTTAGTGTGATAAACAGCACTAGAGAGGGGAAATGAAATTATGCTGGTGAAACACATGCAAAGTATAAAGAACCTGTTTTCAAAACTTTGCATATTCTCATAAGATTACTAAATTCATTGTGCTTTCTTTCTCCAGATTTTGGTTTAAGCAAGGAGTCTATTGATCACGAGAAAAAAGCGTATTCCTTCTGTGGAACAGTAGAATATATGGCCCCGGAAGTGGTTAATCGGCGGGGGCATACACAGAGTGCAGACTGGTGGTCTTTTGGAGTGTTAATGGTAGGTTTCCGATGAACTGAAAGTGGTGGTAGAGTCTCTTGATCCCCGATCCTTGGCTCATTTACTTGGGGGTAAATTTCATTTTAAATGTAAATAATTTAGAAGTAGCAGTTTCTAGTCCAGAAAATAGTAGGAAAGAGAAGATGCTTTCAGTGGTAGTATTACTGTATTTTTCCATGTATAAGACTAATTTCCCCCCCTAAAAAATAATGTCAAAAATTAGGGGGCGTCTTATCCACGGGGCCATCTCCCTCCCCCCATTTTCTTAAATCTGAGTCCCCCAAAATAGGGGGTGTCTTATACATGGGGGCATCTTATAGATGGAAAATTACAGTATTTCATTCTGAAAAAGATGTGCAGCTCCTTATCCACAACCTTTTTTCATCAAACACAAAAAATTAAAAACCAGGACAAATAGCTCAAGCTGCTTCTGTCACTTTTGTCTGCAATTTACAAAGCCATCACTGGGTTCTACAATATTTTGGTTACAGTATTTCATAGGTGAATAAATACCATAAGACTATGATGGATTAATTCTGCCAGTATCTATAGTTGAATGCAATCAAGACAACAAAGAGAAGTAATCCCTGGTCAGACAAAACTATAAATAATATAAATCTTAAAAACCACAACATATTACAAAATGATTTTAATTTAAGCTTACTATCAAATCTTTTAAAGCAAAACAGATGTTTAAAATGCAACACATTATTTACAAAAGAATAGCTTTGATTTTGATTTTTTTTAGTCATAAAGGTTGATACAAGAAGTAGATCCTATAGAAGTTGATACAATTGCATAGTAAGAATAACAAATAGATTCACCAAAAAAGACTTCTTACTTTATTGTAAGTTTTAATATTCCTGAGGATAGAAAGTACTCAGCTATCTTATCACTAACTTTTCCTGAGACTCGCCATTTAAACAGTAATAGATCAGAATTGCAGCAAGTCATCCACCTAGAGTCGCTAAAAAAGAATCTCTCCTCCCTGGGCACCTTGTACAAATTGCAGTCCAAAAAAGTGACCCACAGATTCTTTCTACCTGGTTCCATAGGGACAAATACATTCCTTAAGTGGAATCTTTGCAGATCAGCCAGTTGAAAAAAACAGAGGGCAGGTTTTATTTTTTGTACAGTATTTTAAGCAACTTGGTTTTGTTTTTAAGGGTGGAATTCAACACCATGCTGTGTTGAATGATCCTTCCTTTCAAACATATCAGTTTCTAGATGGAACAATTTCCCCTCTCCCCACATGCTGTTCTGGAGGTTCTCCCAACGCCCCTTCCCAAGCCAGTTTCAGGAGGTGGGGCCACAGAGGGGGAGGGGAAAGCCCTCTTGTGCAACAGAAGCCCTTGGGCAGGTTTGTTAGGTGAATTTTGCCCTATACGTATATGTGATAGCAAACTGAAATGATATTTTGCAATACAGTGGGCCTACCACTTACATGAGGGTTCGGTTCTGGTGGTCTACATGGAAAGGCAAATTCAAAACTGCACAAAGTCATGAACCAACAGAACCAGCCCCTGTGAGGGGTTGCTTACCAGGCTCTGGGAAGCTCATGGGAGAGCCAAAGGAATGCTCCTGGAGCCCTCCCACCACCTTCCGAGAGCCCAAAAAGTGAGGTGGAGGGCTTAAAAAACACTTTCCACAGCAGGAAAGCCTGCTGGGAACGCGGGCGGGTGGGTAGCGGAAATAAATGAAGATTGGGGAACGGCAGGTTTTCCCCGCTCTCCATTTCCAATTTATTGCCGTGTAAGGTTGTGATTGCATAAATAAAGTGGTTGTAAGTTGCGGACCCACTGTACACTGTTGTCCCTGACTTTTACATTGTTTCTTAGTTGGATGCAATTCAATAATACTTCCTTAATTACATTACAGATAAATTTGTGTGACAGAAATGTTCTGTACTCTTATTTGAAAGTTAACTTTGATGCAGTTTTAGAGACCACCATTTTAAACTCTGGGTTAAGGAACACCATGGTTAATATTAGTTCTAACATGCTACTTAACCCTAGTTAAGTGGCATGGGAGGCAAGGCTACTAAAAGGAAGCATAAGTTCCTGAGTGTTGCTCTCAATTAGATTAAATAGATCGGTTCTGAGAAACTTAGAACCCAAAATAAGTTAAGATACACCTAATGATTAGAAGAAATATAGAGTAGTAAGCAGCCTTTTTATTGACCCTTACAGAATAAAAGACTTGTTATAACCTACTGATGTACACTTAAATCTGTGGGTGTTAACACAAGCACATTTTTTATATTGGAGAATTGTAGAGTTGGAAGGGACCATGAGGGTCATTTAGCCCAACTTCCTGTAGTGCAGTAATATTTTGCTCAGCGTGGGGCTCAAACGCACAACCCGGAGATTAAGAGTGGATATTTTTTCATAAATCACATACAAAGTTTGCGTTTGCTCAGATTTAAGACAACAGCAATATTTTCTTACAAGTAGACAAAATGAAAAGTGTACCTTATTCAAAATAGCAGCCTTTTTATTTTTAGCTTCAAATGCACATTAGATGTAGAAATGTGCAACTAGCTATTAGCATCTGAATTAGGTTAACATGCACTGACTGCATCAAAGGTAGATGTGTTAAACTCCTGAAAATGTAAAAAGTTATGCTGCAGAACATTATTATGCAGAGTTATTGGTTGGTATGCACAATTTGTTTTACAAACAAGGTTCTACTAGTTTTGTCAAAGAGAGGGAAGTGGTTGTTGCTGTTATTATTTATTTCCCACCTTTCACCCTAATGTCCCATGGTGGGTTACAACAATCAAATGTGATGTTGAAAAGAAATTACCTGGTCTTTTAATATGATTGATGGAAGTTTTACTTTATACAGTTTGAAATGCTCACTGGTACTCTACCTTTCCAAGGGAAAGACAGAAAAGAAACCATGACACTGATTCTCAAGTGAGTACACTCTTATTATACGTATATATCACCAGGTATTCTACTGGGGATGCCCTCCATGCTGCAATCTCTAATTTCTACTATTCCCTCATTTTACATCCTGACTCCATAATGCATCCTGCTAATGTCCTTTTCCACTCTACTGTCCTTCCTATCAAAAGCTGTACGGACACTTAGTCCAGTACTTCTCTAATACATAATAATGTATTTGCAGTCCCATTATCTCCTTTAAAAGTTACCAAATTATATTCTCCTTGATCTGTTATTATTTTCACCATCCTCAAAATTCTAGTGGGAAAATGTCTTAACGTTCCCTTTTTGTTACTACTGTTATAAACCATTGGTCCTTCCGGTGCCTCTCCTGTTTCTGAAACCTATCCTTATCCTTGCATACTTATTTAATTCTAACACTCCTAACAAGTGGGTGAAATTAAGGTTTGCGTTGTAGATTATTATCCAGCTACAGTATACCTCTGGTATACTTAATGCATTTTTTATTTTTCAATCTGGATACAAAATTTGATACTGTGGAATATACCTATAGCCTAGGTTGGCTGTAGTCATATATCAATATATCAGACTTGGTCATATAATAGATCTATATCTGACTACTGTTGTTATACTTCTGAAGCAACTTGAATGTCTTTTGGTCTTTCCTATGTATATACACTCTCATACTTTCTTGGTCACTATGTCTTAGCTACCACTCCTGTGGTAATGGCAGAGGATAGTATTCAGCTTTGTTTTACTCAGAGTAGACTCAATGAAATTAGTGGGCCTAAATTGGACATGTTTGTTAATTTCTATGGGTCTACACTGAGTAAAATGTGGTTGAATACCACCCAGTCCTTTTGCATGGTGCTAGACTTAATTCTCCATAAGGCGTCTGTTTTTTTATAATTTATAAACTTGTGGTTGTATTTTATATTTAGCCTGTCTGTTCCCCCTCTAGTGATATTATCATTTTATTCCACAGTTTATAACTTTGGTTTCTTTAGCCATGATCAGCCTGAATCAAAGACAGATTTTCTGTGTCTATTTTGTCCTAAATTATCAAGGCATGTTTTTGTATATACCTGTCAAAAAAGAAACAAGATGGCTCTCATTCATGCAGCTATATAATCTAGAGAGTTTCTGGTTGGAGCAGGGTTGTGTTTTGCTCAACAGTAACCAGTTATGAATCAAATATTTTCAGAAGAATTTGCTGTAACGCAAAGTGGTTAATCATAACATTCCAGGGACATTGTGTGTTTCTAGTTAGTTGAGCTAAAATTAATCAGTGTCTCTTTGCTAGATGCAAACCAATGGAATTCCTGCAGAAACTGTTCCAGGAAATGATTCTCATTTAGTTACAGAAGAACCAGTTAGCCTTTCCCAGTTGGTTTGCAGTGATCCAGGCAGTTTACCTCACTGGTTTCAGGGAACAGGATCAACGGATTAAACAAGAATGTATTCCATCATAGTACCTTTTACATTGAGTGTGGCCTATTAAAGCATTGCTGTAGTTCATACTGTTCACTCATAGTGTTCTTTTTCTGTTTATGAATTCCAGTTACTGAAATGAAGAGTGGAAAGTACATGTGAAAGTTAGCAGAAGCATGAGTACTGAGGACTGATCTTAGGCGTTCTGTTCTCTTACTAATTCCTCCTTTGGCTTTACTGGCATTGCTATCATGCTAAAAAGAGAGAGAGAGATTTTTAGGCTGCTGGATATACACAACCCTACCAATGCATGTGAAAAATTCAATTAAGAGAGACCATAGATGGCAATGAAATACAATATTTGTGTTTCCTTTCCATAATTTCCCATTATGTTTAGTTTCCAAAGTTCCAGGATTGCACAGTTGGAATAGGAATTTTTGTGTGGAAGCAACATTTGGGCCTTTTTGTGTGTTTTCACCTACTTTATTTTCAGGCAGGAATGACAGCCAGTGGTTTCCATCCAGTTGTGCAACAGACTTCCCCTTGTTTCCTTCCCCCTGTTGCCCACTCCCACCTTTCGCCTGGTGTACTTTTGAGGATCCTCCAACCCTCTGGAGCAGAATTTGGAGGCACAGGGAAGGCTTCAGGGAGAGGGAAGGAAAGGGGGATGTTCCATTGCAGAAGGGGAAGCCTGCTTGTGCAGCATTTGCTGTTCACCAAGCGTTGTGTTTAAAACAAATGAACGTGGCATTTCCACTATAAACTTTGTATACGGTTAATGTGTTTTTATTGTACAGAGCCAAACTTGGAATGCCTCAGTTTTTAAGTCCAGAAGCTCAGAGTCTTCTCCGAATGCTTTTCAAGAGAAACCCTGCAAACAGATTAGGTAAAGAATTTAATTAAGTTATCTACTAAGGACTTCAACATTAAGCTAAACAAATCCCTAATATATCTGCTGTTATGTTCATTGCTGACCTTGGATAGGTGCAGGTCCTGATGGAGTTGAGGAAATTAAGAGGCACCCATTTTTCTCCACAATAGACTGGAATGTAAGTACACACAATGGAGTAAAACACACTTACAACATTTCATGTTAATTGTGTTACAGCTTTCTAACGTGTTAAATGTGTTTGTCTTAGAAATTGTACAGAAGAGAAATTAATCCACCATTTAAACCAGCAACTGGTAGACCTGAAGACACATTTTATTTTGATCCCGAATTTACAGCAAAAACTCCAAAAGGTAAGATATATATACCGTTTTCTCAGGTGGTTTGGGAAAGTTACAGTTTTAATCTTAATCACGTGCATCATTTTTAACTTTTATGAGGGTATACAGATGAAATAAATCAGTCACACAGTTGCTATACATGGGAAACAGGCAAACAACCTCAATTTTGTGTTACTTCCTTGGTTTTGTGTTATCTGACACATAGGTGTCCTTTTAATCTGACTTGAGTATGCAGCAGGTCTTTCTTGCCAAGATCTTGTGTCCTTCATGTTCTACCAAAATTGGTGTTGCATTTGGTTGGGATAGGGAGGATGGCCTTTTGAGTTACCATTCCTGGTCTCCTGGGACTCAGTTTTTAGATAGAGAGGCCTAGCCCTTGTTGTTACCTTCCAGCACAATATGATGACTGGCTTGTTCCATCATGTATTTGACCTGACAACTGACTAAAATGGTACGCCGCTTTTTAAATATTCTGATCTTTGTTGCCTGTCATATTGTTGTTTTGCTCTGATCATAATTTGAAATGCAGCTTTTTGTGCAGACTGTCTTAGGCATTTTCATGAAATATTTCTAAAAGAGGAATATCTTAAATAAAATTAAATATATTTTTTTCCAGATTCACCTGGTATTCCACCTAGTGCTAATGCTCACCAACTTTTTCGGGGCTTCAGTTTTGTAGCTATTGCAACCGATGATGAAAGTCAAGCAATGCAGACATCTGTTGGGCACTCAATTGTTCAGGTGAATGTTCATTATGAAGTTAACTATTCGTATTGGCTGGAATTTAGGGGCCTGCAAGGAGATCAGATATTGCTTGCACATTATGTATGCACAAGCTGTGCCCAAAGGATAGATAATCAAGTTTCACATATATCTTATTGAAGGATTTCCACATGCGGAAAATGATATTTGGAAGTGGATGCATTTTCTTCCTCAAGCTGATTATATTACTGGTTTGCATGAGGAAAAAAGCCCTTGCTGTGCAGAAGCCCATGGAAGTGTTTCTGTGACGTTAATCTCTTTTTGTTTTTGTTATCTGTAGCTCAAGCTACTTAATGTGTTGAAGTTATTTCCACATACAAAGTAAACAAGTAGACTGCTTTTTCTCTCTCATATTCTGTCCTTGTTTTTGGCTCTATCAGTTTAATTTGAATAGCTTTCGCTACTTATGTGCTCATAACAGACCAGTTCTACTTTGCATGTGTTATTAAACATTTTATTTGCCTTTTTGTTATGTCCAATTTGAGATAGTTTTATTCAGAAAATAAAAATTATCAGTTAATAATGCTTTGGGGCACATAACCTTAAACAAGCCTTTGGCAAGCTGGTGTCCTCTAGATACTGTAGTTCAAAACAAATGGAGGGGACCAGGTTTGTGAAGGTTGCCTAAAACCATGAATTAGTGTTGTGTGCGGAGGCTACAATGGAAAACTGTTTAATGGCTTCCATAGAAGCCAGACTATGTAGCAATGGTTTAAAGTTAACTTCTATATTCCAGCTTGTTTGGAAGCGATTAAGCATAGTTCCTAGTTTTGATTGCAGCTTCCTTGCTTGTTGCCCCACACATGTAAAGGGAGGAGCAAATGAACTATATGCTGAACCAAGGGGTAATGTGAAAACCAGCCGTTTGTGTCTTTCCACACTATTCAGTGTATTTGAACATATTATTCAGGCTGGAGAAGATGTGAAAATCAGAGTGGAAAATGCTTCCTTTTAAAAGTTCAATATTATTAGTTGTACAAACAATTCATTACTGATAAACATTTGTTCTAAGATATAAAGATCTAAATTGGATATTTGTAAAGAATGCATTAATTGATAATGTTATTTTGGTAGCAGTTACACAGGAACAGCATTCAGTTTACTGATGGATATGAAGTCAAACAAGATATAGGAGTTGGCTCCTATTCGGTGTGCAAGAGATGTATACATAAAGCAACAAATATGGAATATGCAGTAAAGGTAATTAATTGTTTCAAGCATCCATAATGTTAGCACATTCTCAGTGCACTGAGGTAATTGGGTAACGGAGGCTGAGAAGCATTTTGAGGGCTATGGGTTAAGATGAGGGGAAACAGTTATAGGCTTGTAGTGAGGTGGCTTTGACAGCTAAAGGAGATTGAGGAACTGGAAAAGCAGAAATCTGCAAACACCCAATTAATGAAAGTGTTATGAGCTTAGAAGGAAAACTGGTTTGAAGAAGGGTGGCTCTTCACACAAAAATGCTGTTTCAAATCCTCTGAGAGACTTAAAACAGTGGTTGTAGGTATGAAACAATATTGACATTGGGGAAAACTGAGTTAATAATATAGTTATTGGTTCAAATATGTTTGCTCTTTTAGATAATAGACAAGAGTAAAAGAGATCCCACAGAGGAAATAGAAATCCTACTACGATACGGACAGCATCCAAATATTATTACTCTCAAAGATGTAAGTAGATGATTAGCAGCTTTTTTGCAGTTCAGGCATAAATATGATGCTTTTGACATGTACAGTATTTAATCTTTCATTAGGAGTCTGCAAATGCACTTGCTAGGTTAGTGGAACAAAGATTGTTATGCCTTTCGATTTCAGTGGGTATACGCGGAGTATGACTAATGTTGGATACAACTCTCTGCACAATTGAGCGCTTAAATAATGTGTTACACTTTTCAGGTGTACGATGATGGGAAATGTGTGTACCTGGTAACAGAACTTATGAAAGGAGGAGAGCTGTTGGACAAAATCCTTAGGCAAAAATTTTTTTCAGAAAGAGAAGCCAGTGCTGTTCTACTGACAATAACAAAAACTGTTGAATATCTTCATGCACAAGGAGTAAGTCTGCGTTCTTGAGGGATATATTTGAAATGCACTACCTAGTTAATACTGTAGATAAGTTATTCTGTTATTACAGCTCTTAAAGCTTTCATTTTATTTTAAATTCTCCCATCTGGTCTGTAAGCATTAACTAATTAGATGCTAGTTTGCAATAGTTTGTTAGTTTGTGTAAAGATAGAAGAATAGGAACCCAAGAGCCAGTTCACAACTTTTCAGTAGATATGGTGAATAAAGGCAAGCACACAAGTACCTTATGGATAATTAACTTGTAAGAATGAATGCTCATGAATACACACACACACACACACACACACACATATATATATATATATATATATATATATGACCCAAAATGATAAACCATGCTCAATTAATTTATTTTGCAATAAAGGGATGTTGTTATTGGCTACATTATATTCTTTTTAAATGTGGAAGGACATACAAAATAAGAATTCCTTGCTTTTAATAGAAACAACAGCCATGTTTGTTTGGTTGGTTTAGGTTGTACACAGAGACTTGAAACCTAGCAACATCCTTTATGTTGATGAATCTGGCAATCCGGAATCTATTCGAATTTGTGACTTTGGCTTTGCAAAGCAGCTGAGAGCAGAAAATGGCCTTCTAATGACTCCTTGTTACACAGCAAATTTTGTTGCTCCTGAGGTAACTATCAGTATAGTTCTTTGGTGTAGAGGTGAGAGTGTGCAGCCTTATGACCTGCTTCTGATTCCTTAACTTGGGTAAAGTTACATGTGTCCTGGGCTTCCGTTTTGGCCCTATATATTGGCCTGGGCATGTGCTGGGCAAGCCACAGTGCTTTTCAGAGTTAGAGGTAGAACACAAGGCATTCCTACCCCCTCTTTTTAAGAGTTTTGAGACTGTTGATATATCAAGTGGTGTACAAATGATTTAATGCTTTGTTTACCTCATAGTTATTAAGCAGAAACAATATAGTTCCTCCCCCTTTCAGTATACTTCTATACTGATGTAGTCTTTTGAGGGTTCTTATTTTACTTGAACAGAATTTTCCTGTTTCATATTTCTTTTTGCAGTCCTATGGTGGCCGTACAGTGCAATTGTCTTCACCCTGTGTGCTTGCTTCAGTGGAGTGACTTTTTAAAGAACTCACACATTTTTTCTTAAATGTATAGAAGATGCTCACTCCTTCAATACTTGCACATTTTAGGTAACAATAAATCTGCTCCAGAGGGTCCCCCACCCTCTGGAGCAGATGTTGGATGTGTGCAGGGGACTGTGGGGAAAGAAGAAGGGTAGAAGGAAAACGGTTGATGAGTGGATGCCTGCTTGTGCTGCGTTGGATTCCACCCATTTTTCATAACCAGAGGAATTGGCTTTTTCTGCAGAAACTAATGAAAACATTGCTTTCCATAGGTTTTAAAAAGGCAAGGCTATGATGCCGCGTGTGACATATGGAGCCTTGGTGTTCTGCTTTATACAATGCTGACTGGGTAAGTTTGAAAGTTCTAAGTTGGAAATTGTTACATTAATTTTTAAAAGGGGATTAGAGGTTCTTGTAGCTTTTCATCTCAGAATTTCAAAACTAAGTTGATATTCTCTTGTGGCAAGTGTGTGTCCACAAGGTATTGCCTGTGTATATACTCTGTCTTACCATGTTACCTTCAGATCTGCTCATGTCCCCTTGCCCCGTTGTTCTGCTGTGCTTTATTGTTCCTTTTCCCCAGTCATTCATTCATGAGGCAGATAGTGGTGATGAGAGATGAAGCTGCAGGGCTGATAGCAATACTGAATAGGTTTCAGTATTTTCTATATAAAATTAGTAATTTTTTTATTTCTGCCCTGCCCATCTGACTGGGTTGCCCCAGTCACTTTCTGTGGCTTCTAGTATATACAAAAACATAATAAAAAATTAAACGTTACAGGGCTGCCTTCAGATGTATTCTAAAGGTTGTATAGTTACTTATCTCCTTGACATATGCTGGGAGGGCGTTCCACAGGGTGGGTGCCACTACCGAAAAGTCCCTCTGCCTGGTCTGCTGACTTTCTTAAGTCTGCTGAATTCAGTAAGATGACAAGCTACTTCCTAACATGAATTTTCCCCATAATATGAATATGCACTACTATTTTAGTGTCATTGCAACTTGTAGTAGTTGGAAGTTAACAAGGAACTCAAAATCTTTGTGATTGTTATTATTATTTTAAGCTACACTCCATTTGCAAATGGTCCTGATGATACTCCAGAAGAAATTTTGGCACGAATAGGCAGTGGAAAGTTCTCTCTCAGTGGTGGATACTGGAATTCTGTTTCAGATACAGCAAAGGTAGCATATATGTTCCATCCATTGTATGTTAGATGTGTTTTTGAATAACATTTCATGGCGACATCTGAAATAGTCAACAATTTATTGTTTAACCAGCTAGGTGATTATAAGACTACATCACTGTATATAATCAAAGTTGAGCATTTAAATAAAATTAAGTCCATGGTAAAAGAAATGAGGCAAATGGGCATCCCTTGCATTAGATCCAGAGAGAGATCAGCAGAACTCTGCTCCTGCAACAGCACTTTCTTGACTCCTGCAACCCCTTAAAAGCCACTGCTGAGAGTCTAGCATTCCTCTAGAATGATATGTAATGGTACATGAAACTGAGGTCAAAAGACACAATTTGTTTCCTCCCTTTACGTCACTTATTTGGAAGTAAATACACACACTTGGAAGTACACAGCTGCAAGAATTGGGGAATCGCTCTTCCAAGATTAGGGAAATGTGGGCTTTTCCCAGGAATTGTCTTCAGCTGAATAGAACTTAATGAGGATGGAGGTACTTGCAGTCAGGGTAAAGATATGAGGCAGTAGACAGATGCACTGATGCCTTATCTGTAGATGCAGAAAGTGGGGGAGAGGAGGAGCTAAGCAAAAAGGGACAAAGCTTGCCTAAAAACAGAAGATGCTCTCAGCCCCGCCACCCACTCAGTTACAGACCATACTTAGAATATTTGGGGGGCATGTCACTAATCTTACAATCTTATAAATTATAAATTATAAATGAATATGCATTTCCTTCCAGTGATAGAAGTTGCAGGCTATGTCTTTAAAATGTGGTGGACAACTTAAACAAACAAACCACCATTGGAACTCTAGTATGTTGCTGAATGGTGATTTATTTAAATTAATATCCTCCAGATGTTTTTAAGAAGTCTCTCTGGATTGCTGCTCCTCTTTCTTGATAACAGACCTTTATCATTATAACATTTGAAAATATATTTGGAAATATGAGAAATAAATAATCTGAAACATTTTTATCTGAGTGTATGTAGTTTTGTGAGATTCAAAATCTTAGATTTGTTGCATATTTTAAGTCTTAAAATGCATGCCTAATTAGTTCTGTTATATTATTAATAGGACTTGGTTTCAAAAATGCTTCATGTTGACCCTCATCAGAGGTTGACTGCTGCCCAGGTCTTGAGACATCCATGGATTGTCCACTGTGACCAGTTGCCTCAGTTCCAGCTAAACAGGCAAGATGCTCCACATCTTGTGAAGGTAAAAATACGCATTTGTATAACTGTGTTTTTTCATCCCCCCCCCTTAAAATTTGCTGCCTGCATCTCCTTCCATTTTCCCAAGTACCCTGTCACTGGCTGCACTTCCATTCCATAGAGTGTCCCACCCCTCGCCCCATTAAACTGCAGTTTCTACTTCCATTTTGTTGTTTGTGCCTGCTAGATTTTCTAAAGCTACATACCTCTCGCAGCAGTGATTTGCTGAAATTCTGTAGTACTTCCATCACTGGGGAAACAAACTGTTATACTGTTAAACAGGGAGTCCCTTCTCTATAGCTTAAATCACAATTCAGGTATAGATGTCTGTGGATTCAGTAACAATGTAAAAATGTACCTAGTTTGTATTATTCTATTTGTCACCAGCTCTGAGCCTGCAGGATCAAAATGTGAAAATGCACAATAGAATACGGAACATGGAGTGATTAGAGATTCCTTCTCCCTTGGCTTATAATCTAAAAGACACAAAGGAAAAGGAATTGGTAGCGGGGGAAAGAAAACTCAAGTCACTATATCCCCAGAAACTGTGGGCAATGTGAACCAAAATGACACAAAATAAATCTAGAGCTGTGCGCACAAAGCTTCAGTGTTTAAAAAAGTTGGATTTGTGAAGAGTGGGTCAACTTGCACATTATAATGCTTGTTTAAACTAAAAATAGCCCCTAATCACTTTTATTGATTTTGAATCCCATTACTGTACAATTATTTTTTCAACCTTTTTATTTTTAGGGTGCCATGGCTGCTACATACTCAGCGTTGAACCGCAATCAGTCGCCAGTTTTAGAGCCAGTGGGCCGTTCTACCCTTGCTCAACGAAGAGGAGTCAAAAAAATTACCTCAACTGCCCTGTGAAGTGACCTTAGTTGAAAAATGTGGTACCATAATACGATGATAGCACAAATCATGGCAACAGGTAGCACATATCCAAGATACCTGCAAGCACACTGTTCCAGCTGGTACCTATTATGCTGCTGCTCCTGCTTTCATCTGTTCTTGCTTTAAACTATCAGTGGCAAAATATTGCCCTTCAGATGGAATATAAAGTGGAATCAATGGGAAATGAACTATTCATGCAGATAGTAGAATTCCATACACCCGTCACATTAAATACACTGAATGAAGCACTCTCTCCCCATATAGCATTATTTTTATAGGGAATATTTTTACTCCCTTTAAAATATTCCTCGTTACATGTATGGATGGACAGTTTATGTTAAGCACTTAGCTTAAACAGTATGTTTATATTAGCACTGTATTATTTGTGCCATCCAGCATTTTATATGTTTTTGTAAACTTTTCATAAGCAGTACATTTCTGTACTGTTTCCTTTTACATGCCTTCTCTTTAGACTAATTAAATTTGACAATTACATTTGATTAAATGGTTAATCAATATGGTTAACATCTCTAAAGCAGCTTGACTGTTAAACAGCTATTGAATGTAATTCTGTGAATGTGTTTTGTGTATGTCTCTCCACAGACATACGGTTAGAAGTCATGGGAATCCAGAGCTGTTGACCGATTTAATGGCACATTAGGTTTCTCACCATCAGACATGTGGAATTGAATCAGTACTGACATGAAAAAGCAACTGTGTATCTCCAGTGTGCATGTCCTTTTTGTGGACATTGGACGCCATGGCAAAATAGTTTAACCAGTTTTGTTGTGTTTAGTTGTAATTGGTCATCTAAAACCCAAAACTTTGCTGCTTCAGGAGAAGGGATAACTCTTCCACAGAGCTAAACTGAAATAGGGTAGGAAATGGAACATTTAAAGCTAAAGCAGTGCATTATCTATTAATGAGCATGCCAGCAAAAGAAAAAAAGTCAGGAAATTGCAATTAGGAGACAGGCTGAACTTGGGCTATTTTCAGCTTGCAATCCAAAGCAGAATGGCATTTGTGTTGAATGGGGATGTGCCCAGTGTCTTCAGCCTTTCCTAGTGGCTCTGCTATTAGCATTGGACTTTTGGTCATTGCTAGTCAATCAGCTGGCCAGCTAAGGCTACAATCCTAACCACACATAACTAATGACTAAGCCTGAAGACCACAGTGGGGCCTGGACTTTGTTTTTATTATTTTAATGAGAAAGTGGGGAAAGGTCTGTGTTCCCAGTTTGTTTGAATTGTCTTGGAGTACTTGTTTTCTGGGAAATATTGAAGTTGTATTTACTAAAAAGTTCGATATGTTGAAGTACAGCATAATTTTGACGGATCATCCCAGAGTTCTGCCAAAGAATTTTTTTTTATTTAATAGCAATGTTTCTGAGTTTTGAAAACAATTTAGTCCTAATTCAGTGTGTTAAACAAAATAGCAGCAAGATAGGCAATGAGTAGTAGTTTTCTTGGGTCTTACAAATGCTTACCTTTTCTAAGGTCACTCAGCCCCATATAGTATTCTTAGTCTTCCTCTTGTAGTAACTTCTAGTGCTTTGCATCATGCCTTGCCTTACAAACTCATGCAGTTCCTTTGGTTTTGTTGTTTCAGGTTATTTTATTTTTTATTTATAAATAGTATTTCGAAAGCATGCTTTTTCTTTCCTTCCACATTAGACTAGTCTGCAAATCAAGCCTGTGCTTAGAAGCTGCTAATCTAGCCACCCAGAGGCCTTTAATTTACTATCTCTCTATTTGTTGTATTTTGAAATCCAGTTTTCTTCTGTTATGTTTGGAAATCTTTTTAATAATTAGACAAGTTGCCAGCAATCTTCCTTGCAGCAACAAATCCAAAATTTCTCATCCCCTCTGTCCTCAATCTCATAGTTAAAGACGCAATTGTTACTCAATGACATTTCATGTAGATGTGGTAGAACTAAAATATCTGGGCAGTGAACACCCCTTATTCTTCATTCATGTGATTTGGAGTGTTCTGTGCAAAGAATGAGCCAGCTACCTTTTCTAGTTGGGTTTCCTGAATATTGTCTCTGAAGTATTGATCTAATATTGTGGATTCAGAGTATCAGGATAGGAATTGGCAGAAATCTCCCTGTCCTCCTGTGTAAGCCTCTGCTGTTTCTCAGACCCCTTCTTAAGTGGAAAGGCAATACTGGACCCAAACATCTTATGCTTCTTTTACTCTATTTTTAATCAGATATTTTCAATAGGCTGCTATTTTAGCTCTGTGGTCCTTCATGTATTTCATTCTTAGCTAGAGTAGTCCTCAACTACTAGCTGATCAGCACAATAATACCTCTGAAGCACTTACAACGCAATTCATAACTGTTTAATCAGACATTCCATTTGTGTCTCTGGACTTGTGAAGAGACAAGCTAAAAAAACTCAGCATTTTTTTTAATACTCCCTGTTTCCCACAAATAACTTAAATCAACCCAAAGGAAGGAAGCATATCATTTCCATAGTCAAGCTTATTCAATCTTGTCATAGATGGGCGAGCTTAAGTTGTAACATAGTTATCATATCTTAAATTTGATAAGGATGCTAAAATGCTTGCAGCTATTGGCTAAAATCCAGTATTTTGGCAAATCATTTAAAAATAATTCAATAGCAACGTAAGTGATATCAATAATGGCATAGGGCCTTGTTCTCCTTGGCATCAACGAACAGTTGCCTTGGGAAACTGAACTGATTTCTTGCAATAACTTGGGCTTTCTACCTGTGATCTCAAATTAGTTAACACATTTCACGAACCTGTAGGAAACGGTTCTAGTCTCGTGCAGAGGGAAGACCTCTTTCAGGGATTGCTTTGCCATTGAGGGTTTTTTTATCAGATGCTTTAAAGATGCATGTCTTTTTGCATTTGCGTTAGATCTATTCATAAGTCATCATTCTGCTTTGGTAGCTTCGCTCTTGAGAAAGAGGCACGTCTTAATTTAAATCATTCCCTTAATGTTATGTTTACAAAATAACTTTGCACAGTTGGATTCAAGTATATCCAGTCTTGCATCGTTTGCTTGGGCTTTGCGACATCCAGCTTCTCACCCGGGGCCACTCAGGCTGCAACCCCACTTACTAGAAAGTAAGACCTGATCAACACAATAGGATTTATTTCTGAGTAAATATGCAACAGAATTGCACTGTAAATCTGAAAATGTTACTCTTGAGTGAAAACTCACCTGACCCTAGAAAAATGTGAACTACTTTAGGCTAGTGTTCGTTACTATGTCTCCCTAGAGTGAAATTCAGTTGCTCTTCCTAGCATTGCTGCTCCAGCAGAACTTTTCCGCTAATGAAGGAAGAACAGTGGGGATTATTTGTTGATTTCCCGCTCCTCCTCCTCTCCAGAACTAATTTTCAGGGGCACTGAGGGCCATAGGCAGGAGGGGGAGACCAGAAAAAATACCTCCCCTCTTCCTGTGTTAGCAGGTGCCACCTGCCGGATCACAGTCCTTGCGCCTTGTGTAGGGGCAGCAATTAGTTAGTCCCTAGTTACTAACTTACACCCTTTTTCTTATACAAGCACTCCTTCCTCTACCTAAACTCTGCTTTATAACAAGTTAGCTTTCTGGACAACACTCTACAGCAATAACGTTGGCTTGTTTCAAACAAGACACATCCATATCCAAATCCAGAATTTTTTTACTGTTTACATTCAGCTTTTCTTTGCTGTGTAGTAATGTATTAATATGGGAATGGAAAATGGTTTCAGTGTTGCACTGACTGTCTCATACTCACAGGAGAATCAGGATCCTGCAAAAAAGACGTATAGGTGCACATGATTCAGAAGATAAGTTGTACTGCTTCAATTTTGGCTTTTTCTGAATACTTCAGGCAGTGATCAGGGAGGCTCATTTTCATTTTCTGTAAAGAAGTCCCTCAACTAATGGAAACATATTTAAATTTAAGAAACCATTGATTTGGTTGGCCTTATTTTACACGTGGATATGCTCACCCCAGCTCAGTTATATGCTAGAAACTATTTAACACCAAGTAATTTTACAGTTCCTCTAGTGCTCACAAACCTGTTCCCTTTAGCACTATTTCTTAGTAGGCTGATTTCTTAAAAGATTTTAAACCAAAGGATAAAATTTGCAACTACTGTAAAATATAACGGCAAAATCATGTTACTTTTTATATCTGAGAGGAACCACCAGTCTACTGCTGTTGCTTTCTGTCTGTTGCTTAAAATATTGGTATCAACAATGCAGTTATCACTGAAGCCCCCCAAATATTCAAGAAATCATGTCCTTACTAAATTTGATTGAATTGTCAAACTAGTTGCTTTAAAATAGATTCCGGGATGGATGGCAAAAGGCAAACTCATTTAGAGTGTTTAGGACTGTTGACTTACCCAAGATTTTTGGAGGGTAAGTTTGAAAAAATTAATTCACAATAAAATAGCCCAACTCAGTCCTTTAATCCTTTCAGTGATGATCACCTGCATAGCTCAGTTGGTTAGAACATGGTGCTGAAAAACCCTTTCACTGGTCTTCACTTGCTCACATTTTCCCTTCCACAGAGTTAATATTCCCTGTGTATTCATAACTGTGGTAAGAGAAATAAATATGCCTACTTAGATTCAGAATTGGCACCTTTGAAACCACTTGTCAGGACCCTTAAGACACTCATATGAATGTAAAGAAGTTACCTTTTCATTACTCTCAATATATAAACTGGATATTCTGAATTAATTGCTACCTGCTAGAGAGGTGGCAAGAATTTGTCAGCTTAATTTATAGCTCTGGTAATATGAAGCAGCTTTCCAAGGCCCAACAAGCCACCCTGTGACAAGATGTCAAACCGCAGGATTTTCCTCAAATAAACACTGTACTGGTTTTATGACATCTCAAAAGTACTCTTTACTGTATTTTCTTTTCCCTACAAGGTATGATATGGAAAGAAAGAAAGGGCTTGAGAACTGCAGTTGGATGTCCAGCAAAACAAAATAAATTAGTAGTTATGTTCTCAATATCCGAGCAGGAGAAAACTGAGATTTCTTACAATCATTCTTCTTAGATTAGCTGTCTGTCAAGACCAAGCAAGCAAAGTATTTAAAATTGATTTTTAAATACAGAATCAGGGCATAAGGAAATAATTGTATGTAGTTTTGTTGTAGTAAATGTAGTAGATGAACTGAAGCATTGCTTTTCTGGTAATGGAAAAGAAGGCTTTTGCTCAGAGGCATGTGAATCCTTGGTAAGCAGTAATGAATGGCTTTTAACTCATGAAAGTGATGTATATGATTAGCTTTATCTTTATACTTCTGACCTAGGGAAAGTGCACTCGTGAGGGATGTAATTATTTTAACAGTTTTAGTGAAGGGAGGGGGAATCTACATAAGAGATTTTTTTTTAATATCAGAAAATATTTTTCTACAGTTATGTACAATCATTCTTTATATTGACTTCTTCAGCATGGCATGCAAGTCTAAGGTACAACAAAAGGACCTGGCTGTATTGTACCTTTAGAGTAGAAAATTAAAATAGCATCTGTTGGATGCTTTTGTTAGCATCATAGAACTGAAGTGCTGATAAGGAGACTAAAGGACTGATAACTTCTGATGGTTTTATTGAGAGCTATGTATGTTTTCAAAAAATACTGTATATGTGTAATCAGAAATGTTCCAGATATAACCACAGATGAGCCTTGAAAGATACAATTGCTTGTATCCTTGTCAAAGGGCAGGTTTTGTAGTCTTCAAAAGAAATTGAATTTATACAGCAAATAAACTTTCAAAGATATATTAATGTGTATGTTTCAAGTAATCTACCTCTTCTCTCATTACAAAACAAGTATTATTCATTAGTTGTGTGATTCTTAGCTTGTTCACATTATGTTGTATAATAATAATAATAATTTATTATTTGTACCCCGCCCATCTGGCTGGGTTTCCCCAGCCACTCTGGGCGGCTTCCATAGAATGGTATGAGTGGTATTCCATAGTATGGAATGGTATTCCATAGTATGGAATAGAGTCTCCTCCGTGCTCTGAAGCCTATTGTGCATGCCTTGAATAAGTAGCAGAGGTGCCCACAAATAATAGTTGGCAAACATGCCAAACTAACGTTTTTAGACTCCTGTAGTAAATGAAGAATTTCTAGAGCGGGCAGAAGCTGGGTTAGAGACTTGCATGGCCTTCACGTCCAAAGTCCAGCATAACCTAGTATCTCCTACCCCTCTTCAGAAACTGCATATGATTATGCTGGCCTCTGGAGCAGGCTTCTTCTTGCACCAAAGCTTTGTGTAACCAACGAGAAACTCCCTACTGCAGCCAATCCCAGTGGAAGTTGGTTGGACTGTAAGGGAGACCCACTTGCAAAGGAGCAATTAGAAGATTTAGGGAAGCTCCAGCTCATGGGCCCTACTGCCAAATGAAAACCTGGAGGGAGAATAAAATTCCATGAGCAAATGGGAGATCCATTCATGTGATCAGCAAGTATAAATGATCCTGACCCACCTAAAGATTCACAGGGTTTTCATTTGCTGGTAAGTTTTATATACTTGTTTAAATAACCTTTGTCTTCCAAAATGCCAGTTTTTAATAAGTCAAATGTTTAACTTCATTGGTATGAAATCTTCCATCCAACCTCCCTCCCTGTGCTGCATATTCTGGCATGGAACATACCAAGAAAAAAACATAAACACCACACAATTCAGTTGTTGATAAGTGTATTCATAGCTGCGCGGAGTCCCATCCACAGGGAAACGGGCGTGGGGTGGCACACTACATACTGTTAACGCTGGTATGCTAAATTAGGCCTCTACAGTGACACTGGATTTCTGATGCCCTTGCCTCGACAAACCAGTCGACTGCTGATCTCTCTTTGCTGCTGCAAACTGATGAAGCTATAATTTAGAACTGTGGCTTTCAGATTCTGAGCTAGAGAACAGGAGTTCTTCAAACTTATCAGATCTTCAATAAGATAATAGTGGATAAGCTTCCCTGAAAGGCAGTTTGCCAGTCCATAGCAATCTGCCTCTGTGATCTGCAACTACAGGATAAGAGTTCAGTATATTCTATTTAGAGCAGGGGAAGTTAATGTGGTGCCTCCAGATGTTGCTAGAGTAGAAGAAACACCATGGTACACCTGCATTGGCATAACTGGACTCCTTCATTTGCCCCATCTGCAACAAAAACGTGTCTTCTCCTTATTGGTCTCTACAGCCACAGTAGGTGCTGCAACTCTCGCAATGGTTTGACTTTATCCCCGAAGGCGCACACTTCCAGGATGCAAACCAGGATTCTCATCTTTCTTGACATTTTGCCATGTTGGCTGGGGATGATGGGAACTGGAGCCCAACGATATGTGAAAGGTCACAGGGATCTTACCTCTGATGTAGATGTATGTTCTCAGTTGAATATTGGACCTAATCCCTATAGACCTAGTACTGTGTACAGAATGGCTTTAGAAAAGGTCCCTAAATCTTTTCTTATACACAAGATTCATTGGACAAGATAAAAGTTCTCTAAAATATACCGTAACTTCTCTTTTTCAAGGTCTGATGAAAAACCCTACAGTCTATAAACATTTGTCCAACAAATCAGCTGGACAAGAGTAATTGAATTTGAAAATGACTGATCTAGGCTGACAGCTATGTTTATTTTTCTCACTGTCCACAAATTAGCATTATATCTAAAAGAAAGGTCAAAATCCAGAGTTGGGACAATACATTTATTAGGATCAATCAAATTAAAAAATAAGATAGCAAGCTTTCTTCAGAACACTCCAATTGTCGGGCAAGCGGGGGGGAGAGAAGGAAAGCTGCCCTGTGATTGAAAAAATATAATCTGATTAAATAGAGCACAGAAGATAGAGTTAGGGCCAAATGTTACTGTATTTACTTGCATTTAATGTTCATCTTTTTTGGGCAAATTATGTTGCAAAAATTAAGGTACACATTAGATTTGATGGCACATTTACATTCACCAGCAAATCCTTTTTTTTTGGTTTTAAGGTTCTGAAAATTGAGGTGCACATTAGATTTGATGGTGCATTAGACTTGAGTGAATACAGTATATTTGCTCTGTATCTCTGTCCTTCAGTGCACAGTGGAATATCATTTGCCATTGCTGGATCCCTATCTGCAATGGCACACTAGCAGGAAGGTGGAAGCTCTCATTGAAGTGAATGGGATATTTCCCCCTTTATACTAATTTCTCGTAGGTGCTGTTGTCTAAACCACTGAGCCTCTTGGGCTTGCCGATCAGGTCGGAGGTTCAAATCCCCATGACAGGGTGAGCTCCTGTTGCTCGGTCCCAGCTCCTGCCAACCTAGAAGTTCAAAAGCACATCAAAGTGCAAGTAGATAAATAGGTGGGAAGGTAAATGGTGTTTCCATGCACTGCTCTGGTTTCAGTGTTCCATTGCGCCAGAAGTGGCTTAGTCATGCTGGCCATATGACCCAGAAAAACTGCAGACAAATGCCGGCTCCCTCGGCCTGTAAAGCGAGATGAGCACCGCAACCCCAGAGTCATCTGAGGCTGGATTTAACTGTCAGGGTTTTTCCTTTTTTCACTAATTTCTAGCATGGGGCCCTGATCCTTATTGGGAGCATAGTGGAAGACAAAAGACTAAAGTACCCCTACTCAGTATGCTAGATTAATTAACTCCCTTTGGCAAATTGATCTTAGAAACACCTATGGGCACAGATGTGGAGCTAAGAAACCTAGTTTGGTCCTTAACTGCATTAGCTTTAACTCAAAGCAGTAAAGTCCTATACTGTATTCAGATGGTAAAAAATGATTTACCACCTGAATATAGGACTTAACAAGTTCTTTCCAGCCATTATGTATTTGGCTTTGGCTTCTTCTCTCATCCTATTGTTTCATAGAATCCTAGAACAGTAGAGTTGGAAGGGACCCTGAGGATCATCTAGTCCAACCCCCTGCCATGCAGGAATCTAAATCATAACAGAATCATAGAATTGTACATCACTTAAAATTAAACCCCTTCTTCACTGATTTAAGCCCCACTACATTTCTCTTTAATCTTAAAAAGTCATGGCTGGTGAGTGACGCGGGGCCGGATCAATATGGCACAGGAACCTCAGAAAAACTGAAAAGTATAGCCATTAATTAAAGAGAGAAAGGTGTTCCTTAAGCGACTAGGCCGGGGCACCCTCCCCTGAGGAGGCAGAGGCTGCCTCTGAATGCTTGCCAGCTGCTGCGGAAAGAGAGGACTGCGTTGGCGGCCTGGGTGGCCTTTGGCCAATGAGCAGGCACCGTTCCTCACGCGCCAATGGCGCACGGGACTTCCCTGCCCGTAATCACGCAGGGAGGGAATGAACCGCCCCCGCCGTGCAGCAAAACAACATTAGTCCGTCAGCTTGTTCCTCCCACCAGGAGGGGGCGCTAGAGAGAAGGCCGCGAGCGGTTGGCGGAACTTGCGCGGGCGAAGTGCATTCTGGGGCCGACGGAGAAGAGACGACGCTTGCTTCTCCCTCGTCTTCCTTCTCTCGCAGGGATTCAGCGGAGCCCGCGCGGCACTCTCGCCTCCTTTCTCCCGCTGTCGCGAGACGCGCGTCACCGCCTCGCACGGTCTTCTGCTTACCTCAGCCAGGAGCTCAAAGAAGGCGGAGGGCGACCCCGCTCGCGCGTCCTTCCTTCCCGCCTCTGCCGACGCTGCGCCCGCTAAGCAGCACCTGACGCCGCCGCCATGCCGAAGAATAAAGGTGAGGCCTGGGCAGACCTCCGCCTCCACGCGGCGCCTCTGGCCGCCCCTCTCCCCTTCGAGGCTCAGTCCCGCCCCGGGATAAGGCGCTGCCTTCGGCGCCCCTGGGCCTGGCCCTCCGCTGGGGTTGAAGTGCGTCGCCTTCCTCTTTCGGAAGAGAGGCGAGGGTCTAGTGGCCACCCTTCCTTCTCGCGTCTTTTTCTCTTCCCTTCTTTCTTCCCTCGCAACCTTACAGTCTCCCCAACCAGAGGACTTATATTCGGATTTAAGGCCCGCCTAGTTCACTGGGCTCACTCCCAAGTGTGTGTCTTGGAAGAGAATCGTCGTGTATTTATTGCATATATTCAATACCACACGTGTGTGTAGGATCACACACCCTTTTTAGGCCGTCTGGGTGGCAGGGACCTGTACGGGAATTGGTGATTTAAGACATCTGAAGGCAGCCCTGTTTAGGGAAGCTTTTAATGTTTAATACTGTAGATTAATGTATTTTAGTGTTTTGTTGGAAGCTGCCCAGAGTGGCTGGGGAAACCCAGCCAGATGGGCGGGGTATAAATAAATTATTATTATTATTATTATTATTATTATTATTATTACTGTGACACCTCCCCCACACACTTTAGGCCTGTTTCCTCACCTTTACTTCCCTTTCATTTGCTGTGTCTTATGATTATTGTGTTGGTTTTGATTATTTGCTTTATGTTTGTTTTCCTGGGGCATCAGAGTCCCTGAAAGACATTGGTCACTTGATTCTTCTTTGGTCCTGTTGGATTTAATTTCCAGTTAAATATGATTCCCAGAATCAGCAACAGAGATCAAGCCTTCAGATTTGTAGTCTAAATAGCTGATGAATTTGAGTTTTGATTTTGAACTTCAAAGTATACATTCTCCTACAGTTTAGGATAAACTGTTAGCATGAATGTTTTCCAAAGTGTTATACAAATCTTTTCAGTGCAAGAAGTTCTGTGTCAGGCATAGGCAAACTCTGGCCTTCCAGATGTTTGGGACTACAGTTCCCAGCATCCCTGACCACTGGTCCTGTTAGCTAGGGATGATGGGAATTGTAGTCCCAAACATCAGGAGGGCCGGAGTTTGCCTATGCCTGCTCTACGTCACTGTTTACTTACATACATATAGATATATGTGCAAAATAGTTACATCCATTGCCTTTGGAAGAGGACAAATTATTTTTACGCTATAAATTCCATTAAATTACTAATTTGATATTCATTAGTAGCTACTACACACACTGAAAATGGGGGGAGATTATGTGTTTGTTCTGTGATTTATTATTAATGGCTTTATAATTAGGTGTTAATCCATATTTTCTACATGGTGTTAGTGTTGTAGATGGTATGTAAGCTATATTCTTCCTGGTATAAACCTGCCTTCGGTTTCCACGGTTATTTAAGTTTCTGGTGTAATATACTTGAATATGCACTTAATTTGGATGATTAACGTACTACTTTTCCTCTTAGAACTTACTAAACTAGAAAATTGTATTAGTATAGCTAATTCTGTTAGCTAACTACAATATATGCATTTGAAGAAGGGAAAATGTCTGCAAACCTTAGCAAAACTGTAGATGATTATTGGAAACAAACACAAGTAGTTGTGTTACCTTTTATTGGGGATAGTCTATATTTTGTACCTTTATTGGGGAATTTGTATACTTTGTATCTGAATTTTACTGAATTAGCTCTTAGGAGCCGTTACTATTAGTTGTAGCACTGAGAGTGCCTTCCAAGTCTTAAATAAAAATTAACTGCCTTAGAGGAAGGAACATCGAGTGGGTTAGATGAAAATCTGCTATTTCAGAAAAAAATATTCTCTTATTAAAAAAAAAACTTTTGGGAGGCCTGATATGCCACTAATTTATTCAACATAATTTTTCATGCAGGATTTCAAATTATGGTAACCCATTGTTTCTTGCAATTTAGGTAAGGGAGGTAAAAACAGAAGACGAGGTAAGAATGAGAATGAATCAGAAAAAAGAGAACTGGTGTTCAAAGAAGATGGACAAGGTGAGACATACAGTTTTGTCATCCCCTATGCATGCGGTAACATTTTATGGTTAATGTCATTGGATTGCCATGGTTTTCTGGACATGAAACTTTTGGAGGAGACATACCGTATTTGTAGCTCTCTTTAATTGGGAAAGGGAGAAAACACAGAACTTGCATGTTTAATTCAAACGAGAAGTACAAAGATACGTGTTCTCTACCACCTTTCTCCTCCCCGAAAGAAAACAGCTTATATGCAAAATTAAAAGAAACAATGAGCTGAAAGAACAGATTGAAACGTGTGATACAAGATATAAGGAGAGGTGGAAGGGGGGTGGAGGAGGGTTTAGAAAAATATAATATTTTGGTACAAATCTGGGCATCTCCAGAGATACTTGCTTTAGTTTTAAATGTCAGGTGGTGCTTAAATTAGCCTTGTGAAAAATTTAAGAAGATTAAAATGAGTGAAAATCTGATAAACAAGATTTCTCTTTTAACATTGTGTGTGATAAAGAATTCAGAAATGTAACCAAATAATTAGCACACAAGCATGGTGAACTAGGGGAATAGTTTGTGAGAAGGATTTCTAGTTCCATTAGCCATATTTTCTTTTTGAAAACACATTAATTTTTTTAACAGATTGATCAATAATTTTAATGTATATTTTATTTTATGTTGACCACTTAGGAGTTTTATGATACAAGGGTCAGCTTCTGGATTTAGTAATCCGGTAGTACTGAATGTAGTTATATATTTTTGGTGGCTGGATCCATTTTTTGTGTTGAGACATTTTAAACTCAAGCAGCTGTGAAAAATCTGACATTTTGCTTCTGGTTTATTAAATAGCACATACGTTTTCATAGAGTCATAGACTCTTAGAGTTGGAAGGGACCCAAGGGTCATCTAGTCCAATGCCCTGCAATGCAGGAATCTCAGCTAAAGCTTCCATGACAGATGACCTCTGCTTAAAAACCTGCAAGGGTGCACCACCTCTCATGGGAGTCTGTTCCACTGCTGAACAGCTCTGTCAGAAAGTTTTTTCGAATGTTTAGTCAGAATCTCCTTTCCTGTAACTTGATGCCATTGGTTCGAGTCTTACCCTCCAGAGCAGGAGAAAACAAGCTTGCCCCCTCTTTTGGGTATGCATACAACTGTCAAGGTTCAGCTCCATTTCATGTCTTTCAGAGTATGCCCAGGTTATCAAAATGTTGGGAAATGGCAGACTGGAGGCATTATGTTTTGATGGTGTAAAGAGGTTATGTCACATCAGAGGAAAGTTAAGAAAAAAGGTATGTATTTTCAACCAGTGTTTCTAAAGACTTGCTAGAATGGACTCTGTGATTGAAGTTAACTAATGAATTTCAGAGTAAACAACAAATATTTGTAGTGATTCCTCTATAACATGACCCATGTTACACTAGTTTGCTGCCAGAATATGGGTCTTACATCATTAGTTTGGATACTATTGCTTTACTCTCCTTGCCTTCTGTCAGGTCTGTCAGAACATGATTGATACCTCCACTATTTGTCCTCTCAATCCTGGTCTGCTGAGTGTGTACAGAAAAATATTAAAGCCACACTTAATTTTAACAGATCTGCCCTACTTTTTTCCTTACTAAACAATTGCGCTGCAGCTTCCTCCATTTGACTGTCACTCAGAATGTCTTGTTGCTCTTCAATTTTTCCCCCTTTCCTGCTCTTTACAGCTAAAGTTTTTGCCATCTTCAAGAAGGTTTTAGAGAATTTTCACAGATTGCTCCCTTGCTTTCCCTCATAATGTTCCCAGTTTGTGACTCCAAACTTGTTCTCCTACTTTAAGTCCAGGATGGAGTTTCTAAATACCATTACATTCCCTCCATATTATTCCCTCCTCCCCTCCAGGCCATCCTATTCTATGGATCTGTTTTCCAGTATACTAAACTCTTACTTCCACCCACTCCTTAATTCATCAACTTCTGTACAGGTAACTCACAACTTACGCACATTTAACTTCTGTGATTCAGCTTTATATGCTTGGAGGGAAATTGTTTTTAATGAAAAGGGGCAGGTGTCTGGGGAGAAAGACTTTGGGAATCCCACCTGCTATTGAACCCAATGTGTTTTGAGTATACGTGGTTTTGGCTTTACACACTATCCCCAGAACATAACCTCAGTGTAAGTTGAGAGTCACCTGTACTGCAATTGCTCTCATCAATGTTTAAATTGGCTTTCTTGAGACAAAACCTAGACATTCTTTCTTAATACATTATTGTTCTTCTTGAAGTGAAAGATTCATTTTTCTATTAGCATATTTGTTGGATTCTTCTCATTCCTTGCCTTCCTAAATAATTTCCTTTTTTGATTCTCCTATTTACCTGTTGCCCAAATATAAGTTGCACCTGCAAATAAGCCGCACCTTTAAAATTCAAGGCTTATTTATGGGTGCAGCCCGCCTCCCAGCGGTACCGCCCTGAACTAGGCGGGCCTTAAATTCTCCCAGCACTCCCTCCCCAAGCTGGCTCCGGAAGAGGCTTGCTAGCAGCGGGCGGGCTGCGCATCGTTGCCCTGCGCTCCTGGGCTGCTCTCTGGGGGGGAGCCGCGCTGCTTTGCCAGCGGCCTTCCCCCTTCTTTCTGGCAGCTGGGGGAGGCTTGGGAGCAGTGGGCCACTGCCCCATGCTCCTGGGCTGCTTCCTGGGGGGGGGAGCCATAAGGTCACAAATATAAGCTGCACTTTAACTTTTCACGACCCAAATTTGGGAAAAAAAAATTGTGGCTTATATTCGGGCCAATACGGTATTTCCCTGTCCTCTTTGACATTTGTGTCCGTAAAGGGTCTTGCATTCCTTGATTGCTGCTTTTTATTCTCCACTTTCCTTGGTGATCACACTTATTATGGCTTTGTGGCTATCATATCTACTTTTCTGCCACTTTTGATTATATTTCTTCCAACTTCCCTCAAGCTCTTTCTTGGTTCTGCTCTTTACATTGTGAGCGACTTATTTTTATTATTTTGAAGTTGAAAAAATCCAATGATATTATTGTTGTTAGATTGTTAATGAGGAAGAATCTTGGGTTTGTAGGTTTTCCTTAATTATTTGTTTGAATTTTAGGTTTGGATAAATACATCAGATATCATACTGGTGGGTTTAAGAGATTACCAGGTAAATATTGTTGTTTTTCTTTCTTTTCTTAGTTTTTGTAACTGTAAGTGAGGAGTCCCAAAACCTGAGTTGCTGGTGTAAACATTAAAAGCCCAAACACCTTGATCCCCTGTATGGACCATATTTTATAAACCTATCCACACCTGCTGGCACTTCGTTATTTATTAAATTTGTATACTGCTCTTCATCTGTAGATCTCAGGGTGGTTCACAAGGTAAAAACACAATACATAATAAAAACAAAAACAAACCAATAACTTCCCCTTAGGAAGAAGGGAAAGGGATAACTAAAATGTATGGAATATGTGCTGAAGCATGCTTTGTACAAAGCCCATTTGGTAAAGCTTCAAGTCATGCACTGGTCTGTGTGTGTGTTTGAGCTGCGCCTGTAGTTCCAGTAAGACTAATGTGTAGTGTAGTATGGCCTAGCTGTGTCATATACCATATTTTTTGCACCATAACACTCACTTTTTTCCTCCTAGAAAGTAAGGGGAAATGTCTGTGCGTGTTATGGAGCGAATGCCTGCGGGTGGTGGTGGAGATCTGCTACAGTCGTGAGCAGAGGATCCATGGTTCCCCTTCCTTCCCTCCTCCGTGGTTACAAAGCATGGATCCACATGGATCCTCAGGATTTTTGCATTGGGCTACTCCAAACTCACTGTCAGATCACATGTCTGTGGCCACAGCATGAACCACAAAAATCATATATCCACTATTTCGTTTAGAATATTTTTTTTCTTGTTTTCCTTCTCTAAAAACTACGTGCGTGTTATGGTCTGGTGCGTGTTATAGAGCGAAAAATACGGTACCTACCTGTCTCTGCAGAGGATGAGGTGAGAAGGAGAGATTTCTAGCACAACTAGGAAGACAGGAGCGCTACCACAGACCATCAATCTAGCCAGTTCCTATAGTAGGCTCAACATAAATGAGAAAGGAAGTGGGGTAGAATCAAGCAATAGAAAAGTTAGTAAATTACCAATTTTAGACACACTTTGGTTCATAAATATAATTAATTTGGAGTTTCTTAAGAGTCAAAAGTAGCAGAGATGATGTGGCTGAAAAAGTGTAGCTTGACTTGTAGCACCTACAAGTTGAGCTTTATAGTACATAGCTCATTCTCCTCCCCTCTCACTTCCAGGTCTTCTAATAATAATTTTTAGTACTGAAACTGTTTTTATTATATAAACTTGAAAAGTACATGCCTCTGCTGAAATAATCTCTGTCAGCAAAAATTGGTCTATAACGGGGCTAGGAGGTTGTCTTCTTCAATATATAGAGCTTGATAAGAAATAACAATTTAAACGTCCAGTTAAAGTAAGTTTTGAGCTAGATTATTTCCCTCCCCCCCGAAATACTACTTACTAGTAACTTAATATTATTTAGGATAACAAGGCTGACGTCATTCTAAAGTACAATGCAGATGAAGCCAGAAGTCTGAAGGCATATGGAGAACTTCCAGAGCATGGTAAGAATTTCCTTGGTCATTTCAGAAGCTGTTACAAATAACAGGGGTGGGGGGACTCACAGTAAAACAGCTGCTAAAATGTGTTTCTATTTTGTTTTAATTTCTACTAGCCAAAATTAATGAAACCGATACCTTTGGGCCTGGTGATGATGATGAAATCCAATTTGATGATATTGGAGATGATGATGAAGATATTGATGATGTAAGTACATGCAAAGTATCAAGATGGTTGTTCAAGGGTAGAGTATGCTAACACTTTGTACCATTCAACTCAAGTTATATTGCTTGGCCAGGGGTCTGCAAATTGTAACTGAGCCTGGTAAGCAGAAATGTAGAATAATGGTTTGGAGTAAACGTAGAGAGCCTTTCCTTTTCCACTGAGCAAGAATGCCCTGCCCTCCACAGAATTAAGGAGAAAGAATGACTTATAGTGCAGATGGCATTGCTCCCCCACAAATTTGAGTTCCCTTCGTGTCTCTTTTTAAGTTAAAACACTACCTTCACTTCCCTAACAGGTAAATTGTATATAAGTAGACAATGTAGATTCTCAAAAATAGTCCTGGTTTGTTGTTTTCCAGCTTCCATTCAGCAGTATATACATAAACCATTTGTATGCTGCCTTTCCATAGTTAAAACCATGCTCAAGGCTGAAATTTAACATACAAGTGGCAACCATTTTAGGCGCATTGAATTGACACACAATCACCAAGGCAGAATGGGTGCAAACAGGGCAGGAAGTGCTTTCATATGCTCCACCAACACGTGGGATCCGGGATCTGAACCTCCATGTGAAATGGTTACCACCTGTAATCACAAATATAACAAAAGTTGTCGTAAGCAATACATAAAACACATCAAAAAATACACAATCAAATTAATCAATTTCCACATTAATCGTAATAAGATATAAAAGATTAATATCAATAATAGCATCACCCCTCCCTTCCCCCTCAAAAAAACCAGTGTCCCAACCTGAAAGTCTGTTCAGCAGCCTCAGCTTTTGTAACTGGAGTCAGTTTGGTCTGCACCCTCCCAGGCCAGGGGAGAAAAGGACCGCAAGGAGCAGGTCTTCCAGAATTCACAGCCATGATGGTCCCCACTAATCCCCACTCTGTTAAGAGGTAATCATAAGAATAATTAGGGGTGCCCAAGCCCACTGATTTCTTTTGTGTCAGGGCAGTTTAGTTGAAATACATTTTGAGCATATCCACTCCCAAGTTTTTTCTGCCGGCCTTTAATTATTATAAACTGCAGAAACAAAATAATTTGGCACGGGTTTGGAGAGAAGTTTTCACAACAATGCTGGGGCCTGCTACACTTCTAAAGGAAGAGAATTCCAGAGAACTCACTTCCCAGAGCTTGGTTAACCTCTTAACATAGCAAGAGGGACAAGCAGGATTGTAGAGTACTGGTCATCAGGCCTCTGGGCATTATTACCTGCCAGAATAAACACCCTTTCCTCAAGCATGTCAGTAAGTGGTTTCATGAAAGACGAAGCTTAACTATGTGTTTCAAAGCTTATCTAGTGGTGTTTTAGTACTCAACCAATTGATCAGTGATCCATTTCTGTTCATGAACATATGTGCCTTTATACTTCAGATCTAAGCGTTTTGGATATGAATAACTGGAAATTAACATTGTTACATTAGCCAGCCATACAGAGATGGAAGGTTTTCCAATGTTCTTTATCTATAGTCAATTTGAAGCCAAAAGCTTTTTGATCCTTGATGTCAGTGGAATAAAATTATGCCCGTCATGCATAGTCATGATAAAAGGGCAGCCAAGAACAGCAACTCAAGCGACACAATATATTAAGCTTATCATAGATTATATGATATAGTGAAATTGTAATTCGTGACTTGTCATACTTTTCCTTCACTTGCAGATCTAAATGGAACTGAGGAATACATTCCAACTCCACCTCAATAATTATTTTGTTTTCAAGTCCATACCTTAAAGAAGACTGAAACTGCATAACATTTGTAGTTACACCAAACCAATATATTGCCCAATGTTGAAGTATTTATATTTCTTTTAAAAACAGATGATGTTGGACTCTGAAAAGTTAAATGAAATATTACAACTATTTTTGCCTCTTTACCAATTAGACCTTTACATCTGTGTGTAAATACACTTCCTTAAACTCCCTCATTTGCTTCATCTTTTTTCACCACTAAACTTCACTCAATCTGTTTTGAAATAATAATAAAAAATATTGCCCTATAATTATCATGGAATTTTGATTGAATGTGCAGGCTAGTGCCCAGTCTGCCAGTGCAGTGTTTTTTCCTAATACCCCTTGAAGTCAAATTGTAACATTTTGAAAATAGAAAAGGCAGAGATTGTCTATAAAATTCATAATGCCTAAATCTGCTTTTTAAGTTTTAGCTGCATGTTATTTTTATACTGGTTTTGATATTGAATTTCCTCTTTCACAGATAAATTTGCCATAGTGAGGGGAGAGAATTTTTTATTTTGAAAATTATGTATGTTTGAATAGCTTTTCCCTATGTGGAAGTGGTAATGCAGAAGTTAAAATAGTAGCCACACCAAATTTAAGTTGTTAATTAAACTGAATGGCTTGCAATGTTATATTGTAACTTAACATTTTAACAGGTGCTTTTGCCCTTACCTTAAAAGTTCAACATTTATTATATTATACATATTTAGTTTAGATCCTGAGTTCCCAAGAGCAGAACTCTAGTCACAGTATGGCTTATGCTGATTCCTCCATCTTTGACTCCTGGTGCCTCCTGAAAAGGTGTTCTGGAGAGTTGGAGAAACTTTTGAAACAGCATATGAGGTGGTGCTGAGGTCTGTTGGGGAGGGATTCCCTCTGGAGTCCAGTCCCTTTGGAGAATGGATTTCAATTCATTTAGAACAGTTGTTCCCAAGAATGGTCCATGGACCCCAGGGGTTCTGCGTAATCCACCCAGGAGATCTCTGGCACCATTCACATAACAAAAACTACCATAGAGATATCAGTATTTTCAAAAGTACGGGGTCCACGGTTTGGCTTTTGAAAAATGGGATCTGCGGTACTTAGCTAATTGAGAACTACTGATTTAGAACATTCTTACACTTCAGTAATAAAGAGGAAAAATGCTCAGTTGTATCCAACACTGCACAAGCGGATTTCTTCGTGTAAAGCAGAACTTTCTCCCCCCCGCACCTCCGCTCGCAACTGCTCTGGAGAGTCTGCCTATCTCTGGAGCAGATTTTGATGGTTCACTGTGGGGGGGGGGTAGGCAACTGGGGAGAAAGTTCCATTGTGCATGCTGAAGTCTGTTGTGTGAATGGAACTGCAGTGTTTGATCAAACCCACTATGTTTAAAGAAGGTTTTCACTTTCAATTCCATCAATTATGAGGTACAACTGCATAAAGGTTTTTGAATCTGAGATTATAAAGGAGATGGATGTTAAGTTCTGAAAATTTCTATCTGAAATTAACCAGTTGAGAAACAAATTGAATGAGCATTTTCAGTTTGAGTGGGAGTAGCACACCTAAAAAGTTCAATAAAGACTAACATAGTCCTAATAATATTTAAAAGTGCTAGATTGGTTTGTGTTTCCTTAGTGCTGTATCTCTATTTTAATCAAGGATAATTAATTCCTGTTAACTAACTGATTTGTCTACAACAGTTTTCATAGAACACTCAAGTTCTTAAATTTTGTTATGCAGCTAAAGTTTCTTAAGTGAAAAAACAAGAATTTCAGAAGTGGAACTGCATACAGCCACACTTGTGTCTAACCACACATATACAATACTGTTGAATTGGCCTCTGCTCACTGAGTTTTGAAGCTGGTGGGGTGGAGGTTCTGCTCAAAGTTACTGAAGTTCGTATATTGCTTGCCTTGTGAGTATTTGATATCAGATGAAGTAAACGTTTTGGTGTTAGTGTGTATTTTATCCTTTGTAAACGAGGGAGGAAAGAGGTGTGTGGGGGGGTTAAAATTCACCAAACCTATATACCTGTGTGTACAATGTGTTGCACACATTGTATATTTTATGTGTGGGATAGATTGGTTTCTTGGTCTTAGACTGATTTAAGACAACAGTTTAAGCATGCTTTTTAATAGCATTACAATGTGCATGCTTGGTTAGAAGCATTTAATGGACATGAGATCATGGAAGTCTTGCCACTGACAATGTTTCTGATAATGCTAGAATAAGAATATATGCCAGATCAGGACTTGTCTCGTGCAGCATCCTGCTTCCCACAGCAACCAATCAGATGCCTATGGGGAAGCCTACAAGCAGGATGTAAGAAAAGCAACCCTCTCCCTGCTGTTGCTTCTCTACATCTACTTTGCATCACACAATGCATAATGTTATACACCTCTGTTGTGTGTTTGTTGCCTGCTTGCCCATTTTCCAAACTAAAAAACCCCCTGTGTAATCTTTCTTCATAGTGCAGTTGATCCATCCCCATGGATTATTTTGGCTGCCCCACTTTTTTGTACCATATCAAGTTGTAAAATATTCTTGAGATGCACTGACCAGAACTGTGCAAGGTATTCCAAGTGTGGTTGCACCATAGATTTGTATAAATACATTATTTTTGATCCCTTTCCTAATGACGGAATTCACCATTTTCACAGCTATTTCACATTGGATTGACATTTTCATTGAACTATCCACTATGTCGCAAGATTTCTTTCCTGGTCAGGCTCTGCCAGTTCAGATGCCATTCATGTATGTGAAGTGAGGAGATATATTTACATATATTTGCCATAGTATGCATAATCTTACAGTTCTTTTCATTGAACTACATTTGCCATTTTAGTGCCTATTTCCCCAGTCTGAAGAGTTTCTTTTGGAGTCTCAATATCTGACATGGTTTGCAGCGCTAAATATTTTGGTGCCTCAGTAAATTTGGCTATCTTGCTGCTGACTCCTAACTCTAGATCAGTAATGCACAAGCTAAAAAGCACAAGTCCCAATACAAATTTCTTCAGGAAATCCCCACTACTTACGTTTCTCCATTATGAGACACAGGGATCTGCTCTACAACTTGGCAGTGAAAACAGATGCAAAGGGTTGATTTAGGTTCCCTGAAATCTCCTTTTCCTCTTTTAGCACACCTTGGACTCATTTGTTGTGCAAAGGTCCAACTGTCTCCCTAGAATGTCTCTTTAATGTATTTCTAAAATGTTTTATTGTTGGTCTTAATGTTTCTAGCAATACAATCCTCATAATCCTTTTAATTCCTTTTTGTCTGCTTGTATTTCTTTTGCCAAAGTTTGTGTTCCTTTTGGTTATCCTCATTTAGACAACTCTTCTGTTTTCTGAAGAGTGTCTTTTTGCCTCGCGTCTCTGCTTGTTAACCCTTTGGCATCCTCATAGCTTTGGTCATACCTTTGCAGATCTGTGGTATCTATTTTAGCTGAGCTTCTGTGTATTGTGTTTCAGTAGCTCCCAAGCCACTTAGAGAGATTTGACCCTCTTGACCAGGCTTCCTCAAACTCAGCCCTCCAGATGTTTTGAGACTACAGTTCCCATCATCCCTGACCACTGGTCCTGCTAGCTAGGGATCATGGGAGTTGTAAGCGAAAAACATCTGGAGGGCAGAGTTTGAGGAAGCCTGCTCTTAACTATCCTTTTCAAACTTTTTTTTCACCAATCCCTCAACAAAATTCTACAGTGTTCCTTTTAGAAGTCAAATAATGCTTTTGTTGGGACTTTCTTGGCAATTGTCTGCTTCAATATGTAATGCATTTGATAGAGCTGTAGTACTGTAGTTTCCAAATGGTTTAACACTTGCATCTCACAACAGGTCCTGGGTGCCACTTAAGATTAAGTTCTGTGTCACTTTCCATCTGGTCAGTTTTAGGACCAAATAGCTAGGGCCCAGATCACCCTGGGCCTTTTGCTCAGGGGAATGTTAGTACATTTTCAGTACTAAATAACTTTGGAGACTTGCGATTATCACTCACACACAATGGTTCTGGGGAGTTGTATCCCCTTTTTAATTTTTTGACCATATTCCAGAGCAACACCTTTCCCTTCCTATTGGATTTAAATAAAGATGGAACTCTATTCCACTCATTCTTTCAATACGCAGGGTCCCTCTCCAAACGTCTGTGTCATGTGGATTTTTCCTTTATGGCTGTGGACTTCTGGCTGGCTATCATCCCACTGCACTGCGATTGACTATTTCTACCGTGTTGCAATTTGGACATTTACACATTCTCATCCTCATTTCATCATAAACCAGATGCTCTCCAGTTCCTGTCAGATTTCTCCCAGGGAAAGATATAAGGGTTTTTAAGAAATAAATATTTTCTTAACAATAAAATTTTAAATTCTAAAAAAATAATAATGATGTGTTAGATAACGGGTATTTCTCTGTCCTAATTCTGACTATTTAAAACAGCCTCAAGTTATTATTTTTAAACTGTGGAGATATCAGGGGTTGGACCTTGGGTTTTATATGTTAAAATTAGGGAACCAGTGGTCCTCAACATGTTGGACTACAACTGGAAGACCACAGGCTTCCCACTCCTGCTTTACATATTTGCCACTGAGTTCTACCACATCTTCCAACTTAAGCTCCCACTTCTGGTTATGATCCAATCACTAGCTATGATCCAGCAAGTAATTTCTAGCATCAGGGCAGCTGTGTGATGTTGATGACTCATTTATCCCACTTTTCCTTCAAGGAACTTAATTCAGGGCAATATGTGAATTAACCCATTTGATCATCACAGCAACATAAGATTGGTTGGTTGGTTTGATGTAAATTGACTTTTCCTCCTCTTTACAAGATGTAAAGTTTGTGCATGTATTCAGTTCTAACAGTGGTTTAATTTTTAAGGGCATGAATATAACCTGTTTCCTTGTTGAGAAGGAAAAAGCTAATGCCAAGGAATAATGCAGTATGCTGGTAATGTATAGTTGAGACTATGTACCTAAGTTCATTATGGTGGTTTAATTAAAAAGACATGAAACCCTGTTAAATAGCAGTGTTGTCTGAAATGACATAACCACTTAGTAGTGCATCCAAATTGTCTAACACAGGAGTAGTTCTTACAGCAATGCTATTTCTCAACATGTAGCTCTTATAAAGGGTTTTCAAATGTGAGTTGTGTCTTCTCATGAACAATCTAAAGTGTAAAATACTAGCTCATACATACAGTTCCTACAATCTTCAGTATTGTGAAATATACATGGATCATATAAGTTGTTACTGCAGCTTAGGTTTGAGGATTACTGGAACACAAAATGATTTCTATGAATGAAAAAGCAGACCTAACTTAAATTGCTAACAGGTCTAACTCTACTCAGTCTATAGTTCTAAAAAACCAAACAAACCTAGAACTGTATTAGTATGAATAATTAACTTTTGGGTATAGCAGAAGTTTAGCTGTCCCTTTTGGTGGCTTCCCCTACTCAATAACCACAATTACTCTCTTTTTCAGTTGCTTATCTGCCCTCAGATCCGCCTTCTCCTTCAAACATACTGCATTCACAATGAGAGTGGATTAAGGATGAATATTTTTTTTTTGGCAATTATGTGGAATGGTGCTGACTTGAACCGAAACCTCCCAGCTGCCACTTGTAGCCATTACATAATACCTACTCTAATTGGTTCTTTCTGTCCATTGTGATACAAATAAATATTTTCTCTTGGGAGGCTGAATTAATGAACTCCGGTATTTATTAATTGAAAATATTAGGAAATGGTAGATGAATTTATAGAATGACTACAACTGTAGGTGGGAGTTGTTGTGGAGAGTTTATGAATTTTCTTCCCATCTTCGACCCCTAATCAGCTCCAGAGGTTTGGAGGAGCCCTCAGAACAGATTTGGGGATGGGCATGGAGGGAGAAGGAAGTCTTTTTGTACAGGCAGAAATCTTTGTGCTAATGTGGTGACTTTACTACAGCCCTTAATCTTGTTTGGGGTCAACAATGTTACTCCTTGAGCTACTGTAGAGAGTTGCTATGCAATACTGGTAATCCATATCCTGAACAGCTATCCACGTTATAACCACTGCATGGAGAAGCTGCATGGAACTTGTCCAAGATTGTAGAACTACTGCCAATAAGTGCAGGACTATACTGTGAAAACATTTTGGGTTGTATCCAGCATGGTCTGTACATGAGCAGAACACATCTGTTCACACAGAACTTCATATCTTCCCACTTCAGTGCTCTCAAAATCTGTTCCAAAAGGTTGTGGGACTCCAATTTTGGGGGGCTCTAGGGAGTCTGCAGGATAGAGAAGAGGATTGTGAAGTTCCATTGTGCCAGCAAACTTAAACTTGTACAACACTGGATTACGTTCCTTGGTTAAAATTGGTAACCTCTCACAAGAAAACAACTATGAAACTAATCCAGCAAAGACACACAGTGGTCTAATTTCTTTTGTAGGAAGTGAATCTATCTTGGTATTAATAATTTAGGTTACTGACCTTTTAAGCCTAGGCATTTGTACAGACCTGTGTTACTTATATTTTTTCAGGCTTAGGGTTAGGGTTCATTATAAAAAAATTAAAATCATGTCTATACTTCTGAGCTTGCAAAGGTCCGCTATAAATGAGGAGCATACTTTTGCAATGATGGGGAGAAGGTGATATTTTCCTGTATGAACTTCCCACCATTTCCCAATAAACACTCCCATTTTAAGATCAGCATGAGTGCAAGATAAATCTACCGTTTTTGCCACACTTTTGCGTCATTTTGTTGACAAGCAAAAGGTTTACAGTACCTACAGTACTTAATTCTAGCAAGGACTTTCAATTAATCCTAACTACTTGGTGGAAAGCAATAGTTTTCTCTCAGCTACGCACAGAAACCTATGGAAAAGCTTGATCATGTAAGTCAATTAACAAATGGATTGTTACATGTAGTAGAATGGCCTAAGGCTGAAAAATTAATAGGAAAAAATATGGTAACTCTCATCCCATGGGGCTCATTTAGGAGACCTTGAGCCACATTAGAAGATTGTCTAATGTATAGTGAGTTCCCAATATCTGCACAAAGAATTGTCAATAATTAATTATATTTTGGCTAGGATTCAAACTGCTCCATCTACAAATAGAAGCCAGTTCTGCTCACAAAGAGAAGGGTTACTTGTCTTCCTTTCCAATTTCAGCTCTGTATCAAATCCAACTCTGTTGAGGGGATCCCTTATGAAGTTGAAAGTGGCTCCCCATTCCTTATTCAAAGTAGGTGCATAAGCAATCTGAATTAGGAATTGAAGTTTTCACACCACACTTGAAATAAGCTTTGAACATTTGTAAATCCCTGCCAAGGAGAGGCTGTCCCTTATAAAATGCTTCAGAATTTTTAATGCCCCAAAGCTGTGCAATGTGTTTTAGTATTAAGTCAAGTGCCATCCATGTACAGTAGATGGCATTTAATAAAGAATGAGAGGTCACTCTCTAGTACAAGAGGGTTACAATTTAAAACACAAGTGAAACCAGAAGAGGAGGAAAATGAGGCAGAAAGGTAAGGTAGGATTGTCATCATTCCAGTTATACATAGGGTTAGTTAACATTAAGGAATGGGCTTTTGCTCCAAAATCTTACGGTATGTACACATTACTGGCTTAAAATGCAGTGAGGTAATTTCTTGTGCTGCCTTTCAAGTAAATCCAGCAATTAGTTTTTCTGGCACAAGGTGACTGCCTTTTGTGGGGTGGGGAGCGTTTTTTTGCAAGAGAGGCATTGCGGGAAGGAGCAACTTGTGCTTTCTGGGCTCGATTCCTTCATTTTGTTTGGCTCCTGCCTGGAGATAGTTCATAGCTATGTTTCCCCTGGTGTTGGCACTTTAAATAACCAAGGTGAATGAGATCCTCTCCTTGTTCGCAGAGACTCAGTCCTCACCCACTTACGAGGAGTAAGGCCTTTTGAATCCGATGGGACTTCTGAGTAGACATGGTTAAAATTTGCAGCCTCAGTTCTGAGTCAACAGGAAAAGGCAGCTGGCAATGGGATGCTTCTCCGAGGTCAGACTTGTAAGACTATCCTCAGGAAATGTTCCCACTGTGTACACCTGGGATTCACCATGCATTGTATACAGTAGTTCGTGGCTTGGGGGAAATCCTACCAAAACTCAGTTATTCAGAAGGAAAGCTTGTGGGCAGTGCCATAATAACTAACCATAATCGTGTGCGAAGCACAATAAACCTTGTTTTTTTTGGAAGACTCCAAACCCGAGAGGGAAGCGCTTTTGCCCCAACACGTCTCCTGGCTTAGGACGCGCCGCTTCCCATCTCTCCTCGCCTGCCTGTTTTGTTTTAAACTTCCCATTGCGCGGAAAGCAGCACGTGCTTCTTCAAGCCCACTTCAAGGAAACAGCCCTTCAAGGAAACAGCCCACTAGCCCGCAGGGAAGAAGCTGCGCCTCCCTCCCTCCCTCCCTGCGCGGCCACCCTGGGCGTTAAACACGCTCGCCTGGTCCCAGGAGGAGCAGCAGCTCCATCTCCTAGGGTTGGAGAGGGGGGCGCGCGCGCGCGCGGCTTTCCTTGGGCGCAACCTCGACGAGCCCGTGGAACAGGCGCGGCTGCCTGCTCGCCCCGGGCGGGGAAAGGAGGAATAGGAGAACGTGAAGGGAGCGCGAGAGCAGGTTGCCACACGTTCGCAGAGCGCGAGCGAGAAAGAGGCAACGAGCACCTGGGAGGCGCCGGGAGCGGCGTGGTCGCCCCGCTTTATTCTTTTCCACACAGCCGTCGTAGCGAGCAGCAAACGGCCCTTCCCGCCTCTCTCCTCAGCCCCGGCACTCCTTCGCCTTTTCCCGCCTCCCCAGCGCCACAAGGCAGCGTCAGGTGTCGTGCCGAAGCGGGCAGTGCGCCTGTGCGGCAAAGCATTATTCTCTCCAGCTCCCGTGCCCAGCCGCGGAGGAAAGTAAACCGCAGCTAGCGCGCCGGAGGAGGAGGAGGAAGATGGCGGAGCCGGGGCCAACGCGGACGTCTCCCTCGTACCCACGGGCGTCAGGTAGGACATAAGAGTGTGTGTGTGTGTGTGTGTGTGTGTGTGTGACCCAGCAGGTGTGGTTTGTGGGAAGGTGCTTGGCTTGCTTTTTTATTTTTGTATTTTTTACTTTGCAGAGAAGACTCTTTGCTGCTTTCCCCCCTTGTACACCCAGCCACCCACCTCAGTGGAGGGCGGGTGAAAGCTGCGAGGGGGCCGGGCAGGTGCCCTTCCGTGCTCCTTGCCCTCCATGCTGCAACGTGGTGTTGCCGCCGCCGCCGCCGCCAGTCTCCGTGTGGCAGCGTGATTTATTTGCAAGGGGTGGGTGTGTGCGCGGTGACATTTGGCAAGCGGGCGCGCTGGGTATCGTAGCATAGCTGAAGCCGGGAAGGCGCCAGAACCAAGCCTTGGTGGTGGTGGTGGTGATGGTGCGGGGGGCGGGGCGGGGATTGTACTGGAGAGTCTATTGTAAGGATGATAGGAGGCCTCACCCGAGGCGAGGAAGAGGATGGCCTGGAAGATGTAGGGGGGGTTGGTTTGTTTTTTTTTTGCAGGAGAGCTTTGTTGCTGGTAATTGGGGAAGGTCAAGGATAGCACATCAAATCAGAGGGAGAAACTAGACGAAAACCAACGTTTGGGCGGTGGGTCTTCTTTACCCAGGCATCAATAACGCTCCTTTGCTGACTCGCTGTCATAGGAAACACGAGGCGGGCAGTAAAACGACAGGAAAGGATCGCTGTGCTGTTAGGGCTTTTGTATTCTCTTTTACCAGCAGACGAAACCTTTTAGTGCTTTAATGGTGTATGGTCTCCTTGGTTGTAAAACAAGGCTGTCTTTGGTGTTCACTGGAAAGGGGAGTGTAAAATGGTAATGTCTCCTGTGAGGCTAATGTTACTTGGTTAAATATGCAGAGGTGCATATTTTGATTCCAAAATAATGCTTTTTTTTGTTGCGTCTTTACATGTCTCTTTATGTCGTTTAAACCTGTTGGATTGGTGCTGCGAGGCGGATCCAAGCACAAGAGACAAATTACACAATCATGGAGCGTGTTGCCGGATACTTGAGGTTCTGCTTTTAACCAGGGGACTTGGGACTCAGGCCAGTTCCACCAATGCTTTGGACTGTCCTGTGTGAGCAGAGAAACAAACAAACAAATAAATAACAGGCTCCTTTCTAAAACTTGGCTACCTCTTCAAAGATCTAGCATGCTTTGAATTTAGCAGATAGTCCTGTAAAAGCTGGTGATAAGAAGTCTAATCTTTTCAATCAGTTAAGTTTTCATCAGTCAGTTGCTGCAGCTCAGAAGGCTGCCCAGCAAAATGGTGCTCCACTTTGGTTTCTTAAATTCTGACATGGATCTTGTATTATTATATTTATATCTCACATTTCTTCTATTGTGGAATTCAAGGTGGCCTGGTGTCCATGTGGCTTCTAGGCAGGAACCCATCCAGGCACTGACCAGACTTAACTGCTTACCTAGGTTTTGAATGTGACTCTCTATGGGAGACCCACAAGTCCAAATTTCCTTAGTATGGCAATCCGTCAATTTATTATCACAAGAATTTTGGACTTTGTGTCTTTGGTGACAGTTACTTTGGGGCATTTTAATTATAAGATTACCTATTTTATCACCATTGCTTGAGGCATAAAATCAAAAATTTACACAACGCACCCCTATTAATTGAAATTTGTTGAAACGTTTAGAGAACTTAAATTCCCACAGCAAAACTGAATAACTTTTTAAGAACACTAACCATCTGCTTTGAAGATATTCCTGTGCATCGAAGGAGAGCTGTAATAGTCACTCAAACAAACTCCCTTTATTGAGTACCTTCTCGTGAACTATCACTGCATCTGCCCCCAGCCAGCAGTTCCCAAATGTTAGAATGTAAGACTCACACACTTTTAATGTTTTGTTGCAAGTTGTAAGAGACACAGTTGTAAGTAGTATTCATCATGCTTGTTAAGGATTAAAAGCAATTATTTTGGGTTTACCTGTGTCTGTGACCCACTTGCACCGGCTTTGTGACCCATTTGTGGGTCATGACCCACAGGTTGGGAAACACTGCCCTAAAGGATGACTAGCTTCATGCAAATTTTAGAAAAGTTTCAGTGCTACAGTAGTGTGATAGCATTTTTGTGACTTCTTGTGACACAAGCTTTTGTAGGTAGTGACCTACATTGATTCATTATGGGTATCTAATACAAATTCCAGAATAGTCACTACATTAATTGTTTTAAATTCATTTCCTTCACTTCAAGCCCATTGCACAGTAAACCAGTTAGTTAAAGATGGCAGCAAAAGCCCTATCACTTTCAAATGTATATGTGTGTTCAAGTTCTTGACTTTAAAAACCCTACCCTATACAATAAGCCAACCTTGATGGCAGAAAGTGAGGAGGAATTAAATAACCTTTTAATGAGGGTGAAAGAGGAGAGCACAAAATATGGTCTGAAGCTCAACACCAAAAAATTAAGATCATGGCCACTGGGCCCATCACCTCCTGGCAAATAGAAGGAGAAGAAATGGAGGCAGTGAGAGATTTTACTTTCTTGGGTTCCATGATCACTGCAGATGGTGACAGCAGTCACGAAATGAAAAGACACCTGCTTCTTGGGAGAAAAGCAATGACAAACCTAGACAGCATCTTAAAAAGCAGAGACATCGCCTTGCCAACAAAGGTCCATATAGTTAAAGCTGTGGTTTTCCCAGTAGTGATGTATGGAAGTGAGAGCTGGACCATAAAGAAGGCTGATCGCTGAAGAATTGATGCTTTTGAATTATGGTGCTGGAGGAGACTCTTGAGAGTCCCATGGACTGCAAGAAGATCAAACCTATCCATTCTTAAGGAAATCAGCCCAGAGTGCTCACTGGAAGGACAGATCCTGAAGCTGAGGCTCCAATACACCTCATGAGAAGAGAAGACTCCCTGGAAAAGACCCTGATGTTGGGAAAGATTGAGGGCACGACAGAGGACGAGATGGTTGGACAGTGTTCTCGAAGCTACCAGCATGAGTTTGACCAAACTGCAGGAGGCAGTGGAAGACAGGAGTGCCTGGCGTGCTCTGGTCCATGGGGTCACGAAGAGTCGGACACGACTAAAGGACTAAACAACAACAATACAATAAGCAAAAACTAACTACTGTACTATCAATTGACCAAAATATTGTTTAAAGAAAAGTAGTTCAGCATCTCTCTGAAGAGGAAGTCACAGTGATATTTTGTGTCATTCATATTTTATTTTCTATAAACAGATTCCAACAAGTCTATTTGTTTCTATGTTCCTTCATCCTCTGAGCACTGATTAGCCATGAGCTGAGGAAAAACATATATATATATATATATATATATATATATATGCCTGTAGCATTGGATAAATTGAAAAAGTATGTGAGATGTTTGGGTTTAAAAGCTGACCTTTGGATCCAACCTTAGTTGAGTTAGTTAGGCACACCATTTCCCTGTAAAGTATTATTTTCACAAGTAGACATTAAATACAGCAGCCTGAAGCGCATGGTGTGCGTCTCTCCTGGTCCACCCTGTAAATCCAGGCTTACAATGAACTTTTAGACAGGTACATTTGTGTTGTATGAGCTATTTTAGGAACGCAAACCACAATTTTTTATTTAATCTGTTACTCTGGGATTCCTATTTCACATGTTCTGTGGAAAATACAAGCAGTAGTCGTATACAAAACCATGCCTTCTTGGTTGCATTATTCGCTTTACTATGAATTCTGGCTTTGTCAGAAGCAAACGTAAAGTCAGAAATCCTACTGAAAATTAAGAGTGCAATCTTATGCATGATTACTCAGACGAAAGTTTCACGGTGTTCGGCAGGGTCTTTGTGCATAGGATTTCAGCCTTAGTGTTCTTGATTTCATTTAGTTCAGTGTGATTTGCAGATTAGCTTGTGGGAATTCCCTACTGAAGACAACATTCAGCTGGTAATGCAGGATCATCAGTATGAAAGATGTTCAGGAAGTTGCTCAGCTCATCTGTATTTGAAATAAAGAATTACAGTACATTATTAAAATGCTAACCTTTGTAGTTGATCAGCACTAATGCATTGCCTGAAAGAAAGCATGCTTCCATTTTTATATCGTTGCAAGAGACCCCCAGCCCCTGTAATATATTAGGAAGAATGACCAGATTTCTTTGTCATAGCTGAATGTGTGTGTGCACCTTCCTCAGCTACTCACTGACTTCTTCACTGGATAGTTCAGCTGAATTCACTAACACTATACAGGTTTAAGGAGTTAGAGCTTCCCTTGATGGTGGTTTTATAGGTTACTGAGCAATTTACCAAACTTAACATTTTTATATAATATAAGCCTGTTTATGTAGGCAATACACATCACACATTTTTTCATCCATTCAGTGTGTATTAAAGGGTTGCACTGTAAAATAAAAATTTCTTTAATATTTAGTATGGAACAAATTGAAAAAGCAAAACTTTTGTCTTCACTGGAATATTTACGTTACAGAAATGTTTGGGAATGTTAATGAAATAGGATAGTCCTTTTACTATGTGAAAAAATTTCTTGTAAATGGCACTTTAGAGTATGCTTCACTCCTACGATTTTAAAAATTATTAAAATTATAAAGTAGGTCAGGAGCTGTATAGAACATTGTGATATGACTCTTAGAGGAATTGCAGTCCATTAAGACTATGTTTTTATCACGGCTGTATTGGCTGCCGTGATTTGGTAATTGTTCCAGTTTTAGTATGTTATACTATTGTTCAATTGGTTTGTGTGTATAGTTAGGTTTTTGGTCTATTGTAAGATGGATGAAGGGTGGTATATAAATGGAATAAATAACAATGATACAGGATGGGGCAAATGTAGAGAATGGACAAATAGGGATGGGGCTAGAGTCAAATTCAAAGAGGGGGCAGCCAGCTTCTCTGATGTTAGGATGGTTAGCAAAAGCTTTGCTGAAAAAGTAGGCAAGCCTCATTCAGTCAGGTATGAATTCAGGTGAGTATCATTGATATATGTGTGTGTGCACGCACACTTAAAAAAATAAATAACTTGGCTGGGATTCAGAATACTCCTTCTGGTGCGGCTCAAGGACTTGAGCATGGCCAGTGGAATTGTGGCTTTTTCTCTTTGAATAGTAGACATTCATTCCATATTCTCATTAATGAGAACTTCTTTTTCTAACTTTGATGGGGTGTTGTATTTCATCTCAGGTTTTGCCATATTTTCAATTAATGTAATGACATTTGCAAACTTTAGAGCCTTGCTATAGCTGTAAGTGGTTGCTAGGCTTCTCCCCACCTTTTCCTGTCACTTGTATTTTGCCAGGAGTATGCAATTTTGTTAGTGTGAGATGGTAATTGAAGCTTTTCATTATGCAGGGGGGCTGTCACTAACATGCATGGTTTTAGATGCCCATGTGTAATAATATTTACATATCATTTTCAAAACTAGCTGATCGTTATGTTTCACCGTACTGTGAAAGAATTGCTCTCAAATGCAGAGTCTTTTTTGAAAAACAACTACAATTGTATTTAGGACGTATTCTATACATTGCTTCTGAAATGTTAGAATATATACTGTCTTTGAAAGAGAGAGGACATGCAATTCTTTATACTAATTAACTCTAAATGCTAATATAGGTATGAGTCAAGATTATAATACAGCAATATTGTCTGTGCCATATCAGAGCTGGAAAGCCACCAAGGATATAGTTTCAACCTGCCAGAACTAACTGACTCTTGCTTCCCTTTGTATGTATTATATTGATTTCAAACGTATACAGTTCTTCTGAGGAGCCCAACTGTTCCTGATGAGTGGTAATCAATTCTGGCTCGGCAACTGCCTTCTTCTATTCATCATAACAAAATCAATTTGATTTGGAGCTGAAACAATCCATTTGATCACGGCTGCAATTTGTAACGTGGAGCAGAATCTTCCTCCTTTAAAAAGAAGGTTGTTTGCTGGTGAAACACAGAAAATTCAAGGAATGCCCATTGGGACTACCTTCCCATAGGCTGTGTAGCAGGTTTGGTTTTTCCCTTTAGACCTTGAAAATTTGTTAGTAACCTTAACTGTTTCCTGTAAAGGTTTTCCGCTTTTCTATTTAAAATACATCTCTCCTAGTAAGGGTGCAGTTGGGTTTATCAAGGAGACCTGCTCCTGCATCATAAGGAGCTTTTTCACACTAGTGCTGGACATTAACAGGAGCACGTAGCACTAATATGGATATATATATATATAGGACTCTTTTTTCAGGAGAAAATTTTAAAAGCCCTGAATGTTTTTAAATTAAAAAAAGGAAAAAAGATTGGACATTAGAATTCCAGGCAAACTCCCACATGCTCCAGTGAATTTATCTGACAGCTGTGCCAATGCATGATTAGTTCCAAGGAAAATGCACTTGCAGCATTTTAAGGCAAGAAGATACGGGTTAAAAGCTGGCCTGTACCGTCTACTATGTTGCACTGATAAAAACTGTTCATATGGGCAACTCTGTCACATTACAGTATTTTGTTTGAAGTTGACCTTCCTTGAGCTGAATAGCTACAAAGGGAACATCAGGATCTTTACACTGTCTGGCCACCAATACCTTTGGCTTCTTTTCTTTTGCCTAGTGAGCAGTTAAGTTCTGTTAAACACCTTACACAAATCCAGAGTGGAGTCCCTAAGACAGTTGGATGGCGCCTTATACGCCTCCTTCCGGCAACTCCTGCTGCCAAGTTGTTGCCAAACGTATTGCTCTGTTTTCCTTTGGACCACACCAGCAAGGCCAGGAGGAAAGTCTTGTCGTCTGGGAAGACCAGGACTTCCGTACTCGCTACCCAGGCTTGTGCCCAAAGGAAATCACTTTGGTGCTGCTAACACAGCCATTTGACTTCAGCCCGTAGGCACACTCCATTGTCTCTCGAGACAAACAAATGCCAACAAATCTGGGACCTTATGATGAATGGCAGTTAATAACTCAAATTGGTGATGATCGTATAAATATTCTGAAGAAGGTAGAATCTACAGTTCTGTGTACAGTCATACCTTGTGTTGCATTTGCTTCATGATACGTTTGCATCCCGCGGCAACCTGGAAGTACCGGAAAGCATTACTTCTGGGTTTCGCCGCATGCGCAGATGTGCAAAATGATGTAATGCGCAGATGTGGCATGTGCAGACGCAGGTTGCGTTCTGCTCATGTTGCGAATGGGACTCTGGAACGGATCCCGTTCGCAACCAGAGGTACCACTGTAGAAGCATAAGGATCTATGGACGATGTATGCAACCTAGATTATCTAGGTTATAAGAGGTTTTTCTAATTGGGTTTTATAAACAAGGATCATAGGACTAATACATAATACAAATAAATAGGCCAAGTCTTCTTATCTCATTTGTATATCACAAAAATAGCATAATAAATTTGCAATAATATCTACACCATATGGTTCATAGTCCGTGTATAAGTTATTGGTTAGGTTATAAGAGTTTTAAGTCTGTGTCTGTTTCAGCTTTTTATTAATGTTTCGTTAGCTCCTGTTTCTAAAGCCACTCTCAATGTTTGCCATTTGGGACTGGCTGAAACTTAATACTTGATAATTTAATTGCTGTTTGAACTGGTAGCTTGCACGTGACATCCCAATTTTTCCTGAAGTAGCATAGGCTTGAAAACATTCTGTTGGCGCTCTTGGCAGAAGACATGCATGTTAATGTTGGTAGATCATGTCTCTCTCATTCCCATTGCTCCTTAGTATTAAAATATTCAGTTATTTACATAGCTTGTGATTCTGGACTTAGAAAGATCCATGGATAAGAACGGATTATCTAGTTTCTCTTATCTGAAAATACAACAAATGAACGCACATTCTTGGCGAGGTACAGTGACATGTGTTCTCCTCATTTTCCATGGTATCATTTATTAATAATCTGCTTTTTATCCCAACATTAATACATATTAATACAGAGGAAATGTGCAATAAAAGTACAGACATACCTCGGGTTGAAGTTGCTTCAGGTTGAGCGCTTTCGGGTTGCACTCCGCGGCGACCTGGAAGTAACGGAAAACGTTACTTCTGGGTTTCGCCGCTCACGCATGTGCAGATGGTCAAAATGACGGCATGTGCGGAAGCGGCGAATCACGATCCACGCAGGCGCAGTTGCGGGTTGCGTTCACTTCAGGATGCGAACAGGGCTCCAGAACGGATCCCGTTCGCATCCTGAGGTACCACTGTACAGTGCATGCAATAAATTAACACCATGTAAAATAGCATTGAAATTCATCCATGGCAATGCATGCCCAAAGCAGCTGATAATGTTAGAAAATAATAATATAATAAATACATACAATAAAATTTAACTACTTACATATGCATACTTACACCTCCTCTGTTCCATCACTTGAAATCTTAAACCTTGCTTTGTTTAAACAAGTTTTATAGTGGTACCTCGAGTGACAAACGCCTCAGGTTACAAACTCCTCTAACCTGGAAGAGTTACCTCAAGTTGAGAACTTTGCCCCAGGATGAGAATGGAAATTGTGTGCTGGCTGTGCAGCAGCAGCAGCAAGAGGCCCCATTTGCGAAAGCATGCCTCTGGTTAAGAACAGTTTCAGGTTAACCTCCGGAACGAATTAAGTTCGTAACTAGAGGTACCACTGTATTCTCTTTTTACTCAAGGGGTATATAACACCAAGTGACCACAGTTTTCAGCTGGTGAAGAGGGTTCTGGCTCATGAAAACTTAAGCCACAATAAATTTACTAGTATTTAAGGTGCCACAAGAGTTTTTGTGTGTGCCGCAGTAGAACATCTACCACAGCATGTGATGGTCAAGGCTACTCCTTTAGATCATCTGTCTCCTTTTTCACAGGATGAATTTGTTCAGTTGTTATAAAAGCAAGTGTGTAAAACTGCCAGAAATTTAACTGACAAACTGTGAAGGAAGGTTCAGGCTCGTGCAGTCATTCTGCCACAAGGCTTCTCATCAAAGGGAAAGTAGGGAGTTACATGAGGTGAAATCATTGCTTTTAATGAAGGCTTAATTGAAGCTTGATGTGGAAGGAGTGCCTGTAGCAAAGTACCTACTATGCAGACACTGAATTTGAATAACTCTGATGGAAGCTTAGTTCTTCGACAGAAATACCCAAGGGGAGTTGACCTCTATAAAAAGTCAACTTTTTGTTTCAAGTTGTTTTTTTAAAGTTCTATAGGGCAAGACTGCTAATCCTACCACAGCCACTGCAATACAAGTAAATGGTAACTCTTGGATGTTTTTAATTTAGTACACAGGAAATCCCCGTTTACGTGGGGGTTGCATTCTGAGGCACTGTGTGCATCAGTGGGATGTGCATAAACCTATCCGGTTCTGCCTCCCCGCCCCTTTGGGGTGCTGAAAATGACTCGCATATCCGTGGTCAGACACATGCCAATCATGCACAGATGGGGAGTTCCCTGTAGTGTACTTGTCCTTTTCTCATGATAAGCATATTTATAAAAACCATAGTGATCTGAGTGTAACAAAGATGCAAACAAAACAAAATTACATCAGCAAGAAAATAAGTTCTTGATTCTGAAATAAGACGCTGCCTGCTAAAAGTGCTTTCAACAGATTTTTAAAGGGGGAAGTTGTCCAATATACATGGATAGCTATCTGATTCAGTGAGTTTAAACAATTTGTCAAATGGAAGCAAGGGTTTTATATAATGTTATACCTTATGTATACCTTATGTGATTGCATACTTCAAAGGTGACATTATATCCCCTGTAACACATCAGAAATATTTGTCAGTGTTTTTACATGTTGGATTATCCAGATTGTTTTGTTTTTTATTCTGTTTTTTGTCTTGGTTTGAAATCTAGTCACTTTTGCAGTTATGCTGTTGATAGTTTAATGAGTGGTTCTAATCTCTGTTTGAGACTTGAGGCAGAGAAGGAGGCTGGCACGTGGAGCATTGAGTATACCACTCTACCTGCATTTCATAATAAAACAGCTAGCTTAAAATGCCTAAGGACTGCTGGCTTGCCACTAGAAATTGAATCACTATATCCACCCTGCTCCAGTAGCAAGGGCTGCCCCAAAGGAAGACCTCACAAGTTTGCAGTTCTTGCCTCTGTGAATTAGGGTTTTGGTGGAAGAATATATGATTTAAAGAAGCATTCCCAAGTCACATTGGTCTTATCTGCATAGTGTACCATAATAAACCATATTTAATGGTTTGCTGTGAACATGCTGATCTCACCTTCCTTGCTCATCCGCATTAATGCACCAGAGAAACAAACCACCATCCCTGACTTAGATTGCGTCAGAGCTGGGGATCATGGCTGTTTCACGCCAAGTAAACCATAGGAAGTCAAGGTTTTGTTCTTGGCTCCCTAATTGCAGTTTGTCTGGAGCGAAACATGATCCCTCATCCAGACACAATACTAAGCCAGATATAGTGGTTTGTTTTTCCTGGGTGTTTGTGGGAAGTAGCGGAGCAGATGAGCTCAGCACATTCATAGCAAACCATTAACTATGGTTTGCCAAGCCATATAGATTGTTCCATTTAACAGTGGTTGGGTCCTGCAAGGTACATGAACCTCAAATAAATCAAAAGTGGTCATTCTTTAACGTACTGAATACCTTGGAGGAAGACAGGTGCAAGACAGAATGGCTTGCAGAATAAATGGCTCTAGATCAGGGTGGTCCTACATGCTGGCTGCAGGTGGCCTGTAAGGCCTTTTTGGGTGGCCCTTGGTGGACAAGGGAAGGGGGGTCTGCAGGCCATGCTGTTCTGTAGTGTCCTTGCAGGGTACCTGCACAGCTGGCTCCGAGAGATGGAGTCTGTGCCATGCTGCTTTGGTCACCCACTGGTGACATTGGCGGTATGGCTTCTCTGGAGCCACCTCCATTGCACCCTTTGCCGCAGCAGCCCATTGCTCACTCACTGTCCCGCTAACCTGGCAGAGAAGCTGAGCAGCACCTGTTTTGGCAGCATTGTTAACGAAAGCACATGCATCTGTTTGTGTATTCAATTTTCTTTACTAAGTGAATATAGTAAATATATTCATTTTATTATAGATATTTAATTAAACATACTAATTGCATATACAGTGGTACCTCTGGTTATGTACTTAATTTGTTCTGGAGGTCCGTTCTTAACCTGAAACTGTTCTTAACCTGAAGCACCACTTTAGCTAATGGGGCCTCCTGCTGCCGCTGCACCGCCAGAGGACGATTTCTGTTCTTATCCTGAAGCAAAGTTCTTAACCTGAGGTAATATTTCTGAGTTAGCGGAGTCTGTAACCTCAAGCGTATGTAAGCCGAGGTACCACTGTATTAAATAATACTAACTATATTGCGGACACTTTAATTTGCGATATGGAAATTTAATTCAGCAGCTGTTTCTATGTCAAAGTACTCTTGCGGACCACTTGGTCTGAGAGGGTGGACTGCCCTGCTGTAGATATGGAAGAATGAGAATGCCAACCTCAGAGCACCTCTGAAGCTCACCTTGCACATGTTTTATGATGGCTAACGAACATTTGGGGAAATCCAGCTAAGAAAATAATCAGCCAATTAATAAAACAAATTATAATCAAAAGTGTTCAAGCAAGGTTGTATTTTAACTGCTACCTGTTCATACACTTTGATTTTTTGGGGGGTGAATTTGTGTTTAATAGTCATAATTTCTTACAGATTGTTGTAACAGAGTTAGCGCTTCATAAACTTTCAGTTGGGTTCAGTTCACATGTTTAAAATAACAAAGCAACAACATCAAAGAAATGGGTGACTTGTTTCACACTAATTATATAGCAAGAAGTGAGGGAGAAAGCGTATTGCTTTATTTAGTAATGTATGATGATGTCTGAACTAATAAATGTGGGTGTTGGTTAGTACTTGGTTATATAAAAGAGGACAATGATATTGAGTAAGAATAGTCCAAACTCAGCTGTCTCCCTTTGCATATTAGTAGTGCATCCGTATACATGCCAAGATGAATAATTATTTTAGTAGAGGATACAATAAAAAAGTAAATAAAACCCTGTGTTGAATATGCCCTTAACTGTTTGTGTCAGCCTGGTTGTTTTTTGTCATTGATGGTACAGTGGTACCTCGGGTTAAGTACTTAATTCCGGAGGTCCGTACTTAACCTGAAACTGTTCTTAACCTGAAGCACCATTTTAGCTAATGGGGCCTTGTGCTGCCGGAGCACGATTTCTGTTCTCATCCTGAAGCAAAGTTCTTAACCCGAGGTACTATTTCTGGGTTAGCGGAGTCTGTAACCTGAAGCGTATGTAACCCGAGGTATCACTGTATATTAAATTGCCAAGGTGGGTGTTTGGGTAACACTTACTTCAGAGACACTTTTTCATGGTGATTGAAATAGAGGTCTTAAATTTCAAAACAAGATTCTAAAACACACTGCCCATGTTGTGATATGTTTCATTTATTTATATTTATTTAAGAACATCAGTTAAGTACATTTGGCCTTCCATTAGTCTCTGAAGTCTTCTCAAGGTTAGTCCTTATCTTGCACCCTGTAAGAGATGTCAATTCAGCATTGCTGAGTAAATGCTGTTCCAGCAGATTATGAGCTTGAAAGTGTGTTTTGAAAGCAATACAGTGGTTTGTTCTGTAGCACAGCATTATTGAGGGTAACTAAACAGCCATGGTTTTAATTAGAGCTTTGTTTGCTTTTTGTAAGGAAAAAAACACCTCTATCTGTGAAGAGATCTTCATTGTAGGATGCATCTGGTTTTCCTAGTCTGAAGTACAAAACCATGAATCAAGTATTTTACTGGGTTTAAGCCGTTTAGCCACTCCTGTTCAGAGTACAGTGATACCTCAGGTTACATACGCTTCAGGTTACATATGCTTCAGGTTACAGACTCCGCTAACCCAGAAATAGTGCTTCAGGTTAAGAACTTTGCTTCAGGATGAGAACAGAAATCGTGCTCTGGCAGCGCGGCGGCGGCAGCAGGAGGCCCCGTTAACTAAAGTGGTGCTTCAGGTTAAGAATAGTTTCAGGTTAAGTACGGACCTCCGGAACGAATTAAGTACTTAACCTGAGGTACCACTGTAATATGGATATAATGGATATTGGAGGGGAACCCTCTCTCATTTTAATCACCAATAATTGTAATGTCAACAAGTATTGATATTGATTCTGCATTCTGCTGAATGTGCAATTTATTAAATAAATACTTTTGCATCCCACCTTTTGGAAAATTTCTCACAAGATAACACTTTTCTAGTGTCTTCATCATGGAAGTTATATATCATGACTTATGAAAATTGTCAAGAACCTTGCTGGTGGCATTCATGACCTGGTGACCTCCAAATTGGGCTACTGCAATGTACTCTTATGTGGGTCGTCCTTTTGAGAATGGCTTGGAAGCTTCAGCTGGTACAGAAATCTTCTGCTTTTTATGATCAGACTTGAACATGTTGCAGAATTCCGAAACATCTCCATTGCTCATCTTGTAAGTTTTTCTGAAAGTGCTATTTATAGCCTTTAAAGTTCAAATGGCCTGCATCATGATTGTGTTGAAGAATGCCTCTTGTCTCTTCCTCACACACCCATTCTAAGATCTACTGACAATTCTCAGCTCTTTCTGGGAGCTGAGACGACATGCTAGAACAAGGCTGGAGAACCTGCAGTCCAATGACATCTGCTAGGCCATAGGTTCTCTATTCCTGTGCTACAAGGATCAAAGCCTTTTCGGTGGTGGCTCTGCAACTATGGATTACAGTCCTTCAGCATATCTGTGTTCTTCCTTGGTCTTGTTTTAGAGAAAAGCAAAAACACGTTTTCCAGACATCTGGGATTCAACTGGAAATGTGTGCTTTTCTGTGTGTGTTGTTCAAAATATTTTATAACTTTGTATACGTAATGTACTCCCGAATTGTATATAAACTGCTTTGGGAACATTTGTGTTAAAAGATAATATAGAACAGCAATAAAAATATACCTTAACCTGTTCAGATTAATATAATCAGCAGAATTCAAAGAGATGTGTTTAGCTAATCATCCAAAACAGATAATTTAATTACTCAAATATCAAGTTTTGTAAATCTGTTTTCACCACCCATTAAGGATGTGGGCTTTAATAAATGGAAGCTTCCTGGTTTTGCCTTGTAAATAAGGCAGAGGAGTGGTCCAATAGCTAGAAATTTTGTGGAAATGGTTATGTGGTGAGGACAAAGGGTCCATCAAATGGCCATGTAAGACTGTTATCATGCTGCAGTATACGTGGCTGGCAACAAGCAGCCATGACAACTCCTTAGCGACTCATACTTAGGCCATTTCTTCACCAGGAAGCTAGCCTGGTTATTCCAGGAATTTTCTATCTTTGTTTAGATTTTAACACTTGCTGAATCCAGGAATTGGAATGGTCTCAGCATACAGCCGGAACCCCTTACCCCTTATTTTAACTGGTGTATGGAAAACTGTGTTTTTTCTTACTTCATTGCAATTTTGAGATGGAATGATTTCCTTGTAGAGAAATTTTCACTGAAAACCTTGTTGAGGTAGTGGTGATTTGTTGAGGTAGTGGTGATTTGGCCATATCAGACCAGCCTGTTATAGGCTGCTTTTGGATGATTTTAGGCACATGAGTGAGATACAAGTTTAGAAAAAGAATAGTATGTATGAAAGAATATATATTGCATTAACAACTCTGATTTTCCTATAGTTAACAGATGGGAATGATAGAAGAGGAAATTCAGATGTTAAAGTTAGCATCACTGGTCCACAGAAAACAGTTGTAGGTACCACCTGTGCTGTGAAAAACAACTTTTCCTATGATAGAAATGAATGATGAAGTTATCTTCTATTTCTAGCACTCAGTTCTTATACAGCCCTCATTCTATAGTTGCTTTGCTTAGCTCTAGTGTACTCTCGCTAGTGTGATCCAGCCTGCAGCAAATTGCTTTTGATTCTTACCACAGTTTCATTAGGAGTTATAAGAGGTCTGACATCGTATAACTCTTTGGGTGCAGATCTTGGACTAGTAACTATTTTGCAGTGTATAAAAATGAAGATTTAAATAATACAAATGGAATGTTCCGTTCTATTAACAGTTTCAAGAAAATATACATGACTTGGTCAAAATGTACATTTATTGATTTTTCAATTAGATATTTTAATTCTTAAACCTATATGATCCTCTGATGTAGCAAGACTATTGTATTGGCTTTTTGTGTTCATATATTATGGAAATTCAAGAATCAGAAAGTTTGCTAACTACCAACACATAATTTGCTTAAACTATATATATATATATATATATATATACACACACACACACACACACACACACACACACACACACACACATATACAGGGGCATTTATTTATTTTTAAACTGAGTAGCTTGCCACAACAGATGCAACAGAGCATTGCTAACTCTGCATTTGAAAGCTCTTGCAGTTAAATTTAATAACTACTTTAGGGGTTTTTTTTTAGTTTCTGTGAACACATATTACTTATCTTGAATTTCCAGAAAAATAAGTGCACTCAAATTGCCATCTCTACCATGACAATCATTGTGCCTGTTATTATGTTCATCAACAGGGTTAACATAGTGTGAGTTGCCCACAGTGTAATTTTATTTTGCTGCTATGGCAAGTGGCCAAAAATAATACCATTACATATGATAGTAATAGTACCCAAATGGACCAGAATCTACAAATATGGGCAAGAGCATTTTTTAAATCTAATCTGATGAAAAACCTCATTCTGTAGAAATATGAGGCTCTCAAAAATCCAGCACAGCCAGTCCTAACACCCTCCACTGCTTCTGAGCTGAGAGCTGAGGAGGAAGCCAGAGGTTCCGCCCCGCAGTTTTACTGGATCTTGAAAACACCTTGAAATATACTCAGAGTCGAGAGTGGATTTCATGCTCTTTATTCAGCTCATAGTGGTGAGGAGGAATGAAAGTCCTGTCAAAGTATCTGCTTTATATAGATTATTTACACAATGGGCTGCACATGATTGGCTAATTCCGGAATTCTCCTGTAGGCCAATCAGGTTGTGAATTCACTTCCATCTGGAGCTGGATTGGGTGGCTCCTGCAGACCAATCATACTGCTGCATTGTTCTAGGACCAATCAGACTGCTGCATTCTGAATCCTATTGTTCTGGGACCAATCAGACTGCTGCATTTTGGATCCTATTATTCTAGGACCAATCACACTGCTGCATTTTGGATCCTATTCAACTCACTACATAACACACCTGAAGCATTTTCAAAGCTGTGCAACATCAAAGATGATGCCTTCAGGCAGTCAAGATGTGCGGACCTCTGAATATGGTGCTTTGGCATATTTGTGGTAGTTGGATAAGTAGCTTGGCACAACATATACCAAAGGAGTTTCAGAAAATCAGTATTGTAGAAACCCCAAACGTAAGTAATTGTCACATTAGTCCTATGAATACAATTCTATGATTCTATGTTTTCTTAGAAAAACCCCAGTGTGTTCAGTGGACCTAGTAAGTGTGACTTACAATCATAGTTTTAAACTGACAGAAGGTTTGTTTGTTTGTTTGTTTGTTTGTTTGTTTGTTTGTTTGTAAGTAAGTAAGTAAGTATTTTTAGTCACTGTTTATGTATTTATTTGCTCAGCATTCAAAATTAGCCAGGCACCAGTCACATTTTGCAACAGGGAGCTGGCCTTTTGCAACTGGATGGAGATGTCCGGATGCCACCCTTGGCATCTAGCATCTCCATTTGCCTGGCTGCAGTCGCCTTGTCTGCTGGGCACAGCAGCAGCAAAAGACACACATCTGTTGCTGCCACACTACCCTGCAAACCACCGGATTTGCCTGGCAGCAATCAATCAATCAATCAATCAATCAATAGCTGCTGATGAATCAGGTTTCTGCAGGGTAGCACGATAGCAAAAGACGTGTCTTTTGCTGCAGCGCTACCCTGCAAACCACCTGATAAGCCTGGCAGCATGTGTGTATGTGTGTATATTATTGCTGCTGGGCTGCCTGGTCTGCTAGCGTGGCAGCAAAAATAATAATAATGGCGCCTAGGCATTTTGTTTTGGCACCCACAACCTAGGTCCCAGGAGCCACAGGGCTCCTAGCTTTCCTATCCCAGTTTCTAAAACTATTTGCTTGGTATTATTTGCTGGTGTTGTCTTTTTATATATATATATATATATATATATATATATATATATATATATATACAAACAAACCTTTACTGTAATTATTCCACTAATTTTACAGAAGAGTGTTCGATACTAAATTTTCTGTTAGTGTGCTAATGATACCAAGGTCAGAATGATTATGTTATACTGTGTCCTTCTTAGCTCACTTAGTGTAATAAGACTTCCTCATTAGTTCTGTTCAGCCAACCTTCAGTATTGATAGTATGACACTTATTTCCTAAGGCTTTGCCTCCAAGTATTTGGATTTCTCATGTGACCATTCTCACTAGCATTCAAAGTACTTCTACCTAAGTTTCCATATATTTATTATGCTTCACCCTGCCCCACAATTGAATATGTTTCTCCCCGTCACCCCAAAACTTAGTTGTCACCCTATCAGGGTTAGGAGTAACCGGGTGGAAGAAAATGCCAGTTTCTCACTTACTCTAGTTCACTGACATTTAATTCCTCCTTCTAGTATTGACAGTGAGCTTAAATGCAGCCTGTGGGGAAGAGCAGGGAGAAAAGGGGGAAATATATATGGTGCAAGAGGAACTATTGGAGTGTAATAAGCTAAGTGCTGAAGACACAGCGGGCAAGGCATGGCCAACAGGTCTTAACTATTTGGAGCAACTGTACTGTATATTAAATCTACAACTTTGTGTTCCCCCTAGGCCTAGAGCAGGCTTCCTCAACTTGGCCCTCCAGATGTTTTTTGGCCTACAACTCCCATGACCCCTAGCTAGCAGGACCATTGGTCAGGGATGATGGGAATTGTAGTCTCAAAACATCTGGAGGGCCGAGGCTGAGGAAGCCTGGCCTAGAGGAAGGTGGAGCATAAAGTTTTAGATTTAATACTGTTGCTCTAGTCTAAATGCTTATGAGAGGAAGAGAGTGAAAGCTTCCACTTTATTTCTCCAAGAATAACTTAAGTTTGAAGATGTATTATCTCTAGTTAGCTAATGCTGATGCTTAGTCATCCCAAATGTTCCCAGTGGACCTGCAGAACAGAGCTGGGGGTCCTTTGTCCCTTCAGATGTTGTTGGGACTCTAGTTCTCATCAGTCACAGCCAATGGTTAGTTATGATGGGAGCTGTGGTCCAGAAACTTCTGAAGGACCAAAGGTCCCCCAGCATTGGTTTAGAATGTCAAAGGATAAAAGCAGCATCCTAAATTGAGCCCAGAAACGAATAGGCAGCTAGCATAAATGGCACAGAATAGATGTTACATGATCCAAACACCTAGTGTTCTGGCTGCTGCATTCAGCACCAGTTGTAATAGCCAAACTGTCTTCAAGGGCAGCCCCATGTAAGGTGTATTACAGTTATCAAACCTGGACATAACAAGCCCATGTGTAAACCGAGGCAAAGTTGAGCAAGCTGGTAACAGGCACACAGTACGGATGAATAAAATAGTATGGATGTTGCATAGTATTTTAAACTGGATGATCCTTCTGTATGGAATTAGTGTACTAAAAGAGTAGTGTTGGTTAAGCAAGCAAAAAAAGATGCATCTATTCATTTATTTGATATACTCTTGACTTGTGCAGTTTGTAAATTAGAGACTGAAAGAAAATGGTTCTCCTCAGTCTTTTCACTTATAGTAGTCTCCTATGTCTTGTTGCAGTTATTCAGCAGCTGAAAGTGTTTTATATATATCTTGACAATCTAGAGCAGACTGTCATAGCTCTGTATTTAACACAACTTCTAAAATTTGAAAGCTTAGTGACCCACAGTGATTTAATTGGTTCTTAATATAGTATGACATCGAATAAGCCAAAATCTGACAGTGGGTTTCGTATGTATACATGAAGCCTAACCTCCTAGCAGGGTCTCCTGAAATGAATTGAAGTTTCAGAATATCATCTTGCTTGATTTCACCATTTGTTCGTTCATTAAGCAGACCATTTTCAGATTCTGCTAATCTGCAGTTTATATTTTCATTCATTACATTTATCCTTCATCTTTCTCCTAGGAGCCCAAGGTAGCATGCCTGTTTCTTCCACTCCCCATTCCACCACATTTTATCCTCACAACATCTCTAGGAACACAAAGTTGGCCCCCCAGAAAATGCAAGCAGACAGTAAGAAATGCTACTAAAGAATTTGAGGAGCACATTGCTAAAAACATTAAGACCAACAGGAGTAAGTTCTTTATATATATAGCCGTTGCCCGTCTAGGTATGCAGTTGGACTGAGTTTTGTGAGTGTTATTCGGCATTCCCCTCCCAAAAAAGGTCAACAACTCTGGGCAGTCCTCCCCAAAAGCTGAACCAACTCTGGGCCATCCCCCCCCCCCCATTTTCTTAAATTGGAGTCCCCAAAAGTAGGGGTTGTCTTATAGAATAGAATCATAGAATCATAGAATCATAGAGTTGGAAGAGACCACAAGGGCCATCGAGTCCAACCCCCTGCCAAGCAGGAAACACCATCAGAGCACTCCTGACATATGGTTGTCAAGCCTCTGCTTAAAGACCTCCAAAGAAGGAGACTCCACCACACTCCTTGGCAGCAAATTCCACTGTCGAACAGCTCTTACTGTCAGGAAGTTCTTCCTAATGTTTAGGTGGAATCTTCTTTCTTGTAGTTTGGATCCATTGCTCCGTGTCCGCTTCTCTGGAGCAGCAGAAAACAACCTTTCTCCCTCCTCTATGTGACATCCTTTTATATATTTGAACATGGCTATCATATCACCCCTTAACCTCCTCTTCTCCAGGCTAAACATGCCCAGCTCTCTTAGCCGTTCCTCATAAGGCATCGTTTCCAGGCCTTTGACCATTTTGGTTGCCCTCCTCTGGACACGTTCCAGTTTGTCAATGTCCTTCTTGAACTGTGGTGCCCAGAACTGGACACAGTACTCCAGGTGAGGTCTGACCAGAGCAGAATACAGTGGCACTATTACTTCCCTTGATCTAGATGCTATACTCCTATTGATGCAGCCCAGAATTGCATTGGCTTTTTAGCTGCCGCGTCACACTGTTGGCTCATGTCAAGTTTGTGGTCAACCAAGACTCCTAGATCCTTTTCACATGTACTGCTCTCAAGCCAGGTGTCCCCCATCTTGTATTTGTGCCTCTCATTTTTTTGCCCAAGTGCAATACTTTACATTTCTCCCTGTTAAAATTCATCTTGTTTGTTTTGGCCCAGTTCTCTAATCTGTCAAGGTCGTTTTGAAGTGTGATCCTGTCCTCTGGGGTGTTAGCCACCCTCCCAATTTGGTGTCATCTGCAAATTTGATCAGGATGCCCTTGAGTCCATCATCCAAGTCGTTGATAAAGATGTTGAATAAGACCGGGCCCAAGACAGAACCCTGTGGCACCCCACTAGTCACTCTTCTCCAGGATGAAGAGGAACCATTGATGAGCACCCTTTGGGTTCGGTCAGTCAGCCAGTTACAAATCCACTGAGTGGTAGCATAGTCAAGACCACATTTTACCAGCTTCTTTACAGGAGTGTGTTATACATAGAAAAATACAGTATTTAGGGTTAATTCTGGAAATGTATACTCAATTCTAATGTATATTGTGCTCTAGGAGGCTTAGTTCATTCAGAATCGAGGATAAACTTTCAGAGTTAACACTGAATACAGTGGTACCTTGGTTTACAACCATAATCCGTTCCGGAGGTCCATTTGTAAACCAAAACAGGTTGTAACCAAAGATGTGCTTTTGCCAATGGGGCCTCCAAAAAAATTTGTTCGTAATCCCAAAAAAATTGGGTTGCAAACCAGGACACGCACTTCTGGCTTTGAGGTGTTTGTAATCCAAAGTGTATGCAAACCAAGACGTATGCAAACCAAGGTACCACTGTACATGACTTCTGGTAAAGGAGCCACCTTAGACGTTAGGGGGCCATGAAAATTTGTGCCCCAGACTTTCTAGACTTGTCTACTCATGTACTATTTGAAACCCAAGGGGCACATTGGTTGCCAGATGTGAATCCCCCCCAGCTCTCCCTCCCCCCCACTAAGAGCGGTCTTGTGCACAGGCCCTGCTTATGAGCTTCCCCCAGGCACCTGGCTGGCCGCTGTGAGAAGAGGATTCTGGACTAGATGGGCCATTGGCCTGATTGAGCGGATTCTTCTTATGTTGATAATATTCTTTTAAAAGTGCAAGTTTAAACCTTATGTCATTGTTTAGACTAGTATTACAGTAGCTAAATTATGATTATGCTAAAAAAAACACACCACCCGATGCCAATATTAAGCACCACTTCTCCTCACCCCCGGAGTAGATTAGTATGCTGATTGTCGTAATACTTCTGGATGACACACGTATAAACATTTCCGTGTGATTTGTCCCTGTAAAAATAAATCAGATTCCTAAGTTACTGCATTGGATGAATTTCTGGTCCCAGCCCCAAAGGAAATGATGAGGTGCAAGTCTCTGCTATGGCCACACGGGGTCATCCTGAGACTACTAAATGCAAGAAATGTAGGGTTTCCACCAAGATTCCTTCATTGTTTATAATATTCAGTAACCCAAGGATTATGGAAGAACAATTTGCAGTCAACAGTATGTTTATATAAATGATACTATGGATACAATTTTCTGTCTATTTGCTTACAAGAAATTAAAGTTACATCATAACAATTAAAAACAAAACACATAGTAAGTTAATAGTATCTTAGTGGGCTTTGGAATTTTTGAGGAAGAAATGCCCAAGCTTTTAATCTTTTCCTATTTGATCCATTGTATCATGTAACTAGACTCCAGAATTTTTAAGTCATTCATGTTGACTGTGTTTATTATGCTGAGTAAACTAGGCACACTGAAATTGAACCCTTATCTTGGTGCCTTGGCTGCAGTCCTGTATGCTGTTACGTAACAGTAACCCCCATTAAATTAAGTGGGATTTACATCTGAGCAGACAAGTGTAAGATTTGGGCTGTTGGTAAAGCAATAACACATTCCTGTTTGCTCATGTAAAGTAATGTTCAGTTATATAAAAATTACAATTAATTGCCAAGATGCAATTCATGTTGATTAAAAAAAAATGAGGTGGCTGAAAAAGAATGTGCATAAGGGAGGGAGATGTATTTCCTTTCAGTGGATGCTGTATGTTAAGGATTTTTTTATGCCTTGTCCTTAAAGAATGAGAGGAATGGGAAGGACATGTACAAATATTTTTAGTAGTGTATATTAAGGCAATCCTCATTTAATTCAAATGCTCTTTGATCGGGGGGAAAAGTGTAAGACCACAAATAGTAAAGTCAGCATTAAAATCAGAAAGCAGTGCAAATAACAGACACAAGCATACAAGTGTTGAACAAAATGCATTAAATGAAATGTCTGAACATAAGACTCTTGGTCTTTTCAAAGAAGACTGCTAGGCTGTGAAAACGTGTGGAGGATCTAACCACAATTGGAAAGATATTTTCAGGTGTGTAGGTATCATTGCTAAGCAATATGTACTTGAACTTTATTATAAGGATTAGCAAACCAGTGTTGATCTCATCCTGTTTGGTTTTGCTACACACACAGACATATTGCCCTCAGGCAAGAGGTTGGAAGCTTTACCTCGGGTTACGTACTTAATTTGTTCTGGAGGTCCGTTCTTAACCTGAAACTGTTCTTAACCTGAAGCACCACTTTAGCTAATGGGGCCTCCTGCTGCCGCTGCGCCGCCGGAGCACGATTTCTGTTCTCATCCTGAAGCAAAGTTCTTAACCTGAAGTATTATTTCTGGGTTAATGGAGTCTGTAACCTGAAGCGTATGTAACCCGAGGTACCACTGTATATGACATAATAACAAAATAACTACTTTATATTGACATAGCAATTTAAGTCTAACTATTCAGAACAAGGACTCAAAGGGGGAAGTGCACGAGTAAGGCAGGTGTTAACGCTGGAGTGGGTCATTAAGAACCCCCAGTGCTTGAGGCAATACTTCCTAATATGATTTCATATTTTTTCTACATTAAATAAATACTGACAAATAAATATCTTTGTTAAATGATGCTTTTACTGAAATTAAGGCTCTTTCTGTGCTGAGGTTGCCTGTGTGTTATTTTAAGACTAGAGATCAGAGCAATCCAGCTCTGTTTGTCTTCTAATGCCAGCGTTGGGATTCATATACTGGTGCATAGATCCTTACGCACAGCAGCCTGTCTGCAAAACTCTGTGCATGCTCATTGTGCTAGGCTGGGGCGGGGCAGAACAGAACGGGACATGTTTTGAAGAGAGGGCCCATATTGAAGAAGTCTGAGAGAGACTGCTGTAGACAGAAGAAAGCAAGAGCAAGCTTATTGGGCATGTTTTGTGTGGGAAGAAATAGGCCTCTATAGTGGAGTGGATGGATATAACCCACGTTTGAGGGTAGATTTACTCGGCTTAGGCAATCCATGCTATGTCAGCAATAATACCCAGCAGGAAAATATTTAATTACAGTACAGTGGTACCTCTGGTTACGTACTTAATTCGTTCCGGAGGTCTGTTCTTAACCTGAAACTGTTCTTAACCTGAAGCACCACTTTAGCTAATGGGGCCTCCTGCTGCCGCCGCTCCGCGATTTCTGTTCTCATCCTGAAGCAAAGTTCTTAACCCGAGGTACTATTTCTGGGTTAGCGGGGTCTGTAACCTGAAGCGTTTGTAACCTGAAGCGTATGTAACCTGAGGTACCATTGTAAAATAATTCTTAAGAAAATAGTTATTCCCCCTCATCTTCATTTTTCACTGCTTACAGGACGTTTTTGCTTTTTTGTGTTGTAAACTTAATTTGAGCCTAGAGTTGTGAACATTTTTTTGGTGCTTTTTTTGGTGCAACAATGGTATTCTATTAATTTTCTGTGGAACTTAATTCCGTTCATGTGTGTTTTGGATCACAGCCTACCTACCACCTGATCCTGTTAAGCAGTTTTCACTATAATTCTAGAAGCGATGGATCTAAATAGGGTCTGTAACCTGAAGCGCATGTAACCCGAGGTACCACTGTAGTTGCTTTCAGAGTCTTCCGACTGAAAGGTGGGGGTTTTTTTAAATGTGTTCTGCATCTTTATACAAGTAATATCTAGGTTGGATGACTGTAACATGCTTTATATCATGGGTGGGCAAACTAAGACCCGGGGGCCAGATCCGGCCCAATCACCTTCTCAATCCGGCCCGCAGATGGTCCGGGAATCTGCATGTTTTTACATGAGTAGAATAATAATAATAATTTATTATTTGTACCCCGCCCATCTGGCTGGGTTTCCCCAGCCACTCTGGGCGGCTTCCATAGAAACCAAAAATACACTAGAATGTGTGCTTTTATTTAAAATGCATCTCTGGGTTATTTGTGGGGCATAGGAATTCGTTCACCCCCCCCAATATAGTCTGGCCCCCTACAAGGTCTGAGAGACAGTGGACTGGCCCCCCTGCTGAAAAGGTTTGCTGACCCCTGCTTTATATGATGCTATTCTAAAACAGACCTTACTTACCTGAGTGGTTTGTCCTGTAAATACTGATTAGGCTACTCTTGTGTTGTTAAATTTCGCAAAAATATTTTGCAAAAATGTGACAGTTGGAATGCTTATAAAAACAAGATAATAAAAAATTAAGTATTTAACTAGTTTTTAGGTACTTGTTGTGATTTTGCTAAAATGGGTTTTTCCTCTTTTGATGTTTATTAGCTGTAGATGGATTTCTGAAAACTGATGAAAGACAAAGACTAGCCAGGGAAAGAAGAGAAGAAAGGGAAAAGTACCTTGGTAAGTTGACACTTTTCTTCCTTGAATGTATCTGGACAGCCTACTCTGGGGAGGCATCCTTGAGGATCTAGGTGGCAGACTTTAAGCCTAATTTTCCAGAGGTTGGGGGCATGTTCCCTAGTCTTTCCTGCACTGACGATGGCTCTGGCCTGTTTTCTCAGTTTAGAATCAGAGGCATTTATTTTTTGAAAAAATAAAACAGGGACTGCTAAGCATCAACTGCATAGACCTCCTCTATGTGCCCTGCTAGGCCAGACTATTTAGGATAGTTTGGCTTGGGAAGGTTCTTGGCAAGAACAAAAGTTCTTAGGTCCTCTTCCATACAACATTCACCCCCCAAACCTCAGCCTCTCGCCTTCCAGTCTGTAGGGTGGTGGACTTCTCCAGTTAGCTGCTTACGTGTTTGAGGAAAGCTTTACTTTCATTTATGTCCAAGGTTATCAATTGTTACTGAATTTTCCACTTAACGATTTAGAAGAGTTGAACCACTTGACTGCTTCAGTGTGTGTGTGTGTGTGAGAGAGAGAGAGACAGAGAATGTACATTTGCACTTCAAAAAACCCAAGCCATGCTAGTGGACCAAGACTTCCTTTTTTTGTATGCTGTGTCATTCTCTTTCAATATGTATGGCACTTCATAGATTTGTATTCTACATCAGAATAGGAGAATCTCTCTCTTTATTGAAGCTGCTAGGGAACAGCAAATCTTGGAAAAAGAAAGGAGAGCAAAGCTTCAGTATGAAAAGCAAATAGAAGAACGATGGAGGAAGCTGGAGGAGCAGAGGCAGAGGGAGGAGCAGAAAAGGGCGGCTGTTGAAGAAAAGAGAAGACAGAAGCTCAGAGAAGAAGAGGTACGCAGTGCTTTAGCATCCTGTCCTGGAGGTGGGGACCTGTTTCAGCTGGTTTGGAGCATGCCGAACCTTCTGGGAGCCACATTACTATAGGAGGTGGGGCAAAACAAAATACCTCATCAAAATGAAAAAAAAATATTCACCTGTGCCACCCCTTGTCACAAATGCACATTCCCCAACCCTCTTTCCCTCTCTTGCTCTTTTTGTACACATACGTGCTTACAAGCAGTCACACACTCATTCACACACCCTCTCTCAGTAGTGGGCAGCTAGGTGGGGTAGGGTGCTGACCTGACCTTTAATCGGCTGCTTCACAGCTACTTACTGACAGGTAGAGGAGGAGGTAGAAGTGAGGTTAGTGCAGTGCAAGCATACCAACAAAGTCAATCCATTGCTTCCTGGATTGCAGATAGATGCATGTCCATGGGACTCACATAGAGGCAAGTGTGTATGGGTTAACAAAAAGAAGATGCTGAGCAACAGAAGGCCAAGCTGTAGATGTAGAGATCAGTAGTAATAACCAGCTAGCGATTCAGCTGCAAGTATGAGGTGTGTTTTTTTTTAAACAGCTGTGGCTCTTTTTGCTGAAGGGGGAGGGAGTGGTATGCAGAGAGATGCCACCAAGTGACATTAAACTGTCTGGTGCCATTAAGATGCTAGACAGGCCTCTGTGACACAGGGTACCAAATGCGGCGGGCAGGAACAAGGTGTAGGTAGGCAAGCTGCTGCAGCATGTCTAGATCTGGAAGTTGGGTGTCACTGAGAGATGGACATAGGAGTTGTTGCACTGGATAATAATGGATCAGTGACTGCATGGGCACAGTAGGGGCTTGGAGAGACTTGAGATCATGGTGGGTGGTTGCTCTATCTTGGGAGCAGTGGGAAGATGAACCTCTGTCATCTTTCCTTTGACTCCCAAAATTGTAGGTTAAGGTTGGTTGCCTAGAGCTGTTTCTGTGAACATTGATGCATTGATAGCTGCTCTGAGCCCGGCCTTGGCTGGGGAGGGCGGGGTATAAATAATAAAATATTATTATTATTATTATTGAGGGGGGGGGACACAAGTCATTTTTGAGTTTTTTAGAAAAGCATGCTGTGGCTCTTCCTCGTTGATGCAGTTTTTTGGTAATAGTGAGAGTTGACTGGGTTACCTTCTGAACCAATAAGTGCTTGGCCTTTGAGGTGCAGTTTAGCCTTTGGGTTTGGCTTATGAACGTCCTAAATGACTACCAGTTTCTCTAAGTCACAAAAAGCTTAACTTGGACAGCATATTGATAAGTGACCCTTTTGTCCTTTATCATGAGGATTTATTATTCAGGCCCATGCCTAATATGTGCTAGGCTTTGTACAAAAGTAACAAAGTACAAGTCATTGCTTACCAGCTTTGCAGTTGATGTGTAAGTTATTGGTAAGAACCCACAGATCACTAGTTCGGTTCCCAGAAGTGGGTCTATGTTATTCCTTGAAAGTCTGAAAGCCTTTCTAAGCAAACCAACAACTTCACCTTGCCGGTAGGAGTATCGTTTGTTATAAAGCCACCTGATGTTAGTGTTCACCCTGCATGTAGAAAGCTAACCAGTTAGTGATAAAACACTTCTCTGTGATGAATAGGTTTGCCATGTGCACTGCTCTTAAAATAAGCTGTCCCTCTCATTGCAGTCTTGGGTTTTATGGGTCCATGAAGGGGACTATACCATATGCCCTGGCTGGATGCTTGAATCACTTACTCTCCATCCCATATTGGTGAAACGTAGAATTCATTTACCATGTGAAAATTTACTGTATTTTTATTTTGCCCTTCCTCCTGTCAAGTCACTCTATTTTATCCTCAAAACAATCCTGTAAGGTATATTATCCAGAGAGATTGTGACTGTGAGCTTTGTGACTCAGCAAAGATTTGAATGATTGTTTCCCTGTTCCAAATGCAACACTTCCATTGGACAAGGATAAACAAATACTACCCATGGAATATAAAAGCCAGGTCTGAAAGTTCAGTATCATATTCCAGGGTTGCCATCTGCTGTGTGACAAAGGAATGTTACTTGGGAAACAGATCAGGGGGTGGAGTGTGGGGTGGGAAGACAATTTATAGGGATCACCCTTGGAAGGAGAAATTATGAGGGGAGAAAAAATGGAGTTTTTTTTTATTTCCCCCACCCATAAAAAAACTTGACACAATTTTAGCTAATGGAAAAAAATTAATGAAAACACCTAGCTATAGTAAATAAAAAACATTAATTCTTAAGTTGCTTAGCGGGTTTTCAGGTTCTTGTTGCTTTTTTTGAAAAAAATAAAAATAAAACGCCACCAAACTGGTGATTGCATACATTAAAGGAAGGTTTCTGTGTGATTGGAAGGAATCATTGCAGCAACTGAGCTTCACCACTGAGGCAGAAGACATAGCTCTGCTGAGATGACAGAGTTAATGCTTTCTCATGCATTATTCTTAAACAAATTAAGCCCAGACAGAGCCACAGCAGCAATCTTGCCAGCAGGAGCAGATGCTTGGAGGTGATGTAACTTGTGTTGCTAACTTCAGCCTCTGTACTGACCTCAGTAGTGACTGCAGACAAAGGATACATATATTTTGAGGTGAGTGGACATGCCAGTGCCTTCTTTGCTCACTTCTCTTTACAGTATTGGTAAAAGGACCATTTTGAGCACTGCTTGTATGTACAGCCGGGATAAAGATTGAGTCTTTTTCTCCCCCCTCTCCCTGTGACAAGGGCTCTTTAAGAAAGTCAGACCTGGATTCAGTTGTTGTTGCTTTCTGCAATAATTGCTTAGGAACGATTAGAGGCTATGATGCGGCGATCCATGGAAAGAAGTCAGCAGCTGGAGCAGAAACAGAAGAGATGGTCGTGGGGAGGAGCACTGGCTGCAGGCTCAGGCGACAGAGATGGTGAGTGAAGCAGGCTGGCTGCATTGCAGATTCCAAACTGCAAAGGCTTGGGATTAAAAAAAGAAAGCTGCAAAATCTGTTGTGACAGTAGACTGCGATGTGTATGGGAGGGGTTGTCGAGGTGCATCATTCAAAAAAGGATTTTGAGACTGCTTACTGTATTTCATGCCCTGGTATCTTATTGGAAATGGGCCAACGCCGAAGTTTCTCTACGCAGATTATATACCGGGCGTGGGGTAGGGGGAATTAAGACACCATGGAAAATAAACCACTGCATTGTCAGTGGCTATAGGCTCTGTGTGACATTGCAGAACGCAATTTATTTTTAGCTCAGGCACTCCTAAAATCTCAGGGGAGACTTCTCCATGATTGTGCAGTATTTACTGCTGGAAATGAATTGTTCTCTTTACCCTTTTTCTCTAGCTGCTCTCTTTTCGGTTCCGTTTCAAAGCAAGCTTCCTTTTTTTTAACCACCAACCATGTATTAGCTTTTATGTTGTTCAGAAATCATTTAAATTTGTTGTGAATTCACCAGCTTTTCCCAATAGGTTTTGTTCATGTGAAATATCTCCCAAGTGATAATACAGCTGCCCAAAAAGTATAAGCATCCCTGTTTAAGCTGAAGTCTTTGGTATGATCCCTCCCCCCCCCCACAAGGCAGTACAGAAAAAGGAGAAGGATGATCTCTTAACATTTCCAGAAACAGGCTTATTAAAATACCTCCTATATTGTTTGGGATTTTAATGTTATTGATGTGATCTATCACCTCTTTGCTCTGATTTTTTCTGTTGTTGTGTAGGTGAATCAGAAAATACCCCACCCCCTCTAGGTTTAGCTGCCAACACCCTCCTTCCAGACTCTGTGGCCTCAACTGCTGCTGCTGATTCCGCCAATGGTATTTGAGAGTCTCACAGTGCCATAGTGTCGTTTATCACTTTTAACACATCCACCAATTTTGTCCTCCCCCCTAACTTCCTGTGTGTTCTTTGTTGTTTCAGTTCAATCCTTGACAGCATTGTTACCAGAAATTCTGGATTCAGTTCCCCCAAGCGTCACTGCTGCCATTTCTTCGGGGAGGGGAACCTGTGGCCATGTAGATGTCGCCGGACTACAAGTTCCATCATCCCTTACCATTGGCTGTTCTGGCTAGGGCTGGTGGGAGTTGGAGTCCTGCAACATTTGGAGGGCTACAGGTTCCCCTCCCCTGGCTTAGAGTTTGGGCAACACAAATGCTGTTGCAATGGAGGCTTTGTGGCAAGAGGGCTTGGTGGATTGCACCCATGAACTTCACTGTCTGGTGTTGTTGTTTTGTTATAAACGAAGCAATGCATGCTTGGCATTCCAACGTCATAATGGTGATTTGAATCCTGTTCCTACTAGATGTTGTCAAGTTCATTTCCTTTTTTCCTAATGTGGGACATACACGTGCCATGTGTACTGTGTGCCTTTTGAATAGCTTCTCTAGGTGGGGACGGGACTAGTTTAAAACATTTCAGTTACAATGAACAAGTTACAATATGAACAAGTAGAATTAATTCCCAGTTACCTTTAGGAGCCATGCACCTATCACCTAATAATAGAATGGATCGTTATTTGAACCCTTATTTTGAATTAAGTCCAATAAGACTGTTCTGGGGGTTCTCCTGGCCCTCCCATAGTGAAGTGCAGGGGGCATTGACATGGAATGGAAGGGAAGGGAAGGAGAACCAACCAACTGAGCAGAAGGGGGTAGCTTCATCCCTATCATTGGTCTGTTTCCACTAGATAGAAGGGATAGGGCAGTGCAGTGTGACAGTGAAGCAACACGACCCTCTCCTGCACAGTACATTTGACCAAGCAGAAGTAAGCAAGGGGAGTGCAATCCACTGCCTTCTCCCAAGTTCTACAGGTGTGCACCTAGAACCTAGAGATGGGGATTGCATGTCTTCTGAGTTGCACATAGCACAATTGCAGACCACCCCCCATGAAGCTCTTAATCTCAGAGTTGTGGGTTCAAGCCCCACATTGGGCAAAATATTCCTGCATTGCAGGGGGTTGGACTAGGTGATGCTTGTGGGTCCGTTCCAACACTACAAACTCTATGATTCTGTGACTTCCTTAGTCAGGTGGCCCTATGGGTCATTGTGTCTGGCTGTTAACCAGAAGCTTGGTGGTTTGAGCCCAACCTCTGACTTCTGTGTCCTGATGTTCTTAACATCTAGAGTTTCACACCTTCCTTTAGTCCCATCCAGGATAATCAGTGGTCAAGGATGATGGGAGTTTTAGTGCAGCCTAACTGGAGGGCCACAGGTTCCCCAACACTGTTCTAAAGCTCTGAATTGTTTGACAATTGTGGGAAGTCTTCCAGCGTCAACACGGCGTAGGCAAAAAGCAGGATATGTTTGTCGCATCACTGTTGCTTAAATAAAAGTAGAGTTAATTTTTATTCATTTTTGTTGTTCTTTAGTACTATCCCCCCCCCCAGTCACTATAAGATAATCTTACACCATACTGTAACACTGAAATGTTTGTAAGCCAAAAGTCTGTCTTGAATTATACCTCACAGACAGACAGGGCGAGCAGCTCCAGCCTGTGGATTTTATCAGATGTGCTTTATTCTTTGTGCTGATTCATTCACAAGGTCCACAGTAACAAAATTAAAGGTTAGCTGTGGGAGCATTTGGCACTGTGGAATGAATATAAATGTCTTCAATGCATCTCTCTGCAGCATGTGACAAACTTTCAGCTTCTACAATGAATCTGCCAAAGCAAATGGAGTCGCCTATCAATAAGCGCCTCTCCCACTCCACAGCAACAATAACATGTTCCCCTGACAGAGGCAAGTGAATGTGCTGCTCATTGTCGCACCAGAAATGATCTCTCTCCTTTTGTGTTTAAAGTGCATCTCTCTTTTTCTCTCTTCTCCATCCCCAGCCCCCCAGCCCCTTCCTTTCTCAGTTGGTTAATCCTCTGAAGGCAGTAATGTTTACCAGAAATCACTTCACTTTTCTTTTTTTGGTTAAGTATATTAAGGAAACTTTCCCTTAGAAAACGAAGAGTCCTGTTTTCAGACATTTCGGTATTGCTTAGGTAGGAACTTGAAATTTTAAAACAGGCATCAAAGCTGCTTTTTCTCTCTCTCTTCAGGTATAAATAAAATTTATTATTATTAAAACCTCGTCCATTTCAGTAGTTCTAAGAAGTATAGCCTACAACCATAGTGGTTTGATTTTTAATTTTGACATTTTTCATTACCAGATATGCCAAGAAACAAGTATTTCCCTTAGGGGAAAATTTGGATGGCTAATAGATGGCCTCCATTGTATACCTGTGGCACTCAAGCTGTAGGACAGGTCACTCCCAGAGTGGAGTACCTTGTCGCAGTAGATGCGCAGGTGGATTTCTAGGCAATTGTGGAACTTGTAGGAAAGGGTGTCCCGTGCCTCTTGAATCTCACTGATCCACACAGTATTTGTGGAGTTAGCTGCATGTAGGAGAAGAGCAGCTGCTTTGTTCTCATGACGGTTGCCTGTGTGTTATTTTAAGAGTAGAGATCAGAGCAATCCAGCTCTGTTTGTCTTCTAATGCCAGTGTTGGGATTCATATACTAGTGCATAGATCCTTACGCACAGCAGCCTGTCCGCAAAACTCTGTGCATGCTCGTTGCGCTAGGCTGGGGCGGGGCAGAACAGAACAGGACATGTTTTGAAGAGAGGGCCCATATTGAAAAAGTCTGAGAGAGACTGCTGTAGACAGAAGAAAGCAAGAGCAAGCTCCTTGGGCATGTTTTGTGTGGGAAGAAATAGGCCTCTATAGTGGAGTGGATGGCTATAACCCACGTTTGAGGGTAGATTTACTCGGCTTAGGCAATCCATGCCATGTCAGCAATAATACCCAGCAGGAAAATATTTAAGTACAGTACAGTGGTACCTCTGGTTACGTACTTAATTCGTTCCGGAGGTCTGTTCTTAACCTGAAACTGTTCTTAACCTGAAGCACCACTTTAGCTAATGGGGCCTCCTGCTGCCGCCATGCCGCGATTTCTGTTCTCATCCTGAAGCAAAGTTCTTAACCCGAGGTACTATTTCTGGGTTAGCGGAGTCTGTAACCTGAAGCGTTTGTAACCTGAAGTGTATATAACCTGAGGTACCATTGTAAAATAATTCTTAAGAGAATAGTTATTCCCCCTCATCTTCATTTTTCACTGCTTACAGGAAGTTTTTGCTTTTTTCTGTTGTAAACTTAATTTGAGCCTAGAGTTGTGAACATTTTTTTGGTCCTTTTTTTGGTGCAACAATCGTATTCTATTAATTTTCTGTGGAACTTAATTCCGTTCATGTGTGTTTTGGATCACAGCCTACCTACCACCTGATCCTGTTAAGCAGTTTTCCCTATAATTCTAGAAGCGATGGATCTAAATAGGGTATAACATCCAGTCCTGTGCCTGACATTCAATGCAGAGCTAGCTGATTCTGCTCCCATTTGCTACGTAATCTTTCTCTTAACTGCTAACTATGGCCAGTGTACATTTGTCCTGGACTCCACAGCTCCTATGACCCGGAAGCTTATTAGTTAGCAGGCAAAAAGGGGCTGGAAGATTAGTTTAGCTGTATAGCATGGAGTAGGGCAAACTGCCAGGGTGCTAATATTGCTGACTTCAACACTGGAAGGAATGGCTTAGAATTAATATTCTAGCACTTGTTGCTCTGAAACTGCTGCCTCCGTGCAGCACTTCATAAATCAAGGCATTCATTAATAGTTCTAGCATTATCTAACCTACAATATCACTGCTTATAATAAACCATACCCTTCGACACAAATGTGTCTCGTATATTAATGAAGAAGTGTGGTAAATCATAAGGGAGGCTAATACGTTAATGTCCATTCTGCTTGTTAGACCAAATAACACATAAGATACTCGGCTGAAAACACTGAAAATCGAAGCCCTCCTAAGAATTAAATCCAAGGATTTGTGGTTCTCAAAGATGCCCAGTTATTTGTTCTTTTCCCCTTCGTTCATTTTCGTTTGGCCATTCATTATATTTGTTTGCAGCTTTTTGAAGTGGCTTTTTTCTTAATGTTTTTTGTTTGTTTCCATTCTTCAGCTCATCGCATGCACCTTAGTCCAATGGAAAACTTTATTATTTCTCGACTATTGACTCCCACACAAGCTTCTTTAGCCAGAAGCAGAAGTACATTAATGCTTTCTGAGCAATACAGTGATTCAGGTAAACCTAATGTTTTAAGGAATGTATTAGGCTCATAGAAAAAAATAATTCAAGATTCCCACCCCCGGTAATTTATTAATCTTATTCCACATGTAATAATAATCCTTCAAAAACAAGGAAAGCTGCAGAGTTCTATCCAGGAGTTTTATTGCTTGATTGCCTTAGCAATTATGTTGAAGAATGTAACATTTCGGTTGGCTAGAAAGTAAACAAATAACAAAACAAATTTAAAAATTGTCTAAATAGTGATTTATAATTAAGCTTAACTCAAATTTCTAGGAGTCTAAGTAGTATCCATTCAGATGACATACTAGGACTTTAAAAGCAGTTTTACTAACGCTAAACAAGACAGTATGATTTCCTAGCCAGTGAACTACTCTGATTCAAAGTTAGTTATCAAACTAGTAATATCTGTACCATGTATCACTTTTAGAGCTGATTTCTCCAGTCCTTAGGATACTACTTTAGACATGTTTCTGAATCTAAAGTGGTCATGAAAAATTGACCGATAACGCAAATAATTCTCAACAAGATATTTTAATCTGTTAGGAGTGGCCAGATCTTAAAAACCTGTCAGTAGAAGAACTCTTTATTCCTATGGCCTAAAGTTTTTAAGCTTAGTGAAGGCACTTCAGTAAATGTGTGGTGGTTGTATAAAGAGAGAAAATATGGTTTATTAATGTGTTTGAACAGTTTGTGTTTTTCTGTTTCTAATAAAGATTGCCGTTCCTCCCCCCTTTTTTCCACCCTCGCTTTCTTTGTCTATGTTCCCTATTGCTCTGGCTATTGTACTATAACTCTTTAGTATTCCATATCTGTCCTCGTGTAGCGCCAGCTAGCCCTCTTAAATCTCCTTACAAGCCTTCGCCCACTCGAAGTATGGAGAGAAAGAAGGCAGCATCTGCGTCAACATCCGATGCAATGAAAGGAGCAACTGCAGTAGAAGTGCCACAGGTGGGCTTGAAACTTGGCCGGACCCAAGATAGATGCTCTTTTTATTTTTTAAGTATATTTATAAGATTGTTGGGTATTCTGTGGGTCAGTGTTTAAAGAGTAAATGGCCTCTCTGTTTCTCCTGCTTCCAGCCACTCTGTTGCAACCATTCCTCTGCTCTGTAGTGATGCTTGCACTAAGTTCTGTTATGTTGAGATGAAGGGTCACGTATTTAGGGAGTCTGTGTGTCTGGTGTGATATTGTATTTCCCATATGGGAAGAGTTTTTTGAAACTTGAAATTAGATTATAAGAATCTGCGACTTAAAAGGATATAACCGTCAGTGCATTGTACCTTTTAAAGCGCTGGCTTCAGTGCTTTTAAGGTTTTTTTTTAAAAATATATCTGAGTGCATCACTACAAATAATTTGTTTTGAAATTTGAACTTTCTTTCCTGCGTCCTAACTCAGCAGAAAAATAGTTTAGCTTGTAAGAGCTAAAGTATGCTAATGCTTAATTGGGGTAGGTTTTGACAGTTTCCCTTGCTGGTAGAGGATTTGTTTTGTGTTTGTTTCAGCTCCGCGTGGCACTGCAAATAAGAAGGAAAATGTTTCAATGCATTCATGTACATTTCTAATTTTATAATATTTGTGGACACTAGGGTGCGCTCTTAGAATTCTGTCTGATAACTAACCAAGTACCACAAGGGCAAAACAATAAGAGTAACACCCTGTGTTATTTTTCTTCTTCAATAATACTCAAGTATATGTATTGAGAAGAATAAATTAATAATTAGAGCAGGTGGCTAGGGGTTAGCACTAGACGTAGTCAAATGCCAGAGATATGTTTCTGTATAGTGCAAACTGCTTGATATATTTTGCACTAGTTATAACTACAGTACTTAGAATAATGCATGTGCAATTTGCTTGATTGTTCTTCATCAAGAGTAATTCATGCAATAGTAAGGTACCATGTTTTAAAAATGGTTGCATGTATAGGACTCAGGTTGGTATGAATTCACCTAATTTTATTGTACTGTTATTTTTAGTTTAAGTTTGGAAATAAGTCACATTGAAAGTTTAACATGGAAAGATAGGATACAAGTAATTTAAATAAACATTGCTTTCTTCAATGTACTGTAGAATTTTGGGCATCAGTGGATATCACTTGACCATTCGAAAGTTCTTACGTAATGGAATAAGTTGCTTTCACTTGTAAAACACTAAAATAATAATATGAGATGCTAAGTCTCTGACCCACCCTTCAGATCCCCCAGAACTTAAGCTTCCCTCAAAAATTCTGCAGAAGTATTACTAATAGTCACAAGTTGATACTTCCTCCCAAACCTTGTTATAACTCCAGTTTGTTTTGTTGACCAAGAAACACAGCAGCAGTTGGGAGGGTGGGATTTATATATTTTATTAAGGTTCTTCTGCATCTTCTCTTGTATTTCAGAGCATTGCGGCTACACCAGTAGCATGTTTTGACTTCTGCACCCTCAACATTTCACAAATAGCAAACAGCTTTTAAAAATTCTGCTCAATTTCAAAAGCAGGTTGCCCTGCTTGGGTTTCTATATGATACTTTGGAACCTGACCATTGCTTGTAAAATACCCTGAGAGAACTCTATGCAAGGGCACTTAACTGAACTATTTTGCCACTGCAGTATTTTGATTGTCTAATATATATATTGTATATTATATTTGTGTGTATATATAAAGATTTAGTGGAGCTTTGATGGCCATAGGGGGGAAATGTTGCAAGCTTTCACAATACTTGTTTAAAAAAAATAAAATACAATTTTGGTTTGTACATACAAGTCTGTTTGTGGGTATCTGTGCTAAATCTGTTTCATCAGATGCCAAAAGTACCTGTCTTTCGTCGTCTTCTTTTTTAAGAATGAGAAGAAAAAGAAAGAGAAGCGGCCCACAACCCCTGGCACATCATCTGGTTTGGGATCTCCTCTTAGAAGATCTGATTCTCCAGCAGCCATGTCCAAGCGATCAGGTTCACCTGCAACTCCTAAGTAAGACAATTCAGCAAAATCTGATTGGCTCCCCTTTTTCCCATCCTCCCTCACAGTCGCTTCAAGGGTCAACCAGTCTCCTTCAGCCTTCCCCTTGTCCCTAAAGCAGCCAGTGGGAGAATTAGGGTCGGAATTCATCAGAATGCAGTTTCCCCTCTGCCTCAATGAGCAGTCTGGTGCAGGGGAAAGAAGGGAGGGCATAGGCAGTTTTCAAGAGAAAAATGCCAGTCTTAAAGTCATCAGTTTCATTATCACAATATATCTGAAGAGGAAACCAGCAATTTCCTGAACACAGGATTCTAATCGTGTTGAATCATGTTTTTCTTTTTCTTTTGTTCTGTAGCACGTTGAACATCTGTTGCTACGGAATATTTCCCAAGTCAATCCTGGCCTAAATTCTTTAGAGATGCCTAGGCTGCCAATAAAGTGTCTTATTATATTTAGAGGGCATAGATGAGTAAGCAAGATTCATCACTTAGCTTGATTACATTTGTCTGTTAGCAATAGAACTGACACTTTTCTGGGAACAGCCACTCACTTCCAGTGGCTCAGAACACTTTGGACAGTTACTCATGGCGCCACTCCTGGTAGCAGTCCATCACAGGCCACTGCCACCACTGGGTAAACCTGCTTATGCATGAGATGAGGAGGCTGTCAGCTGCCCCATCCTGTTCACATGGGCTTGGTTGCAGCTTTACATGGCAAAGTTGTGTCATGGCCTGGAGCCTGTGAGCAGAAAATGAGTGCTGCTCCATCCTCTCCTTGCAGTCATGTGACTTAGTAATGAACCAGCCACTGCTATGTAAATTTGTGAGCAAATACACTGCCAGGCAAGAGAGGACAAGTAGTGGTGGGTTGGTTGACACTGGGTGAGGGGGTGGGTGGGTTGCTGAGCGTGGCCTGTCTAGGCAGTGGCGTAGCGTGGGGGGTGCAGGGGGGCCCGGCCACACCGGGCGCAACATCTGGGGGGGGCGCGCTCGCACTCGCAGCTCTCTGCCCCTACCTGGCTCACTCACTCTCTCTCACTGCAGTGCTGGCTGTGCGAATCCGATCCGAGCCGCTGGGTCGCCGCCCACTGTGGAGGGGGGTGGGTGCCAGGCGTGCGGTGCGGAGAGAGATCGAGGGACTATCTGGGGGAGGGACAGTGCAGCGGCCGCCCAGCGCAGCGCTGAGCGCGGGAGAGAACCACACCAGACCTGACCAGGCAGCAGCAAGAAGAAGCTGGCAGCGGCGGCAGGTTAGGGGTTAGGGGGCGCAAATTACTTGCCTTGCCCCGGGTGCTGACAACCCACGCTACGCCGCTGTGTCTAGGACCCACAGACTTTTGGAGTCTGGCCTGGGTTAAAAAAATGTTCGCTGAGGAGGAATTTATTTTTCTGATTGTATCCTTAATTGGTTGTAAAACCACTAATTTAATGCACCCAGTCCAACTATATCACAGAAAATAATGGTAGCTGAAGTTATTACAATGGTACCTCAGGTTAAGAATTTAATTCGTTCTGGAGGTCTGTTCTTAACCTGAAACTGTTCTTAACCTGAAGCACCACTTTAGCTAATGGGGCCTCCTGCTGCCGCCGCTCCGCGATTTCTGTTCTCATCCTGAAGCAAAGTTCTTAACCGAGGTAATATTTCTGGGTTAGTGGAGTCTGTAACCTGAAGCGTATGTAACCTGAAGCGTATGTAACCCGAGGATCATCACCTACATCAGATGGAGGGGAAGAGCATAAAAGCAGCAGAAGTAAGGAATAGCCAATTCTATGGATGTGGAACCAGTTAGAGGGTAGTCATGTAAGGGTTTAAAGTGGCCAACAGCTGGAATGTTGCCACTGAGGGCATATAGGCAGAGCTTGCTTCGATGTCCTCTCAAAAGTGCCTATCAAAACTAACTGGCAAGAGAGCGCTGCACAAGGGTGCAGCTGCTGCCGCCGCCGCTGTTGCTGTTGAACTGCAGACTGACTAACATTCCTGCTGGATACATTGAACTGGAAGTGCAGTACTTTAGATCCTCACAAAATTTGTAAAGGTTATTTTCCAAGGCAATTTTGTTTGGAAAAGAAAGAGAGAGAGAAATAGCTCATACGTAAGCAAGGTGAACAAGCTATTATGTTACTTCCTGCAAGAAGCGCTTTGATAAAGCGAATAGCATAGCAAAGAAAAAAGTAAAAAGGAGGGAAAGATGTATACGGCCAAAAGGATCATAAACAGAAAATAAAGGGTTAATCGGAAACCAAGAAATGCTGACTAGAGGACAAAAGGGACAAAGAAGTTTATCTGCCTGAAATTAGAGCTGAGTCAGAAAGTGGTATAGATATTTAGTAATAGGGTGGTGTCTACAAAAATCTATAGAATCAGCTGACGGGGGGGGGGGGGAAAAATCACTTAAAAGTAGATACTGGTTACTTTAAAATAGTAAATGTCCCAAACTGTGTTCCCAGTCAAAAACAGATAATATAAATTCAGAAGTTCTTTAAATGTATTCTACAGTGTCTCCCTCTTTAAATTATTTTTACTGAAGTTTTCAACAGACAGATAACAACAGCAAAACAAGCACAGAATGTAATACTGCAGTACAACAGTTCATTGATCAGTCTGCATCACTGGACAGAATTGATCTGCAAAATACTAAACTCAATATAGACCACAGAAAATGTGCAGTAGTGTCTTTGCTTAATTGTTAGGGCATATTCTCACACAAACAAGATGAGATAAACTTGTCTATTGATACAAGCCCAGGGTATGTTTGTCATAGACTCAATCTCCCCCCCCCCCCGGGAGTAATGCTTCAAGTATTTTCATGTTTTGTGAGCCTACCACATTGCCTCATGACAGTGTAATTTGTGTGAACAAGTATGAAATGGATTTGCTGTTAATCCCAGTTGGCACAATTTCTCTCTCCCTGTTTTTTTAACAGACTAATTTGCTGCCTGGCGCATGATTTGTTTCTTCCGAATGTTTTTGGTCACAGTCCTGTTTTGCCTAAGAACAGACAGTCTGCAAACTTAATCCTCATATTCTATTATGTTTGCAGCTTTAAAATAAAATAATGTTTTATTTGATGTAAAAGGGCAAAGAGTGGGAAGTGGGAGAAATCAACCAAGGTTAAGATCACTTAACAATTGACCTGTCCTTCCTGGGATCTGTTGGTAATACAGTACTGAATTATTTATTTGAATTTATTTTTAGAACACTTACAAAGACTTACCCACAGTCTCCCAAAACTACTAAACAGTATCCGGCTTCTCCTGTGAAACACCGTGCCACTTCAAATCTCAACCAAGAAACGCCTAAGAAAAGGGCAGAAAAGCATAAAGACCAGCAAAGGGAGACTGCTGGTCAGAAAAACCAGGGGTCACCTGGTGAAGAGGCTGTAAGCCAACATCTAGCTGAAAAATCTCTGCCTTCTGCAGGAAAGACCGAAAGCAGTGAAGGTGTGCCTTTTTTGCTTTTGCCTTTTTGCTTTTGTTTTGTTTTTGCTTCTGCTGTAATACCACTTAACTCCTTATATATCAAATACGGTAGCTAGTTCTATCATTTCCATCTTTGTGGCAAAGGAAATTTGCAACTGATCCAGAGGATGCCATAAATGCCTTTATCTTTAGAAGTCTTCATAGAATATTTAGTTAGGTCTAGTAGGTATAATGTCAAGAATAAACTATTGGGCCATTGGTAAGCAAAACGTATTGAGAAGCCAGACGTCGATTCCTGGATATTTCTTGTGCCTTTTCTTGCTGTGGTGTCAACCTCTCTCAGTACAATAACATGCCCTGCTTTACTAAAGATAACATGAATTGTAGGTGCAATTAGAAATACTATTTCTTTTAAACAGTGAAACAAAGGTTTAATTTATACAACTAACTGAGGTAGTTTCCTGGGGGAAAGAGCTGTTGTTCATTTCACTTTGATGCAACTACCTTGATATACTTTCTAGATATTCTTCTCTGCTTACTAATTTTGAGCCACTTATTAGTACAACCTTAACTATGTCCATCAAATCCTGTGCTTTACACACATTACATTAACACATGTAATGACATTATATTAGTTGGCATCTGTTTGTCTTGGAAGACAATGAACGAGTAAGTGTCCCTTCACAGTGCCTGCTGTGGCTGTAGAGACCAATATAGGAGAGACATCTTTTGTTACAGCTGGGGCAGATGAAGGCATCTGGCTCTGCTGATCCAGCTGCACCATGGCGTTTCTTCTTTCTACACTCCTCCCAGCAGCCGTTCCTCTTCAGATCACTGCTGTGGATACAAGACCTGATTGTCTCCTGATTGTTTGGAGTTTTGTTTTTCTCTGAATATGAAGCAGTTTATAAATGCTTTAAAGAAATGAAGAGAAGTGAAATTCCATTGAACGTTTAGGTTGCCCAGTGTTTCCTGGGCTGCAGTCTATAATGTTTTAACCGGAACAACAAATTGTTTAGGGAAACTTGCAGCAGGAACTACTGATGCTGAAGAAGCTACAAGGATTTTAGCAGAGAAGAGGCGCCAAGCTCGTCTCCAGAAAGAACAAGAGGAAAAAGAAAAGCAGGAGAGAGAAGAACGTGAAAGGTATTTTCCCTACCCCATCCCCACTTCTCCATTAATAACAGCACACGCTTGGACAGCTTCTCATTGCTGCTGTTAAGAGACCTTTTAATTAGTTTCAGTTTCAGAGAGTAGTTAACATGGAATGAATTAGTTAACTTCTCTAAACTATAGTGAGTCCATATCCATGATTTCCCAGAACTGGATCCCCCAAAATTTAGGGCACATCTCCCATTTCCCAAGGAAACATGACAAAAGTACACACTTCTGTGCAATATGTAAGTGTTATGCAAGGTATAGCTCCCTCTGCCAGTCCTGAAATAAGTATTTCTGTGGCTTTTCAGGCTAGAGAGAGAAGAGCTGAAAAGAAAGGAAGAGGAAGAGAGGATTCGCCGGGAGGAAGAGGCTCGCAAGAGAGAGGAGGAAAGAAGGCGTGAAGAGGAAGAAGCTAGGAGAGCAGCGGAGGAGGAAGCTAGGAGGAGAGCGGAAGAAGAAATCCTGCTAAGGGAAAAACAAGAAAAGGAATTGCAAGCTATGATTGAGATGCAGGTATGGCCTTTTGGAGGTATAAGACCATATGTATTATTTAAGAAGTGTTTTGATTATGCAGCCCTTTTCAAGATAGAGCCTAATATTTCAGAATAATAATTATGTTTTGTAAAAAGCAGAAATGTGGTACATAATGTTTCTGTAGGTTTATCATAGATGAACATACATTGTTACTTTTTATTCAGAGTCAGACCACTGGCATATCTCTAAACCGCTCTTGGTTTCCTGGAAGTCTCATGTACAGATCTTTCCATTATCCATCTCCCGTGATCCATTATCATTTCAATACTTTGGGGTTTAAAATGCAGACATCTGTATGCAAGACATGTCCTCTGCCATTGATCTAAGTCCAGCATTATTAAGCATGTCACACATTATGTAGAAAGTGTTAAACCTCAGGTGCCTATAGTTACTGCCCTTTAAAATGACATACATGCTAAATGCTAACTATATGTCCTGACTTAGATCTGTTAGCTCTTTGACTTTTAACTACAATTCCATCAGTATGGATGGGCTTTGTACTGCTTAGAGCATGTTTAAATCCCTTTTCCAGGTGGGTTTGCAGGGCCACCTGGGAATTGTCATAGCTCAGTAGTTGAGCATGTGCTTTGCATGTCAAATTTCCCAGATTCGATCTCAGCCACCTCTAGGTCTGTATAGACAATACTGAAGTAATTCGACTAGCGCTCTAAATTTCTAGAAGGCAGCTCCCTGTGTTCTTATACCTTTCGGGGAACTGGTGGCACTAGCAAGGCTACGTCCACTACAGTCCGGCACACCCACATGGGAAGATGAGTGGAACCACAACCATTCAGGAAAAAATAGCCCACACAGACACAAAACCCTAGCAGAAAGCTTTGGTGCTATATTTTAGGGAAATACTGTCCACTCACATTTTCTGGAGTCTGGAAAGTTGTCTGTGATGGAATGAATAAGGTGGTTTATTTTTTGGTGGCTTATGTGTGTTTAATTAGAAAGAAGCAGCAGAAGCGAAGGCCCGGGAGGCGGCTGAGCATCTGCGTCTGGAAAGGGAACAAATCATGCAGCAGATAGAGCAAGAAAGACTGGAGCGAAAGAAGGTAGAGAATTTGTCCATATCACGGGTGACAGCATTGTTACTTTTGTCCTCATAAGTTTATCAAATGCATCTGTAAATTAAAGGTGTCCTAGACAAGAGAAAAGCTTGGTGATGTAGTTGAGATCCTAATGTCAAATGTAATTGTTCATTATTCTGTTCAAAATTACGATCCTCTTCAGATTTGGGAGCAGCCAATTGGTATGCATGGGATCTGCCTACCAGTTGCAACCTTTCTGTATAGGATCATGGTTAGTAGGGCTGTAATAATCCTACACAGTCTCTAACACATCCTTTTCCATCTTGGGTCCCCATATGGTGCTACAACTACAACTCCCCTCATCTCTGACTACTGGCTTGCTAGCTAGGGATGATGGGAATTGTAGTCCAACACCATCTGGGGTCCCAAAGTTGGTTGGGAAAGGCTACTCTAACAAAAGCAGAGTTAAAAGATATTTACTCTGTTACATGTATGGCAATTGTCTTTAATCAGATGGTATGAAATTGCTGGCACTGGTGACTTGCCATTGCATTTTCATTACATAGATGAACCATATTAAAGAGAACCATATTGGAAGATTCTAACAGCAGTGATTCAGAAATATGACTTTGTGACATTGCCTTATGTGGCCAGCCCAAGATTTATACCTTATTTGAGCCTCACATGTCTGTAGAATGGGGAGATCTTTCTTCTGTGCTATATATTGATGCAATCTCAGTTAGCTTAGCACTTTCAGTTTTGGAAAGCAAAGGATAATAAACAACATAATCATTTTCTTTTTCTTTTCAGAGAATAGATGAAATAATGAAAAGGACAAGAAAAAGCGAAACACCAGAAATCAAGGTGTGGAACAGAATTTCCTTCCTTTCCTTGGAAGTGTAGAATTATGTAGTTCAACATACAATAAATGCCATTGCCCCAGAAATCTGAAGATTAATCTTCATTTGTAATATAAGTGGCCACTTTGGGCCCTCTTAGAAGGGTCACAATTGTTTCTCTCTCATATAAACAGCAGAAGAAACCAAATATGTGCAAACATGGGGCAACATAATGGCAAATACTACCTTTCTTAATGCCTAAGGGGGAGAGCTGAAAACAAGTGTATTGTGCCTTCTATCTTAGTTCCAAAGTACACAGTTCATGCAGCATTTACCTCCGCTGCTACATGGAGGAAAGCAACTTAGAGAGGGCATTTTGGGAAGGTAAACAGCAGGAACAGAAGTATTTGAGCTGTCCCCTCCTCCCTCCCATCCTGCTTTTTCTCAGCTGCAGCTACTTGTGGCTACTTTTCAGTAACACAGACAGAACAGGGCAGGAAGAAATGCATAACTGGACGTAACATGTAGTTTGACTCTTAATCGCTTACTGTTCCTACTTTATTCTGTGTACTTGGTTAAATGATAGCCTCTTCAAGAGTAATGGTCAAAGACCAAAGCAATTAGTACTACTGTGCAAATAACTGAAGAGCTGGCTGGGGTACATTTTGCTTGTTTATCCTTGCAAGCCTGATTGGTGAAGGGAGGAACTACCTGGATCAAATGGCTGTTGCTTCTGCAGTTATTAGTCCAAGCGACATGAGAGAGAAAAAACAGGGGCTGTAGCTATTTTAAATCCTTGTCACCTCCTCCCTTCCCACGGAGTACCTTGATTGAGCTTTGCTTTCAGAGAATCTGGCCCGTGGGCAGGGCATCTCTGATCTGCATAGATACCAACCTGCAATTCCCATAGTAAAGATCTAAGGTTCCCAGGGAACCTAGTGTTGGTACAAGGGCTTAGAGACTGCTTACCTTTCCCACCCTGGAGCAGATAATGCAGACATGATATAAGAATCTTGCTGGAAGTTCTCACCCATCTCCTTCTGCAGCCATTGTTTTCCCTTTGTCTGCTTCCTTCATGTTTATAGAGAATGCTACAATAAGAGATTAAGAATGTTTTGTTACAAGCTGTATATATAAAACATTTTGAGCAAAGTATAGCTGGTAAGATATAAATGTTCAGCTGCGCCTCTGGAAAGGTCTGCAGTCAGTGAATTTTACATGTTTGATACAGAAGGAAGACATTCAGCTGGATGTGCCATCATCTTTAAATCTGGACAAACAGCCAAAGCCACCTGCTATCAATCAAGCAGGTAAAAAACAACACTGTATTGGTATTAAATTATGTATTGATTGCCTTCCAAAATCCATGCTTCAATGAAACGTGCTAGATTGTTCCTATTTTTGGCAATATTTCATGAAAGTTCAAGCGTTTGGCCTGCCCATAGTATTATTCTGGCAGACACGTAGTCTCTCCCCTCCCCCCTTTTCTTCCCAACCCTATACTGCATATAACACCAATATCTCACGACAAATGTACTGTAACTGATCTGTAGAAAACACAACCTGAAGAAAGAGACAATGCATGTGCTTTTGTAAATGAGGAAAATCTGTAATTAAAAAAATACCGTAAATTCCGGCGTATAAGACGACTTTTTAACCCCGTAAAAAAGGTTAAAAAGTCGGGGGTCATCTTATACGCCGAGTATCCCCCCGCCGCCGCAGTAGCGACAGGCTCAGCTCCGCACCGGGAGAGAGTGGCCTGGCACAGAGCCCCCCCACTGCTGCTTCGGAAGCAGCAGCAGGGGCGGCGGGCTCCATTCCACTCCAGGCGGCTTTCTCCCAGCGTGGAGCTGCCCAGCGTATTAGGCAACTGGGCTTATAAGATGAACCCCCAAATTGCAGCTGCCGGAATCTACGGTATGTTTTTTTTAAAAAGTTACTTTGAGTGAGCATGTGCCTAGAAATGCAAAACATAAATTTCAGTGCCCGGAAAGGCAAGAAATAAACATTTAGCACTACCCTCATCTCCAAACACCTTCAGTATAGTGAACATGGAAGCAGTTCTGGATTTGTGAGGGTCACTGCTACCAGTCATCGTAGAATATACAGCAGGCAGTACTGAGCTAAGTAAGACAGACAAGACAGACTCTGTATCAGGTAGCTTCTTATGTTCCTATTCAAACAAAGGCAGTATCTCCTAGTTCAGCCATAGTATTTTATGTGCCATGAGCAAGGTGCATGGTGGAGGCTCTCTCTCATTTCAATAAATCTCCACTTCAGGAGATGAGTATTGAACAGGCCCTATGGAGGTATGCATGATTCTGGGCTCATGTCTTAAAGCCTACTTACACATTAAACTTGCCATATAAGCAGAGGCTGTCTATGTGAGGTTCTGTCTCCTGAGAATTCTGAAGCCTTCTCCACCCAGACACCAAAGACTACAGGGGATAGAAATAATACACAACTGCTCTCTATCCTTTCCCAACCATTGATTGTTTCCCCCACTTTTATTCTTAGTGACTATTTTTCTACAAGTTCCCCTGTTGAAAGGGGGGGGGGATGGGAAAATAAGCTACTAGACATGGCAGATAGCCAACAAAGTTGTACCTGGAGTAGGCCCATTGGAATTATTGGACTTAATTCCATTGATTTCAGTGGGTTTACTCTAAGTATCTTAGTTGTCTATAACCCAATAATGAGGAGAGCAGCTGGCTGCCACCTTTACTAAATGTGATTTCCTCTTTTCCCCTGCCTATTGGTGGAGAACCTTCAGAGCTCTCACATACTAAATTGCAGCATCTCAGGCTTCCCATGTGAAACTTCAAGCTTGCATATTTTCATCTTTCAGGCAACAATATTTAATTGCATTTCCTAGAGTACAAATCCTGCTTTAAGGGTAGGAATAAATATGTGGCTCGCTTTCACCAATGATTTCTTGTCCTGTTGCTTTTACAATCACATTTCCTCATGACATCCTTTTCATAGAAATGAATGGACTAACAAGCTGCAAAGATGATAAAGGCCTGGGATGTGCTATGTCTGACTCTTTCCCTCATGATGTATTTTCTAATGGACTCAAGCCACTTATGGGCCTTATTCAGCTGAACCCAATGGATGGGAAATCAAATAGCATTGATGATTCAACAGATGAAGTTCAGTCTATGGATGTGAGGTACATAACCATTTAAAAATAATCTTAGTCAGGATCCAAAGAACCACACAATTTGTTACATGTGCCTGCTGCTGCTTTAGATTTGTGTTTTTGTATGATATGGTTCAGGGATATGCTTCTCAAAAAAATACTATTATTTTAAATCTTGCTGAATTTGCACAAATAAATCCCTAAAGTAATTTGTATCCTGGCCCTAATAATTTGAACGTTTCATTTATCCTTTAATGAAACATGCTGTGTTCTATGTTTCTTCCAATTTTTTTGTCATTCCTTCCCTTCCACGGGCATCTGTGAACCAATATTTGATGCTCTTAACTATGGTGTACAAAGGAGCAAAATGCATTCTGCAGCCTGATCCTATGCATGTTTACTCAGAAGCAATTCCTACTGTGTCAAATAGTGCTTTCTTCAAGGTAAGTTGTCTAGGGTTGCAACCTTGAGTTATTTGCCATTCATTATCTACCTTCTGTAAAATAGATGAGCTGAAATCACTCTTTTATCATCTGAGGTGATTTGCATTGTCATGAATTTCATGCAACATACATGTTAGTAACCTGGTTTTCACTCTCTTTTTTTCAACAGTCCTGCTTCAAAAGAAGAGCTTATATCTATTCCTGAGTTTTCACCATTGAATGAAATTATGCCTGGTGTTTCTTTGGACCAAAATGGCTCAAATAATGGGAAGGCTCTTCAAGATCTACTAGATTTTACTGGCCAGGCCACTTACCCAAAATTATCAAGTGAAAGTGTCAGCATAGATGATTGTAATAAAAACTTGATTGATGGATTTAATAGTCCAGGACAGGAAACAACTCTCAACACCTTGTGTTGACAAACACACTACTACTTAGCAATAAGGTACTATATTCTTGTAATAAGTATAATTGTTTAGCCACCTGTTGCAGGCAGTGTTTGTGTTGCCTTCTGACTGCCACACAACTGAAAAGAAAACCAGGACTCATGAGCCCTCTTCAGAAGTATTGTTTGTGCTTTTAGTGAGCATGTAAGTGGGGAGCAGGGCTGAATTAGATAATACTGGCCTGTCCCTCTATATCAGGGTTTCCCAAACTTGGCTGTCCAGCTGTTTTTGGACTACAACTCCCACCACCCCTAGCTATCAGGACCAGTAGTCAGGGATGATGGGAACTGTAGTCCAAAAACAGCTGGAGACCAAAGTTTATATGCACAGTGTCCCTTTTATTTGTTCTGCTGAAAACATTGGTATCATGGGCTGTGGCCAGAGGGAGATGTCAGGAGCGTTGCTAGACAGGACAGCCTCATTCATGGGTTCACTGAACATGTGAACAGTATTTTGGAAAAGGGTGATGGTTTTTTGTCTCGTGTGTGTGTGTGTGTGTGTGTGTGTGTGTGTGTGTTTAAAACCATCTAATGTGCTCAGAGCTGTTGGGTGTTGGATAATGGATTGTTTACTGTTCCATTCCTGAATTTTGTTTAGTAGATAGCATGAGTATAATTTGGAGGCCACATCCAGAAGGCTAATGGGTCTGTAATTATGAGGGTCTGAGGGGTCTCCTTTCTTGAAGATTAGCACAATGTTATGCATTTACGCCTTGAGAGGTTGAAAGTGAAGATCAGAACAATTAAATGCAGTATAATAATCTGAAAATCTGAACAATTTAACATAATAATCTGCAAATAAAACATTGGATTTACGTAAACTCACTCAGTCTATTTTTCTGATTGACAGATGGCGTTATTTGGGAGAATATAGACACTTCCAACGCTGCTGTTGGTCAAACAAGAGCTCATCATTTTAAGAAGCTGCTGCAGTCCTCAACATTGGATATCATGTTCCTCTGCACTGAATTTACTGTCTTCCCATGTGCATTGATGAGCAAGTAGTCATTTTGGTCAGGAGTGGAAACTTCAGTTTGAGTGGTTTCAGGGAATATTTGTGGGAGCTTTTTTATAATTGAGCTTTTAGCTGCTAAGAAAACATGGTTATTAAACATATACGTATATATATATATATATAAATAAATATATTATCAGTGGGCTCCCAAGTGAGTCAGTAAAATTTATTTTAAAACCATTCTTTTAATTTTGTCATTGAGCTATCAGGATTGTGTGTGTGTGTACGTAAAAATGCACATTAAAATGAAATGGCTGTTCCTGTGTTTGCCTTTCAGTTTGTTTGTGTTTTTTTTCCTCTTGGGAAAAAGTCATTTTTTTAATGCCATTTATTAAGGTGTCTTATTGCAAATCAATAACTGAGAAGGCTTGGAAAAAATATGCAACTGCTGGAATCCAATAGATTTTCTTGCAGACAGTGGAACATTTGAATTACCACTCATTAAAATATGGCACATAACAATTTTATTTGTAGTACTTTTTGATCTGTTGGTAACTGAGTTGGCACTGAATTGGAGCTACCACTAATAAAGTGCTAAAATGGAATTAGCAAAAGCTTATCACACTGTATTTAATTTTAATTGTCTGTGGGGGAAAGTTTTATCATTACATGTATTATATTATTGTAGAAGTAACTGTATCATGGGGTCCAGGATGATGATATGTTAATGTTCAAGATTCAGTGTCTGTTATCAATACCAGGTGGTTTTCATTCATGGGATTCTCTAATATCCAACAACTCAGCTTCATATAATCAACAGCAAACAGTATATATACATGGGCAACAAGATATTATAAGGTACATAACCACAAGTGCTGAAAGTCGTACTCCTGCAACACTATAGTCTTATCAGCCTCTCTCACTCTGCAATTGTATATGAAGAAAGCTCTTGTTGAGAATGCATAGATGTTCTGTATAATGTATGAAGGGCATAATTCAGCCTAGTTAAGCATTTTGAGATCCGTCTGTTCCAAAGGGCAAGTCAAGCACTTAAATTTCTCTTGAATTTGAAATCGATCAACCTTAAGAGTGTTTAGTTTAGCCTGGATTGTGCACAAGGAATTTCAACTTTTGGTGAACTCTTCTTACCTTTTATGCTGTATTCTATGCTGCCTAGAGGACAACTCTGTCCCGTTCTTTACAACAACAAAAAAGACAATTCTGTTGGAGCTAAAGAAATGGGAAACTTTTATATGTTGGGGGTGTTGAAATGTAATGTAGCTTTGTTCTCGTGACTCTAAAAATGGGCACGTATTGAGAAATTAGTTATTGAAGCTATGTGATAATATACCCAAATGCTTACAATATTTATGTTGATGTCATTCAGCAAAAAATACTTCCTTGGTGACTGTGCAGTATGTGGTAGCATGGTATGGTGTTCTTCCAAGTTAATTCTGCAGTTTTCCTCATAAACAATAAAGAACTTAATCATATTGTGGTGGTGGTTGATGTATTTAGTTATGACAGATTAATGACACAGCATTTTCTGCAGGTAAAATGTATTTGTATTCAGGTGTTGAAACACTTAATAAACAGTTTCTCCAAAGATGCAAGGGAAAAGGTTTGACATAAAACCCTTTTACATGAAATACCAAGAACTCAAGGTTTGCTACAAGAAAAATTGATAGCTTCTATAAATCAAAAGCAACTTAACATATGAAAGCCAAATGCAAGCACAATTGATTCTTAAATAGACTACATTGTCCGAGTCTATAGCAGATTTTTAAAAGCACAAAATATTTTTAATTCAGAAAGTTACAAAAATTGCTTGTGGCAGCAGACATCATTTTTTAGAAAGGTATTTCTCAAACTTTTACACACAAGGAGGAATCCTAAGATAAGGCCTGCTGTGATTCATGCATTTTTATAAAAAATACTCTATTGTTCAGACAGTTTCATTATTGGATAACTTTTTGCTCCCGTAAAAAAGTTTTATAGAGACACAACAGGGTGCATGTGGTGGTTCTGATCTTGCACAACAGCCTTGGATATGACCTTCTGAAGCAACATTATACTCAGTCAGACCACAGTATTGGCCCATTTATTTCAGTCCGTATTGTCTACACACTAACTGGTAGTAGCTTTCCAGGGTTCCAGGCAGGGTTCCATTACTTACTCTACAGACACATTAATGAAGGATAAAGCTATCAATAGGTATGAGTTCTGATGCACACAGTCGTGCAACAGCTTAGATTTTGGAGTCCTGAAGTCTGCCAATTCTCCCAAGTCTTCTCAGACAAGTTATTCTCAAAGTGATTTAGGTAACTCCACAGTTCTGCAGCGATCCAACCTTTTCTGATAACTGACCCCAAACCAACACTGATAAGTAAGTCATGAGATTCAACAAGGTACATCTCAGGAGTAAGTCAGCTCCTTCCTCGCTAGTGGATTTAACCCATTAACTGCATTCCTTAATACGCCTTCCATTTTGCATTCAGAGGATATATAACTACCACACTTACTACATGTAATGAAGTGGGCTCCAGCCCATGAAGACTTATGCCACATCTAATTTGCTAATCTTTAAGGTGCCACAAGTCTTTGCTGTGTTTGCTCCCTGGGTCTCATAATTTAGGATGTTGTGCCAACTGTGTATATGAGTTGAATGACACACATGTAATATTTTGAACAGTTATTATGCCACAAAAAAATCTAAACATACAAATCCAAAAGGACGTGAACAGGAAAAGTAAATACATGAGAATTAGCTCAGAGATTAGCCTATTAAAGGAAAGAGAAAAACTAAATTTGGAACAGTATTGTGGACATAAATTGCATTATCTTGTGTAGGTGAAACCTTGGAGCACTTCTTTGGTATGTAGAACGTCCTATTTTCAATTCCCAGCACCTCCAAGTGAGCTGGGAATGTCCCATCTGAAACCGTGTTTCAGGTTTACCACTCAGTGTGCTCGGGCTGAGCCACGTAGACTCGGTACTGTATAAGGCTGCTTTCTGTGTTCCTATGCAATACCTTTGCACTGCCCAGATATTTTCCAAGCTTAACTACTATACTTTTCCTGTATCTATCTTATGACTTGTTCCAATTCCTAAGTAGTTGAACACTTGTGAATTTGTGTTTCCTAGCCCACATGCTAGCTATTGGATATATAGGTTATAGTAATACATTGATTTTGCAGTCCCATTTGTACATTAGGGAAAGTGAGATTTATTATTCCCATGTGAACAATTTTAGGGAAACTAATTGAAATTGCAGTTCAATGTTTTGGGGTAAAAGTCCTATTGAGTTTTGTGGGATTCATTCCCATGCAAGTATGCATAGCATTAAACTCTAACATTATTTTTAAAAAGATATATACAGTGAAAGTTCTGAAATCCATAGTAGGCCGTACCCTTTTGATGTTGCTAAAGGGAAATGTCTCAGAACATTTTTTAGTTCTCCAAGTCTCCTTATCGATACAGCTAGGAAAGAGTACTTTATTTTTGCTCCCAAAATTAAGCAAGGATGAGAATGGGAGATCCCTGCTAAGCAAGGGAAGGGCTGCTTCATCAGTCAAGGCTCAGCTGTGGAGCAGAATCTGAACCCCAAGCCTGCCTTGGGCTACGTGACCGGAGTACCTTTTTGGCATGTATAAAAAGCGCATTTTCTCTCGCCAGAGTAGCCAGGCAGCGTTTCCCCAACTGGGGTCTCCAGCTGTTTTTTGGATTACAATTCCCATCATCCCTGACCACTGTTCCTGCTAGCTAGGGATGATGGGAGCTGTAGTCCAAAAAACAGCTGGGGGGGGAAGACCCAGGTTTGGAGAAAAACAGCCTACCTCCACACACCTGCGATTAATCTACAGTCAGCCTCAGTAGTGCGCCATGTGGAGTTTAACGCCCTTTTTATGTTTATGTCTGTTTTACAGTCAAGTATTTCTAGGCCGCCTTTCCGGGTAAATACAATTTCGAGGCATTAAAAAAATAAAAATTACAAAGGCTGTCCCGAGCCCCACACCCAAAAGGCAGTCAGAAGAAACAATACTAAGGGAAGAAAGAAATGCACTGCTTCGTGTGTGTATATATATGTGAAGAATGCCAGAATATACGGCTGCGTCGCTTTTATTTTAACGAAGCGGGGAAGGAAGAGGCGCGCATGTCGAGGCAAGAGAGCAGCAGCGAGGGATTCCTCCGCGCCCCGCGAGGGTCGCCAGGGAAGCGTCGGCATTCGCTCCTTCCCCGCCCCTTTACTTCCGGGGCACTTGGCCCGGCCCTTACGCCTGGGCCGGGGTGGGCGAGGTAGGTAGGCCTGGCCGGTGGAGAAGGGCGCTTCCTCTTCTCTGTTTCTCGCTCTCTCCTCCTCCTCCTCCCGCCGCGGGGCCTGGGAGAAGCCTCGAGGTGGGCGCTCCGAGGAGGAAGGAGGGCGGAGGCGGAGGCAGGTCCTGTCGGAGAAGCGGCAGCTGCAGTGGCTGGGCGGGCGGGCGAGGAGGCTGAGAGACGCCGCGACCTGGAAGAGGCAAGTGTGGTGAGGCAAGTGTCTCGGGACACCGCCCCCTCCTTCCCGGGCCTGCCGCGGCCGAGACTCCCCAGGGCTGAGGTGGGAAGGTCGAGGGCGGGCGGGCGGGGGGTGTCCGTCCCCCCAGTGGATTCTGTGGAGAGAAAGGGAGCTGCACCTTCCCCTCCACCTTTTCTGGATCTAAAGCCGAATTCCCCCTCTGCCCCCCCCCCCGTCCCGTGAAGCCGCCCTGTCCCGAGAAGCGACATCCCGCTTTCTCTGCCACGCTTAAAACTACCCGCAGTTATTATACTGTCACCCACTTCGGTTTCGTATTTGGGAGTGGGTTGGGGTGCTGCCCCCACCCTGGTCATCCTTTCCTTGGTCCGTGCTTACCTACCGCGAACGGTTTTTTAAAGTGTAGAGAGCCACGATATCGGTCATTCGGTGGGTTCAGGGTGTTCTTTATAGGGTCTTAGTTCTTTGCTGTGGCATGAGATAAAAGGCTGATTAGAGTAAATTAGCCTGGGGTTTAACCCCCCCCCCCAAAAAAAAACTTACCTAGATGTCCAAATTGTGAGAGTGATAGTTTGGCAATAGTGCGGCAAATTGTAAGGAAAACTGTATTCTTAATAACATATTAAATCAGAATTGTTGCCGTTCTGTAGCACTGTGCTCAAAATTGTTGCAGTGGATTTAATCTCTTTTTTGGGTGCCTCCTCCACAAGAGGTCCATAGGGTGACAACAGGGCCTTTTCTGCGCTGGCTCCCCATTTGTGGAATGCTCTCCCAAGGGAGGTTTGGCTGGCACTTTCATTATACATCTTTAGGTGCCAAGCAAAAGCATTCCTCTTCAACAAGGCCTTTGGCTGACTAACATACCATAGTGTTTTAAATGTGGGGAGGTGTTATTGGTTTGGTTTGTTGTTTTTATTACATATTTTGTGCTTTTATCTTGTATTTTTATGCAATGAACTGCCTTGAGATCATTGGATGAAGGGCAGTAGTATACAAATGTTAATAAAATAAATTCACATGTAAACATGTAAGAATCTTTAACCACCATGACTTGGAGCACAAAAAGAGGGATTAATATCTGCTAGGTTAAGGCTGTAAAAAATAACAGCTGATCGATCACCTGGTTTCTTAAAAAAATTAGCTGGTTTCTAATACTAGCACCTAAGTGATCTGAAATATATAGGCTGATACAAAAGCAAGGAACCAGCTTGGACTGTTATGGAGGACATCAGATGTTTGATTTCCTGCATTTGTGGCGCAACTTTCATAGGAGAAACCTGTTTAACTACAATATGGTGAGATATGTAATTTTGTATTTGTATATCGAACTCTCTATTTTTCCATCTGCCAGAATACCGCTTTGGATACCAGAAACCTGAAGCAGAGTTACAATAGTGGCCAACAAGATGTGTCTGAGAAGCCTGCAAACATACATGAAGGCTATAGCCATCTCCTATTGATGCTTCAGATAAACTGGTACTTGGGAGAAGTTTTAAAGACAGACAGAAACATATGTTGAGAAGACAACAAGTGGGAACTGCTTTCATTACCGCTTTTCCTATCCCTTGCCTAGGTAGCAACTATGGGTGTGGGTTGTTGCCTTGCTTGTGGAGTACCCAGACACATCTGACTTCCCACTGTGGAAATAGGATACTGGACTAGACAGACCTTTGGTCAGATCCAGTGGGTTGCTCTTATCTTTGTATTTGTACATGAGAGAATAACTTTTTTATAAATGTCTGAAGTTTTGCTTTCCATTTCATTGGGTTCGTTGAGCGTTGTTATTTTTCATGGGGTGAAGAGAGGAGTGGTTGACACTGCCTGGAATTGTTGGGTATCACTCAGCAAAGTGCTAAACTTTTTAGCTTGTCTGTAGGGCTGTGTGCTATTGGCAAGTTAATTTTCTTCAGATCTTAGACTTGCTCAGCAAAGTCTTATGTGAATTCAGTTAGTTATAAATAATAATATAGTACATCTCCTTCTTACACTAAGTGTATAATTTCAAATTCATTTTTGTTTAGTTGCCTTAGGGTGGTTGTGCACATCTGCTCTTCCCTAGGTTTTTATTTATATGCCCAAAAATTATAAAATGGAACTCACTGTCAGTTGTTCTTGGGTACTACAATTTTGAAAGTTTCTATTTTAACAGTTTGGGTTATAGAATAAATTGCTATTTTTCTTTCACCTCTGCATACATTGTCCTTTTTCCATAAGCTTAAGTGACTAGTGTCACTCTTCTTTTGCATTCTCTTTGCTTCAGAGTAGATGGAGCTGTGTTTGGTTGAAGACCACGTTAATCATACTTCGAATAGACCCACTGAAATTGATTGACTTGTAATCTGTTTATTTCAGTGGATGTACTCTTGGAGTGTGACAAACATTGAAGATTGCCCAGTAGATTTAAATCAAATTTCCAATTTCATCATATAATATATATTGCCTAAACAAAAGTGTTCATGTTGAAACATACTGGCTTGCAAAGAAACTAGAGTTTTTCTAATACATAGGAGTATAATCTAAAACCTCTAGTCATGGTTCCCACAAATCTTTGCACCACACAATTATATTTGCTGAAAGACAAGAGGAAGGCGTAACTCTGAAATTTCATGAATTTGCTCTTTCTGCAAGCATGCAAGGACTCTTAAGCAAAACCAATTGCTTGAAAACAAGGTTTTGTCTGAAGGTAGTTAAATGTGTTTGATTGTGAGTTTGGCATTTGGAATATGATTTTCAAAGCATCCATAGCAGTGAAAAAACTAATCAATTTGTGACTTTGATTTTTTTTGTCACCTCTAATAGAATTGGCATCAGTTTGTTTGGCATAAGCATATGCTGTTGTGTTCTTTTTTGAAGTTTCTTTATAGTTGATTTGTCAGCTTGCTGTTGGCATCCATCTCAAGAGTGATTCCAGCTCCAGGGTGAAGTCAAACCACTGTGTTAGCAGCACTGAAAAAACCGCCCCGGGGTGCATGTCTGGGCAGGGTGTATGGAGGTCCTGGCTCACCCAGAAGACAATACCTCCTTCTCAGCCTTGCTGATGTGGTCTAAAGGAAAGCAGGGCAATATGTTTGGCACGGGCACCAGCTTGGCTGCAGAGTTGCCAGGAGGAGATGTACAAGGTGTCATCAGCTGTCTTAGGGTCTCCACTGTGAACTTATTGTCATCATTAAATTATCAATTTAGATACTTAAATTGAGTGCAGATATTTTAAAATGAATAAATATTAAATTTCAGTCATAGAAGTATGGTCACAAGGCAATTTTCACTTTCTACCAGATTGTTTTTCAAAGCTAAATGCATTCTCCAGATGTAGTAGTCTGTTTAGACTGACATCCTGGTTTCCACTGCCCTAGGGCAGGGCTGTGGAAAAAATCATTCAAAACCATCTAATACAAATCTTAATAATCTTGTGGCAAAATTGAACTGTGCTTGTTGTGGCAGCAAGTTTTATAAGAAAGAACTTTAAACTCTTGGATAAATATCTTGTTTCAGGCACTGTTCTTTCTATAAAAATGATGGAGGGAGGAACTACATTATGTAAACTTTCTTTGAAGACCTTAGGTATGCAGGCAAATTTATGTGAGATATATAGCTTGTTGCCTGGCTTCCTATGGCAAGTATCACCTCCAGGCCACTATATAATGAACCTTTCCTAAACTGGAAGAGCTGATTATTATTTTTCTTTCAAACCTCAGATCTTCTACAAATGACTAACAAGAGTGTGTGTCAACACAAGGGCTGGTAACTTACAGACTTCTTTTTCAAAGCTGATATGTGCTCAAACATGCATAATGCAAAGTAGTTAAAGGAGTAGTTAAAGTGTTGTATGTTGAAGAGAACATCTCAAGTTGTACAATATTATGTTCTGCTTTCTTGCACCTACTGCATGAATACCATAGTACACAATGTAAACATTTTAAGTATTGTGAGATAGGACTACAGTGGTACCTTGGTTCTCGAACTTAATCCGTTCCAGGAGTCTGTTTGACTCCCAAAACCATTCAAAAACCAAGGTGCAGCTTCCAGTTGACTGCAGGAGCTTTCTGCACTCAAGCGGAAGCCATGTCAGACGTTTGGCTTCCAAAAAACATTCGCAAACTGGAACACTTACTTCCGGGTTTGCGGCGTTCGGGAGCTGATTTGTTCAGGAGACAAGCCGTTTGAGTACTAAGGTACCACTGTATCTTCAGTAAATATTAGAAACAGAAAGGAATTACGCATAACATGAGGAAAAACCTCAATAGTACAATTAAAAATGCAAAAAACAATTCTGCGTAACTGTTATTTGTAGAACATAATCACAGACCCCTTTCTCCTTTTTATAACAGTTTCAGCAGGAATGGCACCAACATCCATCTGACTCAGGGATCATTTAGAATTAATAATAATTTACAATAATTTATTATTTATACCCCTCATATCTGGCTGGGTTTCCCCAGCCCCTGTTTCCCTCAAATGTAGTTTTGTGTTAGCTGCTGCAGCAGCTTTACAGCTTAGCATTCTGGTACTTATTGCATTAACAAAAACCTTAACACAATATGCAAGGGATTTGTTATACAGACTCCAAGAAAATTAATACTGCTAAAAAAATTAAAGTATGTTGTTCATGCTACCATCACTTGGCTCATAGTAACTCCAGGAGGCCTTGAGCAGATTTGCAACATACTGTTGCCAATTTCCTTTCTTCCTTGTTCCTGTGTGGTTACCAACTAAACTACTGTACCATGCACTCCATTAACCTGCTCACCTAAAAATCTCTCATAGTGAGGAGAGACGGATGAGAAGTTGATCATCAAGCCCAAAGCCTCTGGGTTTCTCGCATCTAGCATATATACTTTTGTGGAGGGCTTCAAGCCAAACAGTAGTGTTTTCCTTTAATCATGACTTTTATTCTGGAAGCACCAGTGCCTAATTCTATCCATATGCATTTGCTGCTGCCAGATCTTTGGATTCTAGCATTGTAGTCCATTTTGGAGTACTTTAATGCATTCTTGGAAAAAGCTAGCCTTCCTTGGTTTGTGTGTAACACTGGTGTTTATTGTGCTAGGTTATGCAATGTTCCCTCTGCAGTATGCTAAATTAACTGAAGCAGAAGCAGCAATACCCATGGATGCAGAAGAATTTTAGCTGTTGTCAAGGTGGCGGCCACAGTTTTCCAGTATAAAAAAATGTTTTAAAAATCCCTGAGTATCTACAGCCAAGCTAGTTTTGATTTCTCCCCTAATTTCATAGGGGGAGCAGGGTGGAAACCCTGCTGTGCAAGAGAAAGCCCTTAAACAGGGGTTTGTACTGGTGGCGTTTGTTAGGTGAATTCTACCCACAGAATTTTTAGACTATGTCAATGTGTAAGCCTTTGACTGTTTCATAAATTGCAGTGTAAAGGATAAAATAGGGCAATTGATGAAGCCCATGTAAAGTTTTGAATAGTAACGGTTTGGGGGTTTTACTTGAGGTAACCTGAAAAAGGTGAAACTTTCCATGTGATGACAGTGTCCTACACTGCCATGATTCTCAGTGTGGAGCACTTTGGTCCTCTTAACTAGTTGGCAGGTGTAGGATGAGGTGAAAGCTTTATGCAGCCTAACAGCAAAGCACCCCTTCCTGGTCATGGGGTGATCCATAGCCACCAGATAATAGGAACAGTAGTGGACTTCTTCTACTCACCCCCAAGAGAGAAATGCTGCTTTTGCCTTGTGGCAGAAGGCCATGTACCTTTTGCCTTCCCAGATCTTCCTGTATTAGACACATAGTTATTAATAATGACAGAAACAGATTTGTGTGTCTTGTCGGTGTAAGAGTAAAGGTATAGGTAAATGGACCCCTGACCATTAGGTCCAGTCATGGCCAACTCTGGGGTTGCGGAGCTCATCTCGCTTTATTGGCCGAGGGAGCCGGTGTACAGCTTTCGGGTCATGTGGCCAGCATGACTAAGCCGCTTCTGGCGAACCAGAGCAGTGCAAGGAAACACCATTTACCTTCTCACCGGAGTGGTACCTATTTATCTATTTGCACTTTGATGTGCTTTCGAACTGCTAGGTTGGCAGGAGCAGGGACCGAGCAACTCACCCCGTCGCAGGGATTCGAACCGCTGACCTTCTGATCGGCAAGTCTTAGGCTCTGTGGTTTAACCCACAGCACCACCTGCATCCCTACAATGTAAGAGTAAGGCTATATAAATTCACCCTGGCTGTTGAATACTCCATTATCAGAATGTGAGGCCTAGTTCCAGGATGCTCTTGAGGGCTGTTCACCTGAGAGCCCAAAGTCTGTGTAATGCAATCCTAACCATGCCTACTCAGAAGTAATTCCTGTTGGATTCAGTGGGGTTTACAGGTATGTGGGGTTAGGATTGTAGTCTTAACCTCATATTTTGTTCATATTTTGTTCTAGTCATGACTGTCTAAGATGAGACATAATCAGGGGTGCTGTGGAGTTGGGATTCTATAAACAGTTTCCCCAGGGGCAGCTGGGAAAAGAAAGGGACCTGTGAGTCAATTCCTGGATCTGTGATTCTGAGTGAAGCGACTGAAGCAATAGCAAGGTTAGAGTAGGTGCTGTAGAAATGAATCCGGCATAAAGGGGGACAGGCAGCATGCAGAGCAACAAAAGCCTGTTCAAATGTCATTTCGGGGGTTCTAAACTTCTACGTGTTGCATTGCCAAGGTGGAAGAAATAAAAATGTTTCCTATTTCTTAGGGATATGGTTTATATAACAAGTCATTTGACAACCTTTGTGTTTTTCAGACTGATTAGAACTTGCCATTTTCATTTCTGTTGTGGTTTGACTCTGTGGAACATCTGGAGCATGGTGATGAGGTTGAGATGAGGGGCAGAATATAACCTTTGAAAATAATTTATGTAATCGTTAGGGACTCACAGAACCAAGATTGCTTATTGTTGCTTTGATTTGGATGGGTGTGAGGGGTGGGAAGGAGAGGAGAAGTCAAACACATATCTTCAATTCTCATTCCTGCATAATGAATCCTGTAACCTTCCTCATTTTATAGATCTTTCTTTTCAAACACTTTTAAATATCTTACCTTTCCATTCAGCAAAGTCAAATGCCATTCAGGCTATTAGTTACATAGATGTTTCAGAAACAGAAGAAACTACAAGAAAGCAATTGTCAGTCTGAAAGTATCCTCTGTTGAAAACTGGATAGAAGCCAGTGACCATGACAAAGGTTGTGTTCTTGCATATCTCTCTGTGTAAGGACATTTCCTCAAAAAAAGAAATTACTGCTCTGGTGACTGAGACTTTATCTTAAATTATTTTTAGTGAGTCTTATTGTGAAGCAAGTACACACAGGATAGCTGCCTTGGCATGTTGTACAGATATCTTTACAAAGGAATTCCAAGTGTTTGCCCCAAATGTCAACATTTTCTAAATGTTGTGTTGTGGATTGCAAAACGGTTTGTTGATGCCTTCCAGTCTCCATAGAAAAAGGGACCTTACCTTACTTCTGACAAAAATGTTGTGAATTTGTATTGCACCTGAGTTACTGACAACAGGTTTTACTTACTTACAGAAATGTAAATGCATGCCACAATATCCACCCATTTGCCTAAAGCAGTTACATCCTAGGCTTGGCAGCTGCCATCCACCCACAAAGGTTGAAGTCACAGTGAATAGAGTAAGCCTTTGGAATAACTTTTTAAATTATGTCTCTTCATCTGAAGGAGTGTCATATGTGCATCTGTTTATCACCCAGAGCTATTTCCCAAAACATTTTGTTTCCTGTACTTTAATTTTGGTAGCCAGCAGAAGGAAGGAGGAGCAGATTTAAGTTGTATTAAAAGGATGTAAGGATTTGGGTAAATATATAAATCATTGTTCACATTTCTTTGAAGAGTAGCAAAACAAATTGAGTAACTTTTGTAGTAATTTTTTTGTCCTCTAAATGGATTAAACATCCCTGTCAAGATGTTAAATGACTTGATTTGGGGTGAATTTTAAAGACTCTTATGTGAACAGTTTCTTTCCACAAGGTGAAAGGAGTGTCTGTCCCGTAAATTATGCTAGTACTCTTTATCCCGAAGCAAGATCCTATGCATGATGTCAGTCTTTCCCACGCTACCAATGTGATTGCATTGCTGTTTGGATGACAAGTCCTTTTTCTTGGCTGTGATTTCTGTCACACATATCCAACTTTGGGATTGGTAGGGCTGTGATTTTTATGGTATTTTTCTTGGCTTTGTGTAGTCATTTGGGACATGGATAGGACTGTTATTCGTAAGTGAGCACTGTGTAGAAACAGTTCTGATATTAGAACATATTTCATGTTGCTGTTCCATTAATGAGTGAAAAACTGAATGTGTAAGACAGTAGGCAAGAGAAGACGTTCATTTTACAATACTCTGTGCAAAAGGTGAAGGTAAAGGGACCCCTGACTGTTAGGTCCAGTCGCGGATGACTCTGGGGTTGCGGCATTCATCTCGCTTTATTGGCCAAGGGAGCTGGCGTACAGCTTCTGGGTCATGTGGCCAGCATGACTAAGCCACTTCTGGTGAACCAGAGCAGCGCACAGAAATGCTGTTTACCTTCCCGCCGTAGTGGTACCTGTTTATCTACTTGCACTTTGACGTGCTTTTGAACTGCTAGGTTGGCAGGAGGAGGGACTGAGCAACGGGAGCTCACCCCGTCACGGGGATTCAAACCGCCGACCTTCTGATCGGCAAGTCCTAGGCTCTGTGGTTTAACCCACAGCGCCATCCGCGTCCCAGCAAAAGGTAGGACTCTGTTAAAACAAAGAAAGAAAGGGCTATGTTTGCAAATATGGTGCATGGAAAAAGGATCTGTTTGGTTGGTTCACCCCACAACATATGAATATTATCTTCTAAGCGGTAGCAGGGTTGGTATGTTGAAGAAAACAACAACAAAGACTCTTATGATTCCTTAATGGGAGCAGATTTGTTGTAATGCATCTGGTGAAGTAGACTGGCTTGTGTTACTATATTCATTGGCCTTTAATAAATTATTTGAAATATTTTTGTTGAATAGACAGAGAATTGTGATACTGTAGGTTGATAATAACATTAAAACAGTGCCTGGCTGAAAAATCCTTGCCTATTTGAAAAGGTTTAAATGGCACATACTTTACTTCGATCATTTTTTTCACATGTGGAGAAAGTGACTCTGCAGCCACTGAAGATGCCATGCCTCTCAGGTTTTTACTGAACAGTTTTTGCTGTGCAGATTTCACGTATGGATGGCATCACCAGACTGACCATAGAAGTACTATGGAATATTGTAAAAGAGGCCACAAAAGTGGGCAGTCTTGTGTAGCAATCTCAGATTGCAGTATACTTGGATGCCTCTATGTTGGTTGCTACCACTTCCCTGAATGTAGTTGTTCAGGTAGCAGACATAATAAGCAAACACCACACCCCTGTGTACAGAGACAATGACTAGGTCTCAGTTGGGATTCAGAAATATACTTTAACAAACTATGAGTAATCCTGACATAAATATATTACATACTCTGCAGCTAATTGTCCAGGGAGCCTTTGAACTTGTGCTTTTAAAATTGCCTTATACAGTGGTACCTCGGGTTACATATGCTTCAGGTTACAGACTCCGCTAACCCAGAAATAGTGCTTCAGGTTAAGAACTTTGCTTCAGGATGAGAACAGAAATTGTGCTCCGGCAGCAGTGGGAGGCCCCATTAGCTAAAGTGGTGCTTCAGGTTAAGAACAGTTTCAGGTTAAGTACGGACCTCCGGAACGAATTAAGTACTTAACCCGAAGTACCACTGTACATGCCTTATACAAGCTGCTTATGAATGTAAAGATTATCTCAAATGCTTCCACTTTTTATAAGTAGGTGTTCTGAAAACCTGGGATTCACGCATTGGTTTACTAGCTTCTTAACAGAGCTAATTTATACCAATTAAATTCCCACTAATCCAACTCATCCAGAAGTGCCATAGCTGAAGCTTCTGAGCAGTATTTGAGTCGAGGGTTCATTTTTGTCCACTGGGTTAAAGAAGCATTCGGCTCCACCCCTCCCTCTTTCCTTTATCTGCACACAATTTCAAGACTGGAAGATGGAGTTTCCGCTGGCAGAATGACTTTCTGTTTATAGATTTATGTTGTAGCCCCCCCAGCGGCCGAAGTATTTGCTGCGGCCCCCTAAAAAAGCTCAACCACCTTGACCCCCACCCCCCACAAATGGGTAGATCACTTCCACTTTAATATTCTGTGAATAGATCACAGTCTCTTGGGATTTGGACATCCCTCATACAGTATAGATGAAGTGGATTAGGCTCATCTCCCATTGTTTTTGTATATGATGTTCTTTGGTGATCCCTGCAGCCCCTACATCTCACACGCTGTTCTAAAACATCTAAAACATCCTCCAAAAAATCCTCCTACAAAACAGATTTTATTTGTGTGGTATAGAAGGGGATTGTAGATGTGAAGGAGAACTGAGATGGCCAGGATTCCTGTTCCTGTTCTGATCCAATAGAAGGTTCTGTTGGATCAAAGAGCCTTTCATCAGCAGGAAGGCACCAGTTGGATGCAATCTGTCAGCACTAACTTGCAGAAATGAAGTCAGCAAATTGCTACTACTTTGCTTTAAAGTAAAGGAATAGCTTATACAAATGTTCTGTTTCGTTTTTAATTTCCACAATGTGGCTGTTCATTTAAACATTAAAAAAAAAATGCCTAAAGTACTTTGATATTGTGTAAACATTTTAAAATTGTTATCTATTTTAATTGTAACAGATCCCAATCATTAATAAGTAGTCATTTGTTTATATTTTCTTTATAGATTCAATAAATAAATTAATTGATAGGAGAAGATGGTTAGATCACGATCAAGATCACCAAGATGGAAACGAAGGTAAATGTCCATATTTTTCTACAGATCATAAAGGTTTCTCTTAACTTACTAGAAGAGAGCCTTAAATGATGTTGTCAGAAGGGACTTTTTCAGGGTTTGAATGAGGCTGAGTCCTAATAATGTAGAACAGTAAATATGTTCAGGACTCCACATGTGAAAGAGATTCTGATAATAGAAATGCAAGTTTAGTGTTTTCTCCTTTCTTCACATTAGTGTTCTAATGCCTATTTGAATGGAGTTGGAATGACTGCATATAAGGAGAGGCTTACTAAGTGTGATTCATTAGATCAGAGCAAGCTTTGTGTGCACAACTCCTGAGAGATTCCTGTTTGTATAATGGAGAAGATCTGCTTACAGGAACCTGTTCTTTGTGTTTATTGTCCTTTTAAGTATCAGGACATGCATTTTAATTGACTTTAAAAAGGGAGAGACTGCAAGTCGCAACTGCAAAGCCTCCATGTGCTAGTTAAAATGCGCTACTCAGGGTAATTTCAGCCAGAGACTTTTGGACATGGTTTGTGATAAAGCCTAAGATTCACAAAAAGAAGCTGTATTACAGTAGTTAAAATGGAATTGTGTTTTTGTGTGTTTATATGTAGGTCTTTATCGCCTGCCTTCAGGAGTCAGGAACACAACAGACAAAGGCACAATCATAGCAATTATGACTGTGAATACAAAGGTTTCCGGAAAGATGCAAAGAAGCCTATGCCATGGAGAGTGGAAGATGGGAAATATGGACAAGCCAGTACTAGATATGCACCACATGACACTAACCACCACCGACTTTATGAATGTAGGTCATATTCACCAACTCTGAAAAGAATCCCTTCGGAAGATATGTATAGTCACAAACCATGTAGGACACATTCACCAGAAAGGAATGCTGATATCGGAAGATGCCACTTTCCTTCCAGGTATCCAGAAATGTCTCGCAAAGAACACAACCATTCTTTTTATCCGTCCAAAACACGTGACAGAGAGATGCATGAAGACCCCCGAGCTGCTGCTGGAAATACAAAAGGGATGAAGACTTTCCATGAGCCATTAGGAACTAACTTTGAAAGGAAGTGGAATGAAAATGACTTGAGGCACCACCAGTTACAAGAAGACAAGTATACTCAGTCACCTCGAAGATGTTCTAGTGAATTTATGCCAAGGAGCTCTTTGCAGAAGAGGTAGAGAAATTGCCCAGTTTTAATGGTTTTTTAAATGGTGTAAAGCCTCAAGTGAAAGTCGATTGTCCTTATAGTTGAAGATTCTACCCTGAAAACCATTTTTTTTGCTAACAGAATAAAACATAGTTTAATTGTGGGCTGCTGGTGGTAGAGCAGTATTGTATCTTTTAAGTTAATCCTGTTGGTGGCTAGCATATAAAAGGATCATAATTTCCCCTCTCTTTAGTGGCTTGAGGGATCATGGGGTGACACATTCTACATAAAGCCTGTGTTTTCCAGCATTCTGCATACGTAAGTTCTCATTTTCTTCCTTACTGCAAGTATAAACTACTTTATGTCAACACAGGTATCCTGAAGATCGTGATAACAGAGAATATGGGCACACGTCTAAAAGGGCTAAAGAATTGGAGAGGTATGATGATAGAGAAGTAGCAAGTAATTCCAAGTGGAAGCAAGATCATTCTTCACTCAACCAAGAAAAGGGAGAGCAAAGAAACCCTGGTCTTCAAACCCATCGGCCTGTTGTAAAGGAGTACAGTGATAGCTGTCAAACAAAGATTACGTACGACTATAGTCAGAAACGTCATAGACATCCAGATGGAGGGAAATATATATCTGATGAAAGAGCAGAGAAATATACGAAGGTGGAAGAGAAGAAATATAGTTCTCCTAAAGAGGCTTGGAATAGCAAATATTCAAATTACTATAACAGTGAAAGAGTCAGGCACACAGAAGACCCTCATGCAGAAGCATCAGTTAAATATATTTCGGGAAAAGGCTGCAATTCATGTGTTAAATCTCACAAAAGTGATGCTGATCTTTTACCCTTTGATCAAAAAGAGAAGGAAAGACTCAGGAAAGAAATGGATTTTAGGGGAAGGAGAGACCAGCATGACACTCATCACAAAATTTCAGATGTAAAAGTGTCTGATGTCCACCACACAAGAAAGGAAAAACTCACAGTCAAAGTGGATATGAAGAAAACCATAAATAAATACAGGTATTGCCTTTTGGATTTTTAAAAACAACACCCATGTTTATGAATGTATTAAAGATGTCGCTTGATCATTATAGTACGGTAGTATTGAGCTCAATTAACAGAACATAAGTGGCTGTGTACCGTGTGTGCTTTTGTGTGGCTGTGTATGTTGTGTGTGTATGTTGTATACATGTATGTATAGATATCTCATGGTGCATTTTGTTAATAAGCATGCACTTATTGTTCAGTTTAAAATGTATGTGGTAAGTTGGAATTCAAACAATTTTACGTGGCATTCTGCAAGCCCTCCAAAACATTGTTTGTGGACCCCCCCCCCCCCGAGAAACTGCTCCAGAAGATTAGCAAAACTGGGTTCTGCCCCGGTACACTCTGCTGTCTGAGGCTAAGATAAAGGGCAGCTTCTCCCACAATTTCTGCCTTCATTCATCCCTCTCTTGCATGGTGCATCTCAAGTAGGTAGCAGAATGGGATAGGGAAATTGACACAGTTCTTATGTACCCAATTGCTCTAGGTATCTGCATAGGCATTTTTGGATCCTGACCTATAAGCAGTGTGGTAAGAATTTTCTTCTACACCACCTTGTTCTCCCCCATGCGAGGGACCACCTTTAAATAAAACATGGAACCAAGGAAGAAAATCAAGTCTGGCACCCAGTTAGGGACCCAGAGTTTATTAGATACTATTGCAGTAGGACAGAGCCCAACTTAATGTGGTTGTTCTAGCCAAACCACCACTTAAGAAGATTCACTCCCCAGTCCTAACTAGAACAACATCTTTAATGACCATTTGTGCCACCTTCAGGGTTAGATAGGGTTTATTGCTTATGGCCTAGAGAGCGCAGGGGTTATAAAATGTAGGCACACAGGAGCCATGCATAAAAGCTTTTCAGTGCTGCATTCTATCTAAATGCCATTAATATTTGAAACATAATTAAATCAAAATATACACCCTGGGTCTCTGATTCTTATATCAGCAGTAGTCAAGAGCAAAACCTAGGGCAAAACGTTCAACATCTTCTCTAGTGTGAGAATCTGTGTTGTAACTTCTTATGATGCATTATGCTCTAGATTTGTCAAATGGGAGAAAGAAGGGCTTTTCTGCAGGAGGACCCTAAAAGCTCCACGCAGGGACACCAGAACACCAGCGTATGAGAATGCAGTGTAGCCATTTGAAATACCACGGAATTCCATTCATCCAAGGCAAGGGTGTAAGGGAAGCACCTTCTTCCTTGGATAGGCTACTCACCAGAGCAGGAAGCGTAGAGGATTACAAACTGAAGATGGGAGAGAATCTTGTATGTACCATGTTCAAAAGAGGAGATAAGGCTTCTTCCTAAGATACTGATTTCTGATAGGACTGAGCCAAATGTTTGGGGTCACCATTTTTAGCACAAAACAGCTTTCAGAGAATCCAGAATGATTATTTAAAATTTGGCCCAGTGACATCACTATTAACAGCAGAATAAGAAAGCAAACAAAAATGGCATTTAAGCAAAAGCTGTCTCCAGCATTTCTGTCCAGACTTAATTTCTGAGTTGTCTTCAGGATGTTATAGGTTGAACTGACTCTTTGTGTTTGCTTTAAAACTTGTGTGTATATTGGTTGTGAAAAAGGGTAAGTACTTGAAGTGTTCCTAATATAAAAGTAAAATGTATTACATTATTAAAATCACAAACCTTTCCTTCATTTGTGGAATGCTTAGTTTTACTTTCCTTTTAAATAACCTTTTTAAATGTATTGTTACTGTTATGTTAAATATTTGAGGGAATATTTTCTAAACATGTCTAAATTTATTCCAGGAGTTCGTCTAGTCATATCATGGAGAGGCAGACATCATGTGATCTAGTAGCTGTGGGTAGAAAAACTGAAAAATTCCATCCAGTGTTTGAGCATATAAAATCTGTGACGCAGAAGGTAGAACAAAACCCATCAAAAGAATTTGCTCAGGAAATCATCACAATTATCCATCAAGTTAAAGGTGGTTACAGAGTGTTAGACATGCACATTATCTGTGGTGTAGTCTGCATCTTTGTGTTACCAAATTATTATGAATGTCATTAATCCAAGTATCTCGGGATGTGTGAAACATCATATAGACTTCACGGAGTTGTGCAAGAATAATCCATATTTAATGGTGGTGCAATATTTTGCAGATTTCAGAGCAAGAAATTAGTAGTTTAACATATTAAATCCAGGAAATATTGCTTTCTGCTCCTTAAATTAGAAATTTCATGTAGGACCTGTAACAAATTGTGTGTCGTGTAGAGTGCTCCTATTCAGGATACTCAGTTGAATTCTGCTACATAGTTTTCTATCCCCCTCCAATGGACAGTCACCATTCTGTGGCATGCTCAGTTTTCATTGGGTTTTTTGGGAGGAGGGAGTTCCCCACTAGGGTTTTATCCCTGAGCCTGCAAACACCTCGCTCCTGTATATGGATGGTGTGATTTTGGCTACATAAGAGACTAGGAGAATTGCGATCACTATTAGTATATATGATTATTAGATTTATCATAAGATTGACTCTCTGAGCTCTCACAATCTTTGTAAGAAGAAAGGAGAGACGTATTAGTGCTTTTTGGACTGTGAAACGGAGTCCTAGAAAACATTGAGCAATAATAAGAGGCAGTCTCCCTTTCTATGTCATAACTCACGTGTAAGGTCAGTTTTAAATTAAAAAGACTGAACAAAAATATAGTTGCATTTAACAAGTTATGGTCTCTTCAAGTCATATGAGGTTACCTAAACAGAAGTACACTTGAATTCAGGAGAAAATGAAATTATGTACACATATTCTAGATCTTTTGCCTTGTTGCCCATTTTGAACTTTTTATAAAAAGTAAGTATTGCTTTTATCTTTTGCATTTTGAGGTGTAAGTAATGTTGTTCACATCTTTAGAGGGGCACGTCTTTAGGACCTCAGAGAGTTATTGAAGGGCTGCCGAAGGCTAAATCTGTGGGTGGGATTCACCTAACGAGCTAATCAGTGAAAGCCCTGGTCAAGGATTTTTGTTTGTGCAATTAGGCTTCCCCCTCTCTTGCACAGATAGAGCCATTGGAAGAGAGTAACACGGAATTCCACCCATTATCATTAGAGATAATGGAGAGAAAGAGATATGACTTTAGAGATACAGAGCCGTGAGGACATAAATAACTTCATAGCTTCATTGTCTCCAGTGTGTTAGTTTCAGCAGCACTTTTAATGCTGAAATTGCAATGAAAAGGCTTAACTTATTTTTCCCTATTTATCCTCTTCACAGCAGATTACTTTAAATCTCCTGATCTGACGTTACATGAGCGCTTCTCAAAAATAGAAGATAAGCCATTGGCAAATGAAGTTAAAAGACATTCGAATCCAGAAATTCACAGGTAAAATAAACGTACATTGGTCCAGTAAAAATCTTGCTCAGTTGACAGATCATTTCTTTGCTACCTGGCATGCCTCTCACCATGGTTCAACATTTGTTTCCATATCCTGGCTTGTTTGGAAGCCATTAACTTGGAAGCTCCATGTTCAGATGTAATGAGAACTGTGCTTAGCCACAGCTTGCTTGCTCAAAGGGAGCAAAGAAGTGGGAGCAAAGGGACTGCATGCGCATGCATGAAGTTCATTCATATCTTCACCTTCTATGCTAAGATTTGATCATCAGAGTGCAGTTGTGGAAACTTAGCACACAGAGTACAGCATACATAGGCCGGAACTATATTGGCTTTTTGTTGGTTAATGACTTTCGTTTATGCCTCCGGGGTTTCAATCCTAATAGACATAAATTACATGACTAGGAATGTATACAGAACATGGTGTTAAAACACAGCATTATCTTGAATATGAATGTGACCAAGAAGACATGTCTTTCCCATGTGCATCAATTCCTGGCCTCTGATTTTTGGACCCTCTCCCATTACTCCCATAGTCCATGTCAATATTTCCCAATCTGGTGCCTTACCACCAGCTCCACCAGCACAGTAAAACTCCTAGTAGCTCAATGGTTGTAAAGATGCATTATGCAAGTATTTTTGTACTGCCACCCATACTTGCATTGCTCACTAACCACACCTACCCCCTGCCAAACTTCCTTTGCTAACCTCCCACCCCTTCCTTTTACACGTCACTCAATTATCTCACAGCTCCTTCAACCCCCTGGGCCACCCACTTGCCCACTGTGCCGCCCTCCTCACTTGTTTGATTTGACCGGCTTAGCTCGCTTGCTCTGCCTACTGTTACCATCCTACAGTTCACACACCACATAAACTGCAGCATGACTTTTTTCTTATACAATATTATATAGTAAGATAATTCAGTTCCTATTGAAGTTAACTTTCTTGCTTCCATTTGACCCTCTTACTGATGCTGAATGATATGCTCATTACACCAGGAGAATCGATATGTCTTTGGCCGAACTTCAGAAAAAAAGAGCTGTTCCATGCAAGTCTGAGCAGGTATGTGTATTTTATTTTGGAATGGAAGGAAAGTGTATTTTCAGTGACAATATTGTAATTCTAAAATGTCTTCATATTTTAAAGTGGTATAGGCTAACTTAAATAATTTGTACCGGACGGATATATATATTTAATTTACTTACATTTATATCCCATCCTTTCTTCAAAGATACCAAGCAAGGGTTTGTGAGTCTGCACACACACACAGAGGTGCTCCCCCACCCACCCAAACAACCCTGTGAAGTATGTTTTGTTGAGAGAGAGTGCCTGGGTCAGTGTCAAATGAGCTTAATGGCTGAATGAGGATTTGGACCTGGGTCTTCAAAGCCTTCCCCCAACACTTAAATCAGTGGGGGCCAGTGTGATGCCCTGTAGATGTTAATGGAAACAACTCCCATCATTGCTGCCTGGGTCTGATGCGTATTGAGTTCCAGCACCATTTGCACCCTGCTCTAAACCACTAGTCCGCATTAGAATCTTACGTCAACATAATCTGTGACACTGATCTCTAAAATGTGAAGCTCTTTGTTTTGTTGGTTTATTTCTTCTAATACTAATCTTGTTCATAAGAAAAAATGAAGAAAAATAAAAGTGAAGTGTATCATTCTCTAAGCCATTTATTGTTTCTTTAGAGCGTGATGAGAGTTCTAGAAGATCCAAATGATCTAAGATATGACATTGAGAGAAGAAGAAAAGAAAGATTGCGGAATGAAGATGAGAACAACTTTTATATTGATGGTGCATCACATAGGTAATTGTGTTCAAATAACAGGTTGCACTTTTATGAACTTTAAAACATATTTCATTTTAGAGTATTCCCCCCCTTTCCCCTCATCGTTTTCAATGTAGCACTCAAAAGACACTTCAGAAATCCTATGTTTTTAATTTTCTATAATGTATTTAAAGGATAAATTAAAGTTAGTTTTGCTTTTGGCAATAATCTTTAGGTCCTCCTTTCTCTGATGCAGTATATTGTATATGTTAGTCCCAATAATAATAGAGATGAGGATGAGAAGTCAAAGTAGTTTAGATGCTAAACTGTCACCATGCTATGTTAGGCTGTGTGAGAGTAATGATGGACATAGGGTGTAGAAAAGTCTATTCATTTATTCCTTCCTTTCATCTCTTGCTTGAGCTCAAGTAGGACTATACAGAAGGTTTTTGCTTTCTAGCCGCACAGCCCATTAGAGATGTCTCTTGCCTTTGGTGGTATGGTTAAACTTTGAGTCAGAAGTCCAAGGGTGGAGCTCTCATTATGTTTGCTTCGATTTGTCTGGCTGTCAAAGCCAGATGATGCCCACTCTGCCTGTAATCCCATTCTGCCAAGCAGCATCTTCTGGATCTCATCTCCCTCCAAACTAGTCACAGTTTTCCATGAGCGTTTTTTCTCCCCATTCATGTATTCTGGAGGACAGCTGTTACTCTTTGGTCATCTCTACCACATGGGAATTACAACAAGAAGACTGATGATGTGCATGATGCATAGAGACAGGAGCGAGACACTGACTCTTATTGTCTGTCTTCAACACCCTTTTCATCAGTTTACCAAAAAAATATGAATCATGCTATTTTGCAGTACCTAAAAGATAATGTAGCTAATTGGCTTTATGGAGTGAAGTCCTAATTACATTGCTAACTGTGTATATATAGGGATGCTGGTATTGAATATGGTAATTGCAAGTGTGTAGTCTCTTCTATGACGAATAATTCAATATTCTTGGATGCTTTAGTTTTTAAAAAAAGTTTTGTAACCCATAGTGATTTGAGGAGAATTTTGAAAATGTATGGCTGATTTTTCTGAGAGTTTGTGACGCTTGAGGTCGAATGAGCAAGTGGACCTGGTATGCATGTAACCATCTTGTCTGTCTTTAGATTCCCTGTACCCATTCCCTTGGCCCCATCCTGTTGCTATTATTTCTTGGTTTCTTTCTCTGCAAAGGTTCTGTCTGTGCTCTTCGCCTTTCCCTCATCCTTATAAATTTTCAAATGGTTAAAACGCTGGATTTTGGAAGTCTTATTTAATTAAGTTGTTTAATGAAAAATCTGATCACTGAAATTTGGTTTAGATGGTATAGGATTTTAAAATTTCACAGTCCACATAGCCTTGACCAACTGCGACAGCAGCGCAAAGCAATATATTGTGTCTTCAGTCACAGTGTTTGCAAAGTGCTGTCTGGCAAAGCTGTTCTGGGTGATGTATGACCTGGTGAACTCTGGATGTCTCTGCTGGAAGATGAGTCATTCTTGGCTCTCTATACTGAATTTGTCACCTATTTTGTAGACCATATTACTCAATATTTAAACAAAGTTAGATCTTCTAACTGAATATGGAGTGTGAATTCACAGTGTCAGGAATTTAGCCTGGCTTTATTCGTTGAGATAATTTTAAGTCATTGTTACATCCAGTGAGCATATAGTGCTCAGGGGTACGTGACTGACTCAGAATAGTGCTGGCTCACAAAGGCCTTTTGGAAGAAGCAGAATTCTTTTATCAACTCCAACCATTTGCCACTTTGTCTGCAATGCTTCTCTGCACTTGGATACTCTCTCCTTTTTAAACCACTAGTTTTTCTGGCTTTCAGCTTGCATATGGTACTGAGAATCTAATGCTCCTATTTTATAATCTCTGCCTAGCATAATTGGAATAATTGTATCCTGTTGACCCTCTTGCATCTTTCGTTCCTTTAAAACCTCTAGAGAAGATTACTGTAATGTAAGTGGCTGCCCACAGAGACGGCTGGGATGCTTCAGCAAGCATAAAAGTAGTGGCCCATTTTCTGACCAGATGAATTGTCAAGATCCCAGTTCCTTCTACCTGTTTTCCATTGTGCTCTCTTTTGATCTACTGAGAATGCCCTGTGGAAATTGATATCCATGTGGTACATCCACTCTATGAAAGGATTCTCAGTGGCTACCTCACTATTTAAGTGTCCTTCCTCACAACATTTCCAAATAGGAGGAACATCAGTAAGTGCTTTAAAACCTTACAGAAACTGGCTTTCAGTTGCCAGCATTATTTTGGTGGGTACTATGGTTTACATTTGATATTTTCTAGAAATATATCTTTGTTTGTTCAATATCTGGCCAATTGTGTTTACAGATTTAAGACATATCACGTAAATATTTGGTAATTCCCCAATTTTATGCATTTGAAGCAAAATACAGCTTCTTATTCTTGACAGTTTGGGGACTTCATATAGAACTCTGTAAAACTGATGCATCCAAACTTAATGGAAATAATGCAGAGAAAAAAGGATTTCATCCTAGGTATTTGCATAAATACTGTTGTGATTTTTGACAACTCATAGTTTGCAATCATGCAGAAACTTTTAATTTCGGCATAAAGAATGTGGCACAGGCAAGGATGCTTTGTGTATATGATATTTGTTGTGGAAACCTATCGCTTTCCATGAGACTCTTCCCTCTTGACTGCTTGTTTGTGTCTGAAAAAGTGTCTGTTTATGAGAAATGTCTTCAGCTCTCAAAAATGTAAGCTACCCATAATAACAGGAATACACATTAATTTTTTTAATGGATATTGGCTGTTATTGATTCATCCAACAGAGAACCTGCATTGTTTTTATATTTCTTCCCAGTCAGGTTATGAAGGCTTCATAGCAACATACTCGAGAGTTACCTTGGGTTTATTTTAGTGACCTTTACATTCAGTACTCTGCATTTTTGTTTGCATGGAAATTTTATTTCATTTTATTTTATCCTGTTTAGTCATAAAAACCTAAGTGGTTTATGTAAAACTGCATTAATATTACTGATAAAATCAGATATTTAAAACAAGCTAGCTTCATTTTCTTCAAAACCAACCATTTTAAAAATACACATTTAAAAATTACATATTAAAATACATGCCAAATTTGCAGGTCTAGGTAGGCTTGCTTAAACATAAACTTTAGCAGGGATTGAAAACAGTGCACTGAATGTGCCTGCTTGATATCAATGGGTAGGGAGGATTAGCCTGGCTGGCTGGTGAGCTTATTATCATGGATTTTTAAAAAATAAATTGGTTATTTGATCCTAATTTTAAAATGCTATGCTGTTTGACATGGCATCATTTTAGTTTTCACAGCTTTTAATATTGTGTCTGTTTAGGGATGAACAGAGTAGTAGCTTTCCAAAATTACGAAACACTCAAATGTATGGATTCCAAAAACCTGGGAGATTTCTAAGACCACCTTTCAGGAAGTTTATTAGGAAACCTCACATGGTAAGTTGAAAGTATTATTACTTGAACACAGTGTCTGACTATTAAATTATTTCTTTATCAGGTAGTCAGGGATGCGTTTTTGTAGCCCATTAAAAGCTGCAAACACTAACAAGTCTTATCTTGTCCCCTGTATATAATTTTTTTGAGGAAACCCCCAGTTTAAGTTATTTTCAGGCTGTACAATATATATAAAAACAATATAATGAATGACTGAGTCACTACAAGCTGGTACTTTTTATTTGTATCGGGATACCTTTTACAATTTTTTTGTTTTCAGGTTGTACAGTTCAATAGTAAACAAATTGTGGCTTGACAACCAATGGAAGTTTCTACTCTCCAGCAGAAATATACTAAAAGTTCCTCTGAAAATGGGCTAAGAACTTTTCTCTTTCCACAGCCCTAACCTACTCACTTTCACATTTATATATAAACCCAGCATATTAGACAGAGCGGCAAGACTTGTATCTCCCCACATCTCATTTTCTGCATGATTTTTCTTCAAACTTAAACTTTGCCACCAACTCCCTTGCAAATGTACTGTACACAATTGAGAACACAATCTCTCACCCACACACTTCCTCAACAAACAAACAAAAAAATCAGTCCTGGTTTCTCCTAATCCTGCCTTAGCAGTTCTTGAAAAAATAATTTTCTGCTCAACTCTCCAACTTGCTTGCTTATTTATTTAGGTATTTTTGGGCCATCTGCAAATATCTGCAGAGGAGATTTCTAAAATACATTGTACAACATCTATCTCAGGAGGGCTCTATTCTTGGCACCCTTCCCTACATAGGGCATAAGTTGTCCCTCAGCAGTAATCTGTTTTCAAGACCAGGACAGAAGACCAATAAACCCCCGTTTTGTTGACAGAAATCTTCTCCCAGGTTTCCCCCCCTTCTTTCCTTGCAGCAGCAGCTCTTGGCTTTTGTTTGCTTGTTTGCCCAAAGCCATTATAGAGTGGCTGAGGTGAGCTAGGGATGAGCCACAGCTGCTTTTTTTCCTCCATGATAATCATTAGAGGGTGTGGAAGAGAAGAAGCCAAAAATGGAGGCAGCTCTTACTCTGTAGCTGAGGGATTTGTAGAGAGCCAGCATGGGGAAAGGAGATGGAACCTGCTGAGGCTACGATGAGCAGCAGAAAAGCTTGTACAGAAAAGGAATTTAAGAAATGGTCTAGCTGACTCCCTTTTAGTTAGCCAGTTAGGAGACTGGCAGAAATAGTGACTCAGAAGCAGCAGTTGGTCTGGCAGTTGAGTTTGCTGACTTAGTTGAGGAAATGCCAGCAGATGTTTTAAAAGAGCAAAATTCTTGCTGGAGGTTGGTCATCAGATTTAAATCATGGTTGGTATGAGGACAATGGCAACAATATTCAGTGATGGCTGAGACACCCCCTGTCTAGTACTTAAGTACTAATTTCCATGCTTTGTAAAGCAGCAAATATTATTGCCCTTCTCCACTGCAACAGGACTCTTCTCCTCTAGCCCTGCTTTCTTTCTTTCTTTCTTTCTTTCTTTCTTTCTTTCTTTGCCACCCTATATCCAGAGGTCTCAGGGCAGTTCACAGGATAAAATCATAACATAGAAACACGAAATACACAATCTATATAAAAACAAAAACAACCCAATAACCCTCACATTCATTGCAGATGAATTATTATTTTTCCTTTGAATCAGGTTCAGGGTTATACTGTAAATGCCCAAATGTTGTTGGTTCACTAATTGATTATCTAGGTAGGCAAAAAATGTTTGTAAACTCACTTGCAATGGACACCTAAACAAAGAAACATCTGATTCTGGAGTATACCCTCTCCTGTGTTTCTGTGCAACTGTTGAAGAAAAAAGTTGTAAATATGCTAGAACAAGTCACATGGGCAGATAGATAAATGAAGGAAGATAATCGTATTGGCAGATGGAAGAGTTGTGAAATAGAAAAAGGGAGAGGCCATGTTGTCCCATAGCACATTGCACAATTACACCTACACACAGTTGTATGTCACTGTTTTAAGGGGTGTCAGTATTGCAAAATAGTTGCACGGGCTAAAAAAAAGAAAAACTTGCATCTCTGGTCATAACCACACAAAAGAAAATATTTCAAAAGATATATTTTTATGGCTGCCACTAGCTTATGTTTCCTGAGCAAATATATCCTAGACTTCTTCGCACATCATGATAAGTCAGTATTCATGACATAACTGTGAACAAGCAGATCTGCTGCTGCACACTTCTGAATTTTCCCCATTTTGTTCCACCCTGCTCAATAGCATATTATCACAAACCTTGGCTCTTCTGTTGTTTCTCGTATCCCATATCAGAGTCTATATAATGGACAGAAATACTGAAATGTTAATTGTAGTTAACATTAGCTACTATGCAGTGTGAATAGCCAAAGGATATCAGTTGGATAATCCTTGGTCAATGAAAATAATTTCTTTACCAATCCAGTAGTGGACTTAAATGTATGCCAAGAAAGGCATGGAAATTATGAAGCATAGCAGCATTTAAAAGTTTGCTTTTCCTGTGAAACAGTTTTAAGTAGTACATTCTGCACAGACGTCATTGGGGTCAGCAGTACTCAACCATGTAAAGTTCAAAAACCTACATAAATCCACAGCTTTTGTGACATTTAAAGTATTTTGCCAATGATTTATGTATAACATAACAGTTACACAAATACAACAGTACAATAATAGTGAGTGGGGAATCGCCAGTAACAATAACAGCAAATCTCACAACGTATTGTGCTGCTTTAGGAACACATTTCAATCACTACATGTTTGGTGGAGTTAGGGTGTTGGTTGCTTGAAAAAATTTGCAGATGCATCAGGGGTCTCAGTGACCACAAAAGCCAGATGTGCAAGTTTTGTGCAGAATGATAGCTATGATTGGGGGAAAGAAAATGTTTTGGTTTTTTTTATTGATGGCTTCCTTCGAAAATATCTGAGTCCATTACTAGATTGGTACAATCCATCTTCTGAGTCACAAGGAAGTGGGGTAAATGGTTTTTAAAATTCAGATTAAAATACAGATTTTGTGAACCTGTGGGACATTATTGATCCCTGCTGGCTTTTGTGGTGGTGTCATGGTAAGTGGGTAATTGACCTATAATAATAAATATAAATATATTATTTCTACCCCACCCATCTGGCTGGGTTTCCCCAGCTACTCTGGGCAGCTCCCAACAGAATTAAAAGCACAATAAAACAATAAACATTAAAAACTTACCTAAACAGGGCTGCCTTCGGATGTCTTCTAAAAGTCAGATATTTGTTTATTTCCTTGACATCTGATGGGAGGGTGTTCCACAGGGTGGGTGCCACTACCTACTCTGAAAATGGACAGATACTGTGTGTTTACCCTCTACAATGCTTTTTCACACAAAATAGACAGGTTTTGAACTAAATATGTGTAGACATGACTAGCAGCTAATACATTTAAACAGCATTTGGTGGGTCACTTTTAATCCTAGGACCTTTATTTGGCTGGTTTCTTTGGTTTTCTCATTCATCCTTGTTCAGTAATTGGGGGGGGGGAGTCAATTAGCAATAACCGCGCCTCGGATTAACCTCATTGACTACGATACTGCCACTGCGCAAAGCTACATTCATCCTTAAAGAGGTTGAACTGACCCCTCCCCCCCAAAAAAATGCTGTAAGAGCAAAAGCTCACTAAATTAAAACACCACATGGCAGTTCGCACCTCATTGTTTAGGTATACCAGGAACATTGAGAGTTGCGGAAGACTGAAACAAATGTTTTATGAATCTTTGGGGGGGTGCATTTGACCCCAGCTGTTGATAGAAGGTTAAACTGTTAGGAATGATTATTCTTCATAGTTATTTCACGTTTTGGTAGAGTCATGGAGAAGATAATGTAGCTGGAGCTTGAGTATCAAAAAAGGAAAGCTATTTGCAGCTAGGAGTGGGGGTAAGGTGGGTTTGAAGAAGACCTTTCAAAAGTAATCAGGGAAAATAAGGATAATTCTAGATGCTACATTCACCATGGAGATTATTTGTTCAGAATATCTGCTCAAAGGTGCATTCATAGCACTATTTAATAAACATTGGCCACTCACTTGGTCCTCTTTTACAAATGCTGCAAGGATTATGTGTCATCTAAGACACATAGAACAAAAACTGCCATGACAAACCCCTCCAAAGAGTATCAGTAAGTCATTTAGGCTGCTTCAGAAACAAAAAATTGTATTATTGTCACTTAACGTAAATCATTAAATCCGCAGAGAGGGTGTGTGTGTGTGTGTGTGTGTGTGCGCGCGCGCGCGCGCGCAACTTTACAATACCTGTTTCAGTTATAATTGTCAAATTGTAAGAGTTTAAGTGTGTAGATGTTTACTGTAATTTTCTTTTAATGCAGAATCATTATTATACTTCAAAATCACATGGTGATATTGCACGTGATCGGTTTGAAGACAATACTGAACATCATGAAACATTTCGAAGACCCTTCAAGGTATGAATTCTATTTTTTGCTGAATTCTAATGGAGTAGCAGAATTCATTTCTCTCTCTCTCCCACACCCCCTTTCCAGGTTGCAGTATCTGTTTAACTACATTTGAAAGATTGCCCTGCAGTAGAAAGAGCATCATTGTCTTATGAAAAGCCATTGTTTATGCCAGTTGCAGAAACAATTGCATTATAAACAAAGATGCCATGTATCTCTTCCTACCTGTTGAAAGCGTCAAGCTGTACATGGATGAATTAGTTTCTACTAATAGTAGGAAAGAAAGTAATTAATTTAATCTAGAACAACTTGTTTCTCTTTTATTGCATTTGGGCACTGTTAATTAAGATAGTTATGGTTTCATTTGCAAAATGTTGCTTTTATACTATTTGACATCCTCTTCATTTGTTATACAAGATGCATAAAATTGTTGATTAGTTCTGAGGTGTTGTGCTGCACATTATCTCTTGGCTACATTGCCTGTTTTCAAAACTTGCTGTGAAAATAGATTGTTTTTGTAAGGCTAAGCTTATTCTCCACCCCCACACCTCTACCCCCACCCCCGAAAAAGTGAAGAAAAATATGGATTTGAAAGTATGAGATAGATGAGAGAAGAAATTGGCACAGTCGATCCCCTTTTGTTTCATTTAATCATCAGAAGCAGCTTTGATAAAGGAGCAGTGTATTCTCGGTTTTTTGCCTGGATCCAAAAGAAAATATCCAGATTTATTGACATTTGATAAATGGGCATATCCAGTATATGGATGTATCACTGGGCATCTGTTCTACTGTTTGTATTGAATTATAAGAGACTTAGAGATGCATTTTATAGATAATTAATTGCATTTAAAATTCCTAAACATGGCATGTTTTAAAGTTGTTTCCACTGTAACATGTGAAGATGGTTTGTGGTGCTGCATTGAGTCTTGAAGGGGAAAAGATCAGTATCTTAAAAAAATACATTATACAGTAATATGTACACGTTAAAATTATTGACTATCAGATTAAAGGGTCAGAATTATGAAAATTGTTATAATGGCCATTCCTTTTCTTCTCTAACAGCCCCACTTTAGTGATGGTCGGCCCCACTTTAAATCAAACTTAGTACAGAAGGGTTTATACATACAGGCTAAATACCAACGATTACGTTATGCTGGAACAAGGGGATTTACCACTAACAAATTTAGAGGAGGATTTTTGAGGAAAGATAAGGTGAGTGGATTTTTACTTCGATCCCGGAATATGCTGCTTTTTTCTTTAAACGTTTTGTATGCAAGTGTTCACACTGTACCTCCTTCTGATTACTGAATGCATTCATTTTGTGACAGTTGTAGTCTGTCCTTTCTCTAAGAAGGTCAGAGTGGCATTTTAGTTTCCCTGCACTGTGAGGCAAGATAACCTGAAAGATGACGATCACAGGCTCCCCAGTTTGCTTCATGGCAGCTAGCTGCTCACTGCTTAAAGTAGTTTGCAGGAATAGAAAGACCTTGTCCTGACCCAGGAAGGCAATTATATTTTTGTTGCAGAATGAGTATTTAAACCTGAGTATCCCATGCCCAATCTGCCACTGGATATAATGTTAAGGGTCTCTTCTTCACTCCAGGAGCAGAGGAAGTCAGCTTCTAATGCACTCCCTGCCACATTACTTTCTCCAATAGGGTCAGGAGGGTCAGCTACCATTAACACAGTTGCACAGCACAACAGCGAAAGGTATCTATCATTTCCTCCTTGTCAGGCTCGAAGCTTCATGCTTTAACTAATGAGAACAGTGCAGGCGTCTGTCCTCTGGGAATCTGTCCCTGGAAAAGGAAGCAAAATAGGCAGCCCACACTGCCCAACTGATGAATTCAGTGGGACTGGTGGAGCACACATCCTTTTTCTGTTTCCTCCCATGTTTAACAGGGGGGGAGGAGGGGAACGGGATGACGAATCTGCATTCAGCTCTTCATTTGCCCATGTGCATAAACACAGTGCAACTAGGGTGACTTGTATTCTCTCTCCTCCCTGAGGCAGATAGCTTCCTAGCCAGAAAAAGGTCTGATTTCTCTTTGTCTCTTAGCTATGCTTAGAGAGACAGAGGTAATGTATGTCCACTTAACCAGAGCACACTGTTCCTCATGGAACAGAACTCAATTCCAGATGAAAGAGGCTGTTTCCCTGTTTCCATCCCCACCTCCTTTTTGTTCCCGGAAGTAGAAAGCATTCTGTCTTGCATGCTCCAGAGCAGAGCAGCTCCTTTTTTGAAGCAGCTTGCGTAGCCATTTTCTCCCTCCCTTGCCCAGGAGCAAAGAGAAAGAAAATCAATTGAGTATGAGTTTTCTTTACGGGGGGGGGGGACACCAGAGCCTTTTAACACAGAGAGATTGCATCAAGGGCCATAGCTTGATGCTAGAGCATCTGGCTTACATACAGAAGGTCCCAGGTTCCGTTTCGAAGTATAGGCTGGTAATGTTGCCTGCCTGAAACCCTGGAGAGCAGCTGCCAGCCAGTGCAGACAGTACTGAGAGGGACCAGTGGTCTGACTGTTAAAAGAAGTTCCTGTGATAAGTGTTGTTTTCTGACAAATGCTTAGATCAGTTGGCATATGGTATGTTCCTCTCATGACGTGTGGTGGAGTGGCAGAGTTCTCTCAGTCCCATGGAACTTGGAACTTCAGAAGCAGCATTCTCTTGAAACACTGGATAAATTAAAATGTGGATGAACTCTCTGTTACAAAAACTTACTTCGGGATAATAACATATATTTTTCCTTAAACAGGGCCTGGAAATCTGAGCTGCAGTACTGAAGGCAGTATCTCTGATTATGATGATCGTTGCAAGGGAGCATCCGATTGCATTTGTCAAGAACTCAAATGGGAAAAGCAAAACTAATACTTTAATTTTTCTTGATAAAGATAATTTTATTTTTCATTAGTGGGATGTTGCAGAACTTTTTTACAGTTTTAATAATGGCTTTTCGAATACAGTATTCAACTGAACATTGTAGGGTTGCTCCTTTTACTTCCTCTTGCCGGCAAGTCAGAGAAAAAAAACCCCTGAAGGGAGTCTTTATTTATTGAATATTTCCCCCTCACTCTAAGCATGGTTTTATTACTAGACATTGAGTTGTAATACACAGAAGTTTATATGTTTAAAGTTTATTTGCTTATATAATAAAAATGAAAAAGTGCCTATTGCCATGAGTATCTTATGATTTCTCTAAGCAATTACTTTTGAATTGCTATAGCTCTGCTCACCTGGAAGTTTTCTTATTACTGAATACAGGAATAGCCAATGTGGTGCCCTCCAAAGGTGGTGGGACTCATCTCCCATGAGCCCTGGCCAGCATGTCCAGCAGTAAGGGATGTTAAGAGTTGGAGTCCAACAATATCAGTAGGATACTATGTTTAATAAATTTGGTTACATTCTGTAACACAAAAATGAAATTTGCCGGAAAACCTCTAGCCAGCTGAGAGCTGTTAAAAAACCAGTAGAAAATGTGGATCACAGAGTGCGTGTGGATGGCACCCAATATTTTGCAAATGGTCTTTTGCTTGTGCAACAGTCCTTTTTTTTTTTTTTTTTTGCACCCTTCCTCCAAATCTATTCTGCAGCATTCCCAACCTTAGATCAGATATGTGGAAGGTAGAGGGGCTTTAGTGGGAAGATGGAATCGATTGCACCAGTGGTGTCCATTCTGCAGGCAGATGAATAATTGTGTTTCAAACCTTGTTGCGATGGAGTGAGTTTGTAACTTGGATCACGGAAGCTGCATGATACATGCAGCTTTATCTCTGGGTCCACTTTTGTAATAGCGAATGGTGTCTCCAGGTTCCCAAAGTGCTACACTGAGTACAACTGTCTAATAATGCTTTCATAGAATTATGAACTGTGGCATGTTTTACAACAGCACTGAAAGTCGTAGGCATCCCCATAAGCTCCAACTCTTCATTCACAGCCTCTTGCTTAAACTCAAACCAAGGCCATTTGAAAAAACAAGATGTTGGGAATAAGAAGAGCTGCATGTGGTTACTACATTGCAATGCATGACTAGTGTATTGTGGGGCAATGGATACAAATCAGAATATGAGTAAACAACTGAAACTTGTTGCATCTGAAATAAAAGTAAAAGACAGGAAATCACTGTGAGAACAAACATAATTTCACAGAACAGAAGGTAACATTACTGGGTAATGAGACTTTAATTTCATTATAGTGAGTAGAAAAGATAGGCCCTAGAAGCCAAAAAAAGGCACACCTGTTTTCTTTTTTTAATCAGACAGATGCAGATGGTGATATAAGTTTTTAGGATATGACAGTTAAAATTCTGGAGTGTATATCACAGAAGTGCTACTGTTCTATATTTCATAGGCTCACGTATATTCAGGAGCAAATAAAGCACCTGTCTGTTTTCTGTAGCAGATAATCTTTTATTTCAGCTGATTTGTCTGGTAACACTTGTTAATGAAGTAGGAGGCCTCTGAGCTGCTTAATTATTATTTTTAAAAGTTTTTTAGGAGTTGGGGAAATAATAAAATACAAATATTTCCCACCGCCTCTTTAATTTTTGCAGATGTATAAAGTACCCAGTGTAAAAAGTGGTAAAAAGGATCTGTACAAATGATTGTTTTTCTGCAGTTGTTGGACAAGCTGTACCTGCCGAAGTGCTCTCTACTATATAACGACTGTTAACCCTGGAAGAACAAAATTCTGCCTTTACACTTCCTGTTCTACCAGATCTGTATGCCAGAGTGTCTTGTCACAGTAACAAAAGGAGGTTGCAGTTAGCCAGATCTAAACCTTGTAAGTTTCTTCCCTAATTATAATACATTATAGGTTTCTTTCTGTCATAACAGAACTGAGTCTATTCATAACAACTGTCACCGATGCATTTTTATCACACTTGGCCTACTTTTGTTGAGTTTCCCTATAACACAATCTTTTTAAAATCTTTCCATTTTAAAATAAGTGAGCTGTGCTTTTGTCCTCCACAAAATACAATTCTGAATTCTTATATGTAAAGTTCTGATAATTAATTGAAGCAAGTATCCTACCAACAGATGGGAAAGAGAGAGCTTATTAGGCCTTTAATTTAGATGGTGATGATTAATCCCTAGCTAGCGGTACTATAAACATTTCTTTACTTCAGCATCTCTTAAGGTGTATTTTGATGTCACAAGAATGTAAGTGTGATAGTGCTGAAGTTCATTGCTGATATGTTATTTATGCAGTCCCAGGCTGTAAATGATCCATGCTGTGATTTTAACTAAAAATTCTTTGAAGGTTTTTTGGATTTCTAGGAATGGCTGTGGCAGCTGTAACTGTATAAATGCAAATTATTTTATTCCCCAAGCCTTTAACAATTTGGCATTTATTTAGTTAGTTAATAGTTAAATGGGATCAAGCTTTAAGGCCTTTTTTAATTTACAAAATCTGCAAAAATGTGATAATATAAATGTATGTACAGTATACCAATGAGAGGGGAACTGTCCCCAGAAGCATGTGATATGCCATTGCTGAAAATAAGCAACTGGGCTAAAGGGACATTTAGTCTGATCCAACAGATCCATTCTTATGTTAGGTTCTGGTTCTTGGCATGATATCAGAAGATGAGATGGTGAAGGCATATGGACCTTCTATCTGTCATTTATAACTAGGAGGCCTCGGCCCCTCTGCTCACCGCCATCTCACCCCACCCCCACCCCATAGTAACACCAAAGACCTCCTTTCCAACCCATGGAACTATTACACCCCCTTTTCAGTTCCCCAACTCTGTTTCTGAGGTGTCCTCTCTTGGGACTGGCACTTTTAAACAATGACAGAGATTTGAGTAAAACAGGGGAAGCAGGATTCTGAGGGGTTGCCTTTTTATAGAAAACAAGCAAGGATAAATAGAGAGGGGCATAACACAGAAGCAAACACCAAGAAATTCGCACAGCAGAACCTTTCCCAACTCCCTTCTCACTGTACTCAAATCTTTTTTTAAACTACCACTTTCCACCCCTCAGTGATCACTCTACTGAAGCCTCTGCCATTGTTTTCAATCACAATTTTTCCTCCTTTCAGTTTCCTTCCAAGGATGTAGAGCCCTCAGGTATTCCACTGCTTTCTTTACTCAAACACCTGTTGTTTTAAGCCACCACTTTTCACCTGTATGGGTCTGTTCCTCCTCACTCTCATGCCATGGCCGTTATAACTGGTCTACTCTTTTGCTCCCCTTCCTCATCCTGACTTCATGCAAATCCAGGATTGTGATGCAACACTCCAAATCCTCCACTGGGGGCTGTGTGATGACAGCATGATGTTTTTATGTCTACAGGGAGATGTAAGCTAAGCACCAGTTTGCTTGCAGCTGCTTCTAGTTTGGTTACACCACACTTCTGCAAATGTAAGGTTCTACACTTAGGCAGGAAGAACCAGCGGCACAAATATATGATAGACCACAAGATTAACATGAGTCAACAGTGTGATGCAGCAGCAAAAAAGAAAAAGCTAATGCTGTTCTAATGTGCAGCAATGGAATTAAGAGTCCCAATCAAGGGAAGTCATAGTCCCGTTCTGTTGTTTAGTCATTTTGTCGTGTCTGACTCTTCGTGACCCCATGGACCAGAGTACGCCAGGCACTCCTGTCTTCCACTGCCTCCCGCAGTTTGGTCAAACTCACGCTGGTAGCTTCGAGAACACTGTCCAGCCATCTCGTCCTCTGTTGTCACCTTCTCCTTGTGTCCTCAGTCTTTCCCAACATCGGTCTTTTCCAGGGAGTCTTTCTCTTCTCATGAGGTGTATTGGAGCCTCAGCTTCAGGATCTGTCCTTCCAGTGAGCACTCAGGGCTGATTTCCTTCAGAATGGATAGGTTTGATCTTCTTGCAGTCCATGGGACTTTCAAGAGTCTCCTCCAGCACCATAATTCAAAAGCATCAATTCTTTGGCGATCAGCCTTCTTTATGGTCCAGCTCTCACTTCCATGCATCACTACTGGGAAAACCATAGCTAACTATACGGACCTTTGTTGGCAAGGTGATGTGTCTGCTTTTTAAAATGCTGTCTAGGTTTGTCATCGCTTAGAGCAGGACTAGCCCTGTTCTATTCTGCCTTAATCAGACCCCCACCTGGAGTACTGTATATAGTTCTGGGCACTACAATTTAAAGAGGATATTTACAAGCTGGAACGTGTGCAGAGGAGGGTGACCATGATGATCAAGGGTCTGGAAAACAAGCCTTAAGAGGAACAGTTGAGGGAATGGGGTATGTTTACCCCTATTCAACTATCTAAAGGACTGTCACATGGAGGATGGAGCAAGCTTGTTTTCTCCAGCTTCAGAGCCTAGGACCCAAGCAAAAGGATTCAAGTTACAAAATACAAGATTCCTACTAAACATCAGTAAGAGATGTTCAACACTGGAACAGTTTCTCTCAGATGGTGGTGAACTCTCCTTCCTTTGAAGCAGGAGGTTTTAGGCAGAGGTTGGATGGCCACCCCTCATGTATGCTTTAGTTGAGATTCCTGCATTGCAGGGTGTTGGACTAGGTGACCCTCGGCATCCCTTTCAACTCTATGATTCTATGATTCACTTTCCCCCCATAGAAGTGATTAACTATGCATGGGAGAAAGAAAAGAACTTCATTTGGAAATAGTGCTTGATAAGGAAAAACTTGCTTCTTGGACTTAGAAGCAATAGTGATGGGATAAGCTCTGCCTCCAGTAGTAGTCCTTAAAGTGTGTAAGAAGTCAATGTGTCCTTTGCTTTGGAAATACATAGTGTGATTTCCTCATGGACATCTTGCATCTTGATTACTGATGTAATTAACACAACACAACCTTCCCCAACTCCCTTCTCACTGTACAGTGTGCAGTGTGTCTTTGTGTCCTCTAGAGGGCCACCTCACACTAAAAAAAATTGCTCGGGGTGATCCACACAATCATTTCCTCTGCTTTTCAGGGTCTTTGCAAATCATGGATCTTCCTCACTTTCTGTTATAATAGACACACCAGTAACAACAGAAAAGATGCACAGGTTGCCAGCTTCTTGCCTTGCTGTTAACCAGCAATCAGGACTCTTTGTCACAGCAGCAACAATGAGAACAAAGGTACCTGCTGCTTTTCTTCCCCACCCTTCCACCTTGCACCTTCAGATTATTTTGTAAATTGTAGCCAGACCCATATCAAGGCATGGCCCAGATATAGCCTAGCCCTGGTGAGGAAAATCCCCCCACCCCATTATGAGGTGGCGGGTTTTGCTGCTTCGGGCATTGCTTGCAGCAGCATGGGGACCAGGCTTAACCGCACTATCCCAGTTGACCACATGTGAAAAACTGGGATTCTGCAGTTGGAGAGCCTAGCCCTTGCACCCTTGCACCACTGCAAATGAGCTGGTGCCCACAGGGACTGGCACAGTGGGAGGCAGGGAGGCCAACGGCAGATGGAGCCATAGCCAGTGGTAGGCAGAGCCAACTCATTCTGGTTCTGTCCTCCTCACTGCAGCTTTACAGGTATAAAACAGAAACTAACTGAGAGGAAGCTGACAGGTAGTGTGACCCCTTGGGCTGGCTGTAAGTAAGAAGGCAGGGAGGTGAGGGCCAGCTGAAAGCAGTCTGAGGTTGGTGGGCCCCATTTGTCCAAACTGACCACTGCATCTAACTCAGGGCAGAAGGGAAGCAAGGTAATTTCCCTTCCTCCTTGGAGCCACTGAGGCATTTTAAATGTGTGTGGCTGGCTTTGTCTGCTTTCAGGTTTGGAAAGGGGCAAAAGAAACCAGCTACCTCATCAAACAGTCAGACCCCACCATATCTGGAAGTGAATTGTACTCTCTATATTAAATTACTTTAAAAATCAATACAGTATAATGGGAAAGTGAGGAGAGGGGGTCTGTGTTTTCTTTGTTAGACTTTGTGTGTTTGGGGATGGTGTGTGTAGTTGAGTGTAGGATGAGAGGATTTGTGTGTTAAAAGTTGAGGGGGGAGGTCTTTAAAGAGAGAAACCGCATTCAAAGGAGTACTTTTATGTGATGAGGATCAAACGTCCGTCTTCTTGGCATTTAGGTTCTGAGACAAGTTACATGTCTTCTAGTGTCACCAGTGTTCTTCTTGTGAAATAGACCTCTCTTAGAGCAGAAAACGATGGGTTGAAATATGTGGCTTGCACGTTTGGTATTTGGGGTTCAGACCCAACCTCTGACTTATACTTATTCAGTTTGTGATCCTGGCCAATAATCTCCCATCTAGTCCAGCACCTGGTTTGCAGCAGTAGCCAGCCAAACGCCTTTGAGAAATTTAAAAACAGCAGAGCATTTATCTATTCCATCATCGGCATTTGGTATTGAGGCAGAGAAAACGTGTGTTATGGCTCCTCTATATTACTGCTGCCAAATTCCTAATTGTGAGGCTTTTCTTCCAGTGTGTAAATGTCATGGAATGTGACTTTAAGCAACATCACTGTGTGTTCTGCATGCACACATATGGAAAATACACAAGTGCTGTAGTGGTGCATGCTACGTCCGCAAATGATCATGAACTCCAGTAGAATTTATTGGGCTTCATGGAGGTAAAATTTTCTAGATACACTCAACTATAGTGCAATATTTGCATAAAGAATTCAGCAGCTCTAATCAGTTCTCCTATGTTTTCAAGCAGGTATGACTCATTTAAGCAAACGGTGTTTAATCTAGGTCCACGAATCACAGTCCTGTTTACTCCTACATGCCATAGCATTTTGGGGACTCCGGTAGAGGTCTTTCATATCACCCACTGCCTGGTCCTTTTCCAGGAGTTGAGAAGTGCATCTAGATCCAGATTAATGTCATAATTCAGATCAGGAGGTATTTTATTAATAAGTAAACGAGGGGGGGGGACTCAGGTGGCGCTGTGGGTTAAACCACAGAGCCTAGGACTTGCCGATCAGAAGGTCGGCTGTTCAAATCCCTGCGACAGGGTGAGTTCCCATTGCTCGGTCCCTGCTCCTGCCAACCTAGCAGTTCGAAAGCACATCAAAGTGCAAGTAGATAGATAGGTACCGCTCCAGCGGGAAAGTAAACGACATTTCCGTGCACTGTTCTGGTTCGCCAGAAGCGGCTTAGTCCTGCTGGCCTCATGACCCGGAAGCTGTACGCCGGCTCCCTCGGCCAGTAAAGCGAGATGAGCGCCGCAACCCCAGAGTCGGCCACGACTGGACCTAATGGTCAGGGGTCCCTTTACCTTTACCTTAAACACACATCTATATACAACACCCATCAACTGAACTCAACCTTGTCTAACTGACAAAGCTGAAAGGTTGGCTCTTACAAGATTCTATTCATTCAAGATACCGCCACATATTATTGTCAAGGGCTGAACCTTCTGCACGCAGAACATGTGTTCTACAACTGAGCTATGGCCCTTTAAAATACTCAGCTCTTCTTGCTATTTAAATTTTGAATAAATCTTAAGAATGTTGCCCCTCCTCCATTTAAATCTGCTTTTCTTGTCTCCTCCTCATGGCGGCCTTGAAAACAGGATGTCACAGACCCGTTCCTGCCATGCACATGGCCTAAGAATAATTGTCGCACTGTAGGCACGGGCGTTTTAAAAAGCACTCCGCAGTCCCCCTTGCTTCCCCCGCCGGCACTCATCTGCTCCGGCGTGCCGTGTGGCTTTGCGCGCGCTGCTTTGGCTTTGGAACCGGGTCCTTTTGCCAGGAAACCCAATTCTGCCCCGGTTGGCAGGATCCCGTCCCCGGGCGCCTGCAAGGGCGCCGGTTAACACTGCGCGAGGCGGTTTTTTGTGGGTGTGGCGGGACATGCGGCCAGTGTTGTGGGAGAAGCGGCCGGCGCCTGAAAAGCACCCGCGTCTCCGTGAACCAGGCAGTCCCCCTCCTGGGACTTCGGCGCTGCGCTGGACTTCTCCCCGCGCCGGGCAGCCTGCTCCAAGGGCGACTCCCCAACCCCATTTCCACCCTGCAGGCGCGCAAAGCGCCGCGCTCCGCAAGGGAGGTTTCTGCCGGGCGCGTGGGTTGCCACGCATTGCATACAGGGGGCTCCACAACAAGCGCCTCCCTCTCTCCTACGATGATGATGCTTACTACTACTATCCCTGTATGATTGTTGGAAGGGAGATTAGGCCCCACGAAGCTCGCCCTGTGGCCCCGCTTGCCCCCCACCCGCCCTAAGCGGGCGACGCGTGTCCGGTTTTCTCCAGGCAGCTGCCGCCGCTGCTCGTCCGAAGGCGGCGCGCCGAGGCCGCCGCGGCGCGTTCTCGCGACACTTTCCCTTCTCGCTAGCGGTTATCTCGACGTTGTGGTGAAACCGGCGCCAGCCCGCTAAGCGAAGCGAGCCCGTTTTGCAGTAGCGCCTGCCGCTGCCGCCTCGGTTGTCCTGCGAAAGGGCGACGTCGCCGCCGCCACCCCTCAGCCTCCCCATTCCCTTCCCGAGAACCGCCACCGCCTCCCCCTCCGCTCTTGTTTCCGCCCTGGCGCGCGCGGGCGCGCGCAACCACATCCACACGCGCACACTCGGCTCTCTCTCTCTCGCAGCCCCAGGTAGAATTCGGCTGCCTTCGCCCGCTCCTCTCCGCGCATCCCTCAGATTTGCAGGTGGCGTGTCAGGTGTTTCGCTTCGCGGTTCTCTTCTTCGCCGCCCCACCCCTTCCTCTTTTTTGACGCCAGGAAAAGCCTTTTTATTTTTTCTCGCTTGCGGGGGAAGCTTTTCGGAGCAGGAAATAAGATGCAGCTTCTCTGTTCTTCTTGCAACGGGCACTGACTAGCCGAGAGGAAGCCACGAAGTAGCAGCAGCAGCAGCAGCTAC